TTCGCCCGACGCCATCTCGCACCGCTACCGCCGCCTTCGCTCACTCGCCTTCATCTCGAGGACTGTCGCGCGTGCCGTGGGGCGAGTCCTGTATGAGACGGTCGACATCAACGACGAGATTTCAGCCGTGCACCTCTGCATTCAGGCGTCAAACAGCAAGGTCGCCCGCTTCCTCGCCTTCCACTCTACCACGACCTTGCGAGTCGACGAGATCAGAGGCGACTACGTCGAGCAATTGTTGAAGCGTCTGCCAGCTCTCACCGAGCTCGACATCAGATCGAGCTCGCTCAATGTTCTCACGCTATCCCTTACCGTCGGTGCGCTCCGCAAGTCTCGCTCCCACCTTGTTGTTCGCGCTGATCCTCGAATCTGCAGGCGTCCGCGCACTGTACCTCGAATCAGTGACGCTCAAGTTCCTTACCAAGTGCGGCGCGAGGACTTGTTGCCGGCTCGCCAGTCTCCCGCACCTGCCCCATCTCGCGAGACTCGTTTTGAATGATGTCGTGCTGTTTGATGACGAGCGCAAGCCTGTGCCGATGACCAAGTTGATCAACCCATCAAGTATGCCGCGATTGAGGACTCTTGCCGTCACCTGGGCGGAAGGCGACGCCGAGGTCAGCTTCGTCGCTCCGCAGCTGACGCACCTCTGGCTGAGCCGCTTCATCCTCTCCGACTCGCGCACATCCATTCACCCGTCTCTCCCTGCGGAATCTTTCGATAATCTTCCGAACCTCCAGCACTTCGCCGTCGACTTGCTGCTCCGCGACGACTTGGCCGACATTGCGCACCTTTCAGCGGCACTCAGGTCCGTGCGCCTTGACGGAAAGAACGTGGCAGAAGTAGAGCGCTTCCTACTCTCCGCCAACCCGCCCTGCATCCGCCAGCTTGCCCTCCTCGTCGTCGATAAGGTCAAGGAGCGCGACCAGCGTTGGAGGGAGCGGACCATCTCCGAGTGCCAGAACCGCGGCGTCGTGCTCGAGGAAGACGACTTCAAGGCGCATCCAGACCAGCATCATGCGGACGTTCGTTGGTGGGCTCAGTACACACAGGCGGCTTGACGATCGTCGTCTGCCTGTCGCGCTTCTTCCGCTTTTCTCGAAGGGCGAACGCTCGCCTTGGCGTCTACAGTACTTTTGACCTCACGACTCGCATCCTCACGCTTCGCAATGTACGCCCAGCAACTGTTCCTCAGCGGCGATAAGTTTCCGAGGACGAGTAAACGCGCGAGTACCGAGAGTGGCTGCTTCTGTTCGCACTATTCTCGATACGATGTAGTGAATGCTCTGCAAGCCTGGCGAGCCCTGCAGAGCTGTCCTTGCTGGTCGACCTCGAGGACTTGCGCGTTCGCTGACGACGGCGGGTTGGCTCACCACTCTCGCTCGCTCTCGGCGCCTGCTTGCTAGAACACGCTCGACTGCTACTCCTTGAGCTCTGCAACCCACGCCTAGCCCGCACGAACTACAGCGATGCCGATCGAGGAGAAGGAGCGACCGCAGGCGACGGTGTCGGTGCCGTCCAAGGACCCCGAGCCGCCCAAGAAGGACCGCGCGGCAGACAACCTGCTCAAGGCGAAGCAGGAGCTCAAGCAGGACACTGAACTCGTGCGTCGAGCCGCTTGACGAGGTGTCGAGGCGTGGCGATGATGCATGCTCACCCCGTCGCACTCACGCAGAACGAGGAGGACCAGGCGCTGAAGGGAGAGCTTGAGATGCTGGTGGAACGGCTGCGAGTGCGTCCAACTTGCCCGCAGAACCGTTGCGAGGGAGCTGACATCGCCTTCGCCTCAGGAATCCGACACTTCGCTGCACCGTCCCGCCCTCGAGTCTCTCCGAACTCTGATTCGCACGTCGACCTCTTCCATGACCTCTGTCCCGAAGCCCCTCAAGTTCCTCCGCCCTCATTACGCCGAACTCGCAAAGATTCAGGCGTCCTGGCCCGATCAGCCCGTCGCTTCGACTTCGCAGGCAATCGCACAAACGGCGTCTGCGGCGGTTGAGACGGTTGCGGCGGCAGTGGGACTCGGTGGGAAGGACGCGGCGGTGAACGGAGACAAGAAGGACGAGTCGCAAGTGCAGGTGACGGACAAGGGATTGTTTGCGGACATCCTCTCGGTGCTCGCCATGACCTACTCCGACACGGGAAAGCGCGAGACGCTGATGTACAGGCTGAAGGGCGGTAGCGACGAAGACCCGGGTGTTTGGGGGCACGAGTATGTGAGGTGAGTTGGCAGTCCGGTCCACCTGAACCGGTTCTCTCAAACTTACACGACTCTACGCAGGCACTTGGCGGCCGAGATTGGCGAGGAGTACGGTGCGCGGCAAGAAAAGGAGGAGCCGCCCGAAGACCTGCTCGCCCTCGGACTCCGCCTCGTTCCCTTCCTCCTCACCCACAACGCCGAATCCGATGCCGTCGACCTCCTCCTCGAGCTTGAAGCGATCGAGCGTATCGTCGACCATGTCGATAACAACACGTATCAGCGCGTGTGCCTGTACATGGTCTCGATGGTCTACTACCTCACCCCGCCTGACGACGTCGACTTCCTCAAGACCGCTCGCGCGATCTACAAGAAGCACAGCCGGTACACCGAGGCGCTCACTCTCGCCCTCCGCCTCCAGGACATGGACATGATCAAGGAGGACTTTGAGGCGCCGACCAACCCGCAGATGAAGCGCCAGCTCGCCTACATCCTCGCGCGGCAGCAGATCAACGTCGAGACGGACGACGAGACGCTCACCGAGATCCTCAACAACACGAAGCTGTCGGACAACTTCAAGCGCTTCGGTCAGGAGTTGTCGGTCACCGAGCCGAAGAGCCTCGAGGACATCTACAAGAGCCACCTCGAGAACTCGCGCAACCCGACGCAGGTCGACTCGGCGAAGCAGAACCTGGCGGGCACGTTCGTCAATGCGTTCGTCAATGCCGGCTTTGGGAACGACAAGCTCATGGTCGAGGCGGAGGAGGGACAGAGCTGGATCTACAAGAACAAGGACCACGGTGCGTCGGAGTCTCCCGCTGTTGTCGACTAGCTTACTAACGTTGCTCTCGTTCGCAGGCATGTTCAGCGCGGCAGCGTCGCTCGGCCTCAGTCTCTTGTGGGACACGGACGTCGGTCTCTCGCACATCGACAAGTACGCTTATGCCTCGGAGGACTATATCAAGGCTGGTGCCATGCTTGCGAACGGCTTGATTCACTCGGGCGTGCGGACGGAGATGGACGCTGCGTTGGCGTTGTTGTCGGAGCACGTCGAGGCGACGAGCGTTCCTTTGCGAGTGGCTTCGATCATCGGGTGCGTCTTACCAGCTTCCTTCTCGCTGCTCTTTGTCTGACCTCTGTGTGCTCGCAGCATCGGTATCGCCTACGCCGGCTCGAAGCGTGAAGACATCCGCGACATCCTCCTTCCCTCGCTGCAAGACTCATCCGTCTCCATCGAGATCGCCTCGATGGCCGCTCTCGCTCTCGGCTTCGTCTTCGTCGGCTCGTGCGACGAGGACGTGACGATGGGCGTCGTGTCGGCCATGATGGAGCGGGATGAGGCGCAGCTCAAGGAGAAGTGGGGCAGGTTCCTCGCGCTCGGCGTTGCGTTGCTGTACCTCGGTGCGTCCCTGCATCCTCTCAAGGCGTCGAGCCCTCACTGACGCCATTCGCGCTCACAGGCCGAACAGAGCAATCGGAGGCTACCATCGAGGTCCTCAAGACGATCGAGGCGCCGCTTGGCAAGGTCGCCATCACGCTCGTCCAGTCGGCTTCGTACGCTGCGACGGGCAACGTCGTCGAGATCCAGAAGCTGTTGAAGGAAGCGACGGACCACCTTGACCCGGAGAAGGAGTCCGACTTGCACCAGTCGATGGCGGTGATCGGTGTCGCGCTCATCGCGATGGGAGAGGATGTCGGCAGTCAGATGAGCATCCGGCACTTCAACCACCTCGTGCGTGGCGCCTGCGCCGTTTTCTCATGCGCCCTCGCTGACCTTGCCCGTCTCGCAGATGCACTACGGCGAGCCGGTCGTCCGACGAGCAGTCCCCCTCGCTCTCGGCCTTATCAGCGCGTCGAACCCCGCCATGCACATCCTCGAGACGCTCTCCCGATACTCGCACGACAACGACCTCGACGTCGCCCTGAACGCCATCTTCGCGATGGGTCTTGTCGGAGCCGGCACGAACAACGCCAAACTCGCTCAGATGCTGAGGCAGCTTGCGAGCTACTACTCGAAGGAGCCTGATTGCTTCTTCATGGTTCGCATCGCGCAGGTGCGTCACGGAGCCCGCCTCCATACCTTTTAGAGACCCGCTGACGACGACTGTCTCCCGCAGGGCCTCGTCCACATGGGCAAGGGCACGATCGGCATCAACCCCTTCCACACCGACCGCTCCCTCGTCTCACCCGTCGCCGTTTGTGGTCTGCTTGCCACCATGCTCGCGTTCACCGACACGCGCGGCTTCATCCTCGAAAAGTCGCACTGGATGCTCTACTTCCTCACCATGGCGATGTACCCTGTGCGTGCACTGGCTTCATGCTTTCCATCCGGCCACTGACCCTCGATTTGGCACAGCGCTTCCTCATCACCCTCTCGGACGAGACGAACGAGCTCTTGCCTACGAGCGTTCGTGTTGGACAGGCAGTCGACGTCGTCGGTCAGGCTGGCAAGCCTCGCACGATCTCGGGCTTCCAGACACACACGACGCCTGTGCGGTTGGGCCACACGGAGCGTGCCGAGATGGCGACGGAGGAGTACCTGCCGTACTCGCACGTCCTCGAGGGCTGTGAGTCGCTTCCGCTGCGTCTGTTTAGGACATTCACTGACACTCTTCTCTGCTGCAGACGTCCTGCTTGCCAAGAACAAGGGCTACGAGAAGGATGCGGACGAGATGGAGGTCGAGAAGAAGTAGACGTGCCACTCACTCCCCTCGCATTCACCCGCCCGCTGCAACGGCGGAAGCGCAATTGCTGTACCCTCGTCGTCCGTCTCCCGAGAGGCAAAGCGCGCCCGCTGCTGTTATTTGACTTTTGTCCTAATCGCGGAGGCCCCGCGAGCAAAGCGCACGTTCGTTCACCTCGCTCGCGACCCTCACTTTGCGCTGGGACGGCCTGCTAGAGCTTTGCTGAACTTCATTAGAGCTGCCTGTGCTCCTTGTACCTGCCCGCGTCGGCGTCGACAACCACCGCACCGCTTCGCCTCTTTCCTGCGGACACAACACGATAGCGACACTCGCGCGACCCGGGGCCAAGGCAGACTCGCTAGACTACGCCAGCAGTGACTCGTAACCTACTGCTTGCCCGACCTCACCCCCGGCACGACTTGGCCAGCCACTCTCGCACGCCGGCCGACTGTCGCGATGAAGTATGGCAAGCAGTACCTCGACACGCTGGAGCATGTCCCGGAGGAGTGGAGGCAGCAGGCTATCGAGTATCGCAAGGTGCGCTTCGCAAGATCTCGCCTTGTTGACGGCGGACTGGGCTGACCCACCTTTCGCTCGCTCGCAGCTGAAGAAGGTTATCAACCGCGTTGCGAACGAGTTAAAGGACTTGGGCTTGACGAGCGAGGTGCTCAAGGACTTGCTGAACCAGCAGTCGCCGCAGAAGAAGAAGGATGCGGAACCGGTTCACCAGAAGGCGACGGAGGGAAGGGGCAGCACGCTGAGATGGGCGGATGAGCCAGGGACGTCGGTGGCCCAAGATGAGGATGCGAAGGAAGAGGCGGACGCGAGCATACAGGAGGTGATTGACGAGGCGGAGGGAGTTGTTGAGACGGAGGAAGATCTGCCAGAGGCTGGGAGGGTGCCGCTCGACGCGAAGGGTAAGGGCAAGGCGAAAGCGACGCACAAGAGACGGGTGCGAGCAACCTACGAGCTTGGCGGTCAGTCCCGCACGGCTTCTAGACTAAGCAATGCGACTGACCCGACTTCACTTGCAGGAACGGCTGCCAACCCCGAACCTCGAATCCACCTCGTATTCTCCTCCTGCTCTTCGTCCTCCTACTCCGAGTCTGAGTCGTCCGATCCAGTCCGCAACGACTCGGGCGACGACGACGACAGCTCTCCCGCCAACTTTCTCTTCAAACGACACGCCCGCAAACGTTCTCGCAGTATGAACTCGAACAAAACGCCTAAAGCGCAGATCGTCGAGCTACCTTCGTCGGAAGGCGAAGGGCCCGAAACAGACCCCGACGGGACAGGCGATTTCCCCGAGGCTGCTCATTCCGAAGCGGCGCGGCTAGCGCAGGCGGATGCGGCGCAGACTACGCCCGAGGACAGCGAATCTGGCCGCGCCGAGGGCGACGAGACGCCCCAAACCGAGTCGACGGGTTCGGTGGCGGACGGCCTCAACACGGACGACGACGTCGAGTTCGAAGGAGCTGGGCCGCAGGCAAACGGCTTGCTGCGCCGGATGTACGGCTTCGGGAAGCGGTGGAGCGAGGATGAGGAGAGTCCGGCCATCTACGAACTCGACGAGAACGGCGAGCGGGTACCTGAGACGCCGCCGTCGGAAGAAGAGGAGGACGCAGCGCACGACTCTCGTCCGCTCAGGCGCCAGCTCAGCCAGGAGACGATCAAGAGCTCGTTGGCGGGCATGTCGTTGCGGGACGAGCCGCTCGGCAAGGTTGAGAAGGGCGAGCAGGACCGGAAGAAGGCGAATCGGGCGGAGAAGGTCAAGCGCAAGGTTGAGGAGGCGGATCAAGCGGACGACGAGGGCGACACGCAGCCCGCAAAGCCTGCGAATGGGTGCGCTGAGCTGGCTTGCCTCCTATTGTCCCCAACTGCTGACGCCGCTCGCCTCGCAGAACCACTCATCGCCGCAGACACCGACCACGCCAGCATCGTCGGGAAGTCTACATCCCGCTGAACTCGGACACCGAGTTCCTCACCCTCCTCGCGTCAGCGCTCAACTCGCTCGCGACGCTCCAGCTCGCCCAGAAGCGCCAGTTCACCGAAGCTGTCCAGATCCTCGCCCGCGAAGTCTCGTCAGTTTCTTCGCCCTCTCGACCCAAGACCGACCTCTACATCTGGCGCGAGATCTTCTCGCTCTGGGTCGAGGCGGCCATCTTCGAGTCTTCGCGTGAGCGGGACCGCGGCGAGCGCAGTATCGAGGAGGTAGAGAAGCGCCTCGAGTGGTTCGTCGATCAGGTCGCCAAGCGGAAACTCGCCAAGCGCATGCGGAACAAGGAGAGTCGAGTTGCGCTGGAAAAGTTCGTTGCGCTCAACGTCGAGCTTCTCGATCTCAAGAAGTTCCAGGTTGCGAACGAAGAGGCTGCTCGCAAGATTGTTCGTGTATTTCTCTCGCTTCTCCTCTGCTCAACTCACTCTCCTTGCTCTCGCAGCTCAAGAAGCACGACAAGCGGACAGCGCTCACCGCTTCTCTCGGCTTTCCCAAGTTTATCGCGGACGGCGACGCCTCAAAGCTGATCTCGACTGAGCTCATCCACTCTGGCGACGACGGCAAAGCTCGACCTGTCCTCACCTTGCCCGGCTTCCCATCTCTGCCGCATATTCTCCTCTCCACCTTCACCTCGACCCTCCTCCCGATCATCCCGCAACTCGAAGACTACGAATGCTCGATCTGCGGGGACGTCGCGTTCAAGCCTATCCGCCTCGCCTGTGGTCACAAATTCTGCGGTGCGTCTCGTCGTGCGTGAACGTCAGCTTGGTGTACTGACTCTCGCTCCTCGTTCAGTCCGCTGTCTCGTCAAGATGCAGAAGCGTGGCCAGGACAACTGTCCGCAGTGTCGCAAAGCCGTCGTCCTTCGCGCAAATGCCAGTGCGTCATTTCGCTACCTTTGCGCTCTCGCCTCGCCGTTGACCATTTCCTTGGCGCAGCCAATCTCGATCAGGAGCTTCAGCAGTTCCTCCTCCGCTGGTTCCCGCACGAAGTCAAGGAGAAGGAGCGCAACAACCACAAGGAGTCGGCGCGCGAGGAGCTCGAGGAGATGGGTCTCAAGGAGCACAAGTGCCGGATGATGTAGAGCGTTGCGGGTGCGATTACATACTATTCACACGCCTTCGGGAAGCTTGTATCCTTCCCGCTCGTACTCCTTCAATACCTCGCCAAACGCTCGTCGCACGACCGGTGTAGTCGGCACGACGAGCGGATACGACCCGCGCAGCTTCTCCCGCTCCTCCGCTGTCAGAGGATCGCCTTCTTCCGTGATCGTGGCGTTCCAGCGCAGCTCGAGGATCCGTCCGCGAACCATTCCGTCGACCGCCTTTGCACCGAGCCTCCGACAAAGCGGGAAGTAGGGGAGGGCGCGCTCTTGGCCGGGCTGCAGTCGCTGCATGACGCGCAATAGGTCCGATGAGCGAAAGTCGGAGCCGGAATCGGCGTCGCCGAAAGGAGATGGCGAAGCGTGAGGAGAGGCGCTTCGCAGGCTCGAGTAGATCTGGAACCCTTGCGAGGGGGAGTCTTCGTCGCCGGGAGAAGTGGGTGCGGAATGGATGAGGTGGAGGTTGAGGAGCGAGTGAGCCTGGAGGAAATGGCTGGAGTGGAGCGGAGTGACGACTCCGTCCGAGTTGACGAATTCGTTGACGTAGTCGGACAAGTGGGCGAGCTTGCCGCCAAAGACCGGGTAGACGGAGTCAAAGGAAATCTTGTTCTTCAGCTTGTCAGGGACATGCGGAAGGAGGACCTCGTCGAAGTAGCGTCTAGCCTCATCCTTTGCCGCATCGCCGACGCTGAGGATGCAGGCGTGCTGCATGACGTCTGTGCGAGGCGTCAGCGGTGAGGTCTTTGAAAGCTGGGGGAACGAGTTTGCGAGACGGACTTAGTTGTCTGCGAAGGCGAGTGTCAGCTTCGAGGCTTCGTTTAGAGCGAGAGGCAGGCGCACCTAAGCCAATGGAGGTAGAAGGAGTCGCTCGTCGCATGCAGGACATCTGCGAGAGGATGTGCATCAGCCAATCTCTCGAAAGTTAAATGCGAAGTTGCGCACGACATAGACGGTCTTGCTTCGTCAAGACCAAGACGGCGTCTAGGAAAGCCTTCATAGCATCCGTCGACGATATGAGTGCCGGCAGCTGCAGGAGGAGCGACGTCAGCCGACGTCTCGAAACGACTACAACGACAACCCCATCCCACCTTGTGGGCTTCGTCCAGGAAGAAGACCGGTATCCGCCGCGGAGGCGGCTGCTCCTCCACTTCCTTCTCATCCTCTGTTCCCTCCTTGGCAGCCTCAGCACGCTTCTGCTCCTCCTCTGGCACGCTCCGCGCAGCCATCAAGTCGTCGCCAGGCGACTTGCCCTTTGGTTCAGGTACGCCGCCTCGTCGAAATGCTTGAGCTGTCGTGTCAGGAGCGACTCGGATCCGGGTACCGGCTGCCCTGCGCTCCTTCGAGTCCTCGCGCTCCTTCTCCTTGTCCTCGCCCGGGAGTTCTGGCTTGAAATTCCAGTACGAGAGGAGGGCGCTCTGTCAGTGCGAACTGTCAGCGCAGGTCTGCGATATCATGCGAAAGGAGGATTCTGGGCCGGAAGCGAAGGGGAGCGCACCTGGAACAGCTCGAGCAAGTGGGCGATATCCTGTGCGGACGGTCGAGGTTAGTCCTGATTCAAGCCGGAGAGAACGGCCTACTCACGCTCGTCTTGACCTCTCCGCCGCTCTCCACCCGCTTGCGTACCTCCTGCGACTCGTACTTGAAGGCAAGCGCCTCTCTGGCAAAGTCGTCCCATCCCCACTTCTTCCCAGCCATCAGTTCCGGTATCGCCGCAAAGTACGACTCGAGTTGAGCCGATAGTGAAGAGTGGAGCGAGGCTAGGTCGGCGAAACCGGCGATGCGGAGGTCGAAGTGGAGGACGTGAAAGCGATCTGACGAGAGGACCTGGCGCAACAGCGCGGTCTTTCCAACTGAAGAGGCGCCGAAGAGGACGGTGAAGGCGGGTACGGAGCCGAGGGCCCGCTCCACGGCGCGGATCTCGTTTGGTCGCTCGAAGAACCCGGGCAAGGGGGAGAAGGTGTGCGAGGTCGGGACTGGAGGAGTGAGGTCAGGGACGATCTGAATACAAACAAGGATATATACGCACTCTGTGCCCTCTCTTGCGCCTCTCGCAGCTCCTGGCGAGCCTCCTCGAGCAACTTCTTCGACTCCGTCAACGAACGCAACACCTCCTGCGGATTCGTCAAGACGCCCAGGATCTCGCCCACTCCGAAGAAGCCCCGTCTCGCTCCTTCATGCCTGCGCAAACTGCCACCCGCGTGCTGCGCGCTGTACAGACTGCTCCCCACATGAGCGATCCGAGGACGAGGATAGGCGAGCAACGACAAAGCGCGGGGAGAGCAGACGGGTCGGACAGTGCTAGCAGACGACAGTGTTCTCCGCGCAGGGTGCATACGAGCCGTGCGATGCGAGCGATGGCAAGTGGCGGAGGATGACGAGGTTGAAGGAGGAGCTCGCCAAGCGGAAGTTCGCTCGGCGAACAATCAAGTCCTTAAAGGGTTACTTAGCCGTGTTCCATAGGTCAAGGACGAGCGATGCAAAGGCTACAAGCGGAAGAAGAAGCTGCGAAAGAGGAGGACAAAGGACAGGTGAGAGTACAGGAGGGGTCGTTGGGCGAGAACAGGCGAGAGTAGAGTGTTACATGGCTGCCGGGCGGTCGACAGTGTGGTCGTGACGGCAGACACTGCGACGACGAAACGTCACCTGACGAAGCAGGAGCGAGAGGAAGGAAAGGGACGCACGGGCAAGTTCCCTTCTCCTTCAAGGCAAGCGTGAGGCAGTCTTCGTGGAAGCCGTGGCCGCAACGACCGAGCATGCAGTCGTCGTCGTCCGCATAGTCGTCGAGGCAGATCGCGCAGCGCTCCTCCTTCTCGAGTCCGCGACGAGCGAAGGCTGGCACGTCTTCGTCCATCTTGGTCGCGCTCGTGCTGGCGACGGGAAGCGGCGTCGACGTTGAGGAGCGCTCAGGCATCGGCCACTCGGTGTACTTGAACCTGCGGAGCGCGGCGAGCTTCTCGGCGGACATCCCGCGCGGCTTGGCGTCTCCAAGTCGCTCAGACAGGCGGATCAGGGCTTCGTACGAGGTGTCGAACTCATCGTCGTCCTGCCAACAGAGACGTTAGACGACTTTGGCCACGCGGAACGAACGGTCACGCACGACGTAGTTCCTCGAGTCAAGTGCCGCCGAGTCGCGGCCCCAGAACGACGCGAAGTCGTCGTCAAAGATCGAGATGAATCCGCGTCCTCCGAGACCGCGCAAGAAGTTGGCCAAGCCGGCGCGCCTCCAGCCTGGCGAGCGAGGCAGACTAGCAGGCTCACTCGCAGCTTCGGACCACCCTGCTGGCGCCGAGTCGGGAGGCGAAGTACCGCTGAGCAGGGCGCGCATGGCGTTACGTTCGCGACGAAGAGCTTGGAGGCGCTCGAAGCGGCTTTGACGATGCTGGGCGAGGCGGTCTTCGACCGTCCCTGTCTCCGGCTGTCCCGTCGGAAAAGAGGTGTCGACGGCATTTGCCAGCGTGCCGGTGCCCGCATGTCGCCGACGCAGGACGGCGTCGCCGGACAAGGTGGAGCGAGAAGTGCCGTCGGAGCTGGCGCGAGTCCCAAAGTGAGCGAGGGCGTCGGCGAGGGAGGAACGTCGGGGCGGAATGCGGGAGTTCGGGTATCGCTCGTTGGCGGAAGGGGCTGGAGCTTGGGCGGAGTCGTCGGAGGCGGCAGGCGGAGCGAAGTCGCCGAACGGGTTGAAGCGAGAGCCGGGTGTGCGCCGCGGCACCGGTTCGTCCCAAGGCATGCGCGCGCGAGACCATGTCGAAAGGCGAGCAGGCTCGTCATCGCGAGGCGAACTCTGCAAGCGAGTTGTCAGTCGAGTGAGAGGGAGAGGACGCGGCTATGACGCACCAGCTCGAAGAGGTGATCCGGACCGAACCGAGTTAACGACGCTCCTGACCTTTGTCGGTCCATCGCCTCGCTCGCAAGCGGCTCATCGCGTGCGTACGACGTCTCCGTCCTGTCCGAAGCTCCGGCTGGGTTTGCCGGGTGCGGGAAGACGACTCGGCGGCCTTCGCTCCCGCTGGGCAGCATGAACGGGCCCATCGGTGCGGCGAGCCAGTCGGAGGGAGGCGCCTCGTCGGGCTCATCGAAGAGAACGCGCGGGCGAGACGACGAGCGAGAGGAGTTGGGCTGAGGGAGGCGGAACGCAGGTCGTCCGAGAGGGGGAGCAAAGCGTGCCGGAGTTGTCGACTCGCCCGCTGCACCTTCTTCGGCGGCGTTGAGCGCGCGAGTCGACATCATGCCGTCGATGTCGTTGCGCATCCTCCTGCTTCGCGGACTCGGACTCTCCTCTCGGCGCCGGAAGAAGGCGTCGGCTGTCCCGCGAGAGATGCCGTCGTCGAGAGCGGGAGGGCTCGGTCGCACAGTCGTGACAGCAGGTGTAGTCGGCGCAATGGTAGACTGGCGACGCCAGGGCGAGAGGAAGGGGCCTGTCGCTGAGGTCGTCGGGGTCGTAAGGCTCGCCGTTGAGAGAGGCTGTTCGCCGCGCCTCCACCGCTCGTTGGCGCGCTCAGTCGGTCCGCGGAGGCGGCGGAAGCCGCGGTGCGACGAGGCTTGCGGCGATCCGGGCTCTCCCCAGAGCGAAGACGAGGGCTGAGCTTGCGAAGTCGTTCCGTGAGGCGGCGAAGCGAGCGGAGCAGACGGGCGCAAGTCAAGATCCTGGACGACACGGCGACGTTCGAGAAGGTGACGGTTCAGTCGTGCTGCTTCGGCTGCCTCGAAGTCTTCGTCGAAGCTGGATCCGACCAAACCTGAGACGAGTGGTGGGGACGGAAGTGTCCAGCTGCGCAGGGTGGTAGTCGAAGAATCGGTCCTGGCGAGGCTGAGGCGAGATTCGCCTACTAGTCCATCTTCAGGCGGCGAGACGGCCGTCGAGTTGCGCGAGAGGCGAGGGCGGCGAGCGCGGAGCTGCGTGATAAACTGTCTCGCCCGATTCGAGGCCGACGAGGAGGAAGTCGAGGCGCCGTCCGGACTTTGCGGCTCCTGGATGGACGGGTTCGGCGAACTGAGCGGCGAGGAAAAGCTGAACCGGCGACGGCGAACGGGTGGAGGCTGCGACGATGGCGGCGACTGAGGCGCCTCGAAGGTCGATGCCGTCGCATGGGTCGGCCGAGGGAGCCAGCCTTCGCCCAGACGCACGCCGACAACTGGTCGTCCGCCCAGCGCTTCCTCCGGCATGGGTAACCCTCCAACACTCGGCAACCGTTCTGCGACGCGCCTCTCCCTGTCGCGCTCCCTCGACGCCTCGGTCCTTCGGATCTCCTGCGACGCCCGCCCGAACGTCTCGTCCGCCCGCCGCAAGACGCTCGCCGCTTCCCTCAGAAGTCCTTCGCCACGGGTCGAGAGGTCGCTCGATCGCCTTGCGTGCAGCGTCATTCGACTCGAATGCTCGAGGAGGTCGACTGAAGATGCGGAAGTCGAGTCGAGATGAGTCGACGGGCTGTCGACAGGGCGAGTAAAGATCGGGTTGCGGACGAGAGGGAAGACCTCGCGAGACGCGCTTGGCGGCGACATTGGCGCCGGGTCTTGCAGAGCCGCGAACGGAGGCTGCCGTTCCTCCCGTGAAGGCGAGTTGCCGAGCCAGTTCAAGCTGAGCCTTGCGCGGCGGCCGATCGTGCGGAAGTCGCTGTGGCCGGACGACTCGACGTTGGAACTGTTGGAACGTGAGAGGACGGGCTCAGCGGGTGCGCGGGAGCTCGAGTTGGCGGAGATGCTAAAGTTGCCGAGCCATGGGGCGATTCGGGTGCTGCGACGATTATCGGCAGAGTCCTCCGACAGGAGCGTGCTTGACCTGCGTCGCTTGCTGCCGCCTCGCTCACGATCGAGTTGGGCGGTCGGTGCTTGTGCGGGAGGTGCGGCAATCGGAGGCGCTTCGGTAGACGTTGGCGGTCTTGTGCGTCGCCGGAGGAGGCTCATCGAGGAGAACCGTCCACCGTGAGCGGACGTCGCCGGCGCAGTAGCCGATACCGCCGATGTGCTCGTCGTTGGTTGTGCACGGTCCTGGTCGTGCGAGAACGAGCTTCGCCAGCGCATCGCAAGTGACGGCCTGCGAGTCGGCTCGACTATGCCCTCTTCCGCCCGTCGCAGCCAGGCATCGCCATCGCGTGGCTCGTCTCGCGGAAGAGTCAGGTCAAGAGAGAGACTCGGTGGCGAGAACATGCCGACATCGGTGTCAAAGTCGTACGAAGCTGGCGGCGTCAGACCAGTCGAGGGCGAGACGTTGGAGTGCCTGCGCTTGTGTGCGACGTGTGAAGTTGGGTCGCTCTCGGCGAGAGGGATAGATCCAGTGGACGAGGACGCATAGCGAGCCCGAAATGAGCGGGTGATGGGGGCTGAGGTACTGAACGGGCCAGAAGGCGGAGTCGGAGGTTGAGCCAAACTGCAAGAGAAGGACCCGTTTGCATTAGCGTCTACTGTATCGCGACCTAACGTCAAATCTGGCGACGCACCTGGAAAGCGCAAGTGCCGTCGTTTCGTCGGACATGCCAACATCGCCTTCCTCTCCGCTCCGCCCGAGTCCAAGATCGCCTTCGTCTTGGACGCCGTCGAACGCAAACGGTGGCGTATTTCCCCTGCCTCCCTCGCCTCCGTCGCGATCAGCTGACTCGCTCTCCGCCGAAGACTCTGCCACGTCGCACTCGCGGGCGGCATCGTTGCTCTGCGGCGAGATGTGCATGTCAAGACGGCTTGTTGAAGTGGGTAGCGAGGCTGGCGGAGTTGGCAGCATTGCGCCGAGCGCAGTCATCTCGGTGTCGGGAGAAGCTAGTGGGGTAGGCCGTCTGTCGCAGGTCGCAGAGCGTCCGGCGGGTTCGGGGAGTGGCTTCTGCGGTGGATTAGGAATATCTGAAGGTGCAAGCGGGACGACGGAGGCGTTTGAGCCGAGTGAAGAGGCGTGCGAGGCCATCTTGTCTCCTCGGACTGATGAAGATGGGCGAGGTGAGGGCGTCCACACAGCGCTCGGCAGGGGTCGACGCTCAGCTGGTGACCCTCGATGAAGCCTCTGATTGGATGTTCCGCAAGCGCACGACGACTGGGTCTGGGGCAGGGCGAGAGTGAGGGGGTGTCGGGTCGTGCGGGAGGCGAAGGGCGTGAGTTGGGGCTCGCGCGCGTTTGGACGACTGGCGGACGGCCTGGCGAGCCTTGCTACGGCGGCTCAAGACCTGATTCGAAGCAATCGAGCAGAAAGAGTGAGGAAGCAAGTGGGGTGGCGAGCGATAGGAGCGAAGGAGGGAGAGGTCGTCGTTGGCATGCAAACGACCTCTGCCTGTTTGCGGTTTACTTGAGCCGTTGGAGCCTCTCGTGACAGTCTCGGACAATGTCCAGCCAGACGGAGCAAGAACGACGTTCTTCGCTCCTCGCCTCGAACGGTTAGGCAACAGCGCATGCCTTCCAATGCCCGTCTAAGCCGTCCTGCATCCCGCTCAATCCAGCCTGAACGTCCTAACGCTCCCGTCCTCGCTGCCACTAACCGCGACCCGGCCATCCCTGCTGACGCTGACGGCGTGGACGACATCCTTGTTGCCGAGGAGAGTGCGCAAGCACGAGCCGGTACGGTAGTCCCACAGCTTGAGCGTCTTGTCTGCCGAGCCGGTGAGGAAAGTCGGAGTATGAGGTGAGAAAGAGAGGGAGGTGACGGCGTCCTGCACGTCAGAACGGGTGAGCTACTTGTCCCACCGCCGCTGAGGACCGTCCCGCCGACGACCGCAACGAAAGCGGTACCGCGGGGGTAGAAGAGAGATTGAGACTCACCTCGTGCGTCCCCGTATTCCGCAGCCTGAACCCGCTCGCCTCCCAGGTACAGACCCTGCCGTCCGTCCCAACGCTGACAATGACAGTCACACTCGCGCCGCTCGCGCCCCCAATCGTCGGAATCTCGTTGAAAGCGACCATCTCGATACTCGCGCCCTCCTCGTGCCCCTCCATCTGCGCCAAGACGCTACCCTGCACCAGGTTGACCGCCCGCAATCCGCCTTCGGCGCCGCCGAGGACTGCGACGGTCGAGGCGGGGTTGATAGCGAGACAGTTGATGCCGCCTTCGAGGCGGAAGCGGGCGTCAGAGGGGGACAGCTTGTGGACGGGCTGGCCGGTTCGAGGATCCCACAGGATCAAAGTCGAGTCCTCCGATCCGGTCAAGATCTTCTTGCCTGCGGAACGAAGTAATGGTCAGTCCAGCAGTTGATCCGAACTGTGCGAGTGCAACACACCATCAGGCGTGAAACGGCCGCAAGTGACGGGAGTGGTGTGGCCCGAGAGGACGTGCATCGTCTCGCCTGATGGGACTGCTCAATCATGCACATTAGCAGGCGCTCCACGACCGAGCAAAGGAATCGCACATACGATTCCACAGCCAGACAGTGCCGTCCGCTCCTCCTGCGAGCAAGACGTTGCCCTTCGGGTGCCAGTCGAGCCACTGCAGGTGAGAACAAGCTTGTTAGAAGTTCGCTCACGCTCTGAACAATAAGCGCTGATCGAGGGAACGTACGTTGACCTCGTCCGGACCTTCCAAGCCGATGAGGAATTCCCAGCCCGCTTCCTCCCAAGGCATGTCGCTGCTGGGTCTCCGCACCTTCCACACGCGCACCTTGCCGTCCATTCCACCCGTCGCCACAAGGCCGCCGTCGTGGCTCCACCCGACGCTCGTGACGGAATCGGTATGGCCCGAGAGTTGCGCGACCTGCGCGCCCGTGTCGGTGCGGAAGACGTACGCCTGGTCGTCCTCTCCGCCCGAGACTGCGAGCGTCGCAGCGAAAGGGTGAATGGCGAGGCAGAAGACCGCGCCCTCCTCTGCGCGGTGAAGCTGGGCGACCGCGACCGAGTCGTCGAGGCCGTTGTCGAGCATGTCCATCGCATCGTCTCGCTCTCCGCTCGTGCCCTGCCCATCTGCGTCCTCGTCTCCCTGCATGTCGTCATCGTCGTCCGACTCGACCGCCATCTGGTCGTCGCCGCCGACCTCCTCGACCTCGAGCACATCGTCCTCCGTCAAGAACTCGGGTCCTTCCTCATCTTCGTGGCCAGGTGCGGGCGGCACAGGCTGGACAATCTCGTCGGACATGACGGCAAGTGGCTGGGGGGCTGGCGAGGGTTCCTCAGAGTCGATGCGCTGATGACAGAATCCGAGCTGGAAGAGGTGGAGCAAGCGTCGGCGTGATGGCTGAGCGGGTCTGGCGGGTTTGCGTGGTTTTGTAGCGCTGTCCTGAGAAGCCTAGCCGGTCACAAGCAAGTTGGAAGCGACAGCCAGGTGGTGGTGTCCTCCAGAGAGCGAGGTTGCCCTCGTCCTCATCAGCTCGAACGCGACGACACCGCTTGGAGGGCTGCTTGCTGGTCGAGTATGGTCATACTAAGGCGTAGATCCTGCTCCAGCACCGGCGCATCTTGCCTGAGCCGTGTTGCGCAGCTTGCTCCCGCTGCTCTCTCCCGGACTTGAGACTCCGCTTTCTCGTGCACACAGCCGACTAAGCCAGCGAGCAGTTCCTGGGTCGCCTTCCGTCCGCGACCGCCCAAGCGCATCCACAAGTCACAGCGTCTCTCGCACTGTTGACGGATCTCGCCTTCGCCTTGTCGCGGTTGCTCCACGGAGCACGGGTCCGCCGGAGCTCTGCTCGGGACTTTGACAAGCTCGATGTGCCCTCGTTCTCGCCTCTCTCCCTCGTGAACCTGTCCCTAGCCCAGCCCATCATTGCCTGTGGTCTGGCATGAGCGCCGTCACGCAGACTAAAGCCCTGCTACCGACATGGCTGCGCTGCTTGCTTCCAGCGGAATCGACAGGCGAGCTCTCCGGCAAGACCGTCGGGCTCTTCCAGCACTACAAGCGGTGGAAGGCCGCTGTCTTTGCGGTGTTCGATGACGACGAGTACTGGTGTTCGCTCAGCGACACTTCATCCAGCGTCGTCCAGGCCGAGCTCCGTGCGATCCGCTCGCACATAGAGGAGGACGGAAAGCGCGTCTACGCGGCGGTGATCCGATCTAAAACGCGCAGCGTATCTGAGTACTACACCCTTCTTACGCGCGTGGTGGTGAGTGCTTGCGGCTCAGCGCTTCAGCCCAAACATACTGAACGATATAGCCCTGCAGCTTGGGGACGACGAATTCGATCGGGTTATGGCCGGCACTGTGGACGTCGGCAACCGCACCCCGGCTCTCGGTGAAGCGTACGGCCAGATTCTGCTCGCGCAGGCCTCGGAGGCAAGCTTGTCCTGCTCACTCTTGTAGCAATCATGCTAATCAACGCGCACTTTAGGACGGCCTCCTTGTCAGGCTTACCATGATGATGAAGCTCTTTTGGGACGCGGACGCGAACGTGCAAAAGCTGGTCGAGCGCTGGCACGAGGATACAGCAGCCGCTGTGCGGCCGCACCTTGCGGATCCGCACGACCGGGCACGCGTGTTCACACGGTGGGAGCATGCGTACGCGCACCTCATGAGGTACAAGTCAAGCCCTTACAACATGGGTCCCGCTGAGCTTTACAGACACCTGGTATGCTTCTCCCTCCGTGCAGCCTGGATGTCTGACTCACAACCGTCTTCTTCGCTTGGCAGCCCACTGCGGACACTCTTCTTCAACACCTTGTGCGGTCCAGTCTCCTCCGTCTCTTGCTGACTCGCTGACCCTGCTCGCACGTCCAACTAAAGCCTCTCATTGAGAACGGCAGAGGACACGGCTGCCATATCTGTGATGCCGAGCATGCTCAACACAGGCAATACAGAGGTCAGCAGGTGTGTCGAAGACCTTCGCAGCTTCCTGTCAGACCGTCGCTGACTTTCTCTTCCCAGTACTCGCTCGCTCGTCGCTACCCTCGCTCATGCTTCTTCCCGGAGGCGCGCTCGCTTGCGCTCGGAAGGTCGTCGCGGTTCTGAGCGGAGGCATGTCGGATTGACTGTCGTACCTTTCCTCCGCGATGCCTCGAATGGCGACTGCTCCTCTCCTCCCACTTTCCTCGACTCTGTTCTCCCTCCCTCCCACTTCCGCTTCCACTCTTGCTGTCATCCGTCTACTGTCCTCCGAGCCTTGCAACGTGCTGGTACTGTAGTCGCGGTCAAGTTGCGTCGTCCTCCGTTCGCTCCGCTTCAATCGTGCCTTGCTCCTCCCTCGCTTCCACTGGCCACACTGCGTCGCAGACAGTGCCCACAACTTGCTCTCGCGCTCGCTTTGCGCAAGATTACGGACGAGTCTGGCTGCGGGACACCGTCGATCCCTCTCCTCGTCAACTTCGCTTCCTCACACCGCTGAAGCAGTCGCGCCGCCTCATACGCTGCTAGAACGAGCTCTGTTTGACCGATACACGCAGCCAGCGCAAGTCTCGAGCCGCCTGTTCCCCCCCTTCCCCACCTTCACCTCCTCATCGCACGCAACTCTTTCTCCCGCGCAACACCCTCGCAGCGATGGTCGACTACCGTGGCGCGACCGTCGAGGATCTCCAGGTGCGCAACAGCTTCATACAGACCTCACCGTGTTGTGCGAGGTTGACACGGACCTCTCTTCGCCTCGACCCAGCTCTCGCCCGCCCTCGTCTTGCCCGTCTCCACCTCGATTGGAACCGCCCTGCAGCGTGAGTTCCATCGAGCGTGTTTCGCAGGCTCACGGCGAGCTGACCCATGTGCTCCGTGCAGTCGCTTTCGAGCGGGACTTTAGGTGAGTCCTCCCTCTCCCGGTCGAGGAGAAAGCTCGCAGAGACAGAACCCCGCGAGTGCTCCCAAACTGACCACTCTCGGACGACCGCGCAGCATCCTCCCCCTCCACTCCCCCTCTTCCCGCGCCAACCTCCTCGGCTGGCTCTCCATCGACGAGCTGAAGCCGCTCGCAGAGCAAGGCAAGATCGACCTTGACGCGCCCTTGAGTGTCTTGATGGAGGGCGGTGCCGACAATGAGGCGGTGAACGGGACGGGAAAGAAGCCGGTCAAGGAGTTCAAGAAGGGGAGGAAGTATGAAGGTGTCTCGGCCGCTCTCCGCTCGCCCAGCCGTACACTGACACGACTCTCACGCAATTGCGCGCAGTCATTACCCCGTCGACACCACTCGAAGAGCTCGAGACGTTCTTTGCGCGGCAGAAAGGTCCGGGAGGAAGCGGCGCTTTCTTTGCGCTTGTGACGGATGCTGGTGCGTGCCGCTCTCGCTCATTCGTCCGGAACCGCTATCTGACCTTCTATCGAGCGCAGGACGGAAGTTCGTGCTCGGCGTCGTGACGAGCGAGGACCTCCAGAAGTTCGTTCCTCTCGCTAATCCGCTTCCTCGACCTCTGGTGCCGCCGAACAAGCCTGCTGACGCTGCTACGCTCGCAGGTTCACCCACCGACGCTTCCCCTCCAACCCAGCACCCGCGCAATCGAACCCGACCGTCGCCCTCCCCCCTTCTCTCGCAGGATCCGCCGCAGCAACGGCACAGCCTCTAGCCGTCTAGTCACAGCATGTACACATCCCGCAATGCCGTCTCGTTTTGCTCAACTCGTTCGGGCCCCGCCGCGCCTGCTTCGTCCCCTCTACGCCTCTGGCATCTTCCTTGCGCGCGGCTATATATTGACGGCTCGCTGATGAAGCGTGATCTCTCCCTTCCGAACACTCGCTCATCACCACATTCGCGCGGCCTGTCGAATCGGTTCTGCGGTAGGTGGTCAAGGCTCGACGGTCCGCGGACATCCCGCTTCTACCGCCAGCTTCGCGCCGGCTCGGTTGCTCTTTCTGCCTCTTCTTCTCGCCTTCCTTTCCGTCTCACTCGATCACCGGACGAAGCGCCTCCACAGCTCCTACGGCCACTCGTCATGCCCGTGCGTCGCATTTCCTTCCTCCCTTCGCCTACCTCGCTGAATTCCCCTCTCACCTCTACAGCGCCGTGCACCCAATTGGACCGGCTTTCAACAGACTGTCGGCGACGTCCTCGCGGCCTACGGCGCCCACGGCCAAGGTCTCTCGCAATTCGCGCCCGGCCGACAATTCAAAGTCGGCGTCCTTGAGGCTACTAAGGACGGATGGGCCAGTCTTGACCGAGCTCATCGTGAACGTGTGATCGAGCGTATGGAGAAGGACGCAACAAGGGTGCAGGCCCTCTTCAAACGCTTGAGCAGGGAGAGTTCGGAGTATCCTCGGCCCGCAGCGTGCTTCAGGTCACTGGTCCGCCTGCCTTTCGCATCTTCCACATCGCCTACACTGATGCCTTGAAATCTACAGCTTGGCGATGCGGAATATAACCGGCATGGCAGCTCGAGGTCCTATAAAGACCTCGGTGAGGCTTACGGTCTCATGCTCCTTCGCGGCGAGGGTCCCGTATGTTTTGAGCTTCATCGGAGAGTCTCGAGTTTGTATTCCTGACGCGGGCTGACCATCGGTCCTCGGCAGGCGACCAACGACGAGGCAACGGTTGTCGCTCCTCCCCAAGTCGCGATGTCTTCCTCTGCTTCCGCTTCTTCACCTCGGAGACCTTCCGCCTCGAGTTCCCGACCTCCGTCCCACGCTCAGCCTCCCGAGTACCTCCCGCCCACCCATCCGCTGCCTCTCACAGCCCCCGAAGCTCTCGAAGAGGCCCACATACCGACACTCGACCTCAAAACGACCCCGTCTGACCTGCTGTACACCTTTGGCGCCAACCGTTTCCTGCAGACGGTCTACGCCTACAACTTCCTCGAGGGTCTGAAGACCGTCCTTCCCGGCGACAAGTGGGCGCAGCTGATGGAGGCTCCCGGCTGCGGAGACTGTCAAGCTCCGTTTGAGCGCGTACAGCAGGACTCGGAGAAGCTGGAGCAGGCGTGGGAGACGACCCCGCACATCAAGGGAAGACCGGCTTTCAAGGCTATGAGTGAAGTGCTGGTACGTCTCGCCCATCGCAAGGCTTGCACTTGATGATAGCTGATTGCCCGTTCTCAGCTCGGTCAACTTGTCACTGTCGGCGTCTTCAAAGAAGCTGTGGAGCAGAACAACGCCGAGATTATTGGCGAAGCCTATGCCGTCATGCTTGCAAGCCTCGCCGTGGACAAGGTGATTGTCAGTCTTCCGCCGCTCCCGGTCGTGGTCGTTGCCTGAACTGAGCGGTCGTCGTCAACAGCGTCTGCCGTCCCTCCGCGACCTCGCTTTCCGTCGCGTACGCTAGACATCTCGCCGTATTAAGCCTATCATCACTTCCGCTGACATTCAGTTGTCCTCCAGGGCCAGATTTTGTCCTTTGCGTTCGAGTCCCTCGGCGCTGTTCATCCGCATCGCTCGTCGCCGTTCCTTCCGGTACCTCGCGCTGCCAGGTGGTGACGTCCCTCGTAGACTCGTCCCTCGTAGACCCCGCCTCCGCGCTCTGTATCACTCTTCACGTCCGTTTCGCGAAAGCTCGGCATTCTCGGGAGCACTTTTCGCGGAAGAAGCGAAGGCGAAGCATGGCTTGGACGCAAATGATGCCCTGCCGGAACAGCGAGAGCGCCAGATCGTCCTGCCTATGCCTGCAACTCTCCACTGGAACAGCGACAAGGCTGCGCAAGCTGAAAGAGTGGCGAAGCGGATCGACTGATGAGGTTGGCGAGGGTGCGAAGAGAGACGAGGACGGCGCTCGGAAGCTGGGCACAGGCGCACGCAAGATCCGTGAGCTCTTGAAGACAGCTTGCGAGGCACCACCGCGCTCACGATGCGTCGAGGGTGTATGGACGACCCGCAAGAGGCCAACGTCTCTTCCTCGAGGACCACTCGTTGCAAGCGCACTCGACTCATGCTGAAGACGCTGTGACGTGCCAGACCTCTCTCAAGAATGCTATACCCCCCGCGACTCCCCCTCTGGGCCGTCCCAGCGTCCTCCCGGCCCTCCCGCCTACTCCCCACGCTGCACCTCACCGTACCCTTCGTCCTTCTTTTTGACCTCGGGATCCTGACGACGTTTACGCTCATACTACTCACACTGCCCTTCGCCTACCTCCCACCAACGCGATTGGCGTACCTTGCGGCGGGAAAGGCGACATTCGGGCGGGTTCTGACCCTGATGGTCCAGTGGTTCTCGCCCACGGAGCTGGTGATTAGTGCAGGAGAGGGGATCGATGCGGCGAAACTGGTGGAGCGGGACCAAGACGGCCGGGTACGGAAGGTGAACTTGCCGACGAAAGGCGTCTGGGTGCGCATTGATCCTGTTTCATTCTACTCTCTTTCGACACTGACTGGTCCAGCGCTGTGCAGATCTCCAATCACACAACGCTCGCCGACTGGCTGTACCTCTGGGACTTTGCCTACCTCGCAGATCACTCCTCGAGCATCTACATCGCCCTGAAGTCCTCGTTGCGCCAGATTCCGATCATCGGCTGGGCAGCCAGCTGGTTCGGCTTCATCTTCCTCGAACGACGCTGGGCGTTGGATAGGGCGCCTTTCCGCCGCCAGCTCAAGCGGATCGCGCAGGAAACGAACCGCGGCGGCAAAGACCAGAAGCTTGCGCTCCTTATCTTTCCGGAGGGTACAATCGTGACGGCGAACACTCGAGGCATCTCCTCGAAGTTTGCCGAGAAGACTGCTGGTGCGCGCTTCTCAGCCTGTCCCCTGCTGCGCAGGCTTAATTCTCTCTGCGCAGTTTCCGACTACGAACACGTGCTCCTGCCCCGCTCGACTGGCCTGTTCTTTGCGTGAGCTCGCACTTCGCTCCATCGGACAGCTCCGACTCTGACGACCGGTCATCGCAGACTTCGGCAACTCGCCCCTTCCATCCCGAACCTCTCGCTCGTCGACCTCACGGTCGGCTACCCTCTTCCCCGCCGATCACCTCCCGCAGACGGGAAGCCCGCCTCGCCTCTCTACGCATCCGACTACTACACCCTCCCCTCGATCCTCCTCTCGCACGTCCCCCCGCCCGAACTGCACGTCCACATCCGCGCCTTCCCGGTGTCGTCCATCCCGCTCGGCGACTTGAGCACGATGGAGCACAACCCGGACGACGAGGGTTCGGAGGAGGAGAAGCGGGCATTTGAGGAGTGGCTGCGGAAACGGTGGGAGGAGAAGGACCAGCTGATGGAGAGGTTCCGAACCAAGGGCAGCTTCCTCGAGGAGCCTCGGTCGCACGGGTCGAGGGGAGCGGCTGAACAGGACGAGGACGAGGACGACGAGGATGAGCGGAGACCGGGGGAGCATGTCTGGCCCATCCGCCTCCGACACCCGCTCGAACCGCTCCTCGCCTTTTCCCTCTTCCTCCCCTTCCTCGCCCTCTACGGCATTTGGCGAGGTCGCTGGGTCGCAGCGGGTTTGCTTGTAAGCGGTTTGAGGTACGCCGTCGGGCGAGGCGGCGAGGCGGCGGCAACCAAGTCGTGCGGGTGCGGTAAGATGGTGGTCAAGACCGACTTGTAGACCTCTACATATCGTATCTATCTCGTTTGCCGGACCGCTCATTCTGCGGATGGATGCTGCCAATACTGCTTGTCTTCCAATGGCTCAAGTCTACACCTCGCCCAGCCGTCTAATCATCCTCTCCCCTGCCCCTGAAAGCGTTCAACGCTCCCTGACCTTTCCGTAGTCGCTCAGTGTTGACCTTGAGGACGTCGACGCAACGGTTCATGTACAGCCGCGAGAGGCCGGACATGTGCGGGGTGAGAACAACGTTTGGGAGGGTGTAGAGAGGGTGAGGGGAAGGGAGGGGTTCGGGAGTCGTGACGCTGCGCGAGGGGGGTGGGGGAGATGAGCCATCGAAAGCAGGGGAAGCGAGGTCCAGCAAGGACGTACTCGAGGCTTGCGCCACCGATTCGCAGAGTGCCCGTCGCACTCTCATCCTCGTCTTCGCCCTTCTTTGCCTGCAACGCTTCAACCAACGCATCCTGATCCGTCGTCGTTCCCCTCCCAATGTTAACGTAGATCGCATCGCCCTTCATCGCCTTCAACTCCTCCTTGCCGACGAATCCTCGAGTTGCCGGACTGTCGGGAAGGGTGTTGACGACGACGTCGCAAGTCGAGAAGAACGAAAGTGTGGAAGAGCGAGAAGAAGTGGAGAAGTATTGCTCGGGGAGTGAGCCGGTCGGGTCGCCCGTTCCCTTGATGATGTAGCCAGACTCGGGCGTGGGCGTGCCGCCGCGTGTGAGGGCGTAGATGGTTGAGCCGCACGAGTGGAAAAGACGAGCCGTCTCGCGGCCTGCAGGAGTGTACGGTGAGCGAGCCTGTCAGGCAGAAGCGAGAGTAGAGGCGTACCGATGTGCCCATAGCCCATGATGCCGACCTTCAACGTGTTCAAATCGCGAATGAACTGCCCTCCAAGCTCCTTGTGCGGCACCCAGCGCTGCTCGTTGTGCAGGGCGACATTGAGGTAGGCGAGCTTGTGCGTAAGCATGAGAACCTTTTGAGGCGGTGCATGTCAGCTAGCGTCCGGGAGATGCTGCTGGACATGCTCACGGTTCCAAGAACGTGTTCGCCGATGGTAGAGCTGCGCGAGAGGTGAAGCGGGTCAGGGCTGTCCGTCGACATGAAGCGAGAGTGAGGTCGCAACGCACACGTGGATCCCGCTCGCGCTCGCAAAGATGACGTCGGCGTCCTCAGGAATACTCTTGAAGTACTCGGTATCCGTCACATGGCCGTATCCCGCCGAGCAGCCCTGGAACAGCTTCAACCGCGGCGTCTGCTTCCAGTCCTTGAGGTTGAACGGGATCTGGAAGCCGAAGAGGACGTCGGCCCGCTTGTAGTCGTCGTCCGTAGGGAGCGGATCGGAATCGTCGCGAGGAGCAAAGGGCGTGATGGGGTAGTACAGGACGTCGTCAAAGGTGGATCGGAGGTCGTCAAGGAGAGGCGCGGCGAGAGGACCGTAGACGAGGACCGTCTTGAGCTCGACCTTGTGTGCAGTCATCGTGTGGGTCCACCACAGCGTCGGCGAGGTTACTGGAGGCCGGGAACCGTGCGAGCCGTCGCTGACTGATGAGAAAGAGCGGAGGAGAGGAGCGAGACAACGCTGGGCTGAGGGCGGTTCGGATGCGGTGACAGCGATTCGTATAGCTTGTCAACTCAGTCTCAGCACTTGCGGAAGCAGCCAGACGAGGTGACGAGGACGAGGACAACCTGAGCCGACGGCCTCTCTTCCTCCCGCCGCTCACTTCGGAACGCTCGGGAGGCTGCTGCTGCTGAGCGCACTGCGAGTCGCACATACACGATGCTCAGATGATGCTACGCCGCGCCGCATCCGCCGCCTCTCTTCTCGGCTCTCCTGCGAGATCCACGGACGTTCCGGCTCGCTACTTTTCTCCAAGGCTCCCTTTGCACGCGAAGGGCGCTCCTTGATCCTCATTCTGATCCTACTCCGACTGAGCACCCGCCGAGCCGGTCTCGCCCCTCGGCTGGGTTCCCTCGACTCGACTCTGCCTCGACAGCTCTCGCGCTCTTTCACCAACGATGCGGTTCAGCTACCCGAGTCTCGTCAAGCGCGTCGGACTTCTGTTGAATCAAGCGTCGAGGCTTAACTGGACACCGGAGGGTCAGGCATGGAAGAGCGGCGTTCTTTCTGTCGCATCCGAGGCGTGGCTTGCTGAACTAGCTGATCTGCCCGGATTTGCGGCGCGCACGAATGACCTCAAGGTGCGAATTGAGCGGGATCGATTGGCTCTTCAGCACGCCGAATCGACTGTTGGCGGCTACACGTACGGTCTGACCTTTGGGATGTTCGCCCAAATACTGGTGCGTCCAGCTTCGCACTCCGGCTCAATTCAGGGCGCTGACGGATTCCTTGCAGATCGGTCACGCCATGTACAACGCGGTCGTGAGCGTTCAAGGCGAGCTGAGCGAGGCAGAGCGTCTCGGGATCGAGTACGGAAAGCTGCTCGTCGATGTCTGCGTTGGGGTCAGGCTGCCGACTTCTTTGTTCGAAATGCTCCTTCGCTCATATTGTCTGCTGTACACAGGTCACCATTCAGGACCTGGACCACGGACTCCTTGGCCTGCTCAACCTCGTGGAACCGGCCGGTCTGGCGTGGTACCAAACGACGCCTGACAAAGTGCGGCACGCGTGGCCATACTTGTCTCCAGATGCTCGGTACCACGTCATTCGTCGCTGCGTCCACGCCTACAAGCACATCGCCGAGTACAAGCTGGGGCACAATAACTCGCCACAAATACTCGAGGAGCACCTGGTGAGCGCCGCTTTCTTCGTTTGCGTACGCGATCCCTCAACGCTATAATGTATCATGATCGCATAGCCCACTGCGGAGACTCTTCTCGGCTCGGTTCGTCAAGCATGCGTATCCACTCGTTCCTCGCTTTTCGCTAACTCGATCTCCTTAACAGCTCCCGCTCATCACGTGGCACGACAATATCCCGGACTGTGTATTGTGTGCCAAGGAGTACGGCGTTCCTGCCGTGCGTTCTCACTAACTCCGTTCACTGCCGTCACGTCCGCTCATTGTCTTCCGCTTTGGCCAGCGTTCTCGTCCACGTACTGTTCCCTCGCAGCACTCACTTGCTATTTGGACGTCTCGGTTCTTCCCTCGAGCTCGCGCCAGCATAGCGAGGCAGATGCGGACGTTCTGAGCGCCGCAAAGTCATCGACCGGTCGACCTTCCCAAGCGCAAGTCTTTTCTTCGCACGTTCGCCCTCCTTTCCCACATCTGCGCAGTCCAGTAGACCTTCCAGTCACTGCAGTCGCCAGTCGCCCCTTCACCCGCGTCTATAACGAGGGAGGAAGCGCGAAGATAGAGTGTGTGAGAGAGACGGGTGACTGGTTGACGAGGGGAAAGAAGCGAGACGAGACCAGCCATCAGCCCGTAGCATTCTCTCGCAGCGTTCTGCACACTCGCTCCTCTGCCCAAACGCGACGGCGGAAGCAAAAGTCGGGGAAGAGAACGACCGAGTTGTTACAACAAGACTCCCTCTCTATCCCCTCGTCGTCGAAGCAGCCAGTCCGGGCGAGACCCGCTTACTTCTTGGCCTTGACGGGGCCGTCGACGTCGTTGACCTTGAGCGTAGGCGGGAGCGACTGGCGGAGCTTCTCGGCCTTGTCGGCCTTGTTGAGCAAGGTGTAGCTGGGAAACGAGGACGAGTAGCAGCAGATTAGACTGAAGCCGTTCAGAGTCCGCACGCAGCGCCGCCATGTTCCGATGCATATGCGATCCGCCCTGCACAGGTGGAGACGAGAAACGCTGGTACGTGTGCGACGAGCTGAACGCCAAGGTGTCGGGAGGTGGGGACTGCGAGGGGATCTGAGACGGCGGGTGCTGGGGTGGCGGCTGCTGCAGTGGAGGCGGTGAGCGTACTGCTAGCGGTCCGCCGGACATACTGGCCGGTTCGAGCTGGCGTGCGAGAGGGACAGGGTGGTCGTGCGAGTGACGTGAAGAGCGAGGACGAGAGGGTGGGTGGACGCCGTTCGAGCGGGTCTGGCGGGGTCTGCGAGTCCTGTAGCACTGTTCCGAGCAGTCTGGCTGGTCACAAGCGAGCTGGAAGCGACAGCGAGGTCGTGGTCTTCTCCAGAGAGCGAGGTTGTCCTTGTCCTCATCACCTCGAACGCGACAACACCGTCTGGAGGGCTGCTAACTCGCTTTACGTTACCGCAGTATGGCGTTGACTGTGCTCCCGGACTGGCGCAGCTCGCCTGCGCCGTGTTGCTCGAGCTACTTCTCCTCGACCCGATGAGCGAGTATGGGCGCTTTCGGCGATACCTGGGGCAGATGCGCTCGTCCAAGCATGTCGGGATACTGCTCCGGAGCATGTGCTTGCCTACGCCGTCCACGTCGCCCTGCAAAGCTCCCTCCTCGTCGTCCTCCCCTCGCCGCCTCGCCGGCAGAGTCGCCTCACGAAACCGCCGACAATCCCTCCGGCGCTGGCGGATACGCCGGACGCGAGCCGTGCGCTCCATCGCCCAGCTAAGGTCCCGCCTCTTGCCCTTCACTTCGTCCTTCACCATCTCGCGGCTTTCTCGCTCACTTTGCCTCGCGCTTAATCGCGTTCTTGACGCTCAGATGCCTCCCGCGTTCGGCCCGTCCGCTATGGACGCGCGCGTTGGGGACCTCTTTCCCAAGAACCAGAAGCCCGTTTTTGGGAAGACGCAGCAGGCGCGCGAGTGGAAGCAGGGTGTCATGTCTGTCACGTCGAGCGAGTGGCTCATTCAGCTGAAGACGACCGAGTACTGTGACGGGCGGGTTAAAGACTTGCAGGAACGCCTGAAACTAGACGCGCACCGAGTTCAGGCTGCAAGTGGCAACTTGTCCTTCTTTGACTTCGTGGACATGTTAGTGAGCGGTCTCCCCCCCGTCTCCTTGTGCGCATGCCGCTGACCCTTCTTGACAGTTAGGGAAGCAGGACTACGACCAGCTCATCAAATTGGGACCGGACGGCCCCAAACAACTCGGCATCGAGTACGGTCGCGTGCTCGTCGACGTCTGCCAAGGGGTGAGCAAACCGATCATTCTGCGCAAAGTGACGTAGCCTGATCTTCTCTCCTCGTCTCTCGCCCTGTCAACTCAGCCGCCAAGCGTTATTCTTGATGCGTGGCTGAACTCGCTGGAGGCGTTCGTGCGCTCGCCGCACCCGTCGGAGTCGTCGGCGCACGAACTCGGGGAGATCCTTAAGACTTGGCCCAAGGTCTCTCAAGACTGGCCATATCTGCGTTCAGCGGAGCGCAGTCGCATCATCTCGCGGTGTGAGCACGCGCTTAGGCACCTCCAGCAATACAAGGAGGGCGGGACTTCTCCAGACGAGCTCGTCCACCATGTAGTGCGCAGCACCATCCCTACGCTCCTACAACAGTGACTGACAACTTTCTTCCAGCCGACTGGCTCAACGCTGCTTGGTCAGGTGCGTCTCTTCGCACCTCTCACATCTAACTCCGTTCAAACTTGCCCGCCCGCTACAGCGCCCGCTCATTGCGTGGCACCCTGAAGTGCACAAGTGTGCGACATGTGCGGAGGAGTACAGGCAGGTGTCGGTGCGCTTCACGCTTTCGTACCATCGCAATTTGCCTCAGCCCTCTGACCTTCTGACCCGCATCGCAGCACTCGCTCGCCCACTCCGCCACCTCCCCCTTCGCCCCTCAAGCTCGCGCCACCGTAGCGAGGCAGATGCGGACGTTCTGAGCGCCGCAAAGTCGTCAACCGGTCGACCTTCCCAAGCGCGAGTCTTTTCTTCGGCCGTTCGCCCTCCTTATTCCACATGTGCGCCGTCCAGTAGACCTTCCAGACATTGCAGTCGCCAGTAGCTCATTCGATCGCGTCTATAACGGGGGAGAAAGCGCGAAGATAGGTAGTGTGAGAGAGTCGGGTGGCGGGTGATGAGGATAAAGAAGCGAGACGAGACCAGCCATCAGCCCGTAGCGTTCTCTCGCAGCGTTCTGCACACTCGCTCCTCTGCCCAAACGCGACGGTGGAAGCAGAAGTCGGGGAAGAGAACGACCGAGTTGTCACAACAAGACTCCTCTCTATCCCCTGGTCGCCGAAGTAGCCAGTCCGGGCGGGGACCGCTTACTTCTTGGCCTTGACGGGGCCGTCGACGTCGTTGACCTTGAGCGTAGGCGGGAGCGACTGGCGGAGCTTCTCGGCCTTGTCGGCGTCGCGGAGCGAGAACGTGTAGCTGAAAGAGCGAAATCAGCCTCGAATCGCCGGGAAACGCCTCCGGACAGTACATACAGGTACTTGGAGCAGCGGAGCTTGAACTTGTAGACCTGGCCAGCCCCAGCCTTCTTGGCGGCGCTCTTCTTGATGGTAACCTGGCGCGCGTCCTTGCGGCGAGCGTACTCGAGGAAGGTCTTGATCTCCTTGACTTCGGCGGGCTGTTCCGACGCGGAGAACGAGTCAGGGTCGCGAGTTCGATGCCGTTCGCGCTCCAGCGAAGGAGGGAAAGGACGGCATGGAGTCTCGGATTGCTGGGAGGCAGATCCCGGGGAGACGAGCGCGCCCCTGGCTGCGTTGCGTGCGAGTGTGCACTCCGAGAGATGTCGTGCACACGCGACGGCAAGCACAGGGTGCGACGCCTCCCTCTCCCCCGCCATCAAGCGTACCTCTGGCACTCGCGTCCAGATGCACCGCTTCGACAGCCATGCTCAACCGTGCACGCCCCCTCACTCATCCCCATCCAACCCGGTCACCAGCTCAATGCCCATCGCAGTTCCCCGCGAGCCGTGTGCGAGTCGAGCGAGGCGCGGGAGGGTGAAGATTTGAGCGAGGTCGGCGGGCGGTCATTCGAGCTCGCGCGGGTTTGGCGGTGTGTGTAGGGTGTTGTCGATAGCTGTAGCAGTGCGTAGAGCGGCTAACTGACCATGGTAAAGGAGTCTGGCGTCGGCGGGCAAGCGGCACGAGGGAGAGAGACAGCGACGCGAGCGAGCGCAAGCTCAGCGCTCACGCCTCGCTGTCCTCGCTCACAACGCTCGCTGGCGGCTAGCTTGGACTCGCAACAGCTCCAGAGACATCTGTATAACCGCCTCAGGCTTCGAACGAACCCGCCGCGCCGCGCCGCCGCCGACTTCCACCCTCACTCCTCCTCGCATCTCTCGCGCCGGCTCTCTCCCTTACAGTTGCACTTGAGGGCTCGCGAGTGGACACTGCGGTCGACAACAGCCCTTCAGAGCACACGCCCACCCTTTCAGGCGACGCTGCTCGCTGTGGGACTCGCAAAACCCCGCGTCTTGTCGGCATCCCTTCCTTGCGGCTCTCGTGATCCGCAGGCGCGCGCTTCCTTGCTCTTCCTCTTATCGCATTGCATCCCTGCTACTCTGCCATGGCTGCCACGACGCACAACGAAGCTTGCCCGGCGATGGAGACTGTCCTGATCCTGCACTCGCTCGCCCCGCTCTCCCTCCTCGACGACCTTCGCTCAACTTTCCGCACCGTCAAGTACCACCCCATCCAGACGCGCGACGGGTCCATCTCGCCCACCCACCCAACAGCCGAAGACTACGCGACCGCAGACGCCATTTTCGCGTTCTCGGTGCCGGACGAGCTGCAAAACCCGGCACAAACACCGAGGCTCAAGTTGTTCCAGGTCTGCTCGAGCGGGTACTCACAGGTCGAGCAGCATCCGTTCTACAAGGCGGCAAAGGAGGCGGGTGGGGCTGGCATTGCTTGGACGAACTGTGCCGGTATTCAGTCCGTCCATTGGTATTTCACCGCGAACGACTGGCTGACGCCGTCCATGCAGGACAACGACTATCGCTGAGCACGTCATCGGCACGGTCAGTCAAGTGTCGAGCTGCGCCAAAGCAACCGGCTTATCTTTCGCCCCGTCCGCAGGTCATCATGCTCCTCCACAAGATCCATTTCCTGTACTGGGCGCAGCGCGCCGAGCAGCGCTGGGTGTCGCCGAGAGAGATCGGAGGCTTCAACATCCAGGATGTGGGCTCGCTCAAGGTGGGCGTGATTGGGTATGGACACATTGGTTCGTTTCGATTCTTCCTGCGCCTTGTGAGCTCTTCTGGCTGGTCTGACTTTGCATCAAACGCTATTTGACAGGCCGCGAAGTCGCCCGCCTCTTCCACGCCTTCGGCTCGACCGTCTACGCCCTCACGCGCGATGGCGCCCCAACGCCCGAGAAAGGCTACACCCTCCCCGGTACCGGCGACCCCTCGGGCTCACTCCCGACGAAATACTACGCCACATCGCCCTACTCATCTATCCTCTCCTTCTTTTCCGCATGCGACGTCGTAGTCAACGTCCTCCCAGACACGCCTCGAACGCATCGGACGATCTCGACGGACGAGTTCAAGGCGATGAAGGGGGATGCGATTTATGTTAACATCGGGAGGGGGACGACGACAGATCAGGAGGTGTTGGTTGAGGCGCTGAGAGCGAAGAAGGAGGAGGGAGAGGCGGAGGATGCGACGGGCACGCTTAGGATCGGAGCAGCCAGTCTTGAGTGCGTTCTTCTGCCTCTCACACATCGATATCTCCATCATACTGACCCGCTTTTGACGCCGTCGCACAGCGTCACCGACCCCGAACCGCTCCCCTCCTCCCATCCACTCTACACCCTTCCGAACGTCATTCTGACGCCTCACGTCTCAGGTCTGTCGAAAGACTACTGGCGCTGTGCGCTGAACGTCCTTAAGCTCAATGCGGAGAAGCTGGGAAGGGGAGAGGAGGCGGTGAATGTTTGGAGCGCGGCGAGGGAGGGGGTGAAGGGGCAGTAGCAGGCGTGCGGGTGGGCTGACTCTGCGTGACCCTCGCGAGCTTGTGGAACATATCTCGTGACCACCAGCACAAGAACAGAGTCGAATAATGGTGGTGGTCTTGCGAGTTGCAAGGGGTCTGTGAGCGAGGAAACGAATGATGGAACGAGAGAGGGCGACGATTGCGAGTGGACTGGAACAACGAGTCGGAGGGGTATGCTGCGAGAAATGGATGCGAGGGAATGACGAGGGAAAGCGAGGGGAAAGACAGTGCGGAGAAAGGGTATAAGGAGAGCGAGGAAAGGCGGACGGCGGCTCAGACCTGCGAGCCAAAGGGGTCAGCGGTCGCTCGGAGGGGATGCAGCGGAATACGCACGTCTAGATATATCAGCAAAGGCTCGCCGACATCGGTGATCTCGGGAATCGTGCACTTCAAGTCGAACGCCTGCCGCGTAGAAACCGTCAGCTGCCGCGGTCTTTTCGGGACATTGCGTTGTTTGCAGACATGCGCGCACCTTGCTCAGCACGATCTTGAAGATCTTCTGCACGTTGATCGAGTGGCTTGTTGAGCAAAAGATGAGGGGCGCCTTCATCGCCTTTGAGAACCGCTTCGCCTGCGCAGGCCGCCGGCTGCATCAGCGCTATCGCTGTAGAAGGAGAAGTGGAAGCGCTGCGCACCTGTCGTGTGATCTCTTCCTGCTCGTCTTGCGAGAACGTGCTGAAGTGATCGTACTTCGTGCCGACGAGGAAAGGGATGGCGGTCTGTCGACGGCAGCCGCAGAGCACAGCATCAATGTCAACAAGTGTACTGCGTATGTCGATGTGAGGAGACTGCCGACGCACTTTGTTGAACCCTCGCGCCTGCCGGTACCACTCCTTGATGGAATTGAGCGTGCTTTTCCGCGACAGGTCGAACATGAAGAGGATGGCGACGGCGTCGTTACAGACGAGCGGTAGCATCGAGACGAACTCGCGCTGGCCGCCGAGGTCCCAGATCGAAAAGGTGATCTCGGTATTTCGGATCGAGATCTGCGACGCCGCCTCGTCAGCATGCTAAGCGTCGAAGAGAAGGGAGCGGAGCTCGTACGGTCTTTTCCATGAAATTGACGCCTGCAGATGCGGCGGGTTCGTCAGCCTTGTCCTGCTCTCGCTCGAATCGGTTCGCCGCACGCACCGAGTGTCTGGATGTAATCTTCGTCGTACGAGCCCTCGACATATTTGACCCTGCAGATGGACTGTCAGCCAGCAGGTCTGGGTCATCGGGAGAGGGAGCCCACATCAAGGAGGTCTTGCCGATTTGCGAGTCGCCAACCATCCCGACCTTCAGCACGACGCTGCGGACGCTTCGGTTAGCTCTTCGATGCCTTCTGCGTCGCTTCACGCCCGAGACGCACCTATTCTTCTCGTCTGTCGCCGCCTTCTGCCCCTGCGCACTCGCCCCGACTTTTCCTCCAATCGCAGACATTGTTTTGATGAGACGAGGCGGACGACAGAACTGTAGGAAGTTAATGAGGCGGTCTCTCCAGATCCAGGATGGGAACGAGGGTGACTGGAGGACGCAAGGACGAGATGTGGGGAGGTCAGCGAGGGCTCGAGGGCCGCTAGGGGCTCAGCAGGTAGGACGCCGCTGTGAACCGTACCTATCGAGTACTGCTATACTTCGCACGCCTTCGCACGCCGCACGAAGCCGTGTTAGCGGTGTCGTGGCTTGATCAACTTCGCGAGGAGGTGTGGGTGCGAGCGTCGAGCCGGGGCGACGGTGGGAGGGATGGCGCCTGTAGCAGATATTGGTAGCCTCTGTAAGCTGTTTGAAGCCGAGCGGAGACCGTAGCAAGCCAGTCGCGGGATGATGTCGAGGTGCGAGAGTCGAGTCGCTCGTCTCGCTCCTGCCACTCACCGTCACTGCTCAGGATGGCGCTCGAATACGCTCTGGTGCAAGCTGATGATATCCCTCGCACGTACGAGATTGAGCGCGCCGGCTTCCCCGAAGACGAGGCCGCATCTCTCGACTCTCTCCGGTGCGCCATCTCGCCCCTCTCACAGTCGATGCAGGTAACAGGCTGACCTGTTCGCTCGGTAGATACCGCCAGGAGAACGCTGGACAGCTCTTCCTCGGCGCGTACACCCCCTCACCGCGCCAGCTCGTCGGCTACATCTGCTCGACCCTCACGACATCCCCCACCTTGACTCACGACTCGATGTCTACGCACGAAGCGAACGGCTCATACGTCGCCATTCACTCTGTATGCGTCGACAAGGCTCAGCGAGGGAAGGGTGTTGCAAGCGGGCTGTTGAAGGAGTACTTGAAGCGTCTCGAGGGAACGGAGCGAATCAAGGGCGCTCGCTTGATCGCTCACGAGGAGCTCATACCGCTCTACGAGCGCGCTGGCTTTGCTCTCGTGGGGAAGAGCGACGTCACGCACGGTGCAAGGCCGTGGTTCGAGATGAAGGCCGACTTTGCGGACCGACCTGCGACGGCGGGCGTAGCAGAGTCGGAGGAGGACGAGGGCGAAGTGCGGTCTCCTGGACGACCCATGCGTTGGTTCAAGGGTGGGATGGACGAGCTGGTCGATCAGGCAACGGGACTGAACAAGGCGGACTTGTTCTGCCCTCGAGCAGACTGCCGGTGCTTCCTGCTGCGGCGAGGGACAGGCAAGTGGGTGCAGGGGCATGCGACCGATTTTGAGGTGCGTTCGAAAAACTGGTGTCCCCCCTGCGCTGTCTTAGCAGTACTAAAGCTGACTCGCCAAAAATGAACGCAGCTGCCCGCGCTCCCTCACCCGGTCTCTTCCCCCACGCCGCCCTCATCTTCCTCTTCTCGCGGGTACTGGTCCGTCTCCTCGCCCCTCGCCTTCGAAAACATCGGTTTCTCGCGCAACGCCGCGCCTCCCTCCTCCTCTACCTCCTCCACCTCTTCCGCACCAGCAACCATCAAATACCTCACCTGCGCGGACTGCGACCACGGACCCCTCGGATGGCACGACACGGAAGGACGGGATTTGGGCATGGAAGTGCAGGCGGAGAATGAGGCGAGGGAGGGAGGACAAGGAGGTGCCGGACCGGAGGTACGGAAGGGGAGGGAGTTCTTGCTGGCGGTCGAGCGTGTGCGGTACAGGGTGTAGCGCAAGGCTAGGCTCATTCGAGCGGAATGTACCCGGTCTACGCGAGTTTGGACGGAGCGCGACTTTCGGCGCCCACTTGCTGAGAGTCTCACACCGCGGCTTCTTCGCTGCTTTCCCCGGTAGCTAGGTCTACACGTGCGATGAGCCTGTATGACGCCGTGGATTCGCCCAGCAATATTGACAGCCGCACATTTCGCATCCCGCACCCTTGAACCCAGTCGACCCGCTCGCTTTTCCTAGTCAGCCGCGGTAGGGGCCTTGCGCTGGCTCCCAGCTCTCGCTGCTACTTTATCGCTCCGCTCGGCGTCGCCATCCGCGCCCGGCGACGCCGTCATCCGCCGTCTCGCCCCTCAACTGATGAGAATGGCGGATAGGTGAGGAGGAGGGAGACTCGCTCAGGACCGCTTGCGGTCTGCTGAGACCGTACAGTGTGCGCTCACTCTCCGTTTTGGCTGAAGCAGAGCCGCGCACGAGGGCTGAAGCACTGGCTAACCTCCCTTCTCCTCCTCGCTCAGCTGGGAGTCCTCCGCTTCCTCCTGATATTGTACCGCCCGCCGACGGACGTCTCTGGATTGCTCTGTTCTTCCGCTTACGCAGACGACCAGCACACACGCCCGCGCGCTTGTCTCCACCTCGGCGGCTTCGGTTCTCTCGCTCGCCGGTTCCCTTCCCCACAACCTCTCGCTCTCTTATGCTCGCGCATCCAGCTGCTCGAACAGCGCGCATACACCTGCTCAGTCCCCATCGACGCACCATCTATCGCAAGGCGATGCCTGCCGCTTCCTCCTCGCGCCCTCCTAAAAAGGGCCCGTCCCTCAGCGCAAGGTGGGTGCCAGAGTTGCAGGCGGTGGTTTCGGCGGCCAATCCACTGATGGTTCCGTACCTGCAGCTTGGTACTACTCGCACCGCTGCCAACACCCGCACCAGACGGACACGACTACCGCGTCCTCCTGCTCAAGCGGCACGCCCAAAGTCGCACCTATGACAGCGCGCATGTGATGCCAGGTGCGCAGAGAGTCTCCGTACTTGGCAAAAAACTGCGAGTGACGCCTCTCGTGCAGGCGGAAACATCGACTCCATCGACCTCGACTCGGCAGCCTGGGCGTCCATCTTCCCCTCCGCCTCAAACGCCTCGCCTCCGTCCACTTCCAGCCTCACCGCAGACAAATTACTCGCTCTCCGGCTCTGCGCGATCCGCGAAACCTTTGAGGAATCCGGCTTGCTCCTCCTCAAGCAGCAAGGTTCTTCGTTCAATTCACCCCAGTCGAGGTGGGATCGGCTGGACCCGGAGGAAAAGACGAGGTGGCGCGAAGCGGTACACGAGGATGGAAAGGACTTCATTCAGATGCTGCGCAGGCTAGGCGGGACGCTAGAACTGGGCGCCGAGGCCAAACCAGCCGTCGACAGCCTCACGCACTGGTCGAATTGGGTCACCCCCGTCATCCTTCCCCGCCGGTTCGACACGCACTTCTTCATCTCCGTACTGCCGTTACCTGAGTCATCCGGCAGCGGCGTCGACACCTCTGCCGCGACTACTGCTGTGCACGACTCGCTCGTCTCGAGCGATGGTGTCGAGACGACTTCGGCGGACTGGCTCACCCCGCTCGAGGCCATCAGGCGTGCCATTGCCCACCCGGCCCGACGAGCTGAAAGTGCCTCGCCGCAACCCCCATCCGACATTGAGCCTATCCTCCTCCACCCGCCGCAATTCAACCTCCTCGCCGAACTCGCTCACAACCACCGCACTCTCGCTTCGCTCCTCCACCCTTCCGCCTCTTCCGCAATGCCTCTCGTCCGACCACGTCGAGTCGTCCCTCTTACGCCACAAATCGCGAATGTCACAGACGATCAGGGGAGAGAGCGGAAGGCAACGGTCCTTCCAGGAGACGAGGAGTATCAGTACGATGATGAGGCGGTCGATCCGGCACCGGGAGTGGATCGAGTGGGCAAGCGGAATCGGACGTATGTCATGCCGCCGAGGAAGGGTCAGCAGGGACTGGTCGTCGAGGGTCAGTGCTCTCCTCAGCGCATCTGGTTGGTCGAGCGAGCTGACTTCTCGTTTTCTGCGTAGGCTGCATCCGGCGAGGTATGGTCGAGGTGCTCGGAGAAGGCTGGGAGGACATGTGGGCGGGGGAAGCGGGGCGAGCAGGAGAAGCCGCGAAGCTGTAGACTCGGATGCGCCAAGTCTGGAAGGACACGATTGACCCGCTATGATTGACAACAACGGAAGGCACTGCTAGACTACTTGTCACTGAAGTCCGACCCGTTAAAAGCCCTTCGCTCATCACGACGCCTCCTCGCTCCGTCCAGCGTTGCGCATCCATTCGGGCGAGTCACCTCCCAAACGCTCGCCAGCGTGCTCGTACTCCTTCTGCATGCTATTCCGCTCCTGGATCGGCGGCGACATGGCCATCCAGTTCTGCCCGGTAAAGTGGCCTTGAACAAAGTCGAGCGAGGGAACGGGAGGCTGGTCGGACAACAGGCGACCTTGGTCGGCCGCGACACCATAGTCGTCTGCAAGAGCGAGCGCATCAGCTGACGTGAACAAGGAGGCGACAGGTGGCCACAGACGCACTGAAGACGTAAAGCTGGTTCGGGTTCGGGACGAACGGCTCGGCAGCAGCGACGTTGTAAAACCGCTGAGGATCGTCGTTCGGCGACATGTGCTGCAGCGAAGCGACGTCGTGCGGCGGGAGGTCGTAAAAGAAGCGGGGGTTCTGCGAGAGCTGTTGCTCGATGAGGGGCTGTTGCTGCTGCTGGAGAGCGATCATCGGATTCGGATGCGGTGCGCCGCGAAGCAGCTCTTCGACACCTGCGGGCGGAGGTGATGAGCGGATCGAGCTGCGGCGGCGGCACGAAAGCGAACGAACCTCGTTGCGGGTGCTGGGAGAAGTGCGAGCGACTCCGCGAAAACTCGGCCAGCCGGTGCGCCGCCTTCGGGTTGTAGTATGAAGCGAGTTCGAGCGCCTGCTGGAACCTGCTCGTACGAAATTGCGTCAGCTTCAGGCGGAACGGCAGGGGCGGAAGCGGACGAACCAGTTCAGTTCTGCTTCTGTCACCTCGTATTCCTGCGAGGTCGGCCCGCCCGGCGAGTTGATGCGCTGGTTCGCCCAGATCGACCACTCGGGAAGCATCTCAAGCTGCATGAGCATGTGCTGCGAGCGAGAAGGGGGTGAGCCGGGTCACGACGATTCGATGGAGGGCTGACTCACGTGTACGAGATGCTTGTCCTGCGACTGGAGGTACAGCTGCGCGTAGAATGCGGCAAGCTTGAGGCACTTGCGGACGCGGAGGATGCTCTCTTCGCGCATGGCATGCAAGAGCGGGTCGTTCTCCGTCTCGTTCCAGACGCCGGGCGTATTGCGATTCCGCATGCTGCGCGAGAAGCGGAAGTTAGCATGGAGAGCGCAGAGAAGAACGATTCGGACGCACAGGTAGACGTGCTGGAGGTTGACGAGGTCGACGAGCAGCGAGTCGTAGCGGACACCCATCAGGACGTAGTGCTCGAGGCCGAATGGATCGTCCCCCATGCCTTCCACTGCCTGAGGCGACAGGCTGACGAAGAGCTGCTGGAGCTCCTGAATCGCGTTGTGGACCTTGTCGATCAGCTTCCACAGGTTCTTGAGCAGCGGCAAGGTCGATTCGACACCCGGACGACGGCCTGTTACGAGCAACTCTTCAACCTCGTGCTCTCGAGATAGCAAAGCGGAAAAACGCACCCGTCGAAAGCGTCGCAAACAGCCGTTGGCACCCCGCGACCCACAGACATGTTGTAGACAACGCGCTGACGAGCTTGTCCTGCGTGAGCGGCCGCTGCAGAATCTTGGTGAGCTCGTCGCCGAGTTCCGAGCCGGGAAAGTCGGGAATCTTGACGCCGTCCGAGATGATGTACTGGTCGAGCTCGCCTGTCGTGATGTAGGACGGGCGACCACATGCGGAGGAGATACTTGCGTCGGCAAGCTGCAACATCCGAGCGGTCAGTCCGAGTACGAACGCTTGGGCGAACGATTGCGACGCACGAAGAGCGCAGTACCGGGGCCGATGCGAGGATCGCGACTGGTCCGGTCGCCTCGCTCGAGAGCGTCGTGGCGGATGTCGAAGTAGGCGCCGATGGCGGCGCGGCAGAAGAAACGGCTCTGTTTCGGCAACACCTCTTCGTCTTGAAGCAAGGAAGGGAGTTCGACTAGAGTAAACAAGCGCAACTCGGAGGCATGTGAGCGAGAGAACGTATCCCTCTCGGTTGTACGTAGCGGGAGGACTTACAGATCAGAAGCTGGACGAGTCCGACCATGCTGTCGAGCTGGGCGAGGTCGGGTTCGTTGAAGAACCCGTGCGACCAGCAGAGCTCGCGCGCTCGCTGCTCGAGTTGCCGGCACGCCATCTCGCGTCGTTCGCCAGCGTAGAGGTACAGCGGAGGCGAGGGCGTCCCGTCCTGCAGGTGGACTGTCGCGATGCCGAGTAGCTGCGAGTGCGGACTCGCACGAGCTCCGAGAGCGCAGAGGACAGCGACGGCGCACTGCGAAGAGCTGGTCAGCTCGCTCGTTCACATTTTTGAAGACCGAGATAGTCCTCACCTGCTGAGGCGGGTTCAGGAAATCGATATTGCGCTTGTACTCGTCGATGCGCTCGGCGAGCGGCTGGATGCCGGGCAGCTTGGAGCAGCAGGCGTGCAAAGCAGCTGCAGACGCGAGAGACTGAGCGCGTGAGCGGATCCTGTGAGAGCGAGCGGAACGCACCGTCGAGGAGATGGCAAGTCAGCGAGCGCGCGAGTGTCGGTTCGCTAAGTCGCCAATTGACGTTCGCCCGCCCGAGGTCGAGTACCGCTGTCGTCTGCCTTGCAAGGTACTGGATGAGGACCTCTCCCTCCGCATCTTTGAGTTGTAGTCGAGTCGACCACAGCTCTTGCACAAGCGCCTGCACGCTCTCAAACCCTGCTCCGAGCGAAGCCGGGCCCGACTTGTTCGATTCAGGTGGGGAGGCTTCGAGGCTTGGTTGAGATTGGGAGGAAGGGACGGGAGGGGCGGGAAGGGCGGAGGTCGACTTGATGGAGACGTTGGCGGCTTTGAGCTGCCGTTCGAGCGAGGCGACTTTCGCTTGCAGCTCGGCGATCCGTTCGGCGTCGCCTCCTTCCTCGATGTCGTCGCTACGGGCGCATTCAAGGTGTCAATGCGACGCTGTGAGCGCACGGAACTAAGTCATGCAGACTCACACGTTGGTCACCGCCGTCCACTCGCACGTTTCCCGCCGCTTCTTGCACCTCGAACAAGTCGGCCAAGTGCGATCGCATCGTACTCGTCGTTCTCTGCGTGCCCCTGAGCCGTCAGCTACCGCAATGATCGCTCGAAAAAGAGTAAACGCGGGACGCACCGACACTTCTTGCAGCTCTTGTCGGCCTTCTGCACGATCTTTTTCCCGTCGCCCGCAACCTTGCCCGGCTCACGGACTGCAATTCCGCCCGCGACCATAGACGGACCCGCCATCGGCTCGTCCTCGCTCTGCGCGCTCGCCGCACTCGGAGTCCGCCGTTCGCCGGCAAGGTCTTCGTAGATCGTGCCCGTGCCCGGCGCCCCGCTCCATTCGCCTGTTCCGTTAACGACTCCTGCACCGTTCCCGTTCGTAGAGGACATCGCAGGACTCGGGAAGACCTGTTGCGCAAGCATTGTAGGACCGGAGACGGACCCAGGCCCCGATCTAGACGCCTGACTGCCGCTCCCGCTCCGACTCGCGCCGCTCAAACTCGCGCTCCCACTTCCGCTCCTCCCTGAAGCCTGACTATGCTCGCTCCCCTTCCTGCTGCCTTCTGCACTCGCACTCGAAGCTCCACCCGATCCAGGCGCCGACCCGCTCCCGGCTCGCGACGCCCCGCCCGATCCAGTCGATGCAGACCCGAACCTCGACCAACTCCCGCTCGGCGAGCCGGTTGAACCAGTATACAAGCCTGTTCGCAGGCTGCCGCTGTTGCGGGGGAAGTGGCGCCGGTGAGAAAGGTCTGAGTTGCCTGGGGCGGAGAAGGACGACCCGGGCGTCGGGAGAGCGAAAGCGTCTTCATGTACGTCGTTTGATGCGGGATGGGAGATGTGAGCGGATTTGTCGGACGACTGGTCGAACGGCGGGAGAGGGAGTTCGTGCTGTGCGAGGGCGGGATGAGTGGAGAAGGTCGCTCCGCTCGCAGCGGCGGTGTTGGAGTGGTAGATGCGAGGATGAGAAGGGTGGGGGAGGTGGGCGGATGAAGTGCCTGGAAGGGACGAGGCGGAGGCGTTGTGGTGGTCATGCCGCGGGCGTTTCGAGCCGCGAGTCGAGGTCGGCGAGGGAGGCGGGTACGTGTCGTTGTCTGACATGGATGACGGGGCGGAGGCAGTGGGCAGGTTGCCGGGCCAGGACATCGAGGCTGGGTCGACGTTCATCTGGTGCGAGGTCGAGTGGGGCGGGAGGAACGACGAGCCCTGGAGGCCGAGTCCGGTGCCCGAGAGCTCGTCTCTGTCGCTGTTGGTCCCGCTCGCACCGTTCCCCATCTCGAGCATCGAGAGCGAGACGCCGCCGGACCCTGCCCCTCCCGCCCCTTGCGACGGAGCGGAGGGCGAGCCAAACGCCGCGCCATCGACGGCGGACCCTCCCTGTCCTTGCTGTCCGAGCCAGAATGACGGGTGAGTGAAGTCGGGCGGCGGGAACTGCATCTGCTGGGCCTGGCGGGGGTGGGCGAAGGGTTGCGACGGAGGATGGGACGGTAGCGAGCCTGGTGTCGTGGACAGCGGCGATGTCGGCGCGTGGGTGTGGTCCTGGTGTGCCGGAGAGTACCCGCTATACTGCTGCCCCTGCACGTCCGTGTGTTGGCCAAATACGCGCGGGAGATGAGCGGGGTCGGCTTGAGATCGGTCGCGGAAGGGGAAGCCAAAGTCGACGATTCCGACGTCCTGCGCGCGCGAGCCCTGCCCTGCCCGTGTCCCTGCGTCTGCTGGTACCCGCGCAGACGATGGCGCGCTGCCCTTTCCCACGGTGTCGTCTGAACCTGATGAGAGAGGGTGAGCCGGTTCCGCAAGCGGGTCTGCCTCGGGCGGCCAGTCGGGGAGGTTCCCTGGCCCGTGAGCCATCCTGAGCGGGTGCAGTCCAGCCAGTCGGCAGTCCCAGCAGCGAGTAGCACAGCCGAGGTCAACACCCGTCGTCAGCGAACGATCGTCCCCAGGGTCAAGTTTCGATTACAAAACTGAATACAACGGGATTCGTATTGAGACTGAATACAACTCGCAGCATTAGGACTGAATACAAGTCGAGCTTAATGCAACTGATTACAACCCATCCTCTCTCTGACCTCTGCCTCGCCTTGTTGGCTGACTACGCTGGCTGACACTGCTGTCGACTCGCACGCCCTGCCTGACTGCCTTGCTGAACCTGCCTGCTCTCGAAGCGACCGCTCTTGTTCTCCTCCCCACTCGCGTCGCAACTTACCCGGCATGGCCTTCGCACGCAAAGACGCCCTCCCCGAAGAGTTCGAGGCAGAGCACGGCACGATCGACCTCACAGACGACACCAAGCCCGCGACGGGCGGAGCTGGAGGAGATGACGGAGAGGACGAGGACTTGGATCTGGAGCGCGCAAAGCAGAGGGTCTGGTTGTGCAAGGTGAGTCGGCGTGTCCGAGGTGCTGTGACGCGACGCTTCGTGTCTGGCAGGGCGGCGAGGCGAGTTAGCGGAGATTGCGACCAGCTGGATGAATCGCCTGCGAGGGGAAGGAGGACGTCGATGTGGCTCAAGGAGGCCTTGCGGCATGGAATGTGCACTCAGAAGACGTCAAAGGCTGCGCCAGATTCAGCAGCACTACAAGGGCTGACTTCGACGGCCCCCCGTTTCCCACAGGTCCCCCGCTTCCTCCTCGAGACATGGCAGCAGGCGCAGAGCGAAGGCGAGATCCTCGGACGACTGCGAGTATGGGATGAGTACGTCTGGCCTCGCTCTTTCGCGACGGGCGAGCAGAAGCGACGCTTGCTTTGCCTCGCTCTCGCTCCTTCTCGGGGACACACATTGACGCCATCACTCGTTCGACCTCGCTCGCTCCCTCGCAGAAAAGACGCTTCCGGCCAACCGAAAATCGCCGTGATTCTTCAAGACTCTCCCTCGTCCTCATCGCTACCCACTCCCGGTCCTTCCTCTTCGCGCGACTCGAAACCCGACATCAAAGGCAAACGCCCTGCAAACTCGGATGGCGTCCCGACCGAGTACAAGTTGACGATGCAGAACAGCGAGAGTCGGAACTTGTTTGTGTTTGGGGAAAAGGTGGAGGAGGTGATGGAAAGTGGAGAGGAGGGCGCGAGGAAGAAGCGGCGTGCGTTAGCATTTCTCTCCCTCGCACAAGCGGTCGAATTGTGCTCACGCTCGAACGTCCGCGACAGGCATCACCTCCCTCCTCGGCACCGTCGCACACGAATGCTCCCTCACCCCTTCGATCTCCTCCGCCGACGCCTCCGCCGCGTACGCCCGTATTCTCCGCGAGCGACAACGCAAAGCCGCCGAGCCGATCCGGACGCTCAAGAGGCTCGAGGTGGACGATGCGACGGCTAACAGGCTTGCCAGTGGCATGGGCGCGGCGGGAATTAAGGGCAGGGTGGCGACTTTCAACGTAAGTGTGCGGCTCGAGTCTGATCAGGCGTTTGCGAAGATCTCACAAAGGCTGTGCTTACGTGAGACTCTCCTTGATCGGCCTGCAGAACACCTCGAGCAAGGCAAAGCCCGGCTCGTCCGCCGCCTCGCAGCGCAACACGAAGATGGAGAAGCCCGCCTTGCTCGACGAGATTTTCACGCGCTTCTCCTCTGCACCATACTGGTCCTTCCGCACTCTCAACGACCACCTCCGCCAACCGCAGACCTACCTCCGCGAAGTGCTCGGCGAAGTCGCGCACCTTGTCCCGAAGGGCCCGTATGCGAACATGTGGGCTCTCAAGCCGGAGTTTAAGGGTACGCAGGGGGTGAGGAGTGTGGGTGCGGCAAATGCGGGACCGGGTGGGAGCACGAGTGCGAGTTCGGGCAGGACGGAGGCGAGAGCCGGGGTCAAGCAGGAGACGGAGGCGATTCTGGGGAACGTGCCGGCTGTCAAGAAGGAGGAGGGCGGGGACGAGTATGGCGGTGGAGACGACGACTCGGACGACGACCTCGAGATGGTGTCGTAGCGTCTCGCTTGAACTGCGTCTCGCTCGCGACAGTACGAAGGTGACGGAGTGCGATTGCGAGATACATAAAACAACAACGAGAGCGTGATCTATGCTGCAGAACAAGCGGAGCCCAACGAAACGCCCCGCCCTTCAGTCCAACTCGTCGAGTGCGCCAAACGTGACCTGCGCCCTGTCGGCCATTGCCAAGTCCGCCAAGTACTCCTCCAGCTCGTCCGTCTCGCGATCAATCTCGAGGTCTGGGTCGTTCTTGCGCTCCTTCTGCGGATCAAGGCCCGGGCAGCGCTCGGGTTCTTTCTTGACAATACGGCGGTGCGTGAGTGTCCAGATGATGTCGTAGCGGTCGTCCGGGTACGGCGAGGTGTCGTCGGCGCCGAGAGCGCGGGCAATCTTGTGCAGCATCGAGTGTTTCTGCGCGAGAGCGGGCGTGAGTAGTGGCTCCTCGCGAAAAGCGGTCCCGCCGCACGCACCCAGCAAATCACGACCTCGCCCTTCCCTCCGCTCTTCGCATACTTCTCAATCCTCCTCGCAACGCAGTCCACATCGTCCACCTCGCAGCTCACGTCCACCTCGAGGCCCAAGTCGTGCGCGAGGCCCTTGACTGTCTCGTACGGCCTGCGGCGCTTGCCCGTCTCCTTGTTGTACTTTTCCGCGAGGATCAAGCCGACGTTGTGCTTGCTATCGCGGCCGAGGAGCTGTCCCACAAAGCGTCAGTACTCGACTGCGAGCAGGAGGACAGGAAGAACGCACGCTGCGCAAGCACTTGGCGCGCTTCTTCCCCTTCAGGCTCAGCCCAATGCTCGAGTCGCTCTTCTTCTCGCCGTGGCGGAACAGGAGGACCTTGTTGTCGTAGCGGTAGAGATCGTTCGAGGAGGGCGGGTCGAGGGAGAGGTCCTGGGCCGTCGCGGCGGGGTTGGCGGGCGCGGCGAGGCAGAGCGTGGCCAGGAGAAGTACGGCAGCGCTGCTCGCGGGACGCATGGCGGTCATTGGCGGTGTTTGAGCGAGTGAGGAGGAGTTGACCGATGACGATGGGGAGAGGGGTGAGAAAGCCGGCACGAGCGGATATGGATTGCGGCTGACAGTAGACTGCAAGCGTTGGCTTTGGAGCAGAAAATGGCACCAGGAAAGGTGTGAGGAGGGGTTCTCACCGCGTCCGCACGTTCGTACGCTCGCAACCTCCTGCTGGCTTTGGCACCTGCTCAACGTCTGTGACCAGCTGTGCCGTGTTGCGCTATTGGGTTAAAGATTGTCCTGCTTCGGGTCCTCTGCACACAACGCAGCTCCGCCGTCTCAATCCTCCAACGCTGCCGCCCCTCCTCCCGGACTCTCACCGGCTAGCGAGGCCGCGACCCGCACCCGAGGCTTCCAATACAAGCTGTACAATCTGAGATCGACCATTCGCCACACAGAGATCACTGCCCAGACCCGACCTGAACTTGTCGAAGAGTTTGGTTCGTCGCCCGCTTCCTCGACTCCCTCGGTATCAGCGACGATGCTCTTCTCGCCCAGATGCCTCTCTCGCACGGCAAGTCGAGCGAGGGAGACGTGGGACGCGTGCGGGTCGAAGTGGAGCGTGGCGACCGAGAGAACGGAGTCGTCGCTTCCTCCTCGCCTTCGGCCGCAGGTCCGTCGACGCCGCCCGCGTCGTCAGCGCACTCTACTCCTTCGTTCTACCCGTCTACTCGCGCTCCTCTCCCACCCCAGTCCCTCCTTGCGCCGCCTCCCATCCCCCAGTTTGTCGGCGACTCTTCCGCTTCCCGCGCGTCTCGCTCTGCTGCGGCAAGCTCGACAACGGCAGCCTCGCCGGCGGCCTTCCCCGCTCCACTCTCGCGACGCCAGCGGCTGCAGCAGCAGCAGCAGCGGGCGGGGCAGCAGCAAGAGTATCTCGGCTGGATCCGCTGGGAGGATCCGGGCGACGCGGACTCGCGGGACTCTGCGTGGCGGCACAATGCGGGTTGGCAGCTCTCCCACATCTGTCGGGACACGGCGGGTCCGGGACGGCCAATCACGGAGGGTTTGGTCCGCAAGCTCGTCTACCAGATCCTCGGGCCCGAGTACTGCCCACTCCTGTGCGTCCCCTCTCTCCTTTCTTTCCTCCTACCTGGCGGCTATATTGGCTGACACTGCGCAACCTTGCGTCCTCCGGCTTTCCTGCAGCTCGTCCGTCTTCGTCTCCTTCCCCGGCGGCCCCCTCGCCAACCGTTTCGCCGACCTCGAGATCGTCTTCCACACGAACAAGATTCGCCACGTCTTCCTCAACCGCTGGAACGCAGGCGACTTCCCCGCGAGCCAACTCGAGGCGGTCCAGCGGCACAACGACTTCTGGGTGCCGAAGCGCAAGCGGGAGGGATGGTGGAAGCGGTATCCGGACTGAGATCTTACCCTCTGGCTTTTCCTCTCGAAGGGAGCGCGGGCTAGGGACAGTGCAGGAAGCGGCAAGCGGCAATGCAGAACTCGTACATGTACAACAAGCGTGTCCCCCTTCACAGGTACTGCGCAAGGAGACGTCAGCGCCGCATCGCAGAGACTTCCGAGAAAGAGTGAGTGACGCACCAGCGAAGCGGCGAAAGCGACCGAAGACGGCCTCTCGAGGCAGGCGAGCGAGTCCTGGAACTTCTTCTCAAGCTCCTCCGAGCCGATAGCCTTGGCGGCTGCGACGTATGCGGTCAGCAGAAGATTCTCTACAGCTTTAGAGAGACGAACCCATGCTCATCTGCCTGATGAGCTCTTGTAGGCGGCGGAAAACGCGAATGAGGGATCCCTCAAAGACGTCGGTCATCTGCGTGAGGGAAATCAGCGGCGAAAGCGAAAAGACGAGGCCGGGAACGATCCGATGCGCACCTTACAGATCTCCGAGAACTTGGCGCCGTTGCACCACGAAAAGACCGCGTCCATGAGCTCAGGCTTGAAGCTGGCTACGTACTCGTCTGGTTTTCGCGGCCAAGAGGGTTCTGGTAAGCGCCCGGAAGTGATCAAGAGCGGTAGCACGAGAGACCGAACGGGAGGAGACGACGATTGGTGTGAGAGGAAGACGTAGAAAGATGGGAGGTAGGGGAGAAGCGGAACGCGGGTGGAGAGAGGAACGCACCCTCGACGACCGGCATCTTCGACTCAATGGCAACCTTGGCGATGCGTCGCGCAGCCTCTTGCATCACACGCAGTGGGCCAGCGAGCTCCTCCTTGAGCTTCGAGGTCTGCTCGGACTGCGGAGTCGAAGCGCGTCAGTTCTGCCGCTGCTCAGCGGCCAGGACGATTGTAGAGGCGGAAAAGCCTAGGAAAGCGGCGAAGGAGCGGAAGAAGAACAGAGACGAAGGGAGGAGGCATACTTTTTCGTCGAACACGAAACATGAGAGAAGGGCGGCGCATTGTTGCGGCGTCAAATCATTGAAGACTCCGCCAAAGACCATCTCCGTCAGAAGCAGCTCATCACCACTGCTGATCTCGCAAGCGACCCTGCCCTTCTGTTCGACAACGTCCTCGTTCGTCGCGAAGCCCAGACGACGAAGAACGCGTTTGCGGTTCCGCAGTTCGTCGAGATGCATGACCGAATGCGCGCTCTGGATCTTCTTCTTCGTCGCGCGCACCTTCATCTTCAGTTCCTCCTTCTGCGCGTACTGACTATACAGCGCCGGAAGGTTCGGGTCGGAGTGAAGGGGGTTCGCGACGAGGCGGGACTCGAGGATCTCGATCTTCTGCTCAGGCGAAGACAGACACGTCAGCAAGTCGACAAGGGCGCAGAAGACGGCAAAAGAGCGAAGAGAGCGAGGAAAAGCGAAGAGAAGGGAAGAAAAGGGGGAAAGTGGCGAGAGGGAGGAGGGAAAGGGCGAGGGAGCGATGGGGTAGCTCGCAGATGATGTTGCATGGCATGCATGACAGATTGAGCGAACGCACCCTCAACAGCTTCTTAAACGCCTCATCAACAATGCCCATGTTCTCGACCGGGTCGAGCAAAGCGATCCCGTCGACGAACCTCCGCTTGACCTCCTTGACGCTCCGCAGCGCCTGCATCCTCGCCTCGAGCGGCTTCAAGTCCTTCGCCAAGAAGATGCGGATGTGCGAGATGCCGTCGAGGGTGGACAGCAGGACGGGGACAACGGCAAACTCGCCCTCTTCGTTCGGCGGACAAGGGCGGATAGTCGAGATGGACGACGCCGAGTTCTTGTTCTTGCTGGTCAGGACGGGCGCGGTGCCCTTGGCGAGATGGAGGAGGACGTCGACGATGTACTGGTTCTGAGGCGGCTCGTCGGCGGGGAGCGGCTTGCCCTTGGCGCCGACGCGCTTCTGGTAGTTGACGACGACGCCCCAACCAAAGTCGAGGTCCTCGTGCTTGACGCGGACGAGGCGGCCGGGCTGGAGGAAGGGGAGGGCGTAAGTCGGGTGGTTGAGGACGTCGCGGAGGTCCTTGTTGAGGATGTCGAGCTGCTGCCGGAGATCGTAGTAGTCGGCGATGTTGTCCTCGTCGGGGATGACGATGCTCGCGCGCTGCTCGTCCAGCAAGCGCAGCTCATCCTCGAGCTTGGGGACCGAGGCGGTGTTCTGGAACTGGTAGAACGACCGCTCGAGCATGTACTCGGGCGTGAGGCCTTCGACACGCATCAAGTTGAGGACCATGTTGTAGCCAAGATGGAACGCCGAGTCGAGTCGGTCTGCCTGCCCCTTGACCATTCCCTTCGCCGCAGCCGGGTCGAGCTTCTCGTCCGTCATCATGATGACGATTCCGCGGTCGTCGAGTCCACGACGTCCTGCGCGGCCGGCCATCTGGACGTACTCGCCGCCGGAAAGGTTGCGGAAGTCGCGGCCGTCGAACTTGCGGACGTTCGTAAAGACGACAGTCTTCGCGGGCATGTTGAGGCCGATCGAGAACGTTTCGGTGGCGAAGAGGACCTTGAGGAGACCCTCCTGGAAGAGGATCTCGATGACCTCCTTGAGGATAGGGAGGAGACCGCCGTGGTGGATTCCGATGCCGCGCTTGAGGAGCGGGAGGATGTGCTCGATCTGCGGGAGCTGGCGGTCGTCGTCCGAGAGACCCGAGATGGCGTTCGTGAAGACGGTCTGGACCATGTCACGCTCCTCGTCCGTGTTGAACTCGAGCTTCGACATCTGGAGGGCGAGACCTTCGCACTCGCGCTTCGAAAAGGCGAAAACGATGACGGGGTTGTAGTTCTTGACCATGATCATCTTGACGATCTTGTAGATGTCGGAGGGGCCTGCGAGACAACCATGAGCGAGAGAAGCGAAGGATGTAGCACGCGAACCGACCTTTCGCGGAACCCTTCTTCGTCTTTCCCTTCCTCCCCTTGCCGCTGTCCATGCTCGCCGGGTCCTCGCCCTTGTTCGTTCCGCCCAACGCGCCCATCGCCTTGGCAAAGTTGTCCTCGCGGAAGTTGCCCTTCTCGTCGACGACGAGGTGAATTCCGTCGGCGCCGGCGGGGAAGAGATAGTGCTGGAGGGGCGTCGGGCGGTAGTCGGTGTAGACGACGTGGCATGGCTGCTGATGGATCGTGCAGATCCACTCGGCGAACTCCATGGCGTTCGGGATCGTTGCGGACAAGAAGACGTAGTGGACCTTGTGCGGGAGGAGAATGATCGTCTCCTCCCAGACCACACCACGCTCCTTGTCGCGCATGTAGTGGATCTCATCGAAGATGACCCACGCGACCTCGCGCATGATTTCGGAGCCGCGGTACAGCATCGACCGGAGAATCTGCGGGTGGGGATGTCAGCCACGCTCGTCCGGTCCGGGAGGCGGAGTTCCGCGTCTCTGAGACGACACGAGTACACACCTCCGTCGTCATGACCAAGCAACTCGCGGTCGGGTTGATCGTGACATCTCCCGTCATGAGACCGACGTCGCCAAATTCGGCCAACATCTCGCGGTACTTCTGGTTCGAGAGAGCCTGCGAGATGACGAGGCGGAGTGAGCTTCATTGACATGATGAGAGTGACGCCGCACAGGCGAAGCATCGCCAAGCGACAGGAGGCAAGCGCAAGGAGAGCGCCCAACGCACCTTGATAGGACTCGTGTAAACGACTCGTTGACCCTCCTTCAAGCACTGCGCGATAGCGTACTCGGCAACGACCGTCTTTCCTGCCGACGTGTGCGCCGAGACGAGAACCGACTCGTTTCGCTGAATGGAGGCGACGGAAACCTTTTGGAACGGGTCGAGCTCGAAGGGATAGGTGCGCGCGGGTTCGGCGGGAGGGACGTGCGACGAGATGGGAACGTAGGGGTAGTTGGGCGGGAGAGCGACTTGATGCCGGACCTGCGGGAGAGGAAGAGGTCAGTATGGCTGAGACAGGCGTCGCGGCGCCTTCGCTCGAACATTGCAGGCTCGAGGATGATCTTGCGATATCGAATGAGCTGTTCTAGCCCAAGAAGAAAGAGGTGGCCCGCACCTGGTGCTGCAAGACGAGTCCCTCCTCCTCGCCGTCCTTCTGCGCCTCGCCTCCTCCCAGTCCCGCACTCGCCTTGACCGTCGTCTTGGCCGTAATCTCCATCTCGTCCGTCGCGACAAAGTGCTCCTCCCTCAGCTTCGTGCCGTCGTCTCCTGCGCCGCCGATCATGGCCGTCCCTTGCTCCGTCCTCCCCGTCTCGTCCGTTTTGAGCTTCTTGAGCACCTCCTGGTCGACGGGCGCATGCTCGCTGGCTGGCGAGAGCGGCCGCTTGTGCGAAGCAGCTGCGCTGTTGCCCAGTGGCTTGGTCGGGTCGACACGAGTGGATCCAGCGGGGTGCGCACTCGAGGGAGGAGGCGGTTTCCGGTCGAACGAGTCGAACAGGTCGTCCATCGCGAGTCTAGCGTCGCTACCAGCCACAGCAACACGAGCGAGCGAGAGTTGTGTGATGAGCGAACTTGTCCTCCTCAAGCTCGAAGGGAGCGATGAAGTCGACTTCTCACTTTTCCCGCTGGATTGCCGCTTGAGAGCGCTCGCTGGACTCGTAAACCCGCTCAGATTGCTGCTATGGCCCACGGCTACATCGACTCGGTCGCGGTGCCGCTCCACCTCCCTCCATCCGCATACCAGCCTCAGGGCGGGGCGAAGGGCGGGAACAAGGGCAAGGGGAAAGAAGTGGCCGCGTCAGGCGATGCTACGACTCGGGAATACGACGTGGTAGGGAGCTGGACCGCTCAGGAGCGCGAGGAGATGCAGCGCAAGGTCGCAATGGCCAGTCTCCGTACGTTCACCTCCTCTCGCTCAGTCTGGAAGACTCGGCTGACATCCGGATCGGTCGCACAGTCGGCTACTCGACGCTTCTCCTCACCATCTCGATCCCTCCGACCTTTGACCCTTCCCTGCTCTCGTTTCCGACCCCTCTCTTCCCTCAACTCGACCCTCGAACGGCTCCGCCGGGCACCGAAGGCCTCGTGATGCAGATGTGGCGGATCAACGTCGAGAACTATGGCGACGAGGCGGTCAAGGGTGCTGGACAGAAGGGTTGGTATGGCTTTGTGAGTCTTCGTGTCCTCCTGAGACTCAGTCGAGGACACGCTTAAGCGGATCGCATCGGTCTCCTGGCATTTAACTGACATTTCATGCTGCAGGCCAACTCGACCGCGCATCTCTACCCTCCCCAGACGACCCTCCTCTCCGTCAGCCCGACAAATCTCTCGTCCTTCTCCCACGTCGCGCTCTCCCTTTCCCCACCGACTCCCTTCGCACCAACACTCATCACCATCGACCCCTCTATCTCACCTCGACTACCCTTCCCGCTCAAGCGCGGCATGATCTCGTCTCTCGCGCGCTCGGGAGTCTGCTTCGAGCTGATCCTGCGCGGCGTGACGAGGCTCGACCAGGAAGGCGAGCAACCTGGTGATTCGGGCAAGCGGAGACGGAACTGGATCGCGGGCGCGAGGGAGGTTGTCAGGGCGACGGAGGGGAAGGGGGTCGTCGTCTCGAGTGGAGCGGTGAGGGCGGGCGAGATGCGCGGGACGGAGGATTTGATCAACCTGTGCGTGACGGACGTTTCTTCCTCACCGTATCGATGCGCTGACGCTAGCGGTGCGACAGCTGCTCGTTGATCGGGATGCCTCCAGCGCAAGCCAAAGACGCGCTGACCGTTAACCCGCAAAGGGCGATCATGCGTGGACGTATGTTCGCACCCTCACTCACACTCCTGTCTCCGAACTGACGACTCGATACAGTCTCGCTGCGACAGACCTATCGAGGCGTCATCTCGAACCCGACTCTCACAACCTACTCTCCCGCCGGCCCCGTCTCCTCAGCACTCGCTTCCACGATTCCCGAAGCCTCAGCGAAGAAACGACCGGTGACAGATATCGCAGCGAGTGCGGCGGGTACTGGTGGAACAGATGGGAAGAAGGTGAAGAAGAAGCGGAAGGAGGGCGGGTCGTAGTTACAGTGCGTCTGCCTCTTCGACTGCGTCGTATGCTCGTCGCTGACTGGGTTTTTTTTCGCTTCTCACCGTCGCCGTCGCAGTTGAATCGTTTTCTGAGCTCCCGAAAAGACTCCGGGTCCGCGGTCGTTCCCCTCCTTTCACAAGCTCGTTTGCTCTCGCTTCCTCTCTCTTCCCGCTTCTTGCCCCGCTGCTCGACGTGGTGCCCTCCCCCCGCCTCGAACTCCCTCCGGCTCGCGCTCGGACTGCGCCATGCCTCACTACCCAGTGAGTCTCCCAGCCACCACATCCGCTGCTCTCACACTGACTAGTCACTTCCTTCCTCAGAGTGCTTGGGAGCGGGGACCGTCGTACAGAAAGCATGTCGTCGAGCCTCTTGGCTCGATAATTGGCCGCTTTGAGCGGGACTTCGTTAGCAGCAAGGCCGCCGGCTGGTTTCGCGATGGTGTCAAGGCGGTCCTCGACGAAGCATAGTGGAATGCGCACTTCAGACCCGCGCCTGCGCACGGGCCTGACGAGCGATTCAGTCGAGCGGGGGCCGTGAAGACGCGCTTGATGGCCGATTCTGCGAGGGTCGACGCTGAGCGACTTCGCTCTCTCGAGATAGGGAATGGTCTCTTGCCCGAGGTCATGATCTGCCAGACTGTGGTACGTCCTTCGCGACGGACAGAGGGCATAACTGATCGCTATTCGCTCCAGCTCGGCATCAGGGTCTACGAGAGGCTCGCATCTCACAACCTTTCCCATGAAGACCTCATTTCGGACTGCGGCAAGGAGTACGGGACGCTGCTGAAGAGTCTCGTTCTCCCAAACGAGGCTATGGTTCGTCCGGACCCGTCCTGCCTTCCGATCTCGCACTAATCGTCCGCGTGCAGAAACCATCCTCCGGCTTGACCTACTACGACGTCAGCTCAAATCGCCCGAGCCGACTTCGTGGCTGACACGCTTTCGTCTTGCAGGGCAAGCCGATGTCAATGACGTTCGAGGGCCCGCCAATCCAGCTCGACTCTCTTTCGCACCGCCAGACAGTCGGCGGCTCCTCGGTCTTCTTCCCCATCTCGAGACAGGCGGCCGCGAGGTGGTAGAGCAAAAGGTGTCAGGAACGGCGGGTGCACTCCTCTCTCTCGCTCGTCGCGTGCTGAGAGCGGTCGCGGAGTGACCGCGTATCTTCCTTGGACCTTCCGCAACGCTTTTTCCCTGCTTTTCTCCCTTGTTCGCTGTTCTCACTCGCTTTCTTTCCGTTCGCTCACTGCTCCCGCCCGATACGCAGCGCCATGCCTGACAATCAGGCAAGTCTTCCATCCGGTCCCTCGTTCACGCACGTTAGTTAACGCCTTCGTGGCTCGCAGACCGCGGGGCGCAAGGCTCCGTCATACAGGTCGTACTTCACCGACCCTTTCGGCCAACTCCTCAGCTCCATCAACCGCAGGGATCTTGCCGTCACTTTCCTACGCAGCAAACCCGCCCATGCTTTTCGGGACGGTGCTCGGGAGGTGCTGGACGCAGACTGGTGGGCGGTTACCTTCCGTCACAAGGACGACTACCTTCACGCACTTGCGGTCCGCGATCGCCTCGAAAAGGACGAAAGAGAGGTGGGTAACGAATGGCTCCGCCGCCGCGACGGGATGCACAACCGGTCGCAGGCTGTGGCCGTCTTCTGCGAGACCTTGGTACTCCTCTTCTCTTGCGGCGACACGGACAATTCGAGCTGACTCTGCTCCGACAGTTGGGCTCGCTCGTGTACAAGGCTCTGAGCGCCAGCAACGTTGACGAGGAGGGCTTGATGCTCGAGTGCGGCCGGGCATACGGAGCGCTGCTCAAGAGTCTCGCTGTACCCGGCAAAGGTATCGTCCGTCGCACTTCTTCCTCGTCTTCCCGCTCACATCGTGCTGACGTTTCGACGCATCACAGAACGCGCCTGGCGGTTTCGTCTATGTCAACGTTTGTTCACCTCCTTCGCCCGCCGTTACTTGCGATTGACGCGTTGCGTCTGAACAGGGCAAGCCGGTGTCGACGACGTTCGAGTCGCTTTCGCATCGCCAGTCCGTCGGCATCTCATCGATCTTCTTCCCCGTCCCCAGGCAGGCGTTCGCGAGGTGGTAGAGGGCGAGGTGGAGTGGTTGATGAGATAGCAACGTTCGCTGTGTCTCCTCTTTCCCGCGACTCTCGATCTACAAGCGTCTGCAATGCGGTTCAAGCGCGTCTACACCGTCCCTCACGTCAAGCATCAACGATGCCCGTCCCGCTCCTGATGCCGTCCCACACGCACGTCCCGTTGAGCGGGATGTACTGCTTCGTGATGACCTTGATTGCCTCTTGCGCGACGAGACCGCCCAGGAGAGCCGAAGTCTGCGGGAGGGTCGTCGAAGGCGGAGCGCGGGCGCTGCGAGACGAGCGAGCTGCGAGTCAGTTCTGCCGAACAGAGAGAGAAGTGTGTTGAAGGGGAGCACGCACACTTCCTTGCACACCTTCGTCAAGTCTTCCTTCCACTGCTCCGCATCGATGCCCATGCTCGCGAGGTCCTCCCCCTCGCTCCACTCCTCCACCAGCTTGACCGCAATCTTCGCGAGCGCCGCAGCGTCCGCTTCCCAGTCGACCGACGAATCTGCTTCGGCCGACGGAGCGGCAGAGGGGAGAGACGAGCCGGGGTAGCGGTTGTGCAGGGTTAGGAAGGTCGAGGCGGAGCGGAGGGCTGCGTAAATGTAAAGCGACGAGTCGGGCGGTTGCTGGAACGGGGCGGCTGAGAGAGTCGAGCCTACGATGTTCCAATGCGAGTTAGCGTAGGTCATCTGTCCCAGAGCGAGAGGCGAGACGAACCGATCTTTCCCTTCAAGGAGCAGTCGTTCTCCTCCTCCCTCAAGCTCCTCCCCCTGACGACCTTCAGCCACGCCGCATGCTTGACAAACGTCTCGACCTCCTCATCCGCGATCCTGCTCCTCTCGAGTCCGACACGGTCAAGCGTCTCACCAACGAGGTGCTTGACCAGCGCGAGGTCTTCACGCGCTTTACCCTTGTAGAGCGTTTGGAGGGTGACGTAGCCGGACGATGAGGCTTTCATGTCGGGAAGAGCGCCGGGAAGAGGAAGGAGGTTCGAGGGGTTGGAGGGATGGCGAACGAAGGCGCGAAGAGCGTGAACGAGGATCCAGAAGTTCGGGCTCTGCGAGGCAGTCGACCGGTCAGCGAAGAGCTTGAGGGTGAGATACTGCAGGAAAAGCGAACGAACAGAGGAAGAGACGTTTTCGCAAGCCGGGTCGTCGAAGAGCACCTGGACGTCGGAAGGAATCTGCATGACGCGATACGATGTCATCAACGGCTGCGTCCATGACGAAGCAATCTGGAGAACGTCCGCTCACTCACCCCGTGCTTCGTGCCCGCGCGCCTGTACAGCGTCACCGCCTCGTCAAAGTTCTCCTCGTCCGACTGCACCTTCTGCTTCATGACGCCGTTCATGAACGCCTTCCTCTCAGCCGATCCGGTGGGAACTTGGCCGCCATGCTGTGCGAGCGACTCCAGGTTTAGCGACGCGAGTTCGAGGATGGAGAGGAAGGGAGACGACGCACGCTCGCCTTCCACTCCTCGAGTGCCTTGATGAGCACAATTACAGCGGGAACGTGTCCGTGCTGTTCGGTGTCCATCGACGAGTAGTCGTACGAGTTGGCGTGCTCGACGAGGGCGGGGAAGGGATGCGAGAGGCGGAGGTCGACGATGGATTCGGGGTGGGTCTCGACGACTGCAGGTGACGTTGGCGCCGTCAGCTCGTCGAGCCAAAGGAGCAGCAGGAATGAGGACAGAGCGCGACCCACTCGTCAACTCCTTGACCTGCGTTCTCAGGGTGCCGTAGAAACCGCAAGTCTCGACCTTGATGAGGGGAATGTCCTGCTTCCATGCTGCGTCGGCGAGTGAGAGGAGTTCGGAAGGCGAAGCGACATCGACGGCGAGGATGAGGGAGTAGGGAGAGAGGTCGGAGAGGGAAGAGAGGGGCTGTAGCAGCATGGACCGGGTCAGCGCGCAGATTGCGCCTCGCCTGTGTCAGAAGAGCATGACACACATGGACAAGCGCCTCTCCCTGCACATCCCCGTTCAGCTCGAGCAGAAACTTGACGACCTCTTCCGCCTTGGGTTTGCCGACGCTCGAGGGGTCGATGAAGAAGTTGGCGCCGAGGTCAGACTCGTCGACGGCGACCGAGTCCAGTACGGTGAACCTGCCTACGCCTGTGTTCGTGCACGAGCGAGATGTCAGCGTCGGAGACCCAGGTGGGGGTCGATGCACGGAAGGGTCCTCCCAGCGTCGCAACCCCCTCGAACGGGGATCAAAACAGCGCTGACCTGGCAAGACGAGGTTCTTGAGCGTGCTCGTGGCGGTCGCGTTCCCGTTGACGACGAGGACGTGGGCGTTCTCGAGCGCACTCTGCCCGGACGACGCCCAAAGCCTGAGCTGCCTGTCGTAGCGCTGCTGCTTCGAGGAAGGCCTGTCCGAGGGCTTGACGGGGAAGTCTGGGACGGCGACAGCGTCCTGCACGGGCGGCGCAAGCGCGTCTTCGGTCGCCATCGCTTCGAGGTGAGCGGTCGAGGGGAAACCAAGCGGTTCGCCTCCTTCCCTCCGCTTGCTCTCGTGCTCGAGGCTGCCAGCATGGCTCCAGCGACTGACAGGTACTCGCACACGCGCGCCATCCTCGGCCCGCAGCTGTTCGAGCGCGTCCAGGACGCCCGTCTCCTCGTCGTCGGGTCAGTCTCCCCGCTCGCTCATCCTCAACCAGGGCGTGCTGCGGTGCATCGAAAGGGAGGAGAGCGCGTCCGGTACACGCGAGACGGTGGACCTGCGGACTCGAGGGCGGGAATGGATGGACAAGTCCGTCGAGGTCAATCGCGGCATACTCGAACGCTTTTTGTGCCCGATGGTCGACCGCTAAGCCGCCTTCTTCGCTCTCCTGGGTGAACGAACCGCTCTGATCGTCGCAGGCGGAAGCGGAGGGAGGCCATGGAGGACTTCGCTCTCGTTCCGCGTTTCCTGACGGGACGATCAGCTCGCCTGGTCAAACAGTGGCGTGTTTGACACAAGCGAACTCAAAGGCGCACAGAATGTAGAGCTGACGAACTCGCCTTGTACCGGTCTCCTCAAGCAGAGCGGGTGGAATCGGTTGCGAGTTGATCAAGAATTTGGGTGCGTCCGACGTTCTTGCCGTCAAACTACGCCGTCTGACCTTCGCCATAACCCTGTAGTCATGAGCGGGTTCGGCACGGGCGAGCGCGGCCTCATCGAGGTGCTCGACCTCGACACGATCGACCTGTCGAACCTGAATCGCCAGTTCCTCTTCCAGAAGCAACACGTCAAGCGACCAAAGGCTGTTGTGCGTCGATGTCGACCTCCCGAACGAGCGCCCAAGAGACTGACGAATCCGAGCGATCAGGTCGCGAAAGAGACGGCGCTCAAGTTCAATCCGCACGTCCACATCAACGCCTTGCACCGCAATATCAAGGTCCGTTCGGCATGCTCTTGCCCCTTCAGCTGCCACTGACCGTTGCGGATTTGCAGGATGACGAGTACAACGTCGACTACTTCAAGTCGTTCAACTTCGTCATGAACGCCCTCGACAACCTCGGTGCGTCCTGCTCGACCTCGCTTCTCTCCAGTCTTACGAGCTCATCATGTGCTCCTCCTTCGTACAGACGCCCGCCGTCACGTCAACAAGATGTGCCTCGCCGCCAACATCCCTCTCCTCGAGTCTGGCACGTCCGGCTACGTCGGCCAAGTCCAGCCTATCAAGCGCGAGACGACCGAGTGCTTCGACTGCACGGGTGTGTTCCGCTTTCGCTTGCCTGGTTCGAGATGCAGTGTGCGGATGGGCGGCAACGCTTGCTCCGCTCGGTGGCCTCTTGAAGGTGTCCAGCTAACGCCTCTGATCGCACTTTGCAGGCAAGCCCGTCCCAAAGACGTTCGCAGTCTGCACAATTCGCTCTACGCCGTCGACTGCGCACCACTGCATCGCCTGGGCCAAGTCGTACCTCTTCCCGTGCGTATGCGTCCGCCTTTCCGACCCTCCGTAGCGATACCTCGTTAGCGAGCACTGACCCTTCTCGATCGATGCACACAGCCAACTGTTCGGTGCGGACGACGAGGCGGATCAGCAGGAGCTTGATGATGCGGAGAAGAACGGCGAGAACGGTACGTCTCCGCTTGTTCGCTCACTCGGAGCTCTCTCGTCACTCGGACCCCTGATGCCAATGGTGATACGCATCCGCAGTGGAGGAGATCCAGGAGTTGAGGAAGGAGGCGCGCGCGATCCGAGAGTTGCGGGCGGGCTTGAACCTCGAGGGAGCGGCGAAGCGGGTGTTCGAGAAGGTGCGTTGCTCTCCGCGCGCGCTTGCTTCGCTAAACGTGCTCAGACTCGCACATGCGCAGGTCTACGTAGGCGACATCGAGCGCCTGCTCAAGATGGAGGACATGTGGGCGCACCGCAAGGCGCCTCACACGCTCAACTGGGATGAGCTCTCGTCCGCTCCTTCGACCTCCTCTTCTGCGCCGTCCACGAGTGACGCATCGAACGGTACGACGGCCGCGAACGGCAAGGATGAGGCGCGCATCAAGGACCAGCGCAAGCTGAGCATCAAGGACTCGTTCGACTTGTTCGTCGATGCGTGCGTTCACCTCTTCGTTCCTTCTCGATGACCTGGCTCATTGAGACTTACATGTGACCTCGCGGACTGTAGCGTCACCCGCCTCTCTGCCCGCTTCGACCCGCTTGGCGAGCCGCTCTCGTTCGACAAGGACGACGAGGACACGCTCGACTTTGTCGTCGGCGCAGCGAATCTCCGAGCTGCTGCTTTCGACATCGAGAGTCAGACGAAGTTCCAGGTTAAGGGTGCGTTCTTCCGCCGCTCAATTTCGGGTTGCGTCCGGAGCTGACTTGTCGTCAGCAATCAGAGTACGCCGGCAACATCATTCCCGCCATCGCAACTACGAATGCCATCATTGCTGCCGCACTCGTTCACCAAGCGCTCAACGTCCTCCGCTCCGACTGGTCTGCCGCCCGCACCATCTGGCTCAAGCGGACCTCGCAGCGCATCTTCGACGTCTCGCCTCTCAGTGCGCCGAACCCGCACTGTGCGGTCTGCCGCGTCGTCTATGTCCCCGTCAAGGTCGTTGAGGATGCGACGCTGGGCGAGCTTGTCCGCGAGTTGGTCGGCGAGGGGAAGGCGATCCCGTTCGAAGGGTTTGTCAGTGTGCAAGAGGGAACGAGGCTGCTTTGGGAGACGGAGGACTTTGAGGACAACGCGGAAAAGACGCTGAAGGAGTTGGGTGTCAAGGAGGGCAAGTTTGTCACGATCTCGGACGACGAGGACCACTGGCCCGTTCAGCTGTGCATCGGCAGGTGCGCTTCCTTTTCTACTATGCCTTACTTCCTCGCATCTGATGACATCGCCTCGGCAGCTACCTCCCGGCTTCCTCGACCGAGCGCATCGTACCCGACACCTCCGCCATTCCCTCGCCTATCCCGACTCGTGCTCCTCCACCCGCACCCGAAGCCGACTCCGACTCCTCCGACGTCGAAGATCTCGCTACAGTCGTCGAAGGCGCTGCAGCGACTGGTGCGGAAGCCGGCGCGCCTGGTGCGAAGGTCGTCGGGAAGAAGCGTTCGGCGGAGGAGGCGGGCCTGGAGGGCGAGGGAGACGAGGGGAAGAAGAAGAAGGTCGAGTACCTCGTGCTGGATGACGAGGACGGCGACGTCGTGATTGACTTGACGTAAAGCGCGAGGTCGTCGTTTTTGGCGGTAGGTAGATCGCTTGCCATCTAAACGTCCTACTCTCGCTTGGCTGTCATGCTATCTCGTGCCCGGCCGCGTCACCCTTTCGAAGCTGTCGGAAGCCAGGACGAGGGAAGCTGCGCGAGAGCGGGCGACGGTCGACTAGGCAGTCTGCGCGACTCTCAACTTACGTATAGAGTCCGCCAAGAGGAGGAGCAAGTCGCGCGACACAGCTCAAGCGGGCTGAGTGGAGTTATAACGTCTTGAAGACCAGTGCAGCAGTCATGCCTAGCACGCAAGCAGCCGTCCAAGTCTTACCATACGCGGACTGCCTGCTCGCGACGATATAGGATGAGGCGCGTTGCGAGGAGTCCGCCGTTCTCTTCCCCGACCGCTCTGTCTATGCAAGAGCACTGCTTCTCCGCGGATGACGTTGTCTGACAATCGAGCTGCTTTTTCTCGCCTTCTCTTCTCGCCTAGTGCTTCCCTTCTCACGGCCTCGCGCATCCCACTCGTCTTACGCAACGATATACTCACTGCACTCGCATTGCCAAAGTCACTGAGCGCTGGCTGAAAAGGAGGATGAAGAAAGGAGGAATAGAAAGAGAGTGCGCGAGAAGCTCCAGTCGTCGCGAGGGTGTCGAGCGCTCAGAATGCGCGCATCTGCCTTGCGGTGTCGGCGCGAGCTCGAGGGAAGAACGCGGAGAAGGACGTGTGGGCAATCGAGTGCTGTGAAGAGGACATCAGCGTTCGTTTCGGCTATGCGAAAGGGCGACAGACTTGTAGGGCTGCGTGACGAAGATGCTCGGCAGCGCAGACCTCGCAGCCTTGCACTGCTTTGTCAACAAGCGGCTACACGCAAGTAGCCCAAAGCAGCAGTCAGTTAGCGAGAAAGCGGGAGGCTGGAAGGAAGATTCTGCACACCGTGGTCTGGAGAAGCGTTGCAGCCGTAGGCTGTGGATCACTACCGGTCAGAAGTGCTTCAGAACAAGCTCGCAAGTATCTGGCAAGACTTGCCAGGGTGTAAAAGAGCTCCTCCATAGACAAATGGCGTGTGCGGCCCTCCATCGGCCACGACTTCGCCTTGTACTCCTCAAGGTGGTGCAGGGCGTGATCGCATCGTGATAAGACGCGCCCTATGTCTGCTGGGTGGCTCTCGAGGACGTGCCAGACATTCTTCCCCGTCTCGGTCTCCCACGCTTTGAGGTCCTTGTTGAGGGCTGGTTTGGCGTTCCTGAAGCAGGACATCATCTTTGCAAGCTTGAACATGAGGTCGCCCTGCATGTAATTGTCAGCTGGAAGACCGTTGGCGAGGTGACGCTATGCACCTTTGGCGTCTGAGCAAGCAAGATCCGGCCGTAAGCCTGACCGAGTGCGTGAGCGGTTGAGTCCTGACAAGGATTGCCGTCGATGCCAACGATGTCAAGATAGCGAGTGTCTCCAACCTGCGGGCGCGGTATTAGTACCCCACCCGAACCGTCCAGGCAGTCCAGGCAAGACGGGACTCACGACGATGCTCGCAATGTGAAGAAAGTACGCCTCAAGACTTGTGCACTTCGCGGTCGCCTCGTGTACGAGCGCGCTATCCATCGTGACCTGGTCCCGGATAGCGGCGAGCTGTTCCTTGACGACAGGGCGCGAAGCATCTTCGAGCGAACCCCAGTACGTGTCGACTGCGAAAACCGCGAGGACGCCCGCCTTCCAACTTCGATAGTAGCTCGTAGCCGCAATGTCTCGACTGAATTGTTCCCCCGGAAGGAGGTACGAAAGCCACGCGGGCAGTCGATAGTTCGAAAGGATGACGGGATGAGTGGCGGCCATGAGCTCGACGAGACGAGAGGAGACGTGGGAGGGAAGGGTCAGAAACAAAGAGAGGACCGCACAGGCAGACGAGCCCCGACAAACTCCCGAGCAAGATCCAATCCATCCTCCTCCGCGGCGTATCCGCGACGAGGAGAGGAGAAGCTTGGGAGAAGCGGAGTAAACGTCGGCAGTTGAGTCGGATCTGGTCGCCGGGTTTGCGTGTGTGTGTGGCGCGCGTAGTCTCTTGCAAGCCCGCCATTCGCCACAGGTTGTGCGAGCAAGCGGGCAAGTCCCGTTGAGCGAGCGAGGAGGAGCACATCGGGCAACACGGCTCAGACGAGCTGCGCCAGTCCTGAAGCGCAATCGGCGGCATACTGAAATCAGAGCTAGCGAGGAAGCAGCCCTCCAAGCGGCGTTGTCGCGTTCGAGGTGATGAGGACGAGGGCAACCTCGCTCTCTGGAGGAGACCACGACCTCGCTGTTGCTCCCAGCTTGTTTGTGACCGGCTAGACTGCTCAGGACAGTGCTACAGACTCACGCGAACCCCGCCAGACCCGCTCGAACGGCGTTCACCCACCCTCCCGTCCTCGCTCTTCACGTCACCCGCACGACCGCCCTCTCCTCTCGCACGCCAGCTTGAACCGGTTAGGATGTACGGCGGACCGTCAGCAGCACGCTCTCCCCCGCCACTGCAGCACCCGCGACCCCAGCACCCGCCGTCACAGATCCCCTCGCAGTCCCCACCTCCCGACGCCTTTGCGTTCAGCTCGTCGAACACGTACCAGCGTTTCTCGTCTCCGCCAGTACAGGGCGGGTCGCATCTCCATCAGAACATGGCGGCGCAGCATGCGTACTCGCACGGCGGTGGGGCGACGCCGGACGCTTACATCCCTGCTGGAGGAGGACCGTATGGCGGACAAGCGCAGGGAGGGTATGCGCCTTCGCCGCTGAGAGCGCAGGCGGGTAACGTTGCGTGGATGGGCGGCGGGGCGGATTCGGGACCTTCAGGGCCGATGGGGTCGGGACTGGCGGGCGCGACGAGTCCCGGTGCTGGAGGAGCGGGACCTGGCGTAGGTGCGAACGGCGCGATGGGTGGATGGCCGGCGATGGGCAACATGGGCGGTATGGGCGGGATGATGAACGATGCGACGGCGCAGATGGGCGTACAGTTCGGCAAACACGCCTTCACGGCCGGCCAGGCGTACCTCGACAAGAACTTTACGCGGCTCCTCCCTCTCGCGCACCTCAAGCACAGCTTCAACGTCTCGAACTCGTATGTCGTCAACAAGATTCGACTGATCCTCTTCCCCTGGCGGCACAAGCCTTGGAGTCGGAGTGTCGTCCGGAACGAGTCGACAGGCGTCGCGGAAGGGTGGAAGCCGCCTCGGGAAGACCTCAACTGTCCGGATCTGTACATCCCAGGTGCGTGTGGACTCAGTCCTCTACAAGCTACGCCTCGCTAACCCGGATCCGCTCCGCAGCCATGGCCCTCGTCACCTACATCCTGCTCTCCGCCGTAACCGCCGGAAAAGCCGGTACCTTCGACCCCAACATCCTCGGCAACTCTGCGAGTCGGGCATTCGGGATCCTCACGCTCGAGTTTGTCCTGATCAAGCTGGGGTGCTACTTGTTGGGCATTGGAGAGGAGGGGACCGTCGTGGATTTGGTCTCGTACGAGGGGTACAAGTTTGTCGGGTGCGTCGCGTCCTTTTGCACAGTTCCCGCTGCAGTATGCTTGCAGGCGGAGCTCGCGTGCTGACGAAAGGACCGGGCGCAGCGTCATCATCGCACTCGTCGCTGGCTTGATGGGCGCAACAGGCTGGACCTTCTGGCTCGTCTTTCTCTACGTCGTCCTTGCCAACTTTTTCTTCCAGGTGCGTGCGCGCCCGTTCTCAGCAGCTCAAATGGCGAGCTGACTGTTCTTGCACACGCAACTCACCCTTCCCTTCTCGGTCTACAGCTCCGATCCCTGCGCCACCTCGTCCTCCCCGACCCGTCCATGTCACCTCTCGACCACGGCGGCGACCACAGCATGCAGACGACTCCCTCGCACTCTCAGCGTGCCCGGCGGATCCAGTTCTTGTTCGTGATTGCGGCGGCACAGGGACTGAGTATGGGCGTGCTGGTGAGGGTGTAGGGGCGGAATTGGATGGAGTACATGGTGGTAGAGCGTGTGGGACGTGCACTTGTCATTTGCAGCAGCATTTCCGAGCAGTTGTCCTGGTCGCCCTTGTCCCCTCCTTGCCTCTTGCCTTCCGCCACCTCTTGGCTTGATCCTCCGCTGACCACTCGCTGACTGTCAGTCTCGCCGACGTCCGCTGTCGCACAAGTGGTTGTCCGCTTGCCCACTTTGCCCGCATGCGAGGATCTCTCGGCTGGCGGCATCCCTTGGGTGCTCTTCTCATCTTGCGTGCTGACCAAGCTCGCTCGTCGAGGCGGACTGCTGCCGCACTCGTTCTCTTGCTTGCTGCACTCTGTGTCGTCCACACACATCACACACTCCCACGATGACAGTCCCCGTCCCCTCGCTCAACAACGGCCACTCTTCCACCGCTGCCACTACTCGCACACCAGGCTTCTCAACCCGCGCCATCCACGTCGGGTCAGAACCAGAGAACTCAATCTCGCGCGGCGTAAACACCCCACTCGACCTCTCGACCACCTACAAGCAGGACCGAGTCGGCGTACACGCTGGGTTCGAGTACTCGCGCTCGGCTAACCCCTCTCGACTCGCGTTCGAGCGCGCGATCGCTTCGCTCGAGGGCGGGGATGTCCTCCTCTCCCAAGCGTTGAAGGACGAGGGTATCGACGAGCGCGAGTCGGAGGCGGGTCCACCGGGCGTTGCGTTCTCGAGCGGGAGTGCGGCGACCGCGACGGTTATCCAGGCGCTTGGAGGACACGGCGGACACCTTGTCAGTGTTGGGGACGTCTATGGCGGGACGAGCAGGTACCAGTTGAAGATGGCCGGACCGTTGCAGGGGTTGGAGACGACTTATGTCGACATGAGCTACTCGTGCGTGCCCACATCTTTCTCCTGCACGTTTTGACGGAATTGACGGTGTGGACGGGCGCAGCACGAAGCCGGACGGCGGCAAGGTCGAGACGGAGGAGGAGCAGGACTCGGTTATCGTCGACCGTATCGAGCAGGCTATCCGCCCCGAGACCAAGGTGCGTGTCGGTTCGCTGAGCGTTCGAGTGAGCGGCGGGAGTGCAGCGGTCGAGCTGCGTCTTCTATCGCTCCTGTCTGAGGCGATCATACTGACCCTCTCGCTCACTTCCTCTCGCCGCAGCTCATCTGGATTGAAACACCGACGAACCCGATGCTCTCGCTCGTCCCCATCGCACTCGTCGCCTCCGTCGCCAAGAAGCACAATCTCTACCTCGTCGTCGACAACACCTTCGCGTCTCCCTACCTCCAACAACCCCTCCTCCTGGGAGCCGACATCGTCGTCGCCTCGTCGACGAAATACATCGGCGGCCACTCAGACGTCGTCGGCGGCCTCGCCGTCACGGGCAACCCTGCCCTACTCTCAAAGTTGCGCTTCATCCAGAACGCAGGTGGCGCAGTCCCCTCCCCTTTCGACGCCTACCTCCTCATTCGATCACTCAAGACTCTCGCCCTCCGCGTACGAGAACACTCCCGTAACGCACTCGCCGTCGCAAGGTGGTTGGAGGAAAAAGCGATCCCTGCTGGGCTGGTGCGGGACGTCCGCTACCCTGGCCTCAAGCGCGCGCAGGAGACGCCAGCGCAGAAGAGGGAGCGATACCTCGCGTGGGACCAACTGAGCGACGAAGCGAAGCGCTGGCTTGCTCGCGAGGGATTCACCCGCGACAGTGAGGGAGGATTCCCAGCCGGAGGCATGGTGTCGTTCCATATTCGCAGCGGGAGCGCGCAGAGCCAGACGGAGACGAGCGTGGCGGAGACGTTCTTGGAGACGCTGAGGGTTTTCACACTTGCGGAGAGTCTGGGAGGGGTGGAGAGTTTGGCCGAGTTGCCGCTTAAGATGACCCAGTGCGTCTTCGCTCCTTCTTCCCTCCCTCTCCGAGATCTTGCTGACTGACGCTCGGGTGCAGCGGCGGCGTCGACCCTACTCACCGCGCCAAACTCGGTATCGACGGCGAATTGATCCGTCTCTCCGTTGGCGTCGAGGACGTTGAAGACCTTTTGCACGATGTCGAGACGGCGCTCAAGGCGGCGGTCAAGGCTTAGAGCGGAGGAGGAGTTCTCTAGGATGTAGGAATACTTAGACGGGATTCGTTTCGACTGCTTGGAATCGACGGACTGGTCTCCTCGAAGACGCCTGCTTGCTACTTGGCCTCATTTCTCTCTCGCTTTCCTATTCCCTCTGCTCGTACGGCGTCGTCGTTGTGGTCGTCGTCTCCATCGTCGCTGCTGACTCGGTTCGCCCCTCGGCAGCCCTCCTCGACGAGGCTGTGCCCCACCTCCTCTCCTTGCTCCCTCTCCCTCTCCCTCTCCCTCAAACCGATCCACACCGCCAAAGATGCCTCGCCAGGTCTCTAGCACGAGCGCAATGTGCCTCTACCTCATCGGATTGTGCGTGCGCTCTTTCAGGCTGGGGCGGGCGTCCTCAGGAGGAGAGGGTAGATCCGTCGATGGACGGTCGGGAAAGCTATGCAGACACTTGCTGACACCGTTGTCGTCCTCCGTACACTCCCACGATCGCTCCGACTCGCTTCCTCCATCATACAACACCCGCAAGCCATCCCCTCCTCGTCGCCTTCAACCTGCGAACCCGCCTCGACCCGACCTCAGCTTCATCCCGCCTCTCGCAGTCGCGATGACAGCAGGATGCGGACTCGCGGATGTCCTCATCAACATCTGCTTGTGGGTCCTGGGTGCGTGCCGGCTTTCTCTTCCGGTCGACGAGGACAGGGAGCTGATGGTTTGCCTTCTGCTTGGCGTTGGCAGGTTGGATCCCGGGCGTTATCCACGCCTGGTGGCTCATCTCGAAGAGCGAGAGGATGCAGACGCGTACGGCGGTGCCGGCGGGCCAGGCGTACCCTGCCAGGGCTTACTAGGCTCGCGGGGACTGGAGGAGAGTGAGGCGGATACCCACGGAGGACAGTAGCGGAACGCTTGATGGACTACCCTTTTTCGCTTACATAGACACTTGGCACTCAGTTCTGCACATGCGATTCATTCACTACTACAACCGCCCGTCTACGCTGGCAGGCGAGAAGACCGTCGCGGAGAATCGAGCAGCGATGCTTCCCGACGTCCTCTTTTCCTCCGCTAGGTAGCTCAAGCTTGAAAGTCCTACAGACTCGTCAAATGCTTCGCTCGATGCTTCCAGTTGTCGTGCGCCGAGAGGACAGTGACGACTGTCGCGTGGTCTCCTAGCTGACCTTCCCAGCGCAAAGGCGCTCTTACTCTTGCTCCGTTCGCCGCCTGACTCCTTCGCACCACGGCGAGTACTTTAGAAACTCGCAGGAGTCGTTTGCGACAGCGCGAGTTGAGGTGCGACTACGCACGACAGGGGTCCGCGAGGAGGCGACTTTGCTAACGTCGACCTCACTTCCTCTGCACTGTACGTGTACCGGATAGCTTAGAGTCGGTTCAAACACGCTACCAAGCCACTGAAAGACCGGGCCTGTGGTTGTGACCCTCCTCCTCCTCCTCGTCGACGTCTCGCTCTCGCTCCTCCCTCCCGCTGATATTCCCCCCTGCGCGCCCAGCGCCCCCTTTCCACCCTTTACCGACTCACAGCGGGCCATGACAGGCTACTACAACTTCAAGACGCTGATCAAAGCCATCCGGGCTACCAAGACGATCGCGGACGAACGCGCGCTCATCGTCAAGGAGTCGGCGGCTATCAGGAGCAGTTTCCGTGAAGAGGGTGCGTCTCGCAAGCTCGTTCGACTTGCCTGCAGCGAGGGAGGGGAGGGGATGGAGGGTTCGATGAGACGCGTCTCGAGGATGGGAAGGGGCGGAAACACTACGGGAGGGACTGGACAGGCTACTGGGTGCTTCAAGGAGGTCAGTGAGCACGTACAGAGGTCGTCCTGGTCGGCGCAGCGCACGAGGAGGCGGACTGTGCGGGACGTGGTGGTGCTCCTCGAGGCGCGAGTTGGCTCATACGGGCGCTGAGAGGCTCTTCGAGGACTTGACAGAGGCGGAGGACTCTCTACGAGTCTAGCAAGGCTCCGGTCCGCCTCGAGTTGCGCGCTGACACCGCTCCCTCCCCGTCCTCGAAACAGACTCGCACGCACGGCACAACAATGTCGCCAAGCTGCTGTACATCCACATGCTCGGCTACCCTGCCCACTTCGGCCAGATCGAGTGCTTGAAGCTGGTTGCGTCGCCCCGGTGAGCCCTCGTTGTTGCTCGACTTTCGGAGACGGAACTGACGAGGGTTCACGCAGGTTCACGGACAAGCGGCTAGGGTATCTGGGGATTATGCTGCTGCTCGATGAGAACCAGGAGGTGTTGACGCTGGTGACGAACTCGCTCAAGAAGTGCGTCTCCCTCCCAACTGCCCTGTCGAATCGCGGGCTAACCTGGAGATTCCCGCCCGCAGCGACATGAACCACTCCTCCGCACCGACCGTCTCCCTCGCGCTCTGCACCTTCGCCAACATCGCCTCGGAGGAGATGGCTCGCGACCTCGTGACCGAGATCGAGCGATGTCTCGGCTCGAGCAACGCCTACATCCGCAAAAAGGCTGCCCTCGCCGCCTTGCGCTCGCTGTACAAGGTCCCGGAGCTGGTGGACCACTTTGAGGGACGCGCGATCAGCTTGTTGAGCGATCGCGTGCATGGTGTGTTGTTGACGGGTGTCACGCTCGTGACGGAGATGGTTCGCTTGGTCGGCGGAGAGCCGTTCCGCTCGGTGCGTTCGCGAGCGTCTTGCAGATATCACACTCGTCTGACGGGCTATCCTTGCGCAGGCCGTCCCACTGCTCGTGCGGCACTTGAAGGCGCTCGTCACGACGAACTACTCTCCCGAGCACGACGTCAGCGGCATCACCGACCCCTTCTTGCAAGTCAAGATCCTGCGACTGCTGCGACTCCTCGGCAAGGGCGACGTCGAGGCGAGCGAGACGATGAACGACATCCTTGCCCAAGTCGCGACCAACACCGAGGCGGCCAAGAACGTCGGCAACTCGATCCTGTACGAGACGGTCTTGACCATCCTCGAGATCGAGGCCGACAGCGGATTGCGCGTCATGGCTATCAACATCCTTGGCAAGTTCCTCGGCAACCGCGACAACAATATCCGCTACGTAGCGCTCAACACCCTCCTCAAGGTCGTCTCGATGGACACCAACGCCGTACAGCGCCATCGCGCCATCATCCTCGACTGCCTCCGCGACGGCGACATCTCGATCCGCCGGCGCGCGCTCGAGCTCTCGTACGCTCTCATCAACGAGTCGAACGTTCGCGTCCTCACCCGCGAGTTGTTGGCGTTCCTCGAGGTCGCCGACAACGAGTTCAAGCTCGGCATGACGACGCAGGTGTGCAGCGCGGCGGAGCGGTTTGCGCCGAATCGGAGGTGGCACATCGACACGGTCCTGCGCGTCCTCAAGCTGGTGCGTCCCGGACCTGCGCCCGCTCCTGGCCTGCGTGAGCTGACTCTTTGGCGGTACAGGCCGGCAACTACGTCCGCGAGGAGGTCCTGTCGAGCTTCATCCGCCTCGTCACGCACACGCCCGACCTGCAGAGCTACACCGTCTACAAGCTCTACACCGCCCTTCGCGCCGATGTCTCGCAAGAGGCGCTCACTCTCGCCGGCGTCTGGACGATTGGAGAGTATGGCGACGTGCTCCTGCAGGGCGGGACGACGGTCGCGACGGGCGAGGACGAGGAGAGTCAGGCTGCGACGAGCGAGGCGGTCAGCGAGAAGGACGTGCTCGACTTGCTCGAGAAGATCCTCGTCTCGCCTTACACCAACACCAACATCCGCCAGTTCGTCCTCACCGCACTCGCGAAACTCTCGACTCGCTTCTCCCAGCCCGACCAGATCGCTCGCATCTCCAAAATCATGCACGGGTACGACTCGAGCGTCGAGCTTGAGTTGCAGCAGCGCGCGATCGAGTTTGGCAAGCTCCTCACGCTTGACTCGGTCAAGACGGGCGTGCTTGAACGGATGCCGCCGCCGGAGATCAAGGCAACGGTGATGGGAACGGGTGCGTCCTAGTCCCCTGTTCCGCGTGAGGTGTCTAGCTGACAGCCATCACGCGCAGTGAGCGAGAAGCGACCAGTCGGTTCGTTGCGGCGGGACAAGGACGCCTTGCTGGACTTGATGGGGGACGAAGCGGCGAGCCCGACGACAGCGGGCGCAATGCCGGCAGCCCAGCAGCAGACAACGCAGGACCTGCTTGCCGACATCTTTGGCAACGGCGACTCGACTCCTGCGCCCGCAGCACCACAAGCTGCCGCTCCCGCATCCTCCGGCGTCAACGATATCATGTCGCTGTTTGGCGCGACGTCGCTCTCTCCGCAACCTACCGGCGCATCCGCCTCTTCCGCAACGCCTTCCGCTGCTTCCGACCTCTTCTCCTCCATGTCCATCACTCCTGCCGCTCCCTCCCCCGCACCTGCCGCCTCTCCCGCACCTTCCGGTCCGACCGCTCACGAAGCGTACAACCGCAACGGCCTGCGCATCACCCTCACCGCCGTCCGAGACGCGAACAACCGCAACGTCGCCAACATTCTCGCCAAGTTCACGTCGACACAGCTCGTTTCGGGAGTCAACTTCCAGGCTGCCGTCCCCAAGGTGCGCTACAGCAAGCGGCTAAAAACGAGAACATTTCGCTGACACTCCCGATTCTCTCCTTGCAGACCCAGAAGCTTCAGATGCTCGCCATGTCGAAGCAGGACGTCCAGCCCGGCGCAACCGAGACGCAGCAGCTGCGAGTCATGGTCGCCGCACCCGGCGCTCTCGTCCGCCTGCGCCTGCGGATCGCGTATTCGGTTGGCGGACAGCAGCACCAGGACCAGACGGACTTCTCCTTCCCGGCGGAACTCATGGCGGGTCCTTGAGCAGCGCGAGGAGACGAGATGTAGACTATCCTTCGTGCCGCCTTTCACGACGTGCAACACGCTCGCATGCTTCTTGAGGTTAACGTCTTGGCAACAATGCGATGCAAATCTACGAGAGAATGTCTGTTCGGAAGCGGCGAATGGCAAAGACGCAAGGAGAAGCGGCGCGTCTAGGCGATCTGCTGCTGGTAGCGCGCGAGGAGGTTGGCGACCTTGTTGCTGCGCCCGGTCGATGCCGCCAGCCCAGTCGGGGCACTCTCCGACGCCGTCATCGTGGCACCCGGTATGCGGATTGACCGAGAGGCGGAGGAAGGAGCGGGACGCCCGATGGTCGTGTTGAGGAAGGGCGCAGCAGGAGACGACCTGTCCTGTGCGGGAGATGGCTGAAGCGAGGCCGGACGTGCGCGAGTCGGTGTCGCCGAGTTGTGCGGCGTGAGGGGCTTCGAGGCGGGAGACGGAGCGTCGCTAAGCTGGATGGACGACATCGACTTGCTCGGCTTGTGCAGCTTCGGAGGTGGAGAAGCAGTCTTCTCGCGCTGCATAAATAGCGAGTCAGCGATGTACGTCCGAAGCGAGAGAACGGGCACGCACGTCTGCTTCCTCCACCCGCTCTGCCCAGATCGATGCAACACTCCTGACCTTGCCCGGCTTGGTCGCCTTGGCCGACCTGTGGGCGAGCTCGTCCTTGCTGACTTGCGCGTCGTGCTCGAGCGAGGCCAGGTAGCCATCCAAGCCCTTCTTGACCGCAGAGGACGGCTTGAGACCGGTAGGCGCGCTCTGCTGGATCTGTCGGAGAGCTGCGCGATTTTCAGCCGCAAGGAGCTGCGCAACAGTCGGCTCTTGCCGCGTCTCCTCGGTACCAACGGACGAAGGCGGAGACGGAGCAGGCCGGCCGAAGTCGACGGTGAAGCGCTTGTTCCGCGAGGAGGACTGGAAAGCCGTCCTCTCCGGCTGCGACGGCGGTGGAGCGACGTCCGCATCTGGGCTGCCGCTGTCGCGAAGCCAGCCAGTAACTCGGTCGACAGCATCACGCTTGAGCTCCTTGACCTCAACCACATCCACGACCTTGCGACCGGAAACGTTGACTGGCGAGACAGGCGAGACAGGCGCATCGAGCGATGCCGGAGACGGCGATCGCGCGGGAGTGGTTGCCGCTTGCGGCTGGAGGCGAGCAGACGACCAAGGCGAGGGCGAGGCGGCTTTGCTGGACCAAGGCGAGGCCGGCTTCTTGGCTGCGGGCGAAGACTCGGTCGCAATCGTCTCAGGCACGGGCTTCCTCGTGGTGAAGACGGGACGATTCGACGACTTCGTTGGCGAGATTGGCGCGGACGGAAGCGGAGATGCAGACGATGGCGGCTGAGGATGGGCGGCACCAGCGTTAGGGGCTTGCAAAGGCGGTGTGGGAAGAGCTCGGCGAGGCGAGGGGGGCGAGACTGCCGGCTGCGAGGGTCGAGGTGGCTCGGCAAGCGTGAGCGGGCGCGGCCTCTCCTTCGTTACAGTCGTCGTTGCGCTCGCCTCGGGTGGCGGTAATGATGCGGCAGGCGAAGCGATGGCCTGCTGTGCCCACGGTGCCTTCTGCACGGCCTGGCGAACTGCCTCAGTCGGGTTGGCCTCGACCTGCTCGACCTGCGCCTGAATCTCCCGATACCGGCTCGCACGGCTGATGCTGCGTGCCCGAAGTGCGCTTGTTGGTGCCGCATTAGGCGCGTGCAAAGACGGCGAAGGCGCTCTGCTAGGCTTGATGGGCGAAGGCGAGCGAGACGAGAGGGACAGGGCGGTCAAGTCGGGCGTGACTGGTCGAGCGAGGCGGGCTTCGAGGGCCGACAAGCCGCCTACGTCGCGCTTCGGCGGGTTCGACGGAGAGGGCGACGAAGGGAAAGGAATAAGAGGAGGAGAGGTGGGCGTCAAGTCGGCTGATCGCGAAGCGAAGATGTCCTGCGCCTTCGGTCGGATGGCCTCCTCCTGGGAACGTGCAGGCAAAGGCGGAAGCTGCTTCTCTTCGACGGCTTCTGCAACCTCTGCGCTCTTCGGACTATTCGCCGCGCGAGCCTCCTCCGCCCTCCGTTCCTCCTGCTCAACGAAATCCTCAAGGTCCTGCACGCTGTTCCTGCCCGGATTGTTCGCCGACGTGAAGCTTTTGACATCCTCGTCGCCGTCCTGTGAGACCTTCAGCGCATCTGCCATCCCAGCAGGAAGCATCGCGCTGCGAGCCGTACCGGCCTGCGACTCGCCGTCCTCGCCGATCGTCTCGAGCAGACCGGAAGCAGTCGGCGCGAGGGCTGCGACGAAGGTTGACTCGACGGGAGAAGGTGAAGGCGAGGGAGACTGGCGGAAGTGGGAGGAGGGCGCAGCCGGAGGAGGGGTACGAAGAGGCGTACGCGAGCGAGGGGGCGGAGGAGGCATCGCCGCCGAATCCTCGAGCTGGCGGTGAGAGGGAACCGGGCTGGGACAGGGTCGAGGCGGGGTCGGCGGGGTCGTTGAAGCCGGCTCGTGTCCGGAGGGAGGTGCGCTGTTCTGCCGCAGAGCGTGATGATGCAGGTACGGGAGGTTGCTGCCGGTCCTCGGGTCGTGGTGCGCGCGCTCTGCAGCGACATACGGCTCGAGAGGCGCGATGTTGGCTTGTACTTGCTCGAGTTCGTAAGGCGTCAAGTTGAGATCGGCCGGGAGTGTGTAAGCGCGGGAGGGCGGTCGTACGGCGTAGTGATGGGCGACTGGGCTGACGCCGGGCGGAGGTGCATGCGAGACGGGAGGAGCATATCCGACGAGGGAAGGAGGAGGAGGCGGAGTCGAAAACGCCTGCTGGTGCTGCATGCCGCCCATGAAGCCAGATACGCTCAGGTCTGGGACGCGAGGATCGAAGGCGACGTAGCCGTTGGGGGCGTTATGCTGGAGGGCCGACGGCACGGGGTCGCAGAACTCGGCAGCAGCGACTGGCGGCGGAGGGAAAGACGGAGCGGGCCTGGAGTGCGGGTAAATCGCGGACGAAGAAACGGCCGAGGACATCGAGATAGTCGATTCCGCATAGTGAGCTGACCGAGGAGCGGGTGTTCCGGGCAGAGGCAGCTGGTCGGCGAAAGCAGGAGCGAAAGGTTCGGGAGAAAGGGCGTGGTATGATGCTGGAGAGGAGGCGCCGATGGTCGATGGGGAGTAAGGGATGCTTGGCTCGGTCGAAGCGGGTGCAGGTGCAGGTGCAGGTGCGATACGAGCTCGCTCGTCGGCTGCGAAGCGGTGGGCGGAGTTGGGCAGGGAGAGCGGGTGCGCAACCCAGATGGGGATGTCAACCGCAAGGGGTTTCCTGCGAATCAGAGTCAGTATTAGACAGCGAAAGACTGGGACGAGAGCTTACTGCAGAAACCCGCACTCGACCTCGACCCTCAGCACGACGTCCAGCTCGAAAAGCGTTCCTTTCCGCACCGTCCAGCACTCGTCAGGCGGGACCGACATTCCAAGGACGACAGCTCGCTCGCCTTGGCTTCGCACGTCGTAGTCGATGCCGTGAAAGCGCTCCGTTGCGATGACGGTCGAGACGACGGGAGGTTCGACGAGGGGACGCGTTCCCTCGGGATACAGGATGCGCAGGCGGCGATGAAGCGAAAGCTTGAAGCCGGTGACCTACGACAGAGGATGTCAGCAAGCGCATCATGGGCGCGACGAGCTGCCTACGCACATGCCGTTTGCTCATGTTGCGAACCCTGGCGTTGACCTCGATCTTGGTCTTGCCAGACACCTCCATGTCGTGGTCGCCTCGCCAGAACAGCCTCGCCGGCTTCTCCGCCCAGTCTCCCATGCCCAGCTGAGCCGTCAACTCGAGCTGGCCATCTCCACCCATAGCGAGCTTCTCCGCCGCCTTCCGCTCACTGCCTTTTTGCCACGGTCCCTCCCGCCACTCTGCCCATCGCTCGACGACCTGCACCTCCATCTTCTCGCTGCGAATGTCGATGTTGCCCTCGAGCAGCGAGCTCGCGAACGCTCGAAGCTCGTACCGAGTTGTCGCGTTCGAGCCGAGCGAGCAGGATGAAGGCATGTTGGCTGGAACATTGAAGACGAAGGCGAAGCGGGTCCGGCCGGGAAGGGCTGGGTAGAACGCGGATTGTATGGGTCGCGAACCGGGGACGACGGCATTCGAGGGAGGAAGACCGTTGCCCTGGAAGTCGAGGCGAGTCGAGAGGAGGCGTCGAGTCGAGGTGTGGTCGCGCGAGCGCAGTTCTGGGGACGTTTGGCAGTGTCAGTAAGTTGTTTTGAGCTGCTGCACTGCTCCTGCTTCTCCCACGACCGCCAGCCCGTCCGCTCCTCGCGAGCGGCTCGTGTTGAACGACCAAGAGGAGATGAGGTTCCCGCGCCGCCAGCACGCCCCGAGGGTGCCGCCAAGCTGCTCCGGCGAGATTCTAGACAGTTTCAAACTCCCACAAGCCTCAAAGACAGCCCGACTCACGCTCGTGCGCCGTGAACTCGACCCCGACCTCTCCGAGTGCGATCCGTTTGTCGCGGACGCTCAGCTCAAGTACGCCCTTAATTTGTTGTCCAGAGACGTAGGCATTCCGTTCGATGCCAATCTTGAGCGACAGGCCGCGCCCAGCGTGTCCTTGGCCATCAGGAGCAGGTGCAGCCGGGAGTTGTCCATTGTGCGATCGCAAGTCGGCGGACGAGACTGGGCGGGCGAGAGGCGGCATGGCCTGCCCGTGGTGGTGCGAGTGCGAGTTGGAAAGAGCAGTCAAGCGTGTGGAAAAGGAGCGAAAGCTAAAAAGCGAGTGACGAGAGGAGGAGGAAGAGGAGGTTCGACGCTCCTGACAAGGTCGGATGAGTATGGCACTTTTTTGCAGCGCAAGCTGCGTCCTTCTACGACGTCTAGACTACACCAGCACTCGAGCGACCGATCGCCCGTGCGCCGCCAGCCTGCAACTCGAGCTGCGGCAGCGGCCTCACTCCCTGCTCGCCCTTCCTCGGCGGCTGCTCGAGGAAGTCAGCCGCGATGAGCCATGCGAGGTACCGCCCCATCTGCGCATCGTCAACCGTGACCGCCTCGGGCTGATGGGCACCCTTGAGGAGCGCAACCGTGTTCGAGTCGTCGAGCTCCGCCGCCTTGGTCGACGTCGGCAAGTCGTCGAGGACGAAGTGCAGCAGCGGGAAGAGGGCGTTGTCTTGGACGCGCAGGACGTGCTGCTCGAGGAGTGTCCGCCAGGGAAGGTATTCGGTCGTCGCGACGTTGTAGCCGTACAGTTTGAGCGCAGCGAGGAAGCCGTTGAAGCGGGGCGCCGGGCGCGCCGTGACGTGGTGGACCTTGAGATCCGTCGACGGGTCCTGCAGGGCGGCGCAGGCGGTGATGCGGGCGACGTGGTCGACGGGGACCATGTTGATCGTGTTGTGAATGTCGGGAATGTGGCCAAGCTGAATGCAACCCTTGACGAGCCGCCAGAGGAAGTCGTCCGTGTTGGTAACGGCAGACGTCGAGTCGCCGACGATGTAGGCGGGGCGGACGATCGAGCCGGCGAGTCCTCGTCGGCCAGCCTCAAGGACGAGGCGCTCCGAGACCCACTTCGACTGGCCGTATCCGCCCTTGAGGCCGACCTTGCCGGCGTCGAGGCTGTCAGACTCGGGCACACCCTTGCCTCCAGCCTGGACAATACTGTCGGCGAGGCGGACGTAGTGCGCCTTCTCGATCGCGGCGGTCGTCGAGACGAACGAAAGCGCCTTCGGGCGGGACGTCGCGGCGAGCTCGATGACGGCGAGGGTGGCGAGGACGTTGGCGGCGCGCAGCTGCTTGTAGGGGTAGACCCAGTGGACCTGCGGCACGAAGTCCGTCAGTTTGAGTCCTGAGAGGAGAGCGAAAGAAGACACACGATGGCACCGTTGTGAACGATCACGTCCGCCTCCTGTGCGACGCGCTGCCAGTCCTCCTCGTTCATGCCGAGCTTCTCGCCCTCGAGGTCACCAACAACGACCTCGAGCCTTCCCTCCTCGACCCACTTCTCCTCCCACGCTCCTCGTCCCTCCCCACTCTCCCGCAACCGCTGCATCGCCTTCTCCTTCGACCCAGCACGGACGTGGCAGATGACCTTAGCGACTTGTCCGCCGCGCCTGTCGAGCGCGAGGAGGTCGCGAAGGATGAAGGCGCCGAGGAAGCCGGTCGCACCTGTGAGGAAGACAATCTTCTTCCCCTCGGAGGGTTGGGGCTTCTCGTACGACGCGCGGAGAGTCTTGGTGAGCGCCTCAGCATCGTCCGAGTACTCGGTGTCGACGGCGCCGTTCGCAGCCGAGCCACTCGCAGCGTTCGAGCCGGCTCCGAGGCCGAGGTCAGCGTCGCGAAGCGAGTCAAGTTCCTTGGCGAGCGAGCGGATGGTCGGGTAATCAAAGACGAGACCGAGCGGCGCGCCGGGCACGAGTGACTTGCGGAGCTCGAAGATGAGCCGAGTCGCCAGGATTGAGTGGCCACCGAGGTCGAAGAACGAGTCGTCGAGGGGGATCTCGGCGGGAGGGGACGGCAAGAGCTTGAGCCAGATGTCGTGGATGGTCTTTTCCGTCGGGGTGAGCTTCTGCGCCGACGAGCCGGACGAAGGGCCCGAGACGGACGAGGCGGCGGCAGCGACCGTGTCGGGGAAGGGAAGCGCCGGCTTGTCGACCTTGCCGTTCGGGTTGAGCGGCATGCGCGCGAGCGGGACGATGACGGACGGGACCGAGTACGAAGGAAGCTTGGTCTTGAGGTACTCGCGGATGTTCTTGATGAGCCGTCCGTAGCGCCTCAAACCCTTGGCGACCTCGTTCTGCGAGACCTTGTTCCCCTCGCGCTTGCTGTCGGCTTCGTCCTCATCCTCGTCGCCCGAGACGAGTCCCTCGAGCTCCTTCGACCCGACGAGCGGCACGAAGTACGCCACGAGTACCTTCTCCTCGTACTTGTCTCTGCGGACGAGCGTGACGTTCTCGCGTACGGCAGGGTGGCGGGACAGGTGGGTGTCGATCTCGCCAAGCTCGATACGGAACCCACGGATCTTGATCTGGTCGTCAGCACGGCCAGTGCACTCGACGGTCCCGTCGGGGTTGTACCGGCCCAAATCGCCAGTGCGGTACATCCTGTCCCTGACGCCGTGCCACCACTCCTTCCACGGCTCGTTCGAGCCGCGAATCGAGTCCTCCCGCTCGACTCCCTGCCCGAACCAGTTCTCGACGAACTTCTCCCGCGTCGCGTCGGGGAGCTGGAGGTAGCCCTCTGCGAGTCCTCCCGAGCGGACATAGATCTCTCCCACCTCGCCTACCGCGCAAATCTGGTTCTTGTCCGCGCGGTTGACGACGAGGAGCTGGACGTTGATCATGCCCTGACCGGCGGGCATGATGTCCTTCCTCGTGCGGAGGAAGATCGGGTCCTCCGAGAGCGGCGGGATGGGGAAGTACGAGACCGCGCGCTGCGTCTCGGTCGTGCCGAACATGTTGATGATCCGGCAATTTTGCGCGAGCTGTTGCAGGCGGGTGCAGTCGCGCTTGGTGAGGATGTCGCCGACGAAGAAGGCGTTCAGGAGGGAGGGGATCAGCCGAGTCGCTTGGGCCGAGAGGAGCTGGCCCATTGCGGGCGTGAGGTGCGTGACCGTGACGGCGTTGTCGGCCATCCACTCGGCGAGGCGGCCGGGCGTGCCGATGTCTTCGGCGGTCGGGATGTACAAGCTCGCGCCGAGGAAGAGCGGGGTGAAGACTGCGGGCGACCTCGGGATCAGCTCTGGATCTCCCTTCCTCGAGAGAGAGAGAGACGGGAACACACTGTCACGCTGAATCGGATCGTGCGCAATCCCACTCAACATCGTGAACCTGCTCTCCTCGCTCAACCCAAACCTCTCCCTCATCCAAGGGAAAAAGTGCGTCAAGGAGAAGTGCCTCCCGCGCACGCCCTTGGGGATCCCCGTCGACCCACTCGTGAAACTCAGCGTGCCCACGCTGTCCGGTCCGAGCGGGATGCCCAGCGGCTCGCTCTTGCGCGCCTGGACATGGGCGAAGACGTCCTTCTCCTCCTCCGCGGGTGAGGCGACAGACCCAAGCACGAGGCCGGTGGAAGTAAGTTGGAGAGCGGGGACTTCGACTCGGATCGAGAGTTTCTCCGAGACGTATTGCCGCACGGGAGGGAGGAGTCTGCCGGCTGCGGCGAGGATGACGAGTGCGCGGGGTTGGGCGACTTGGAGGTAGATCGTCTGTCTGGCGGGAGGGTAGGCGGGATCTGCGCGACGAGGGGGTCAGTAACCTGAGCCTCTCGATGAGCGAGCGTCCGAACGCACCGATGACGGAGAAGGTCGCGCCGGCCTTGAGGACACCCATTACCGCGACGACGAGGTCGACTCCACGAGTCGAGTAAACCGTGACGACTTCCTCGCGCTGGACGCCGCTCTGGACGAGATGGTGCGCAAGGACATTCGACGCCTCGTCAATCTGGCGGTACGTGAACCTCCTCTCTCCATTCTTCCCGCCCACCTCGTCCGAAGCAATCGACTCGACGATACAAACGCGGTCGGGGAACTGCCTCGCGTTGTTGGAGAAGATGTCCGTGATGGCGCCGCGGTATCCGCACCATTCGAGGTCTGCCTTCGGATCGGGCAAGATCCGGCGCTGTTTGGACGTGAGGAGTGAGAAGGAGCCGATCGCGTCTTGTGGGTGCGCAGAGACGTGGTGCAGGACGTGAAGGAGTTGGTCGATTGTGAGGCTGATGCGGGGCTGGGAGAAGACGAGCGAGTTGTAGGACAGTGTGAGGGAGATGCGCGGGGGAGTAAAGGTCAGGCTGGTGCGGAGCGAGGAGGGAGTGGTGGGAGTCGCGGTGCCGCTTGTCGAGCCGGGAGTCTGGGCGGCCGAAGGTTCGTCCGTCGGAGTGGTCGAGACGAAGACGGTCAAGTCCGAGGTGAGTGACGTCTGCTGGACGAAGCTCGAGTCGGGCGAGTCGGTCTGGTCGAAGAAGCGGACGCGAAAGACGGGCGGCGGGGCCGGTCCGCCTTCTCGCTGCGCCTCCTTGCCGTAACCGGGCAAGGCATCGAGGAGAGTCTCGTAAGGGATCTTGTCCTCCTCTGCCTCGTTCTCGAGGAACTGGACCCGCTTGACGAGCGACCAGAACGAGTCTGCCGGGTCGAGCTTGATGCGGAGGAGCAAGGGTTCGGGCGAGGACGGGGACGACGTCGCGATGACGATGTCTGTGTCGCCCGTGTAGCGGTGGAGGAGGACTGCGAATGCGGCGAGGAGGATGTGGAACGCCGTCGGCCGCTGCCTGTCCCTCCGCGTCTTTGCTCCGCCTCCCGCCGCCGCCTGCGCGAGTGCCGCATCAATCCCCTTGCGGTTCAAGTGCGAGTCTGCGTCGTCGGCGTCGCTCTCGTCATCCGACTCGCCCTCGTGCTCGTCGTAGAGCGAGAGGCGGAGGAGACTGGCTCCGGTGCGGTTGTCCAGCTGGCGCACCTCGCGCGCCTCGACCATCGAGAGGGCATTCTCTCCTGATGGGCGTGGGTAGTCGGTTGGCAGAGCGAGCTGGGGGAGGTCGCTGAGTCGGGCGAGCCAGCGCTGGAGGAGGGAAGAGTCCGCCATGGCTGGGCGCTGGAGTTGATTCGGTGAGATCAGACTCGAGCTGTGTGAGTAGACCCGAGTCTAGCGAGTGCAGGAAACAGCGAGAGCGAGTTTGCAGCGTTCGTAACGAGCGAGTCAAGGCGGAGCGAAGACTCCGGCGAGATGAGGCAAGGGCCACGTCAAACGGGATTACAAAACTGATTACCCCCTGTTTGTATTCAGCCCGGTAAGCTTGCATCAACGCCTAAGTCCTGGCAGTCGCACTCTTGCTGTTGCTCATTCTGCAGAAAGAATGCCTCGTCCTGTCAGTCTCACCCAGTTCCAGCTTCACCGCCCTCGCTCAACCTCGCTCTCCCCATCTTCCCCTCCTCGTCTCGCCAACCTCCCCTCGACTCGCACTGACACTCCACCACCTCGCATGCACAGAAGCGCAGCAACAAGCCAGCCAAGGAGCGCACCCTCTCGCGCAACAACGCACAGGGAGGGAACTGGAAGGTCATCGAGCAGACCAACCCAGACTTCTTCAGCTACTACAAGGTCAGCCCTCTCCTCTCAGCGGCTGTTTCGGGTGAGCTGACGAAGGAGTGTGTGTGCAGACACAGAAGATCGTCCCGGAGGACGAGTGGGACGACTTTGTCAAGGCGCTGAGGGAGCCCTTGCCGACTACCTTCCGCCTCACCAGCTCGCGACCGTCAGTCCCGCGCCTACTTTCTCAGCCGAACGGACGCGGGAACTCTAGAGCTGACGCAGAGACGTGTCGCGATTCGCAGAACGGCCCACGCCTTGAACGAGCACATCAAGCAGGTCTATGTCCCGTTCCTCACCGGCCTCGAGTACGAGGGCAAGCAGCTCCAGCCTCCGAAGCCCATCGAGTGGTGCGTCCCTATCATCCTCCTCACGCACTCGCGCTAACGGGGTCCCTCGGCAGGTACCCGAACCAACTCGCCTGGCAACTGCCCGTCCCGAAATCCGCCCTGCGCAAGAACGACCACATGCGCAAGTTCCAGCACTTCCTGGTGTACGAAACCGACGCGGGCAACATCTCTCGCCAAGAAGCCGTCTCGATGATCCCTCCTCTCTTGCTCGATGTCCAGCCGGGCCATACCGCGTTGGATATGTGTGCTGCGCCTGGGTCGAAGAGCGTGCAGATCCTCGAGGCGCTGCATGGACCTGCGCTTCATGCAGGAGCGGGCGACAAGGATGTCTCCCCGCAAGGGTTGTTGATCGCCAACGACTCGGACGCAAAGCGCTGCCACCTCCTCGTCCACCAGTCTCTCCACCGCGTTCCGGGAACGGGAATGATGGTCACGAACCACGACGCGACGCAGCTTCCGTCGCTCCGGTTGCCCAAGGACGACAAGGTCCTCGACGGACGGCTCAAGTTTACGCCCGAGGACGAGCGCGAGATGGCCAAGACGCCGAAGGGGCGCGAGCGGGCGCAGAAGGAGTACGACGGGATGCTGTTTGATAGGATTCTCGCGGACGTGCCGTGCTCGGGTGATGGGACGCTCAGGAAGAACCTCGGGATTTGGAACGACTGGACCGTCGGGAACGGGATTGGCTTGCACACGTGCGTTGCGCTCCCTCACTTTCCCTCTCACGGTGCGCTGACCAAGCCCGCGCACCAGCCTCCAACTGCGCATCCTCCTCCGCGGCATCCAGCTCCTCAAGCCCGGCGGCCGCCTCGTCTACTCAACCTGCTCGATGAACCCAATGGAAAACGAATCCGTCATCAGCGCCGCCCTCTCCCTCTGTCCCGAGATGTCGATCCTCCCCGTCCCCGATGCTCTGCCAGGCCTCAAGCGCAGACCGGGTTTGACGAGCTGGGACGTGTTGGATAACTCGCTCAAGACTGCGCCGAGGCCGGGGTCGAAGGACGCGAAGGCGCCGGATGCGCCGGAGCAGCCGGAGGAAGGGGTGGCGGTCGAGCAGGACAACGACAAGTCTACCGTTGGCGGATCGAGGGGCAAGGGCAAGGGGAAGAAGGGTAAGAAGGCTGACGGGCCGAACAACGTCGACAAGAAGGGTCAGCGCAAGGCTTGGACCGAGACGTTGTGGCCTCGCGGCGACGAGAAGGAGAAGGGCCTCGAGCATTGCTTGAGGCTTTATCCGCACTTGCAGGATACCGGGGCGTTCTTCGTTTGTGTGTTGGTCAAGAAGGGGGATGCGCAGCCGGCGCAGGTGGAGATGAGGAAGGAGGAGCAGAAGATGGAGGTTGAGGAGGGCGCAAAGGCGGCGGAGAAGCGCGAGCGGTCGGCGACGCCTACGCCTGTCGACGGCCAGCCCGAGGCGAAGAAGGCGCGTCGGGAGCAGGAACAGGCGCCGGTGGAGGTTGTCGCGAAGGAAGACGACGAGAAGAAGGAGCACATCATGGGCGGTGGACGACCGTTCAACGAGGAGCCGTACATCTACCTCCCGGGACTCGAGGACGAGCAGATCCAGGTCATCAAGTGCGTGTGGACGATCATCTCTCGTTGGCATTGGTTCTGTCTCAGGGCAGCTGCTAACGTAGAATCATCGCCTTGCGTGCAGGGACTTCTTCGGCATCTCGGACTCGTTCCCCGTCTCCGACCTCCTCGTCCGCAACGCAGCCGGCGCCGCCCTCCGTTCCGTCTACCTCACCTCAGACCTGACGCGCAAGCTCCTCCTCTCGAACGCCTACACGCGCATGCGCCTCATCTCATGCGGCGTCAAGCTCTTCACGCGGCAGGACTCGAGCAAAGACGGGACGTATCGGTGCAAGTGGCGGCTCAACTCGGAGGGCCTCGAGGTCGTCCGACCGTTCTTGGATGAGCGGAGGATCTTGAAGGTCGGGAATGAGACGCTCAGGCAGGTCATGGAGGAGGTGTCGGTCAAGTTTGAGGACTTGAAGGAGGAGGATGTGCGCGAGCGCGTGAAGGCGATGGAGCCGGGAAGCGCGATCCTGCGCGTCGAGAAGGCCAAGGGCAAGGACATTGAGTGCGTGATGTGTCCCCCTTCCGCAAAATCCGAGTCGAATTGACGCTTGCCGCGCGCGCAGGATGGAGGAGGACCTCTACCTCGCTTTCTGGATCTCCAAGACGAGCTGCAACCTGATGGTCGAGAAGCTCGAGAAGAGGTGCGTCCACGCATTTTCGCTACCACCGCAGAACTCGAGTTGACCCAACTTGACCGTTTCTACAGCGCCCTCTCGCTCCGCCTCTACGCAGAAGACGTCACGCCCCACTCAAAGGCCAAGGTCGCCGCCGCCAAGTCAGCAGCCGACACGCCCGCAACGACCGACGCTGAGACTGCCGCCGCGACGGACGCCGTCGAGGAGGAGGACGGCGAGAAGGTCGAGGCGGAGGAGCAGGTCGCGAAGGAGGAGGCGGGCGAGGAGAGTCTCGCTACGTCGGCTGCCGAGGCAGCTTAGAGTGCTTGCATTGCTATGCATGTCGGGCTCAACCAGGACTCGCGCGGTATCGAGAAGAGCCGCTTCGAGTGTTCGCGAGACGGAAGAGCCGGTCTCGACGGTGGTTCGCTCGTTCTTTGCGCCGTTCGGCTTGCTGAGGCTCTTTCTCTCGACGTTGTCGTACCCTCTACGGTGTCAGAAGCTGCGCAGGAGGTGCGTGCGACGTTCTGAGGTTGTCGCCGTCGAACGTGTGGGGGTCGCCTTTCTTCTTCCCCTTGACGACTGCTCGACTCTCTTCTTCCTGGCTTTGCTGCACCGCTACACGCTCTCACTGCTCTAGACAACCGCCCAGCCCAATTTGCGCGCCATGTCCGCCCCGCCGCCAGCCACGAAGCGCGCGGCCAGCTGGTTCGGCCGCTCGCGCTCGTCGACACCGCAGCCAGACGCCGTGCCGCAGCTCACCAAGCAGCTTGAGGACACCGAGATTGACTCGCCAGGGGAAGCGGTCGAGTCGGGCGAGGACGAGACGATTACGGCCGATGACCTGGGCGTTGCGGACGAGTTGCAGGGCGACACCGAGACGGAGCAAGGTGAGTGCACAGATCGATGGGACAGGCTTATTGGGGTGCGCTGCAGGCGGAACCGGCGCCGCACATGCGTTGCAGCGCGAGGGAAAGGCTATCAGCTGACGTCGTCCTTCTCTCGTCCGCGACGATAGGGAAATTCAAGGTGAGCCTTCGAGCCTGCTCTGCGGCTTCGCAGCGCGCGCAGAAGAGCTCCAAAACGTCCTGCAGACCGTGGGCGTGAGCTGACACCGGTGCCTCGGCTCAACAGGCTCTTCTGGGCATCCTTCGCAAGACGATCTCCGTCAAGGACTTGTCGAGCGTGCGGATCTCGTTGCCGGTGAGCCAGCCCCCTTGACGCCGCGACAAGAAGGAGAAGTGACGGAGATCTTCACGCAGGCGCAAATGCTCGAGCCGATTGGCAACCTCGAACACTGGTTCGTTCGCACAATCTCCTCTGCGTGAACTTGTGAAGTTAGCTGATCTCTCTTTCTCGCAGGACCTACATTGACCGGCCCGACTACTTCGGCGCGCTCGCGAAGGAGAACATGGACGAGATGGAGAAGATGCTGGCCGTGTTGCGCTGGATGTGTGCGTGCCGCAGTTACCGTTCGGCGTTCCGCTCACGAGAGACGGGTTGCTGATACCGGTGGTCGATGGGTCGCAGTCACTAAGGAGCTCAAGTACGCCAAGCACCCGATCTCGAAGCCTTTCAACTCGATCCTCGGCGAGCACTTCTTCTGCTACTACGACGCACCAGTACTCGACGTCCATCCCAAAGGTCACCCTCTACCGACCGTCCACATCGACGAGAATCCCCACCCCGACATTGTTGCCTGCGCTGGACGCGGCTCCAACAACACTACCGCCGCAGCTGCGCTCAAGGCTTCGCCCTCGACCTCGTCCCTGATCTCGCTCGCCAACTCGGCAAAGCCCAAGACCTCGCTCGAGATGACGAACGGGAACGCCGTCGGGTCATCTGCCGCCTCGACCAAGTCGACCAGGTCCAACTTCTCTGCCGCCCCGTCCAGTTCTGCAGCTAGCGGTTCCGGTCCGACCGAGTCTCGCAACGCCCGCGTCGTCATCATCAACGAGCAGACGAGCCACCATCCGCCCATATCGCACTTCCTCGTCGAAGCCCGCGTCGACACCGCCGATCCCGCCGTCAAGCGTACCGTCCGCCTGCGAGGTGCAGACCAGCTCTCGGCCAAGTTCACCGCCGGCGCGAACGTCAAGATCTACCCTGGCCCGCACAACAAGGGTCTATTCCTCGACTTGCCGGACGGCGAAGAGTTCCATATCACCCACCCAACGGCGGCTGTCGCAGGTATCGTCCGTGCAGCGCCCTATGCGACCATCGCCGACATCTGCACCGTCACGTGCCGGTTGCCGGAGGACAAGCAGCCTGGAGGGGAGAAGCAGAAGCGGCTGCGGGCGATTATTCAGTACCAGGAGGAGGTACGCCGCGCGCGTCGCTTACTCTTGCGAACTCTAGCTGACACGACGTCTCGCAGAGCTGGATCACCCGCCCGCGCTTCCTGCTCGAAGGCATCGTCTACGAGTCGTTCGTCAACGAGGCCGCCTCGGCCCCGACTGCCATGGTCGACGACGGCTCGGACAAGCGGTTCAGCAAGATCAAGCAGGTGCCGAAGGACCGTATCGTCGGGACGCTCGAGGGGAACTGGAGGGGCGAGATTAGGTGGAAGAAAGTCGGCGAGTCGGTGAGTTATCGGCTGCTCTACCGTCAATCTGCTGGCGAACGGGCCAGCCTGTCAGGCCGAGATCTACGACTCACTCTCTCGATTCTTGCGCAGTCCTCCGTCCCGCTGGTCGACCTCCTCCCGCTCAACGTCGTGCCCAAAGCCGTCGCGCCGCTCGAAGAGCAAGGCCCGATGGAGACGCGCAAAGTCTGGGCGAGCGTCGTCGACGCGCTCAACAAGAAGGACTACAGCACGGCGAGCAAGGAGAAGCAGCGGATCGAGCAGGAGCAGCGGGACAAGGCGGAGGAGCGGAAGAAGAAGGGCGAGGTGTGCGTTTCGACCTGCGATCTGGTCTTCTCCGTCTGTCGAGACGGAACTGACCTGCGACGCGACATTGATCATGCAGCTACCGGCCACGCTTCTTCGAACCCGAGCCTGACAACGTCGCCGATTGGGACGGCCGCCCCGTTCTCTCCGCCGAAGGCAAAGCCGCCCTTGAGCGCAACTTCGAGGCCGACTACTCGACCTCGCCTTCGACCGCATAGAACTGCCATGACTATAGCTCTCGTGCCCATTTCGTTCTTCCCGCCCCCTCGCAGATTGACCTTCGACCGCCAACGTTTCCCAAGGTTGTGTTGTATCCGTTCTCTGCACTTTCCGCTGTCATGATTCTGCCGCACTATGCGGTATTTAGCTAATGAACAATAGACGTTGCTCGTGTTCTCGGTCGCTTCGTCGCCGGAAGTGAGAGGGTATCGGAAGTTGCGAATGGTCTACACAGGCAAAGCAAGCGAAATGCGCGGAACGGTACTGATCGAAGAACCGAGATACAGCGTGGAAGGAACATGCGAGGGCGACGAAGACCGAAGCTCAGGAGACGACGGGAGGAAGGACAAGCGGACCTCCCTCGCCCGTCGCTTGCGCGAGACCCGCCTGTCCCAGCTTGCCGCCATTGAACAGCGCATCCTTGACGAGCGCGCCGATCAAGCCGTTGCTCGCCTCACCAGCCATCTTCGACGAGTCCTTGACGACCCTCGCAAGCGGCGTCTCCGTCACTTCCGCCTTCTTGCCCGCCGCGCCGCCCTCGTCCGCCTGCTCGCCCGTCGCTTTGCCCTTGCCCTTCCCGCCGCCGGCCTCCTTCGACGAGCTGAGGTGCTGGCGGATCTGGACAATGAGAGGTGACATGTGGCTGATGTTGCAGCGGTGCGAGACGGAGGTTTCGGTGTTGCGCAGCTTGGCGACGAGGTCGTAGAGCTGGGAAGTGGCGTAGGCGCGGTTCTGCGGACACGACGAAGCACGCGACGTTAGCGTAAGGTGTGCTTGCCGGGTCCTCGCATACTCACCGAGACGAGCGGGCTCTGGCTGAGCGTCATGACCCAGTATTTGTTCCAAAGCAAGTCAAGGAGCTTGGTGTCGTGCGTGCTCTTGAAGTGCGAGACCTCGAGCGGGTAGTAGGAGTTGGCGTGTACACCGAAGTCTTCGATCTTGTCGACCGGGATCGACTGGTACTCGGACGTCGAGGCGTTCGGAGGGGTGTATCCCTGCGTTGAAAAACGTTTCAGTAAACGAGCACTGGAATCGAAGGGAACGTCGAAGCGCACGTCGGGGTAAGTGCGGAACGCGCCGATCTCGACACGACCGGCGGAGACCGTCCTGTTGGGGTCGATCTGTGACAAATACGAGGTTCCTCACCATCAGCTCAAGTCCCGATGATGGAACCAAGATGATGCGTTTGCCCGCACTCACCACGACCGCGAGGAAAGGGTCCTGGAACTGCTGGTTCGTCTTCTGCGTCATGACGTCGATGCCGGACAGCCAGCACCCGTAACCGGGGTGCGAATGGTACCAGCCGACGATGTTCTCGGGGCGGCCGATCTGCGCGCAGGCGGACGAAAGTCAGCCTTGAATGCGAGGGAGATGGGGAAGGGAACGCACCGCCGGCGAGCTCTCGATGTACTGGATCATGAACTCGTTCGCCTCGTTTGCGGCGTTGACGCGCGTCTCGGTACCGACGACAGGAAGGGCGAAGGCATCCATCACGACGAAGGTGTCGCCGTCCAGCTTGCCCTGCATCAAGCCCATGATCTCGTACTGATCGCCCGAACGCGCGTGCATGACCTGTATATAGAGTGCGTCAGTCTGCGGTACGGAGTAAGGGGGTAAGGGCTAACGAACCATCTTGATGAGCGCAACCGCCGAGATGCGGACCTTCTTGAAGTGGTGGGGGTCCTGCTTCCACGGCCGCGCTTTGAGCTGGTCCTGCTGACCCTGCTTGTCGTACTTGAAGACCTCGTCCGTCTACACGGGCACGAGAACAGAGTCAGCACACATGTGAAGCGAGAGGAAACTGTCTCCGATTCTCCCGCACGGCTTGCCTCATTAGCAACTGTAAGTGGCGCTACTCACCTCCTGTATGTTGTTGGCGATGCTGAAGCTCGCCTGCGCGACACTCTCGGACGAGGCAGCCATGGCGAGTCGGGGTTCGAGGTGGAGCGGCGGCGTGAAACGGGGCGCTGGCGGTCGGGCAAGTCACACAGCGTCTTCCTAGCAGTCTAGCAGCGCAGCAGCGGTCTCGCCAGTCGGTCTGAGCGGTGTTCCTGTGGCGAATGAACAGGGTGAGCCAGAGAGCTGATGAGGAGCGAGCGTGGCTCGCAACTCGCGCTGGGCGGACAATTGGGGACGCGGTGATTGTTGTACGACAATGTTCCACCGCTTGCACCCTTCAAAGCACCGTAAGACGAGGCGACGAAGCGGTCCGACGAGGTCCGCTCCCCACTTGCCTCTCTGCGACCTCCACTTCACTGTCCTCGCTCTCTCGCTGTCCTGACGGGCTGTACGCATCGCCGAGCGCTTTACAGAAGTCTCGCTAGACCGACGCAAACGACCACCACTTTCCCCATATCCTCCCCGATCGCTCACTCCCGCACGATGGCCTTCACTCTTCGCTGGGGTATCCTGTCGACTGGTGCGTCTTCGAGCTCGTGGACTTAGTCGCGAGGAGGTTCCTGACCATGGCAACGACGTGCGCAGGCTGGATTGCCACCAAATTCTCCCTCGACCTCCTCGTCAACCCTTCGACTCGCCAGGTCTCCGACGTCGCGCACCGCATCGTCGCAGTTGGTTCCCGCTCAAAGGACTCGGCGCAAAAGTTCGTCGACAGCGTCTGGAACGAAGCGGGCGTCAAGGAGGGGAAGAAGCAGGTCAAGCTGTACGGCTCTTACGACGAGTTGCTCGCCGACAAGGACGTCGACTGCATCTACATCGGAACCCCTCACTCGCACCACTACGCCAACGCTCATGCCGCTCTCTCCGCCGGCAAGAACGTCCTCTGCGAGAAGTCGCTCGTCGTCAATGCCGCTCAAGCGAAAGCGCTCATCGACCTCGCTCGCTCGAAGGACCTCTTCTTCATGGAGGCTGTCTGGACGCGATACCAGCCGTTTGCCTACAAGCTCGAGGAGGTCCTCAAAAGCGGCAAGATCGGCGAAGTTCGCGGTGTACAAGCTGAGCTCTGCGTGGACTTTGGTCCGACTGCTAAGAAGAACCCGGACCACCGCCTCATCAATCCGGTTCTCGCTGGAGGCGCCCTCCTTGATCTCGGCGTGAGCCACTCCTGGCCTTTCCCAGTCTCTTCAGCACTGACAACGCGCGCCTGCAGCCGTACCCCTGGACTCAGCTCGCCCTCGTCCTCCTCGGCGAGCACAAGGCATCGACCGAGCCTCTTCCCGTCCCGAAGGTCGTCTCGTCGATGACCAAGACCACCTCGGGCGTCGACGCCTCCGTCGTCGCGGCCATCGAGTTCGCCCAGGCCGACGGCCGCATCGTCCACGGCACGCTCACGACCGCCCAAGACCGGCAGACTGCCCACTCGCGGTGCTCGCTCATCCAAGGCTCGCTGGGCTATATCGAAGTCGCATTCCCGACCTACCGACCCCGCTCGCTCACGTACTACCGCTGGGCGAACGAGGGCGACTTGGGAGACCCGACTGTCAAGCCTGTCGAGTCGGAGACGTTCGAGTTCGAGCCACGTCCTGGAGGAATCTGGGGCTTTGCGTGGGAGGCGGACGAGGTCGCGAGGTGCATCAGGGACGGCAGGAAGGAGAGCGACAGGATGCCGCTTCGCGAGACGCTGCTCATGATGCAGGTGGGTCGGCGCCCTTTCAGACGGTCAGAAGCGGCCGACCTCGCTCACACACTGCCGTCGTCGAGCAAGTCGTGTACTGACGCTCCACTGCCGCACAGGTCTTCGACGAGATCCGCAAGCAAGGCAACTTTACCTACCCTCCCGAACTCGAGACCCTCGAGCTCAAGTAGACGCCATCGCTTTCGCACTCGAGCGCCGGAACACCAAAACTCGTAGAAGTGCATTCTCGTATCCTATCAGTTCCTCCGGCTCGCGAACTTGGGCTGCCTCGTCTGCTGTCGCTCGCTCCCAGGCGCAGAAGTAGTGGGTGTGAGAGGCGACGATACGGCTGAGCGATGCGAATGATACGGAGCTACACTAGGATGGGAGGCACGACAGGCTGAAAGGCGGAAAGTATGATAAGGGTATAGGAAAGCGCTAGGGAGTCGCTCAGTCCGTCCGTCGTCGCTTTGCGCCGCGATCCTCCTCCAGCTTTGCCGCCGACGGAGGCGACTGGTCCCTCTGTCCACGGACGAATAGCGCCGGACTCGCGAGCGAAGGGACGGTGGCGAAAGATGCGGGGGCGAAATAGCGGACGAGAGCGTAGGGATCGGGTTCTGTGACGTGGTTGGCGGATTGGGTCGTCGAGGCGGAGGCGTTCGAGGTGGGTGGTCGGGAGGATGCGGCGGAGGGGTCGTACTGCATTGAAAGCGGCGTCAGTGACTTGCAGAAAACGACGCATTGAGATTGGGGCAACTCACTTGTGCAAGCGCAGGCCGGCCGAGCAACCGCACTCCCGCCTCAAGGAAGTCGACGAGCGCGTCCTCGAACTGCGACAGCGGGTACTTTACGCTCAGCGCATCGAGGTGCTCGTGCAGATTCTTGTTCTGCGGGACGTTGAGGAACTGCGCAACGAGGTGGACACAACGTCAGCCGGAAGCAACGTGAGCGGCAGAGGAAGCGAACGCACCTCATGCGTGCGGTCTCGCATCCCGCGCTCGTAGTCGGCCTGCGCGACGTCCCTCGAGCCAAAGAGCAGTCTCGCAGCCTCGACCAACACGCGCGCCTCCTCCTCCCTCACCCTCGCCCTCTCCAGCTCCTCCTCTTCCTCGTCGTCGTCCTCATCGCTGGACGACTCCTCCCCATCAAGCGACGGGACCGAGAAGACCGGCGACGTGCGTTGCTTCTGGCGCTTGAGGTTCCTCGTCGCGCCCAGCGCCGGCGTCGGGACCGTCGGAGCATTCGTGCTCCACCCCCTGCCTTCCCACACGCCGCACCCAACGCCAAAGAGCGTCTCGACGCCTTCGGTACCGGTCCAGCCATCGACGAGGTAGCCCTCGAGACAAGCTTGGGCGAGCATCATCGTCAAGAGGTCGTACCATTCGGCCGTGACTTGCATCTCGACCGCCGCCGTTGTCGTCGAGGGCTTGTCCTCCTTCGCGCCCGCGCCCTCGCCCTCGGCCTCGACAGCCCGCTCCTTGCCCTTGAGCGACTGGCCAGCCTTCATCGCAGGCGACGTCGACGCGCTCTTGTCCTCGGTCTTGACCACACTCGCCCAAAGCGCCTCCTCCATCTTCGCCTCGTCCTGATCCGCACTCGATCCCGCCTCGTAAGGCCTGTTCGCGCGCTCCCTCACATCGCGGAACAACGCCGCACTGAGCTTGAGGAAATCCGGAACGAGCTGTACGAGGGGCTTCTTCGTCCCTGCGCCCGTCGCCGCCCCGCCCGCACCCGCGCCAGAGGGGACGAACTGCATCCGCAAACCCGAACCAGGGATGTTCTTCCTCCGCATCTGGGCGTGGTTCGATTCGCGCTCTGAAGAGGCTGCGACGAGTGCGGCGCAGACTGCGCACGAGCGGACGCGGTGCCGGCGGCAGTACGAGGCTGGGAGGGAGGGGAGGGGCGAGGTGGAGAAGATTGAGCGGGCGCGGGAACGCATCGATTGCGAGAGGACGATGCGGTAGTCCATGTGCGGGGTTGTTGCGGGACCGCCGGCTGAAGAGGTGGACGCCTCTGCGCCGGCATCGAGAGGGTTCTTGTCGTCGAAGAGGGAAGGAGACGAAGGGCCTGCCGACTCGGCCTGTCCGCCAAACTTGAGGTCGATGAGCGACTGCGCGACCGAGTTGACCCTCGGACGACCCGACTCGTCGCCTCCCATCGCCGTCGCAGACGTCGAGTGGTACAACGTCGTCGTGTCCGGCGTCGTGAGCGGCTTGAGGGCGATCAACTCGTCAAGCTCGCCCGAGGGCTGGACCGACTCGGAGTCGATCTTGGTCACAACGCGCTCGGCGGCGGGCGAGAGCAACGCCTCTTCCGCAAAGCCTCCCAATGCCACCCGCCGCTCGACGGAAGGCGGGAGTTCCCCCTCGCGCATGTGCGCATGGAGGAGGTTCGCTCCGACCTTGTACAGCCCCTTGGTCTTTTCCTCGCTGTCGATCCACTCGTCATCGATGTCGATCCCGTCCTGGGTATCCCGCTCGAGTTCGGCGAGGTGGAGGAGCTGTCGCGAGCCCGATGGGGACGAGTACGACGAGAGGCGCGACGAGGTGGCGAGGTGGAGAGCGTAGGCGAGGATGCTCGACCGCGACGAGCGCGAGGGTGCGCGCGGCGGGATGGTGTGGAGTACGTGTGACGCTGGGTGTTGTGGAGGCCTGTGCGAGTGCGTTGCAGTGTCAGTAGAGCATGAGGACGAGCTCCGAGGTGGATGGCCTTCTCAACGCGCGGGCGGCTTCGAGCCCGGCGCTATCGGAACGCGTCGGTGCGGGGCAGCAGCGAACAAGTCCTCGAATGCCCTCGCAGTGCCTCACACAGCGTGCTGGAGAGCAGTCTGAGCCACACAGGACACCCTGCAACCACCGCGCCGTCCAGCGAGCGAGAGACGCGAGAGAAACGGCGCCCGCTGTGCCCCACGACCCCCAAGCAGCCTATCCCGCCTCGCACAGCGCATCCGACGCAGTACACAGACCCGCAAAGCGCACCTGTAGTTCTTCAGAGTCGCCTTGTCCAGCGCCGCGCCCTCTCCAGCGGGTGGGCGAGTCGCAGTGTCGACCGTCGGCGGCCGGAGGGGTTCGGTCGGGTGCTCGCCTCGCCATTGCTGGATGTCGCTCGCGGTGATAAAGTGTTGCTCGGCGGGTACGGGTGCGATCTTGTTGCCCTGCCTTCGCATCGCTGTCGGCGGCGGCGGGACCCACGCTGTCGAGGCGCACAGGAGGTGCTGCTGGGCGGGCGTCGCAGGGACGAGGATGGCGGCGGGTGACGAGTGGCTCATCCTGCAGTTGTCGCTGTGGTTCACCAGCAACGAGAGAGAGCCTGGAAGAGCGTGGCAGCGAGGTGAGAGCGGGTTGACACGGAGATGTTCCCCTCGGGAGACGAATACAAATGGGTCTATTCAGTTGATTACAACCGAGTTTGTATTGAGCTAATCGCCGCACGTGCACCGAATCCCTCTCGACGCCCGCTTTGCCTTCTCCTCCTCGCTCACTTCGTTCACTCACGCTAACTCGCCCAGTAATGCTCGCATGAGCACACAGACCAGCACGGCTCACTCGGGAGCGACCGCCGCACATCCACCTGTCCCAGCTCTCCCGCTCGAGACTTCATCGCCTTCGACTCCCGAATCCCTCGACAAGGCCGACAACGACTCGCCGAGACTCGGTGGGGCGGGAGACGGGGCTGAGGGAGGACAGGGCGCGGACGGGCCGGTTGAGGCGGATCGAGAAGCGGTGCGCGGTGAGGAGGAAGACCCTCGGTTGGTCGAGGGGTCAGGACTGGCGGGATGGTTCATGCGGCACGCGCGGGCGAAGAAGCGGCCAAGTCAACCTGTGAACGGCTCGGATGGGCATGCAGAGGCGGGCGACTCGTCAGAATACCACTTTGTCAAGGTGCGTCCGTTTCTTCGCCCACGCTCGACTTGCCCGCTTATCCTGCTTTGTGCAGCCCGAGTTCCGCGACTTGCCCATCCTCTCCGGTCTTGTCTGCCCTTTCAGCGTCCTGCTTGACGTGCGTGCGATCTCAATCGCCATGTACCTCCGCTCATCCTCGCGTCCACGCAGATACCCGGCCTGACAACCCGCTGGTACATCCGCACCGAAGGCTACAACATCATCGAGACTCAGCCCAACCCCGCTTTGCTCGACGTCGGCCAAGCGATCTCCCTCGCCTTCGGCGTTGTAGCCAATGCCGCTCTAGTCTGGCGCTTCCTCGAACACCGGCCTCGAATCTGTACCTGGGTCGCCATCGTCGCTCTCACGATGCACGACGCGCTCAATATCACCATCGTCACGTGGTTCGGAGTGGCGCACCGTTTTTCCGACGGATTCACGTACGGAGACGCCTTCTGGCTGAGCGTCGCCTCAACAGCCGCCAGCACCTTCTGCAACATCACCCTCGCACTCGACCTCGCCCGCACAAAGGACTTTGACAAGAAAGGCAGCGGGTTGACGGAGAAACAGCGCACGTTGGTGATCGCGACAATGGTCTTCTTCGTTTACCTCTCGCTCGGAGCTCTGTGCTTCTCGTACCTCATCGGCGGGTTGACGTTCATCGACGCGTTGTACTTTGTCTGCTGCACGGTGACATCTGTCGGCTTCGGCGACAGTGCGTCTCCTACTGCCTTTTCCCTGTCCTCCCTCCCTCTAGACTGACCCTCCTCGCCCAGTCGTCCCCCTAACCGCCGGCGCCCGCGTCTTCTGCATGCTCTACGCCTCAATCGGTCTCGTCCTCCTCGCTCTAACCATCGCCGTCGCACGCGAGACGATAATCGAGACTTTCGAAGCCAACTACCGTTCGAGGAGGGACAAGTTGGCTGAGCGCGCGAGGGCGAGGAAGGAGGAGGCTAGGAGGAGGGCGGTCGAGGGGAGGGAGAGGAGGAGGAGGGTGTTGGAGGAGGCGGCGAGGCAGGGACGGACTGCGGGGGAGGGGGAGGCGCTGGAAGGAGGAGGAGCGGCGGGTGGAGGGAGAGGTGGCAGAGCGGCGGTGATGGGCAGGAAGGACGGGTCGAAGGAGGAACGGGTTGCGCTTGACATGCCCACGCGGACTTTGACCTTCTCGGCGCCGACTCTGCCGGAGGACGACCATGTTCCCGCCGACTCGCTCCTTCACCGACTCCGACGGACCGTCTCCCGCCCCTTCCATGATGCCGCTAAAGAAGTCGACTTCCGCCGAAGCCTCAAAGACTTCCGCTCGGGCGCCTCACTCGCACGCCGATCCTCCATCTCCAGCCTGTCCTCCTCCCTCACCACATCCTCTCTCGACGAATCCTTTCGCTCTCTCAAGGACCAACTGGTCCGTGAACAGCGGGAAGAGTTCCGCATCAAGTTGGGCATCTCGTTTGGGCTGTTCTTGATTTTTTGGTTGGGAGGAAGCGCGATCTTTATGGTCACGGAGCGCTGGACGTATGGTGTGGCGCTGTACTTCTCGTGCACCTACTTCTTGACCATCGGGTGCGTGCGCTTTCGTATGACTGGTCCTGACGTAGCGAGACTGACCATCTCGCGTTCGCAGGTTCGGCGAGTACGTTGCGCCTCGCCTCCCCGTCGTCCCGCTCTCACTGACCTTGTCCTGCTTCATCGCAGCTACTCGCCCAAGTCAGCGTCAGTGCCAATCAGTTTTACGTTGTGAGCCTTCTCAGCTGATCAGTCTCGCATTTTGCAGCGCCGGACGCGCTTTCTTCGTCGCATGGGCGTTGCTCGGAGTCGCTAACATGACGCTCTTGCTTTCAGGTGCGCTTGAGTTACCCACAGACTGGACGAGCATTCAGGCTGATAAGCCGTCTCTCCAGTCCTGACCGAATCCTGGTCGTCTCGCTACAAATCCTCGATCGACGACGGGCGGCTGAAGAAGACGATGCGCCGCCTCGACCTCCGCAAGAAACCCGACGCATCCGGCAGCAACCCCAACTCGTCTTCCGTCTCGCTCCTCGCCTCGGAGGGCTACACCGTTCCTTCTCAGCCTATCCCGCCACATGAGTTGCCCGAAAAGATCGTCGAGACAATCAAGGGTTTCCACAAGCACGCGAGGTACTTCCTCCTCGGCCGTACAGGCGACCCGCCTCCTCAACTGCGGTTTCTGCTTGAAGCGGCGGACGAGGTGGATGAGAAGGTCGAGTCGCTAGTGGCGGGCGGTGCGACGAGTCTTGCGGACTCGGGCGCTCAGGGCGATACCAAGCACTACCTGTTCATGATTTCCTACGAGCGGTGCGTCCGTTCCCTTCCCTCGCCCCGTCCTGCGCCGCTCATCTTCTCGCACCGGCAGCCAATTCGACGCCCTCGTCGACTCGGCCGAACAGCTCTCGCAAGCGATCAAAACAACCACCGCCGAACTCGAAGCGCTGAACGTCGAGAACGACCGCCTGCGAGCCGAGTTGCTCCAGCTCCAGGCTGAGCATTCGGCTTGCGAGCCCCCGCAGGCGCAGGCGCCTGTTCGACATATCCCGTTCCCGTTCGTGCATCGTCCGCCGGGTGGATTTGGGGATGAGGAGGTCGAGGAGGAGCTGGTGGAGGCGGTGGATGAGGCGGATGACCAGAGCACGATAAGGAAGACGCAGAGCGAGGGAGGGTGAGCTTGCGTATCCGATTTGTACCTCTTAGATGTGCGTAGATGTTGTTGTCTTTTCGTCAAGCTGTATCGCAGTGCCGTTCTGCATCACCAGTCTCTCACGAGATTGAGAAGCTGTTGCCGCCTAGCTGGATTGGCATCGCTATCAACGCCTCTACGCGTCTTTCAACTTTGCGTTGACGCTCCTCAGCAGCTCCTGCGCATACTTGCCCGCCTCCTGCGCATAAGAAATTACAGATTAGCCGGAACCTCCTTGCCGACAAAGCGAGATCGTTACGCACCGTAATAAGCGGCATCAACCGCGCAAACTCGATTTCACCCTCGCCTAGTTGCGTGACGCCGCAGATCGTGCCGGACGGGAGGAAGCATGCGACGAGCTGGGATGAGGAGGCGGATTCTTCGAGGACAGTCGCGTCGAGGTGCGGTAGTTGGTTGATCTGCGGGGAGGACGAAGTGAGCAAGCGCTTTGAGAGGTGAATTAAGCTGTGCGCACCAGGTTCAGCGTCAAGCCGATCGGCAGCTCCTCCCACCCTCGCAAGCGCACGCCTTGCGAACCACCGTCGACGAGCTCAAAGTCCACCGCCTTACTCCCGCCCTTGCCGCCCTTCACCAACCCCGAGAATCCCTCATCCGACGTCATGCCCGCTCCCTCGCCCAGCGCCGCCGTCGCAGTCCCGTCTCCCTCCTCGAACCCGATCGCCCGAGTCTGCGGTATCCGCGCAGTCGCCAGTGCACTTCGCGCCGCCAAAATCGCAAGATCGATGACGTTTCCGCCGGAGGAGGAGAGGATGAGGATGTCGAGGTAGAGAGTCCAGGAGCGGGATTTAGGCAGGATGACGAGTTGCGAGAGGAGTGAGGGCGGGAGGGTAGAGGCGGAGAAGAGCGAGGTCAGGATCGATGCGAGGTGGATCGGCAAGTCGGGCTTGAGTGACGGGAGTGCTGTAGGTGCGCTGTAGGCGAGGAAGAAGCGAAGTCAGCGAAGGTCGCGAGCGCTCGAGTCGCCGGAGCTGCACGCGGCTTCGTCACGAGGCCAGAGTGTGAGAAAGACGCTACGCACCACTCGAGGCTGACGACAACCTTGCCGCCCTCCTGCTCCTCATCCATATTCTCAACCTCGCCCCTCACGCCAGCCCAAACCTCCGTGCTCGACCCGCCTCCTGCGCCCGCCGCGTCCTCCGCAACTACCTTGGCACTTCCGAGCGCACCCTGAGCTTGCGAGACGCCCGTCTGGAGGATGATGTCGCGGAATTGGAGGGGAGTGCGGCCGTCTGGTCGGAATGGAGCATCGTCCGAGGGGTGTGCGGTCGCTGCCGAGTGTGAGAGCGGTACTTGTGCAAAGGTGAGCTCGGCGTGCGAGAAGAGCGAGGCAGTCGAGGCCATGGCTGTCGCGCTGGAAGGGGTCGTCGAGATGGGAGGCGATGAGGATGAGGAGTGGTGTCGACGAGCTGCGGGTGGCCGGGTGAACGCTCGTTGCTCTTGATGAGCTTCTAGAGTGGCTCTGTAGCTCTATCAGCTCAGTCTAGCGAGTGTGAGCGTGAGGCGAGCGACTTGTCCTGGCGAGAGCAGCGAAGCGGAAGGTTGGCGCCGTACAACACGCTCGCTCTGCTCAGGCGGGCTGAGAAAGATTCCAGAGATGCTCACTGCTTGCACGACAGCCGCTGCTACCGCCGCACGCTCGCCCCGCTCGTTCGCCTACCCTCCTCCCTCAAGCTCTCTCGTCGCATGCGGCCAGGTCCCTCGACCACCTCCAGCAGATGACTGAACCGGACGAACGGCGCCGTAGGATGCTCAGCAGGCGGCCCCAACGCTCCTTTGAGCCTCACTGCGCAGCGTGGACCCGCCACTCCTCCGTCCCACCCACTCTCGCTGCGGACGCTCATCTCGCTGGTCTTGGTCGGCTCCCTTCGCCTCCGGAGGACTCGCACGCTCACCAAACAACGCACACGTGCTATGGCGGACTTCTCGACCAGCGTCCTCGGGTTCCGCCCGTTCACCCTCGACCTCCCCCGCTATACCGGTCTCCCTTACTCCATCGCCCCCACCTCGACGTCTCCGACCAGTGCGACGTCGGCGTCGACGCACCACAAGGACGGCACGCACGCCAACTCGCATGTCGAGCAGGACAACTCGCCCTCCATCGACGTCCTCCGCGTCGTCCTCCCGACCCTCTTCGGCGCCCTCGCCTTCTTCGGCATCCTCATCGCCCTCTCGCTCTACGTACAGCGCAGGCAACGTGCGAAGGAGGAAGCGGCGGGCATTGTCCGCGCCAAGCTGATCCGCAGGGACAGGAGCATGAGGGAGAGGTCGCCCATCATCTCGCCTCTCGCGCCCGTCTCGGCCCGCGACTCCGCGTCGGTCTTTGAGCTGGACGAGATGGATCGTCGTGCGTTCCCGAACACTCGACTCGTCGCTTCAAGAAACATGAGAGACTGACCTTTTCTTCCGCAGAAACCCTCTCGTCGCTCAAACAGTCGGAAGACGTCGCCCGCCTCGAGCGCTCCGCTTCGTTCAAGACGCACAGGCTTCCTCGCGTGCCGCCTCCGGCGTACGAGCCGTAATATCCGCGAGCCAGGTGCGTTGCGGACCGCGTTCCAAGCCGGCACAGCGAATTGACCGTCACTGTCCTTCCGCAGCTCGACCGGCATCTACCCTACGCTCCTCTGCTTCTGTTTCGACAACCGCCGCCCTCGCATCGACCTCGCATCGCATTCTCGTCATCCGTCGTCTCGCCTCGCAAAAAGCACTTGTATACACCTCGTCCCCTCCCGCTTCTCCTGCATTGCATCTTTCGTCTGACAGTGCACGATTCACAGCGGGAGAGCATTTCCGGCTGCGAGAGCAGGCGGACTTGCAGCTTCGCGGTGCCTCACCTCATCTGCGGTCTTTCTCCCTCCTCCTTCCTACGGCTCGCGCTCGACTACCTTCATTGCCCTCGCCGATCATGTTCGAACGCTCTTTCCTGGCTGTGCTGCGCCGTAGATCCCTGCGACCCACCTGCGCTCGCTGTCACTGGACGGTGCCTGCGGTTGTCTGCCTCGCAATGTCCTCGAGGGACGCGCTCACTGAGTCTGGGGAATCTGTTCGGGACGCGAACGGGCACTCGCGGGCCTGCGAGGCCGCACAGCGACTTCGCGGATACCATACGCGCCTGCACCCGCCTCCCCTCGCTCCGCGCGGTTCTTGAATGACTCGGCTGGGCGGAGGCGGTGTTACAAGATCCAGCTAAGGGCCTCAAAAGATCGCTGGCGGTCGTTTGGAGACGTTGAGGCCGGAAAAGGGGGCGACGGAGGTTATTCGGTTTCTTCCGCAACCTCCTTCACGGCGGTATGTCTCCGCTTGCATGGCTTCCTTGCACCCTTTTGCTCTCTACCGCTCTTCATCTGGCTCCCATCGACGATTGAGGCGCGACTACACCCGGAACGAACGGAAGAACGCCATGCACTACACCTCCATCGTTCCCTGCAACGCAACGTCGGCCGCAATCATCCAGGCCAGTCTCGAGGTCTCGACACAAGAGCTTGCGACGTCTGGAGCCGCCTACTGGGCGTCAGCCGCGTGCTTGTACTCGTCGAACTCGACTCTGATGGACCAAGCCTGGAAGACTTGGGTCAGGATCAATAACTACGGCTGTCGGTCGTCCCTTACTTCCTCCAGCGTACGCCATGCTGATGACTCTACTGCGCAGACATTCCTAGCGCCGGCGCCGGCATCTTCTTCCTCGCCGCTTTCGGCCTCTCCTTCCTCTTCCACGCCTACCAGCTCATCCGCTCGCGTCGCTGGCTCTACATCTGCACCGAAGTTGGTCTCGTGTTGGAGTTGTGGGGATGGGGGACGAGGTACCACGCGGCGGACGACATCACGACTGGGTACGTCGAGCTCCGCCATCTCCTCATCCATCTTATCGTGCTCACCTCCACCTTCCTCGCTCGATACAGCTACGTCTTTCAGCTGGCCGGCTTAACATGCGCTCCGACGATGTTTGCAACGAACATCTGTGGGTATTAGCCGCTCGAGGAAGAGCGAGAATCGCTGACCTTCGCAACTTGCAGACTGCCTCTTCACCCAGTTCGCTGCGACGCAAGATCCGGCTGTTCTCCACGGCTTGGGTGCTCGCAAGTACGTTTCCTCGGCGGCTCGCATAGAAAAGTCGCCATTCGATGTTGACGGCTCTCTCTCGCAGAACTCAGCGTTGGTTAATCATCGTCGAAGTCCTCACCATCGCCGTCCAAGTCGGCGGAGCCTCTCTCGCGGCAACAGCGGGTGGAAGGGTACGGCTCGTCGTCCGACAAGCCTCAAGTGTTGCGCTGACCTCGCCGCAACGCAGTCATTGTTCAACATCGGCTGCAACATCATGCTCGCGGGAATCATCCTCCAGCTGGTGCTTACCGTCGTTTTCCTTGCCGCCGTCGTCGCCTACTTTACTCGCCTCCGACGCGCAACGGATGAGCGAGTCTTGAACGTGCGAAACCGGATCGGCTTTCTCTTCTGGGGCATCGTGGTGATGGACGCCTTGATCATCATCCGGTGAGTTTCCCTCCTGGCTCTGCATACGTAACTGCTGACGAACGATGTCTCGACAGTGGCGCGTACCGCACTGCGGAGCTCACAGGCGGGATCTGGGGTCCTATCGCGACCAGTCGTGCGTCTGAACCTCCTCCTCGCGCGCTCCCACCCTGACTGACCACTGATACTCTCTGCAGAGGTCGCCTTGATCCTCGGCGACGCCATCCCGATGTTGCTCGTCGCCTACGGCCTCAAGTGAGGGTTGTTCTCTTGACTGCAAGACTTCCCAAGCTGAACTCCTCCTTCCTCTGCAGCGCGACTCACACCATGTGGACCGTCGTCCCGTTCGAGCGCGCAAAGGAGCACGAGTCGATGGACATCAGCCTCGTTCGGCGCCAAACAAGCAACGGGAGCTTGGAGAAGACCGAGGCTGCGTACTAGGGCGGGTGCTCCCAGTCGCGGCGGGAGGCGGAACAGACACTAGCATGACGGGAGGGCGACTTGTACGCTGCAAACAGCGTTGTAACACTTGCGAGTGACGGAAACCGCGCATCCGCAGGAGAAGACAGACGCGAGAGGCACAGCTTTATGACCGTCAAAGCCTCTGCCGGTATCTTAAAGGAAGCGACTTGGCTGTCAACGCCTCTACGGATCCACAGAGTGTGATGTGGGTGTGCTGAAGAGGGTCGAGAGGGCCGAGAAACACCTTGGTCCGCTACACCTCGCCGCACGCCCTGCTTTTCCGGTTTTCTGCTGTGCTAGAGCCAGATACAAGGCTTCTCGCAACTCCAGCTCCTCAGCGACTCGTCCCACGGCTTTGCGCCGCACCAGCACGCCCCGCCAATCCTCATCGCCACACCCAACTTCGAACGGCGACAAAACCCCCTCACACCTCCAGTCGACCCCGTAGACCGCGCGCAAGATGCCACGTGCAGAGGCAGGCAGCGCCAAGGCGCTCTCGAACGCCATGAAGAGCAAGTGAGTCGGCTCACCTCATCGTCCTCCCGTCGCCCGGATGGCTGACACTTGTTCTTTGCCTTCAGGGGCTTGCAGAAGCTGCGATGGTACTGTCAGGTTTGCGAGAAGCAGTGTCGAGATGTGCGTCCGTTCCGCTCGTCTATTTCCAACTTCTGGCTGACCTCGCCTCGACCCGCTCGCAGGAGAACGGCTTCAAGTGCCACACCATGTCGGAGAGCCACTTGCGACAGATGCTGCTGGTCGGCGAGTCGGCTGGCAAGCACATAGCCGACTACACGACCCGCTTCCAGTCCGAGTTTGTCGCCTTGCTCAGCAGGAGGTTCGTTGCTTCCCTTGCTTTCGTTCTCCCGTCCTTCTCGCTAACCGAGTTCTGCACGCAGGTGGGGCACGAAGCGCGTCAGGGCGAACCAGGTCTACCAGGAGTACATTTCGGACAAGCACCACCTGCACATGAACGGTTCAGTTCGCCTCTTCACTCTGTTCCGACGCTCAAGCTGACCTGCTGTGCCCCGCAGCCACCCGCTTCCTCTCGCTCACCGAGTTTTGCAAGCACCTCGGCCGCACCGGTGTCTGCCACGTCGACGAGAACGAAAAAGGCTGGTGGATCCAGTGGATCGACAACTCGCCTCGCGCGCTCGCCAAGGCCGAGGCGAATCAGAAGAAGGAGCGAGGAGATATGGACGACGAGATGAGGCAGCGCAAGCTCATCCAGGAGCAAATTGAGCGGGCGAGGGAGGAAGGCGAGCGAAGAAGGCGGGAGGCGCTTCAGGCGGGCGGAACGGGGGAGGGCGACGAGGCTGCGGCGAGCGGGAGCGGAGGAGAGGGCGAGGCGCCGACGCACGAGCTGAAGCGCGACGAGGGCGAGAAGCTTTCGCTCAACCTCTCGTTCAAGGCGCCCGCAACGAAAGAACCCTCTCCTCCCGCCACTGCCGCAGCTTCCGACACGACCTCCGAGCTCGCTTCTGGCAGCTCGACACCCGCCGCTCCCTGTCCCGCACCCAGCACCTTCATCGCCCCTCCACCAAAACCCGTCATCGGCTTCACACCGAAAGCCAATCCCCTCGCCGCCAAGTCGAATCCGCTCAAAGCGAACCCGCTCAAAGCGAACCCGCTCAAGAAGCCGAATCCGCTCAAGGGCGGAGGGTCGTTGGCGACGCCGGGACCGGAGAAGCGCAAGGCGCCGATGAGTGCGGTCGAGCAGATTGCCATGGAGGAGATGGCTCGGAAGCAGCGGAGGATGGGTTGAGTGACCAGGACGAGCGCATGTTGTACTCCTCGTCGTTGCGTCTCTCTGTTGTAGTCGTGTAACCTCCGTTCGGCAGCCGTGAGACTCGCAGCAGCCTCTCTGGTCCATGCGAAAATAGCTGTTATATGCATGTCGGTCTACTTCTGCGCTTCTAGCGAATGCAACCGCTTCTCCCGTCGTTCCCGTCGCCGCTCGTCCTCCGCTTCATGCCGTGTCTGCGACGCTGCCCTCCATGACTTGCCCTTGATCGCGACGATGACCAGCGCTGCTTCGCCGAGCAGCAGCAGGACGCCCCAGCCTGTTCAAGGCTTCGTCAGCGAAGCTGTGAGGCAGTGGAGGAAGCGACGCGCGCACCCGAATAAAAAGCTCCGTGGCCAACGCGCGCCATGATGGGTTCGGCAGCTTGCGAAGCGGCGCACTGCGATTCCATCCCCGTCAGCGGTGTAATGTAAAACAGAAGAATTCAGACGCACAGCCAAAGCCCCGCGGAACAGGCTGTTGCAAGCAACCGCACTCGACGACCTTCCCGGATTTGCGTCGACGATGTAGGCGAGAGTTGAGGCATAGATGATCATCAAGGTCGCGCCGAGGAAGAAGAGGACGCCGATCGGTCCCGCAATGTGGACTTGATAGTAGACGGTCCAGGCATAGGCGACAAAGAGGGGAGGGAGGAAGGCGAGGGCTGGGTAGGTGGACTTGATCCGCATCTGCAAGAGGATCCGTCAGTCGCGGTGAAACCACGCTCTAAGACGGAGCAACTCACCTCCGGCTCGCCCTTCCCGCCGTTCCGCTCCTTCATCTTGCGAAGGACGTAGTCCGAATATCTGCCTCCGCCCACCGATCCAACGACGTTGCCGATCCCGAAGGCGAGTAGCACGAGTCCGACCTGAATTGGCGTGCAATTGTACGGGGCGGCGGCGAACGTTCGAGAGGCGGTATAGGTCATGCAGTACTGCGAGCCGAAGATGAGGCCGGAGTAGGTGAGGATGAGGACATTCGCAGGTTCGCGAAGGACGGCGCCTGCTGCGGCCATAGGATTAATATCGCGGAAGCGGATCTTGACCTTGACATCGCCGCTCTTGGCGGAGAGGGCGGTGCCGATCTTCTTGAGAGGTGAGAAGGCGGAAGTTGAAGCTGGCTTCGGCAGGACGGAAGGAGCTTTGGCCCGCTTCTCGCGAGCTTGTTGTTGTGCTCGCTCGTAGGCTTTGCGCCAGGCGAGACTGCGTTGGTGCCGAAAGGTATCGGGCAGCCAAAGAGCGAGGAGCCAGCAGACGCCGCCATACTGCGCAGGAGATCATCAGCATACAACAGCACGGCGTATCGAGAGCGTGAAGCAGACTCACAGCGACGAGGAAGTAGAAGGCCGCCCGCCAGTCTGAAGCGCTCGTCACGGCGCCGCCCACGATTGGACCGAGTGCGGGCCCTAGCAGCGGAACGCTGTAATAGACTCCAAGCTTCTCGCCTCGCTCATGTGTCTGGGGAGGCAAGCGTCAGCGGCAAGTCGAAGCAGCGCGAAGGGCTGCGCGCACATCGTACATGTCGGCGAGCGTTCCCGCCCCAAGCGAGAGGACGGCAGACGAGCCGAGACTCTGCAGGACTCGCATGGCGATGAAGACGCCGATGGAGTTGGAGCGAGAGCAGACAACGCTGCCGACTACGTAGATGACTGCGGATACGAAAGCAGGCCGCGAAGAGAACGAGTTAGCAGAGTTTCATAGCGATGGGATGGCTCAGAAGAGTCAGCGCACCTAATGCCACGATGTAGCACTTCTTTCGCCCTGTCACTTCCGACAAGCTGGACCACAGCAGCGGGAAGACACCTTGCCCGGCGATAAAGGACGAGACGGAGGCGGCAACCAACGCGTCGTTCGCCTTCAACTCTTGCTGTAGAGATCCCAGGGCGGGGAAGAAGACGGATGCCGAGATTGTACCGCCCATGGCGGTGAATGCGATAGTCCTGCGCGATGAACAAGGATTAGCGGATTTGTGCGGCGGACGAAGGCGAGGAGGGAAACGCACGCCAGGACGGCCGTCTTCCTCGCTCTGGGCCATTGTCGAGGGTCGTCGTTGACGGGAACATGCTCGACATCAAGCGCAAGCCCTCCATCTTGACCGCCGTGATCCGGCTCGTCGCAGACGGTACTCGCCGCCGTTTCGAGGTCTGCCTCGTCGCCGGCGGGGTCGCTGACACGCGGATGCTGGTCAGAGAGCGACGTTGCGTCGTCCTTGAGTGCCTGCACGTCGCCGGCCGCTGCGGTCGGTGGTGCCGAAACCTCATCGCTTGCCGACGGCAAGGTGGAGAGAGGGGACGGCGACATGGGACGGGTGAGGGACGGGGAGAGCAGTAGAGCGAGAGAAGGGAGTGCGCAAGTCGTGTGAGCTAGCTCATCCCCGCGTGACCAGTCAAAGGACGGAGGGGAAGCGAGATCCGAGGAGCCGTCCCGAGTCTCGGGATGGACAAGTTCGGCACGACTGTATCGATGACGTGTACAGCTAGGATTGTCGACAAACGTCAAGAAGTGTACCCTACAAGCGAAGCAAACCCATCCCGAGCGTCTCCGGCCGCTCATACGAACTCGGCCCGCAACATCGGGGACTGCAGCGCCGTCCACATACCGACCAGCGTCCCAATCGTCCTCCCATTCATGTACAGCTGCGTGCCGGCCTTCGCACACGCCGAGACCAGCTGGTCGAAGAGCTTGCCCGACGCCCAGTCGCCTGATACATTATCGAGAGTGCGCAAGGGCTCGAGCTTGTGCGACGAGCGTCGCTCAATCGCATCGAGGAGCGTCTGAACTTGGCCGCCCGCTTCGACGTGCATGCGGACGGAGTGGACGCTCGCCTTAATGAGGTGGAAGAACTCGTCGTTCTCCGTAATCGTGTGCTTGCCGTATTCGAGTCGGCGGAGCGACTTGAATTGCGGCCACGGCGCCTGGGCTCGGAAGCGGACGTAGTGTAGCGTCAGCGTGTAGAGGCCGGGGGCGAGCTGGAGGAAGAAGTTCGACATATCCTCGGTCGTGGTGACGATGTGTGAGAGGCGGATCTCGCGAATGGCGAGGCCCGACTCATTCGGAGGGTAGACGACCTCGATGGGCGGCGGGAAGTAGACGTGCGAGTACAACTCGAGGCGCTGCAGGTTCCGGAGGCGCTTCGTGATCATGTCGGCGACGAGCTTGAGGCGGGCATCGATGTGGCTGTTCGGAAGCGCGACGCAAAGATGGGTGAGGCTGCGCGGCAGCTTGGCCCAGACGGTATGGTCGCAGGCGTGGTTACCGAGCGTAACGCGTTCGAGGTTGGTGAGGAGTCTGGAACGACGACATGTGTCAGTGAGAGGTCGTGCGAATGTGAGAGCTGTACTCGAAGAACGGCGCAAACTCACGGCAGGACGTCGTTGAGGAAGGCAGCCTGCGACCGGTGGACAGGCTTGAAGTGGAAGGACCGCAGGCTCCCTGCCTGCGCCTTGACAATCTTCTCGAGCGAACCGGACGACGGGTCGGTGACAATCCAGATCTTGAGCTCGACGAGACGGCAGGAGCTGGTGAGCCAGTCGATCACTTCGAAAGGGACGGTCACGAAGTCCAGTTCGAGGCGCTCGAGGTGCTTCAGATGTTGCGAATTCGAGCCTCCGCTCCAGACACTGGCGAAGTGCTCCACACCGGAGATTTTGAGGCTGCGCAGCGTAGTCGGGAACGACTCGAAGGCGTGCTAAGGCGCAAAGTGTTCGACAGAAGCTGCCGGTCTGCCGCACTCATGTCGCTGAAGTCGTCCTCGCTCTCGAACTCGAATTCGGGGATCCGTCCGAAGCGCAGAGACGTCAGACTCGCTGTCCAAGCCGGCAAGGGAGCGCGACCATCGGCGGTTTCGTTCCACGACGAGACAGGCGAGTCGAAGTGGACGAGGTTCGGGCAGAGCCGAAGCAGGTCGTCTTGCGAGATGTCGGAGAAAGTCGTCATCCGCGTAAAGGCGCCTTCGCGAATCGTCAAGGACCGCACGCAGGCTGCGAGGTCGCGGTTGCGAGCGAGGGTCTGCAGGAGAAGCTGGCCTTCCTTTGGCGTGCCTACGACAATGCGGGCGAAGAGGAGCCTCCTGCGTGCAGGAATGTTGTCAGTACAGTCGCTTCTCGTCATTCGAGACCGCACGCACCGCGCGATGGGGCGGAAACGGGAGCAAACGCGGCTCAGCGCCTGCAAAGTCGAGCGGTCGGAGCGATAAGACGGTCCATCGGGCGCGTGCCGGAAGACAAGCTCGACCAGCTCGTTCGAAAGCTTTGCGAACGCCATAGCGGTGATGTGGACGAGGGAAAGAGGCGAACCGAAAGTCGAGCGGTGTCAGTCTCCCTGCTCAGCTCGAAGGCGGGGGAGGACCAGCATGCGATGGCTGAACCGCGCTCTTGTCCTCCTTTGCGCGCTTGCTTCAGCCGTCCGCGCTTTGCCTGAGCCAGACGACGCTTCCCCCGCTTCCTCGACTTCGGCTGAGCCATACAGCGCGTCCACAACGTCCGTGGCCCTCGAGGCTTCGACGAGAGTCACAAATGCAGGCAATGAGGTGGTACCGGAGTCGGCGACTGAATTGGGGGAGGTCACGTCGAGCCTCCAGGATGCGACCTCGCGAGGGGAGATGACATCTTCGACGGCGACCGAGGGACCAGGGGGTTCAGTCAGTGCTTCGCAGGCGACGACAGTACCTACAGAAACGTCGCCGCAGCTGCCCACAACCTCTTCGACTCCCTCTCCGTCAGACTCTCCCCTCCCTCCTGCCGCCGAAACCTCGTCTCTACCGCCGCCGGAACCTTCGCCTAGCGGTCTCGCCGACCTCCCCGTTGTCGAGAAGCTCCCCCTTACCGAGGTCCCGCCCGCTCCCGAATTCCTCTCCTTCAACGAATGGCGCGAGCGATATGCCGTTGCAGCCGATCCTTCCGTCGCCAGGCGCGCGAAGAAGGCAGCCCAGCGGGCACGGCAGGACGTCGTAGGCGCTTCGGCAGCTGGGACGAATGGCGCGGCGTACGACGGAGACGGTGCGGATCTTGGGAGTCTCTTCGTTGGAGGCGACGAGGCAGGTCCGAAGGGCGGCGACAGGCTCGTCTTCCAGGACATTGGCTCGGTAGCAGGCGTCCAAGTCGGCGCTATCGAGGTGATCGAGACTGACACCGTCGCCGCGCCGCCAACCTCCGACATGGCGAATCCGATCCAGCCTCTACCAGACGTCGGGACAGGCGAACTGAATGACCCGCTTCTCCTCCTGAAGGACCGGTCAAACTACGCCGCTCTCGAGTGCGCTGCTATGGTGCATCGATCATCTCGACAATCGAAAGGAGCGTCAGCGATCCTCGTCGAGAAGAAGGACCGATACATGCTCACGCCCTGCTCCGCCAACCCAAAGTTCGTCGACGTCGAGCTGTGCGACGAGATCCAGATCGACACGCTCGTCCTCGCCAACTTTGAGTTCTTCTCCAGCACGTTCAAGCACTTCAAGGCGAGCTGCAGCGTCGACTATCCCGGCAAACCCGCAGACTGGCACGACCTGGGGACTTTCCGAGCCCGAAACGTTCGCGGCATTCAGGTAAGTGACGACAGAACCGAGATACTGCTACATCACTCACCGCTTCGGTTCACAGGTCTTCAAGCCCATCCGCAACCCGCACTTCTGTCGCTACCTCCGCATCGACTTCCTCTCGCACTTCGGGTCCGAGTTCTACTGTCCCGTCTCGCTCCTCCGCGTCTACGGCTACACCCAGCTCGACGCGTACCGAGAGTCGGAACGCAAGGCAAAGGCGATCGAGGAGGCGCTTGCGGCGGCGGAGCTTATCGAGGAGGAGGTTGCGCAGCACGAGCGGGTGCTCGAAGATGCGTTGCGAGTCGAGGTCGACAAGCTTGAGCGGCTGGAAGACGCGGGCGCGAAGACTGTCAACGCGACTGTCGAGATCACGCCGTCGTTTTCGCCCGTTCCGCCGAGCGTTGACCCTGGCTCGCCCTCTCCACCGCCCTCTCCATCTGTATCCCTGTCTAGCCACGACTCGACACCGTCCCAAACGGTGACGCCACCTCCCAGCGTCGCCACGAGCCAGCCTCCCCCTGCGGCAACTGTCAACGAATCTCAGCCCTCTTCCGGCCTCTCCGGCACAACGGCTGCGCCAACTGCGACATCTACGCCTATCGAGTCAGACACCCACACAACGAGCTCTGCGACTCCATCCTCTACCTCCGCCCCGGCCAGCGACGAGTTCGACACAGGACCCACGAGCGCGACTGTCGATGTTGCCGAGCCGGAATTCTCCAGCAGCACGGGCACCAGCTTTGCGACGGGCTCCGAGTTGATTTCGTCATCGACTACAGCGATGACATCCGTTGCGGCGTCGTCCGGTTCCTCGATCAGCTCGTCCGCCGACGTCCCGACATCGAGTAACGTGTCTGCGCTGAGCGCGACACCTAATACCTCAACCGGCCGTCCAAGCACACCAACCGATATCCCTGTCGTCGTCTCCCGCTCTCCTCCCGCCCCACGCAACGATACTCAGCCAGCGATTCAGCAGCATGTCCCGCTTCCGCCTCCGCCGCGTCCGCCGGTCATTCAGCCGACGCAGCCGGGCGAGTCCATCTACGGCACGATCATGAAGCGCTTGACGAGTCTCGAGCACAATCAGACGCTCGCAATGCACTTTATCGAGGCGCAGAGCAGCATGCTCCGCGAGGCTTTCGCTCGGATCGAGAGGCGACTGACGGATATCGAGGGCTCGGTGCGCACCTTCCTTTCCTTCCTCCACCCTTATCGACGCTGACGGATGGCACTTACAGCGTGGGCGGCAAGAGCAGAGCATCCGCCAGGCTTTGCTGGATCTCGAGAAGCAGCGTGGCGAGCTCGAGCGAGAACGTCTAGCACTGTCTACCCAAGTCAGCATGCTTACGCAAGAGGTGCGTTTCCAGCGACCGGCAGAGAAGAGACAAGCGCTCACGCTTCTCCTGAACCGCAGGTCCGCCTCGAAAAGCGACTCACCGTTGCGCAGCTCATCGGGCTCCTTCTCCTCGTCATCTTTGTCGGCTTCACTCGCGGCATTCCTACGTCGCCCTTCTTACACCTCGCCTCAACGCATCTTGACGCGAAGCGGGAGATGAAGCGCACCCAGGCGGATCTGCTGGCGGATAGGCTTGGTCAAGCCGCTGGTTCCCGACTGCAGACGGAAGCTGGCGAAGAAGGTGGGTACCGCATTCTCGTTGTTGCCGAAGAGTGCTCGACTAACACGCCTCACCTTGCAGATGCTCCGGCAGCAACTCGCCGAGGGCACCGCATCTCGCCTTCCGTCTCGCTCTCCCGCTACAACGGCTCATCGAGCGCTTTTAAGCGGTACCCGTCCATCTCGAAGGCCGGTCCTCGACGACACTACGGCATCGGCTCGTCGAAGACGTCGAACGGCAAAGGCGACTCGAGCCGCGCGCGACCGTGGTCTCCGCCTACTCGGCATGCGTCTGCGCCGCCTGAAGAACCGCCTGCGCTGATGCTCGATGGCAAGGCGGCGAAGCGGAGACGACCGCTTGCGGATCTTGCCGGCTCGGACGGACACGCTTTCGAGTTCCCCGCCCGGTCTTTGTCGACGCAGCCGGGCTCGACTGGCGTCGCTGCATCGGTAGCGACCGGCGCAGCTTCCTCGTCCGCCTCGCTTTCGCCCATTCCCTTCCCTTCGACATCCTCCTCATCTCCCGTCCGGACGTCCCACCCTTCCGCCGCACCTCAACCGCAACTCGACCTGCCCTTCAATCTTGGTTACCTCTCGACCACCCTTGGCCCGACCGCAGATCGCAGCGACTCTGCGTTCTCGCCAACCTCGACGAACGGCTTTGTCGGCGACGACGAGCGCGACGAGGGCGGCTACCATACCTACAGCAGCGACGAGGACGCCCTCGCCTCGGTCTTCCCTTCTCGCACGCCTTCACGAGACCGGCTGCGGGCAGCGGCGCTTGCCTCCTCGTCGCCGTCGAGTCCAGGAACGACAGCGAGTCCTCGAATCCGCCCGCCTAAACCGCAGGTCCCGCTTCGTCCGGCTACCTCGATGGGCTTTCGCGACGAGCGTGCGATGCAGAAGGAGAAGTCGAGGCGGACGTCGCGAGGACCTGATGCGAAGCAGGCGGCAAACGGCGACGACCTCCCTTCCCTCGGCCCGGCGCCGATAATCTCTACGCCTTCTCCACCTCCTGAGACGGTCACGTCTTCTTCTACTGTACAGCAGCACAAGCGGTCGGATACCCTCGCCTAACCCAGCGGTCCTTGTACACACGTTCTCTGTTCGCGCATGCCTCTGTACTTCGCATGTCTGCCTCCTCGCAACAGCAGCATCGGTCTCTCACGTCTTGTAAGGGGTTAGTGGCGAGTCCATTGATTTCAACAGGCGAGGGAGAGCACATCGAGAAGAGGATTAGGGTTGGATAGAACGGATCTCACAGCGAGAAAGGGAGAAGACCTTGAAAGGACGCCCGATAAGGCCGTCGACGAGCTGAGCGCGCGGCTCGTCAACGGTGTTCCCTATTACCCAATCCTCCGCGTCCGGTGAGGTGCTCGTCCGCCTTGTGCTTCGCTCCCCACCTCTCCTCCGCCTCCTTGTCCTCCTCCTCGATCTTGGCCTCCCTCTCGCGGCTCCTCGCGTCCTTGCTCTCGCCACGGACGTTCCCGAGTCCGCCCCTGCCTGCAGCGACAGGCAAGTCCTCGCCGTGGTGCTGTGCGCGAACGCGAGAGCGGGAACGAGAGCGGGCGGCTGCGACTTCGGCGGCTTCTTCCGCCGAGTCGGCGTCGCGGGCGCGAGAGCGTGACATGTTTCCCGCGCCGCCTGCGAACGTATACCCCACGATCAGCGACCTGCGGGAAAGGGAGGAGATGAGCGAACTCACCGCGACCGGTGGTGACAAGTCCTCGTCCGCGACTGGCCGAGCGGGCGCGGTCTTCGTGGTCCGGGTTCAAGTGAGAAGGGTGTGCAGGTGCATGCCTGCCGCGCTCGCCTGCAGACCCGATGAGGCGAGAGGTCAGTCCTCCGATAAGGGAGCTCCGTTGACGCTGCGTTCGTCCGCGCGCGAGCGTGAAGCGGGGCTGGCGGGTGCGCACCTTGCTCCGAGGTGTGGTTCGGGCTGACGACGCTCTTGATCTTGCTCACGAGGGCCGCCATCGTTGGTGTCGGGAGGAGCAAGGCTATCGCACCACGACGAGCAATCGACGCAGCCGACAGGGAGGATCTTGGCTCGACCGTGAAGAAAGGTATCGAACAGTGCATCGCAATACACAGATGGACAACAATACAGGCATGGGTGGTCGTGAGAAGGCGTCCAGCAGGGCTAGGAAACGGCGTCGGTCGTATTTCGGCGGAAGAACGAAATATTGCCCGCGCCGCCTATCGCAAGCAAACAGTCAGCTCCTTCAGCGGGAGAGTTTCAAGAGGACGATGAACGCACCTCGCCCTGTGCTGACAAACTGGCCCGGCTCGCGCTCCCGCTTCTTGAGGAGCTCCTGCAGCCGCAGCTCGTCGTCCTCCCTATCCGCCCGCTCCTGCTCCTCCATGACAGTCGGGACCCTCCCAAGCTCGAGATCGCGCCCCCGACTCGAGCTCCGCATGTTCCCGCGCCCGCCGCGGCCAGTCGTCGCAACTTCAACTCGCCCGTCTCGCTCCCGCGACCTGCTTCGGTCCTCCCTCACCAGCCGCACGACGTTCGGGTCCTCCTCGCCGTCAAACTCGCGCATGTCTTCGTTCGGCGAGACACCAATCAAGTTCCCTGCCCCTCCTCGACCAGTCGAAAAGATCTTTCCGCCAGGCGGCGCTCGTCCGCGAGAGGACGACCTTGTCTGTGACTTGGAGAGCGGGTACATCGAGGCTGCGACGGTCGAGCCTTCTTCGTTGACGGTGTGCATGCTGCGAGCTGAAGGGCCGCGAGAGAGGGATCGAGGGCGGAAAGCAGAGAGGGGAGAGCGACCGCGAGGTTCTTCGACAGTCGGGACTGCATGCGGTCGTTCGAGCACCGTCAGCCATTCGAGTACTAGTCATAATTCGATGAAAGGCGAACGCACCGGTGTCTGCGCTCATTCTCCGCCCCCTCTCCTGCTCGCCCTGCCTATCCCTGCTCGCGCTCATAGCCCTCTTGACCCGATCGACAACCCTGCTCAGGCTCCTCCTCGTACCTCCACGAGACCTCGACTCGCTATGCTCCTGCTCGCCCGCCGCAACCGCCTGCTGGCGCGCGAGAACCGGCCCCGGCCCCGCTGGACGCCCGCGAGGGAGTTCGTGTTCGGGGAAAGGCGAGGGGATGGCGCTGGGAGAGAAAGTGGAGCGTTGTGCGAGGACGGGCGAGTCGCTTGCTGCGCGCTCGACGGGGCGCTCGAGGGTCGCCATGCGTTGGCGATGAGGGGAACGCAGTGCGGGGGGTCGAGCGAGAGAGCGGGATCAAGGCGGTGGGCGGGCGTGTGTGCCAGTCAAATGGCTCTAGTAGCAGTCTTCGAGCGGCTCTAGCAGTTCAAGCAAGCGGTTCTGTGAGAGCGAGGGTATGGCGCAAGACGAGCGAGCAACTTCGCCAAGAAGCACGAGGTCGTCTCGATTTCGCAGGTCAGGCTGACTTATCCAGTGCAGAAAGAGTAGTAGTGACAGTAGAACGGAGCTACAACATCACACGAAGTGTCTATGGCGAGCGCAAAGAAGGGGAAGGGGAGGAAGCGAGGCGCTCTATGGTGCGCCGTAGTCGCCCGCTGCGTCGAACCAGTCGAAGTTGCCGGCGCTGTTCGTCGTCGAGGCGCCAAAAGGATCCTGCGCAGCCGGCGCAAAGGCAGGGAGCGGGAAGGTGGACGAGAAATGCGATTCGTTGGCCTAGGTAGCGCGGCAAATCATCAGCATTGTCGCTCAACCAGGCAAAGTTAACCAGCGCACTGTCGAGTCGAATGCTGTTGCAATGTCAGGGGAAAGGAAGCTGGGAGAGAGCAAGGCGGAGGAGGAGGATGCCCGGTTGGCGTTGTCGATGAGGGGATTGAGGAGCGCCTGCGTATCGTCTGTCCCGCCGGTGCCTTCAGCAGTCAGTTCAGACGGCGCATCGAAGAGATCGCTCAAGCGACCATCGGTAGTCGGCCAGAGAGTCGCCGCGAAGGCTTCGGTTGAGATGAAGCTGTCCGGATCGAACGTGCCGCTGACGGTACCGTTGTCGGGCGGGTCGTCCTTGTAGAGCGCCTCGACGATCTGGTGCAGCAAGAGCGGCGCTGTCTGGGAGACGTCGTGGGCAAAGGTCCAGGCGTTGAGACGACCGAGCGAGGGACGCGAGAGCAGGTTGATGTCCGAAAGCAGCCGACGGGGCGATGCTGTAAAGCACGAGTAGTGTGTAAGCGACTCGCTGCTCCCCACGTAGTCCCGAAGAAGTCGTCAATGAAGGAGAGGCACGCACTGCCGGTGAGCATGACGAGCGCCAGTCGTTCCGCTTCGGCTTCCTCGCGTACTGTGGCGAGACCTGGCGCTCCGGGGTAGCTCTGAGCGATGAGGTCGAGCGCCGAGAGGAGGCTGGGGAGGCAGGGAAGGAGCGGTTAGTAAGGTTGGCCTCAGCGAGACGTGAAGAGTCACGCACTAGTCCAGGGACCCGAGCTTGTCAACAGGACTTGCGTGTAGCGACATGTCCCAGGCAGACGTCTGCAAGAAGCAGCGGATGATGGCGAGGATGCGTGAGAGGGAGATCATCGTTCCTCCGAGGACGGCGAAGAAGTTGGACCCGTCCGTAGTCTGTCGGCGCCGACTAGGTCAGCGCGAGCAGCCTGTGCGTGATAACGCGTCTGACGTACCCGAACATCTCGCAGGTATCGGCAAAGCTGGACAGGGAAACGTGCACGCGCTGTTGAGAGCAGCGAAGGCGAGATCTGATCGGCTGGGCTGCAGGCGTGAGCAGAATCGTGCTGATCAAGTTCCTCGAGGTGCTGCAATATGGCGAACTCGGCGGCGATGGCCGGACCGTATGCGAAGTTGCAGTAAAACTGCGCACAGAGGAGGCGTTAGCGGCGCAGCAAACTCGGTTAGATCAGCTTCGTTCACCTCGAGGTTCGCGCGTGCAAACGCATCGCCCTTGTCGCCGCGCAATGCCAGATCGGCCGCCATACTTGCCCAACTGTAGAGAGCGTCGAGGTCTCGCCAGCGAGCCTCGAAGTCCGCCTCATCCGCCAAAGCTTGAGGCATGCTCTTGGTTCCCACGAGGAGTGTCGCAATCCGACGCGCGACGTTGAGATATGCGCGCAGACCGAAGAGGGCGCAGACCGTCACGCTCCAGGCGTCGGCGGAAAGTGCGGCCTCGAGCAGCTCGGCAGATGGAAGTTTGCCGGCGTAGCCGAACATGAGCGAGTAGTCCGACGCTGAGCTGTTGGAGAGTAGCCTATCGTCAGCGAGGCCAAAAGCAGAGGCGAAAGCGCGCGAACTCACAAATATGGCTCTTTCTTCCGCTCGATCGAGGCCGCCGCGTCGAACAGCCCAGCATTCCAAATCATCGCTGTCCCACCGTCCACGAGCACGGCGGAAGGGCTCATCGGCGCGGCAGATTCGACGAGCAGCTCGATCTGAACGACGCAAGTCGAGAGGCAGATGAGCGACTCGTCGCTGGCGATGTCGCCGCCATTCACGATCTGCTGCAGCATCAATAGACTCTTTGTGCTGATAGAGCCTGGCTTGCGCCAGATGCCGAGCGTGTCGGCGCTCTCCTGCGCAGCGCTGAGGAGCTGTCGCGCGAGTGCCTTGCGGGTGTCGGGCGTGGCGGATGCTGTAGACTGCCAATGTGGCACCGCTGACGCAAAGATGATGCGGCACAGAAGCTATAAGTCGAAATGTCAGCCGTTCTGGCTCGAACGAACGTGAAGCAACGCGGAGGAAGCCAGCGCACCTGATCATCCCTCGACAGCTCGGACAGCCTGCCACCGCTGCATGGACGATAGTAGCAGTATGAGCGTAGGTCAGACTTGAGTGAGCTCTTGAACCGACGCACCGCATCTGAAAGCGAGTTGCGAGAGAAGCGTAATCGAAGATGGGGAGGGGATACAGCGCCGTGCTTCGTCCATTCGAGCCGCCGTCGCCGTAGAGCGCGAGGAGCTCCAAGCCCAAGGAATTGGCGAGTTCGGCGTCTGCAAGGCGGCTGTCGACGGAAGGGGGTCCTGTGAGAATCGAGGGATTGAATGCTTTGACGATGTCGGCACGACCCGCTGTGTGCAACGCGATCAGCTAGCGACACTCGTCGTACGTGACACAACATTACGCACGCCCATAGCTGCCGAAGACGCAGGAGAGACCTGAGGACGAGGCGGTGCGGAAGTCAGTACACAACGACGATGGCCGAAGGGGACGAGCAAACGCACCCTTCTTCTCGCAGGACTCGCAAGGTCCGCTCGACTCGCCAGAACGGCGACGGCAGGCGATGCGTCTTCGTCGACATGAGTCGCACGAGGACGCGGCCGGTCCGCGTTTGCCTCGCGCCCTGGGCACCTGCGAGTCTGCCGGGCTGTTCATCGTCGGATACCGAGATTACCGAAGCATGTACAGGAGCAGAAGAAGCAGCGATGCCGCCGAGCAGAGTGTGTGCGGAGGGATGGAGGTCTTCGCCAAAGGTGAACGAAACAGACACAACCTCTCGCAAGGCAAGCTGACGCCAGATGCGTGATAGTATTGACAAGGAAGATCGTACAGCACAACACAGATTGTCTATGGCTGGCGAGGAGAGAGGCGAAAACTAAGTCGCTCTATGTCGCGCCGAAGTCGCCTGCTGCTTCGTACCAATCGAAGTCGCCGGCGCCGTTCGTCGACGAGGCGCCATACGGATTCTGCGCAGCCAGCGCAAAGGGTGGCGGAGCTGAATCCAGCGACAGGAGGGACCCGTCCGCCTGGTTTGCCTGCTTGAGCTGCGAGAGCCGTGCGTATCAGCAGCCTGTCGAACACGCAAGAAGGCAAATAACATCTTACTGTAGATGGTGATGCGGTTGCAGTAGCCGACAGAAGGAAGTTGGCGGGAGGAGAAGCGGTAAAATGGACGTCGGGGCTGGCGGTTCTGCTGAGCAGGTCCAGCAACGCCTGCGAGTCGCCAGCTTCGCCGGTAGTCGATGTAGTCGATGCTTGCGCCGCGCCAAACGAGCTGTCGAAGGTGCAGTCGGCCGACGGCCACAAGGTCGACGCAAAACCTTCGGACGAGACGGTGGACCACTCCGACCCGCTCAGAAGCGACAAAGACGGTCCTTGAAGGGCTGGCGAGGGACCAACACTACGCTGAGAGGCTCGGTCGCTGCCAGACGAGACCAGCTCGAAGTCGTTCCATGGCGGAGAGGCCTTGACAATGGCCGAGTCTGACTGCTCGGAAACGTCCATGTTGCTGTCGTTGCTGGACACCGGCATGACGTGGTCGTACAGCGTCTCGTTGATCTCGTGAACGAGGAGGGGCGTCAGCGCGGAGACTTCACTAGCGTAGGTCCATCCGTTGAGGCGGCCGAGCGAAGGGGGGACGGCGGTTGCGGACTTGTATAATGGCGGCAAGGACGATCCTGCCCTCAGCAATCGAGCGTCAGTCGCTCGCTTGCTGGCGACGGACTGTTCGGAGCACGTACCTCCGGCGAGCATCGTCAGCGCAAGACGTTCCGCCCTGACCGCTTCGCTGACTTCTGCGGTATCGGGCGCTTCCGGATATGTACGCGAGATGGCTTCAAGTGCGGTCGCAAGACTGTTAAAGGGCAAGCGAGGGGATCAGTGCGTCGTAGTCAGCAACGCGAAGGGACGAAGCGCCGACTGCACGTACTAGTCTAGGGCGGCAAGCTTGTCTTGCGGGTTATCGTGCAGCGTGGTGTCCCAGGCGGACGTAGTCAAGAATGCGCGGGTGATCGCCAGGATGCGCGAAACCGAGATTACGGTCCCCCCGAGGACCGCGAAGAAATTGTGTCCTTGCGTGGTCTAGCGGCACTGGTAGCGTCAGCGCCACGCAGGTATCCAACGGAAGCGCGTTGGACGCACCCGTACAGCTCGCAAGTAGCGACAAAGCCGGATAGGAAAGCGTTGGCGGGCCGTCTCGAGCAACGACTGCGAGAGATAGTCGCTTAAATCGAAAACATGCGCTGCATCCCGCTTGTCGAGGTCTTCGAGGTGCTGCAGCATGGCGAACTCGGCGGCGATGGCGGGGCCGAACGCAAAGTTGCAGTAAAGCTGCGCACAGAGGAGAGGGTCAACTCTGCAGCGTGGAGGACAGTACGATCCGACCATACCTCAAGGTTTGTGCGGCCGAACTCGTCGCCCTCGCCGCCGTGTATCGCTAGTTCCGCCGCCATACTGGCCCACGCGTAGAGAGCGTCGAGATCTCGCCAGCAAGACTTGTACTCCGCCGCCTCTGCCTCAGCTCGGGGCATACGCTTCGCACGTGAAAGGAGCATCGACACCCGACGTGCAATGTCGATGTAGGCGCGCACGCCCGGCAGAGCAGACACCGTGATGCTCCAGGCGTCCTCTTGCAGAGCCTTGACGAGCAGATCGCGTGGGGCGAGTTTGCCGGGGTAGCTGAAGATGAGAGCATAGTCCGAAGGCGAACTGTTCCGAGCCAACCGAGAAGCTCAGCGACGACATGCGAGCAGGAATGGCACCAGAACTTTGAGAGCTCACAAGTACGGCTCCTTCCTCCGCTCGACCGCGATCGCTGCGTCGAAGAGTCCTGCACTCCAGATAAGAGCCGTCTTGCCCTCCACTGGAACGCCAGCTGGTCCGAAAGGTTCGGCAGCATCGACGAGCATCTTGATGTGGCTGATGCAGGTCGACAGGCAGACGAGAGAATCGACGCTGGTGATCTCGCCGCGCCCGGCAACTTGCTGGAGCAACAACAAGCTCTTCGTGCTGACCGAGTCGGGTTTGCGCCATATGCCGAGCATGTCGGCGTTCTCCTGCGCAGCTGCTAGCAATTGCCGCGCTAGGACTGCGCGCGTTTCCGGCGTCGCCAGTGCGGTCGAGTGCCAGTGTGGCATAGCTGAGGCGAAAACAACGCGGCAGAGGAGCTGCAGAGAACAGTCAGTACGGCAGAGCCTCCTGCTGGGAGGTCAGGGTTGCGGTGAGACCGCGAGCTCACTTGGTCCTCCTGTGATAGCTCGCATAATCTGTTCCCACTGCAGGTACTTGTGTCAGAACCAAAGGAACCTATGCTGCAGACTTCGATGAAGGTGAACGCACGCATGTTTGAAGCGGGATCTCAACGAAGAGTAGTCCCAGATCGGGAGAGGGTACAAAGCCGAGCTCCTGCCGTCTGCTCCGTCGTACAGCGACAACAACTCGAAGCCGAAGGCGCTATCGAGCTCTTCCAGCGCCAGGCGATTGTCAGCGCGGGACGGTCCCGCGAGAAGCGGCGGAGTCGATGGCTTGACGACGGCCAGGCGACCAGCTGTGAGCCTCGGGAGATCAGTGAGTGTCCTCGACTTGGCAAAGCGCTGCACGCACACGCTTGGCCGCCGAAAGCGCACGAAAGCCCTGCGGACGGAGGTTTCGCGAAAGTTAAGTGGACCATCGACAACAGCTGGACGGGACGAGCGAACACACCCTTCTGCTCGCAGGACTCGCAGGGTCCGCTCGAGTCGCCAGAACGGCGACGGCAGGCGATGCGTCGTCGACGACAAGAGTCGCACGAGGACGCGGCCGGTCCGCGTTTGCCTCGCGCCCTGGGCGCTTGCGAGTCTGCCGGGCTGTTCATCATCGGATGCCGAGGTTACCGGAGCATGAGTAGCGACAGAAGAAGCAGCGATGCTGGGAAAGCGGAGTAACGGCGAACGCCAACCCGACGCGAGCGGCAAACAGCGGCAACGATGGATTGTTCTCTGCGAGACGAGGCGGCTTGAAAGATGCTGCGATTGCTTCTACAGTACAAGCGCAAGCGGCGAAAGGCTACCCTTCGTCCTCCGTCTCACTCGCATTTCCCGGTGTTGGCGGGAAATGGATGTTGTGGCCCGGCCGGTGCGGGAAGAAGGAAGAGTACCTGTAGTAGGAAGGGTCAGCAAGAATGCGAAGTCACGTCGAGGAAGCAGACGCACCGCGCGGGGATGTTGCCATGCTCATCCTCCTCGTCCAAGTCATCCTCCTCGTCGCTAAGCAGGTCCTCCCTCCTCGGGCTGGGCGCCGCGCTGCTTTCGCTACCTCGCCATGCCCGGCTCGGATCCTCCTCGCTCGGCATACTGCCCCAGCTCGTCGCCCTCGGCCTCCTTCTCCCACCCTCGCTAGACTCTCCTTCGTTGTCACCGCCGAGGTTGATGCCCTGCTTCGCCGCGCGCTTAAGATTGCGCCAGCCACGACGGAGGTCGACGACGAGTAAGGCGTCCTTGACCGCTTGCGGAACCTCGGCTCCCGTCTCCTTCGGCTCGGCGAGAGCGGGTAGCCAGGGTTCCGGGAGTGCGCCAAAGAGCGCTGGGTGGCCGTAGCGCGCAGGCCCTCCAGTGTTGAGGACGCCAGGGTACATCTCGGAGAGAGGCGGCTGCGAGTAGTCGGTGTGCGGGTTCTGCGCGGGAAGGAAGGTGAGCGTCGTCTTGCGATTGAAGCGTGTTGCGCTCTCACCTTTGCGACGGCGTAGACGCCTTCGCCCTTGTGCCCGTACCGTCCACGATTGAGGTGCGTCTGGCTCCTCGTGACGGGATGACCCTTCCTCAGCTTGACGATATCGTCCGCGCCCGTTCCGTTCGCAACTTCGCACGCCTGCGACAAGTTGACGAAGCGCGAAAGCGGAACGTAGGTGCGGTACAGGCGCCAGATTGTGTAGACCGTCGAGGCGAGGAGCGGGACCATGAGGACGACGAGGAGGAACGCCTTGCGGACGGTGAAGAAGCCTGCGCGACAGGCGGGGGTGAGCTCGCGGGCCTGCGAGAGCCTGTAGGCTGCTCACGCACCGAGCATGAAAACTTGGAAGATGAGCAGACCGAGTCCCACGCGATTGTAGGCGAGCGGCCATGCCTGTCCGCGGCTCTCGTAGGGGCGGTCTGGCGGTAGAACTCGTCAGCAGTGCGCTCGTGGATGCTACTTGGTAGACGCACAGAAGACGAAGAGGAAGCGGTACTTGTAGGTGAGGTACGCGAGGCCGAAGTACAGCGTTGCGAAGGGGAGGATGAGCGGAGTGATGATGGAGTAGGTCAAGCCGATCGTCCAGATGAGCAGCGCCTGCAAGGGGAGAGGAAAACGGTGAGCGTCGTTGATGATTGAAACATGGCAAAGACGGTCTCACCTGGGGATACACAACGCCGAGGTTGAGGCTCGTCGGCGCATTCAGCTCGGCGTGGTCTGCGCGGAGGACCCGTCAGCTGTCGATGACCACGAACGAACCAGCGAATCGACGGACCTCGCGGCGTAGACGTGAGGAACATCTGGTAGAAGAGGCGAGGAATTACGGTCGCGAGCTCAAGTAGCTGAAGCGGCATGATAGCCAGACCTGCGCGATGCCGTGGTCAGCTTGCGGCCATCGGCGCCTCCCTGTCACCCAGACGCACCTGCGAGCATGACGTAGGAGACGAAGAAGTTGCGCGAGTCGGGCAGAGTCGTCGCCAGTTTGTCGAGAACCTTGGCAGGGCTCTCGGAGATGTCGCGGAGAAGGGTGTAGGTCGACGTCGTGATCTGTAGCGGACGTCAACACTGCATTGACCGTGCACGTCGTAGGGGAAGAGCGTACGAAGACGAAAAGGGTCGTGAAGAGGAGCGAGATGTGGTACTTCTTGAGCTGGCTCAGCTCGATCCAGCTGCGTGCCGGCAAGCCTTGGAAGATTGACAGCGCCTCCAAGAACATCGGCAAGACGTTGTTGAACGCGACCATGGCGAGCGAGGGAAGCGTGGTCTGGACAAAACCCCTCAGGCGCGGGCTGTGAGGGAGTCTTCAGCGAGAGCCTCTGAAAAGGGACGAATGAAGCTCACCTCCTTCCGAGCAGGTCAGCGAGGCGAGGCGCGACGTCTTGGATGGTCTCCCAGCTGAGCAAGGTCGCCAGAGCTGCAACCGGGACGGACCACACCGAGAGGAGGATGAGGAGCGTGAGGATCACGAGCACTTGGCGAATGAAGACCGACGACGCCGAAAGGTTGAGGTTGAACCAGTGAATATCGCGCGGTTCGGGTGCTGCGAGCCATAGTCAGCATTCGACTCGGTCCAAAGCGAGACGAGGAACTCACCCAGCTCGGTGTGAAACTCGGTTGCGGAAGGGTAGTGGACGACCTGGGCGGCAACTTGCGCCGAGGCAATAGTCTGGAAGGTGACGAAGGCAACGCCTGTCGGCCTAAACTTGCCTTTCCGCCTCTTCCGGACCGCCTCGTCGGCCCTGCGGAACTGCTCGGCATAGTAGTCCAGCGCGTCCACCTTTTTCGCGAACCAGTGCGGGCGGAGTGTTGGTCGCTTCCGCCCGGGCGTTGAGATCGCCGACTTCACGCGTGAGAGGAGCTGGGCCTCAAGATCTTCCTCCGGGTCCTCCTGCTCGTCGTCGTCCACATCGATAAGTCGCCCATTACTTGACGGATCACGACCAGTCTGCTCCTCCTCCTCACGACCTGCGTCCGGGGCATCGACCGCGCCGCGCAGGATAGTCTCTACCTCCGCCTCCCTGTCGTACCCGCTCACCGCCTTCTTGCCCTCGACGGGCACAGGGTTCCCGAGGTACTTGGTCCAAGCCTTTTCCAGCGTCGCAAGCGCCGAAGTCCTCCTTTCTAGCAGCTCCCGCATCGACCCGATCGCACGCGTCACCACGACGCTCTCAACAGCCAAACACCCACTGTCTCGCGCGTCTCGGTCCCGACTCGACGAGTCGACTTCGCCAAGGCGGATGTTCTCGAAGTACTCGGCAAGCGAGCGCTCAGAGCGAAGGTGAGGCGGCAGGCTCGTGACCATGACGGTGCGGGCCGGAATTGACTGAGCGAGTTCGAGGGAGAAGAGCTGGCGGAGGGGGATGTAACGCTTCCAGTTGCGGTTGAGGAAGACGAGGGCGAGGATGGTGAAGATGTAGGTGAAGGCGAGGTGGGAGAAGAGGTAGACCGTCGAACCGTGCTTGAGGTGAGGCTTGAAGGTCGAGATGACGAGTGGAGCGGTAGAGGAGATGGCCGAAGGCAGGAAGGAAGAGGTGCCGTTCGTCGGCGGAGGGACGCCTTCGGACGTGCCGTGATCTCGGTAGTTGATTGGAACGAGGACGGCGAAGGCGAGGATCGAGCAGGTGAGGAAGAAGTAGAAGCCGGTCCGCAGGAAGGACAGGAGCTACGGTGCGCAAAACGAGTCAGTAAGACGCCGCCGCGAAATGTGCTGCGGCCACTCACGACTGCCGCATCTAGTCCAACAAGCTGCAGAACGACAAACTCGGACGTCTTGAGGGTTGGGAGGATCCACCCGAAGAACGACTTGTGATCGTGCACCTCGTGAGGCGAGAAGCCTGCGTACAAGGATGCTCATCAGCGCCGAACAGGCCGCAACATATCACAAAGCCCAGCGTAATCGGGGGAGACTCGGGCTGGAAACGGACCTTTGAGCAGTGTCCTCGGCTTGTACAACACCTTGAAGCGCTCGTACCGCCGCAGCCAGCAGAACACCAGAAAACTGGCCAGTCCCACCGTGAGCGACAGCGTCAACTGCGTCGAGAACCACGGTCCCCTGAGTGTTTGTGCGAGGCAATGCAAGGGGGAGAGCGAGCGTCGTCAGCTCGTTGTGGGGACTTGTGAGGGCAGGGATCGACTGTGCGCACTGGTATTTGCCCAGCTGACCGGGAGGCAGGCCTGTACGGCGCGGCGGAACGGAGGAAGCGCAGTCAGTCGATGACCGCAGAGATGAGGATGTCGGTCACAGAGCGGCTCACCAGGGTTATCCTGGTCCGAATCCGCCAGCATCTGTATGTACGAGTCCATGGTGGACTTGAGCGGGTCCAGCGAGCGATGCGGACGAGAAGCGTTGAACTGTCGGAGCGAGAGCAGGAGAAGCATCGACAACGGGGGCAATTCGGCCTCTTTTGCGGAAGTGACGACTCTAGAAGTGTTGAGACGTCGTGCCGAGCCCAGAGGCAATCGCGCTAAGCGGGAATGAAAGCGTAACAACAAGGAGCTCAGTGCTACAACAACCGATATGCGTCTCCTCCTCCTGGAACTACGACGACGACGCCCCCCATGACTGACCCGGACCACCTACATCTCCCTCGGTGCCTCCTGCGATTCGAAGTACGGCCGGGCAGGGAGGCCCGCCTTGACGGGATCGATTTCAGCGGTTCCGCTCGCCGACGCTGTGCCGCTGGGCGTCGAGCTTCCTCCGGGTGAACTTTCAGAGCCGGTTGGTGATGCGCCTTCCTTGGACTGCCGCATTGCTGCAAGTTTGGCTTCGAGTGCGGCGATCTTGCGATTCGTTGGTCTGCGCAAGTCAAGGAGAGTCAGCTTCCGGGCTTAGGAGAAAGGCTTCCTCCCGCAGACATCGCGAAGAAGTTCAGACGCACGCCTTGCCGACGCCTGTGCCCTTCAGCAAGCTGATGGCTGTCGGTTTGTGCGCATCGCTTGACATCGGCCCTCGGGGCTTCTTCGTTCCTAAGAAAGTTGTATCTTGCTGCGAGCCGGTTGAATTCAGTCTTCCAGTCAGTGTTTGCTCGACGCGGATGAGGGCATGAACGCGGACGCACCTGTTCTGACGCGAGCGAGACGACCATCTTCCGTCCTCGAAACAGCTTGTCGTGCAGCGCCTGCATCGCTCGTTGGGCTTCCTAGGGAGAAAGGGGAGAACAGTTGCAATAGCGATCGTTGTCGGATCAGCCGCAGTCGACATGTCAGCCGCGCACTCGAGGAAAAGGGACAGGAAAGGGACGAACCTCTCGCATGCTGTACTCGACGAAGGCGTACCCCCTCGGCTTGCCCTTGTTCGGCCCAGTTTTGTGGAAGAGGTAGTCGAGCTTGGCAATCTTGCCGTACTTCGCGCAGACCTGCATCAGCGAGTACTCGTCCACCGACGTAGCCAAGTTGCCGATGTACAGCCGCTTCTCGCTCTGCGTCGTCGTGGCGGCCATCCTGTCGCTTCTCTACGCTTGTCCAGAAGGCGTCTGGATCGCTCGGGCGTGCTAGTCAGAGGACGAGAATCGTCGAGCGGCGGAGAGGGTCGGGTCGTCGGCGGAATGGGTCGGCGGCTGGAGCGGATTCGGCTGGTGAGAGCGGACTAAGGAAGCGATTTGGAGCGCTTGCCGGGCAGCACAAGCGTGCAGGCGGGTTCGAGCTGTGGTGTCGGACAGCAAGAGGTTCTTCTATTCTTCTCCTCCCGAAGTTCAGCCCAACACCGCTGTCAACGCTTGCTGTGCTCAGATCCGGTCGTTCCGAGCCTCAAAGACGCACAGGAAGCAGGTGCGCACCTTCCTCCCCCGCCGCGCCTTCGCTGCGCCCGCTCACTTTGATCCTCGGAAACAGCGTTGATGTTGCTCGGACGGAGTCTGCCGCTCAACGTGCAGGCGCTGATATGCTCGTACTTGCCAAGACGAGCACAGACGGCACTCTGGCGGGCAGCGCGACCTTCTGCCGGCCTCTTCGTCTCGACCACCGTCTCCCTCTCGTCGACGACCCCTCTCTTTGCCGACCCTGTTCCGACGTCGACCACTCTCCGCCTCGCAGAAGAAGCTCGAATCGCCTCGCACTCGGTATTCGAAGATGACGACCCCGAGTACGAGAACGTCCCTCTCTCGCGACTCGACAATCCACCTGTCCCTCGCTCGCCAGACGACTCCCTCCTTTCCCTCCTGCGTGCCGGCCAATGGGGCGAAGCTGCCACATTACTCCACGAATTGCGAGACGTCTCGCATCAGTCCATCCCTCCTCGCTACGACTTTGCGACCTTCGCCCTCGCCGCTGAACGCGACATCGCGGCTCACACGACCGATCGAACGTGGTTAGAGTGGTGGAAGCTGGCGCCGTGCGTGACAGACCGGACGCACGATGAGGTGATCAACTTGCGAGGTGCGGACATGCGCATGGCCACGCAGGCGGAGCGAATCGTCAAGCGGATCCTCGAGGCGCCAGATCTCGCCGTCGAAGCGGGCGCAGCGGACGCCTCGATCGACTGGCAGCTTCTCGAAGATTTTGCGGCGGTCCTTTCGCAGCAAGGACATGCTCGAACTGTGGCGGCACACATCTTGCCAACGTTCGCCTGCTACGGTTCGCCGGCTGCGTTCGAGCGCATCTTCCGCACCGCCCTAGCATCCGTCGCCGACCTCAAAGATAGATATACGCCCGAGGGCGCCTACCTCTACTACGAACCGGCTTTGGGCGCGTCTGTCAAGGAGCGCTGGGATGAGATGGTCGAGCAGCACCCGGCCGATCCTGCAGGACGGCAAGCACAGGTCTCGCTCATGCGCCATTGGTGGGCCGGTCGCTGCGAGCGCGAGCTGAAGGAGTTGATCTACGCGCGCTCGAGGGCCGTTACGACGTTCCTCCGGCTCGGCAAACTCGACGCAGCCGTCGACCTCGTCCTTGCCTTGCCCGACGTGCAGCGCATCTCGCCCTCGACGCGCATCGACGTTGCGAAGCCGAGCTACCTCGAGCTTCTCGGCACTCTCGCCCAGTACGGATGGTTCGAAACGTTCGAGCAGGTCTACCAGTCGTTCCTGGACGGCGGACGGCGGTTGATCCGGATTGACAATCCCGGCCCGGCGATGCGATGGCCCTTCTACGTTCGTTCTTCCCGCTACAAGACGGGCCAACCTTTGTACTCGGCACGCGAGGCGTTCACGTCGTTCCGGTACCAGACTACTGTCACCTCCATCGAGGAAGGACCGATGGCGACGCAGGAGCAGGCGCTCAGCATGGGCTCCGACTCGCCAGTCGAAGAGGCGGAAGACTCGGTTGGGAATCAGCGCAGCGAGACGATTCTCCGGCTGGTCGAGGAGGACCGCTTCGAGGAGTCGGCTGCGGCCGTCGCGCAGTACGTCCTGCTCGACACGTCGCTTCCGTCGGCCAACGCCCTCGCAACATGGATCGACTACGCCCGAAGTCTTGCCGCCAACTCGCGTGAAGCGGCGGACGTCCTGGCGGCGGTCGAGGAACAGGCGTGCGGGCGGCTATTGCAGCGGACGTTCTGGTACAACGCCGAGATGCTCTCCTCGCTGCGGGCAGAGCGGTACTACGAGGTGCTGCGGCTGTACCTACAAGCGTTCGACGTGACGGCGCTCCCTCGAGCCGCACGGTACGCCATCTGGTCTCGCGTACAACATCGTATCTACTCGCACTGGCGGACTAGGAGCCGGCTGGTCCCTCAGGCCTACACTGTCGCCGTCCTCATGCAGGCGCTGGTCGGCTTCATCGAGAAAGAGGCGGCAGGCTCTAGCCGCGCCTTCGTCGAAGACGCGGGTCAACTGATCGAGGCCATCTACATTGGACTCAAAGACCCGAACCAGATCTCGATGGTTGCGCCCAAACGAGCGACGGCAACCGCGACCTCGGACCTCGACGCGCCGGTCCCCCTTGTCCCGCACAATCCGTACACCTTCATTCCCTTCCTCCTCTACCGCTGGCACAAGGAGCTGCCGCCCCTCTGCGTCCTCGCCATCCTCAGCGACATGCAGAAACTCGGCATCCGCCCGGAAGCGCCGCATTACTCGATCGTGCTCAATTCGTTCGCCAAGCTGGGCGACTCGCCGTCTGTCGAAAGGCCGAACACGGCGCGACGAGGTTCCGCCGACCTCCTCTACCTCCTCTCCGTCTTCGATCCTGAGACGTTCCCCCTCGAGCCGTCCGTTGTTCAGGCCGCCTCACCCGCCGTCGTTTCTTTCGCCCGCACCGTCCCACCTCCCGCCACGCCTCTCCCCGTCCACACGTACACCGGCATCATTGCGGGCTTGCGGCTACGCTCAGAGCGTGCGACGATCGTCAAGGTGGTCAAGCAGTTGGCCGAGCGAAGAATGGAGGACGTCCAGCAGTGGGCGCGCGAGGACGAGCGGTTCAGGGAGGAGTTGCGGTCGCTCAAGGGTGCGATTGAACCTGTAGAGAAGAGGTGGTGAAGGGTCGGGAGTAACATGGCACAGCATCTTCCATCGTGAGGAGGAGCAAGCGAGGTGAAATTCACTCTGATCGGTTCGCGCTCGTCGGAGTGCTTTGCTGGCATGCTATTGAGTGTCTACGAGTGTGGAACAAGGTCTCCCAGGGCATGGAAGAGCAAGAACCGTTGCCTCGCCCTCTTCGCCGCTGCACGCGTCCCAACGCGAGCGACGCGACTTGATCTCGCTCGCTCGTTCCCTTCACTCGTCCCCTCTTCTCTGCGCTTTGGGACTCTTGCTGGACTGCGCTACACTCTCTGAGATCGCACGCACCCGCCTGAACAAGTCGCACCCGCTCCCATGGTCAGCTCACCGCACTCACTTCTCCTCGCTGACCACCCGCGACTCACACCCTATACACCCCTTCGCAGGCCCCGCCAGGATCCGCACAGAAGCGCCGTCGCTCTCCATCGCGAGAGCGAGGCGCAGCACCTTCGTCAGACCCCGCCGCTGACATGCAGCAGGTCTCGACACCCGCTGGATCGCTCCCCGGCAGTTCGCCTCCCCCCGCGACGAGCGATTTCGAGGAGGAGGACATTTACGGGCTGGAGGATGGCGATCTCGAGGAGGAAGAGGACGGCGAGGACCTGTTTGACGAGAACATGGGAAAGTGCGTCCCTACTCCTCCTCGCTTTCCTCACTAGGTGACTGCATCTAACACGTGCATTCGCCTCGCGCAGCGACTACATCGAGAACCGCAAGCTCGACGTGTACGACCAAGCCGACCTGAACGACCAGGACGACTTCTCGGATGACCAGGACGCGCGCCGCGCTGCTGAAGCCTCGATGGAGCGGCGAGACCGGCGAGCGGCGAGGGCTGCAGGTGCGGCGGGCGAGAGGCGCAAGGCTCGTATGCCTGGGTTCTTGGCGAGCGACGAGGAGGACAGTGAGGACGAGGGACAGCTGCTTGGACGCCGCAGGGTCAGGAGGATGTACGACGAGCCGTTCGGAGACGACGACGCTGGCTACGACGAGGTGGGTGCCGCCATACCCCATGCGACGAGTTTCTCGCTGACCTTTGTCGCTGCAGGAAATGCCGCTCGAGCAACTGGGCGACGTCCGCGCCGACTCGCTCTCGCAGTGGATCGAGGAGCCTCGCACGAGGCGCACGATCGCTCGCGAGTTCCGCAACTTCCTCTTGACCTGCACCGACGAGAACAACGAGTCGGTGTACGGTTCGCGCATCACGCAGCTCGGACAGCGTGAGTGCAGACGGCAAGCTTGCCACGATCTTCGCTACTAATGCCTTCATTGCCCAGTCAACTCCGAGTCGCTCGAAGTCTCGTTCATCCACCTCTCCGACTCGAAGCCCATCCTCGCCTATTTCCTCGCCAACTGCCCGTCCGCCATGCTCCCCATCTTCGACGAGGTCGCGCTCGACGTGATCCTCCTCGCCTTCCCGCACTACACCCGCATCCACGCCGAAGTCCACGTCCGCATCACCGAGCTCCCGACCTCGTACACCCTTCGCGACTTGCGCCAGTCGCACCTTGATGCGCTCGTTCGCGTGAGCGGAGTCGTCACCCGCAGGTCGGGCGTCTTCCCCCAGCTCAAATACGTCAAGTTCGACTGTGGCAAGTGCGGAGAGACGCTGGGACCGTTCTACCAGGACGCAGCGAGCGAGATCAAGATCAGCTTCTGCAGCGCTTGCAACGGCAAGGGGCCGTTCACGGTCAACTCGGAGCAGGTGCGTCCGTTCGCTCTGTCGAAATCGTCTCGTGGGCTCACATCGTTCCCCGCAGACCGTCTACCGCAACTACCAGAAGCTCACGCTGCAAGAGTCGCCTGGATCGGTCCCCGCCGGTCGTCTCCCCCGCCACCGCGAGGTCATCCTCCTCTGGGACCTCATCGACTCTGCCAAGCCCGGCGATGAGATCGAAGTGACGGGCATCTACCGCAACAATTTCGACACCTCTCTCAACGTCAAGAACGGGTTCCCCGTCTTCTCGACCGTCATCGAGGCGAACCACGTCAACAAGAAAGAGGACCTCTTCGCCTCGTTCCGCCTGACCGAGGACGACGAGAAGGCGATCCGCAAGCTCGCGCGGGACGAGCGAATCGGCAAGCGCATCATCAAGTCGATGGCGCCCTCGATTTATGGCCACGACGACATCAAGACGGCCGTTGCGCTCTCGCTCTTCGGTGGCGTGCCCAAGGACATCAACCGCAAGCACCGCATCCGTGGTGACATCAACGTCCTCATGCTCGGTGACCCCGGTACAGCCAAGTCGCAGTTCCTCAAGTACGTCGAGAAGACGGCCAACCGCGCGGTGTTTGCGACGGGCCAGGGTGCGAGTGCGGTCGGTTTGACGGCGAGCGTGAGGAAGGACCCTGTCACGCGCGAGTGGACGCTCGAGGGTGGCGCGCTCGTCCTGGCCGACAAGGGCGTGTGCTTGATCGACGAGTTCGACAAGATGAACGACTCGGACCGGTGGGTTTCGCTTGCGCTTCCCCCCCGCTTGCCCCGCCGCTCACTCCCCCCCTCGCAGAACGTCGATCCACGAAGCCATGGAGCAGCAGTCGATTTCCATCTCGAAGGCCGGCATCGTCACGACCCTGCAAGCCCGCTGCGCCATCGTCGCCGCCGCCAACCCGATCCGCGGACGGTACAACCCGACGATCCCGTTCAGCCAGAACGTCGAGCTCACCGAGCCCATCCTGTCGCGTTTCGACATCCTCTGCGTTGTCAAGGACGAGGCCGACCCGAGCGTCGACGAGATGCTCGCCAACTTCGTCGTCGGCAGCCACCTGCGCTCGCACCCCAACTTTGACGCCGAGACGGACGAGGTCAACGCCAGCGGCATGATCGATGCTGATGTGAGTCGCACGCCTCGCTGGGCTGCTGAACAAAGACTGACCCCGAACTCCCGACAGCTCATCCCGCAAGACCTCCTGCGCAAGTACATCCAGTACGCCCGCGACCGCGTCAAGCCACAGCTGCACATGATGGACCAGGAGAAGATCTCGCGACTGTACTCTGAGCTCCGCCGCGAGTCGCTCTCGACCGGGTCGTACCCCATCACGGTCCGTCACCTCGAGTCGATGATCCGCATGGCCGAGGCGAGCGCCAAGATGCACCTCCGCGAGTACGTCCGCTCCGACGACATCGACCTCGCCATTCAGGTCATGGTCGGCAGCTTTGTCTCGGCGCAAAAGTCGAGCATCAAGAAGCAGCTCCAGCGAGGGTTCAGGTGCGTTCGCGTCGCCATCCACCGATTTCCCGCTACTCACATCGCTCTCGTCACTCTACAGGAAGTACCTCCGCGTCGCTACCGACAACGAAGAGGTCATCTGCTTCCTTCTTGGCAATCTCGTCAAGGACCGCGTCCGCTACCTCAACGTCAAGAACGGCGCTCAGCCCGACAGCGTCTCGATCCGCGTCGAAGAGCTCGCGCGCAAGGTGCGTCTGCGACTGTCCTCTTGCTCGCTTCAGACCGCTCGCTGACGGCTTGATGCGCAGGCTGCCGAAATCGACATTCACGATATCGAGCCCTTCTTTTCTTCCGCGCTGTTTTCCAAGGTCCACCGGTATTCGCGCAAGGGCGACTCGATCTACAAATCGTTCGTCTGAAGCCGCTCGACACCGGCGCAGCAGTCGCCGCACGTTCGCCATTCTTTTCCTCAGGGTTGTCCGCCGTCTGAGCTTGCTCGTCGTTCTGTATCCGCGTACTTCTGTGTTCCTAGGCTGTAAGAACATGTCGTCACCGCCATCGAGGCTTCTCGCGCGGGGCGATCTGGCCGAAGCGAGGTGGCGAGAGGGCAGCGCAAGGTCAACGTTGCTCGCTCCTGCCGGAGACGAGGGGAACGTGCGGGAAGAAAAGGGGGTACTTGACGATGAGACACCCGCTAAATGCGGTGCACACGAGCGAGTTCACCGCGCCAGTGCACGCGGACCGTCGCTCTCACTCCGGAGGCTCTCGCTCTTCTTTCTCTGCGTCCTGCGCTCCGTGCTCGCTTCCTCAGAACAGCTGCTGTCGACATGGCCTCGTCGGACTCGTCTGCGCCCGTTCAGCGCGCCCGCTTTGGCTTGGGCAAGGTGCGTTCCCCTTCTCGCAACAAACGATCGCTAGCATCGCTCGACCTGCCCGCTGACCTCCCTGCCTTTCTCCTGCTCTCCAGATCGGACTCGTTTTCGCTTGCGGGTGCGCTCTCCTGCTTTGCGTGGTGCGCTCGATATCTAGGACCCCGTGGAACTGACCCCGCCTCCACTGTTTGTTGTCGGCTATCTATCCGCGCAGAACTGCCCTCTTGTGAGTTGTTCTGAGCGTCCAACGTCGACGCCGACGTTTGCTGACGTTCCTTCTGGACCACAGCTCGGACGGCTATGTTGTGCGTCAATTGGCCTCTCGCGCTTTTCACGTCGAAGCCTGACCTTGTAACGTCAAAGAACGCCTCATCCGGTACTGTCAACACGATCCTCAAGCGGTTGTATCCGACGGAGTACGGCAAGAACAAGTACGTTCGCTTCAGCCAGTCCTGCCACCGTATTCTCGCTAATTCGCTGTCACACTTGTTTCTCTCCTCCCCTCCGCCGCGCTTTTTCCGACTGCAGCCATGGCACGCTCTTCAGCTCGATGGTCTTCGTCGGTACGGTGCTTGGAGTACGTTCCCATGTCCCGTTCAGCGCTCTTCCCATGACCAACTGTCGCCTGGATTCTTCGCTGACCTGCTCCGTCGTGCAGCAATTGTCGTTCGGCTACCTCGTCGACCGTTACGGAAGGAAATTTGGTATGCTCGCTGCGTCCGCCATCATGATGTGCGTTTTGCGAAGTTCACTGTTGCTCTTTGGGACCAAGCAAGCTGACTTCCCACTTCGCAGTGTCGGCTCGGCCCTCTGTGCTGGGGCATACGGTGCCGGAGGATCGATCACGGGCATGCTTCAGGCTCTCATCGCCTGGCGTTTCTTGACCGGAGGTGAGTCTCAAAGTCCTCGATCCGTCTTTCGCCACCACTCGACCCTTCTCGCCTTTCTCTCAGTCAATGGAGGCTGACTGCTTCGCTTGTAGTCGGTATTGGCGCGGAGTACCCTGCCGGAAGTGTCGCCTGCTCGGAGTCGACGGAGAACCCCGGCGTCAAGGGCCGCATCCAGCACATGCTCTTCGTCTTGGCCACCAACTGCATGATCGACGTTGGCTTCGTCGTCGCTAGGTGCGCTGCGGCCCCTTTGCCTTCCCTGCCTCGTTCCATCCGAACGCTAGCTGACCCGTCTCGCTTTTTCCCTTTTGCCTGCAGCTTCGTCCCGCTCGTCCTCCTCTGGATCTGCGGCGACAATCACCTCCGCCTCGTTTGGCGTCTCACCTTCGGCCTCGGCATCGTCCCCGCCGCCCTCGTCCTCCTCTGGCGCCTCCGCATGCCGAGCGAGCCCGTCCGCTACCGTGAGAGCGCCATCAAGCGCAACGTCCCGTACGGGCTCGTCTTCAGGCGTTACTGGAAGGAGTTTATCGGTATCAGTCTCTGCTGGTTCCTTTACGAGTACGTTGCGTTCCCTCGCCTCGCCTTTCTTCCACTTTGCGCTCTTCTTCCTCCCGTCTGTAGTCCGCGTTCCGTCGCTTACGAGTGTTGTTTGCGCAGCTTCATCACCTACCCCTTCGTGAGTTTCGACCTCCAGCTCATAGAGACGCAGGGTTTTCCTCGAAGATCTCTGGAAGATAGGGAGCAATGCCGCTGACGCCGTTCCTCTCTTTCCCTCGCTTCCAGGGTCTTTTCTCGTCCGTCATCGTCGACACAGTCACCGGCGGATCCGACAAGCTCACTGTGCGTTCGCCTCAAATCTTGTCGAGTTTGCATCGCGCAAAGCTTGCTGACTTTCGTTCGCTTCGCAGACTGTCTTCGCCTGGAACATCGTCATCAGTACGTGGCGTATCCTACGCCGTTCGGTATTCCGCGGCGTCCGTAGCGGCGATCCGGCCCGCGAATTCGCCCTCGACGCCAATACCATCCGCTTGTACTGAATCTCATGCGCGCACAGACGCCTTCTACGTCCCTGGATGCTTCTTCGGAGCGCTTACTGTCGACTGGATCGGCGTGCGTCCCTCTGATCTTCCACGATGTCTTGTCACGCGAGCTGACCTGGCGTTCTCTACAGCCCAAGAAGCAGCTCATGCTCTTCTTGATGCTCCAAGCCATCGTAGGGTTCGCTATGAGCGGCACATACGAGAAGTTGACCCAGCACAGTGCGTTAACGTCGGCGGCAGCAAGTTGGGAAGGCTCGCTGACCTTTCCCGCTTTCTTACCCCTCCCTCGCTGTTGTCACCCCTTTCCCGCAGTCGCCGGCTTTGCTGTGCTCTACGGCATCTTCCTCTCGTTCGGCGAAGCCGGTTCGTCCCTTTCTCGCCTCCTGAGCTCCCCTGAGCCCCTGCTGAGCCCCTGCGTGACCGCTGACCTCCCCAATATCGTCCGCAGGTCCAGGGGACTGCTTAGGCCTATTGGCCAGCAAGCTTTTCCCGACAGCGGTCAGGGGTACGTGCACGCGCTCGAGGACTTGGGTTTGGCCTCGGCGGGCAAGCGCTGACCTTCGCCGCAATTTCGCCGCTTCGCCTTCTGCTCTCAGGCAAGATGTACGGTCTTGCTGCTGCCATCGGCAAGATTGGCGCATTCTGCGGTACCTGGGCTTTCCCTGCCTTGATCAACGACGTGAGTTTGCACCCTCTCCCATCCAATTCGCTCTTATCCTCCGGCCTCTGACACGCCCGCTTCCCACAGTTCCCTGAGGGACCCAAGCAGACGTCGGGACCTTTTTGGGTTGGGAGCGGCTTGGCCGTGCTTTCCGCACTTATTGCGCTCGTCCTCATCCCCGAAGCCAAGATGAACGGCATGACGCTCATGGATGCCGAGTTCAAGCAGTACCTCGCCGACCACGGCTACGACATCAGCCAGATGGGCACGTCCGACGCCGGCTCGATTCAGGAGCGCGACTCGTTGGAGGACGAGAAGAAGGCGCCGGCTGTCTGAGGAGGAGGAGGAAGGCCGCCTCCGCAGCTCGCGACGTCGCCCCAAGATGTCATGCTCAGTTTCTCCAAACACTGTTCCGTCTGTTATCGTCTAATCCTTGGGTTCCTGTATTCCGCATCTCCTCCCCTTCGTCGTCGTCGTCGTTCCACCCTCCTCGTAATAGATCGCCCTGCTCCATCTTTCGCCGTTCTCGCCCGTCGTACGAAAGCATAAAAGGCCTGCCTATCACCCGCAAAAGACACTTGGTGAGGGCAAGCTCAACCTGGTCTCGCAACCTCTCCTCCTGCCGTTCACCTCCTTCGCTCGGTGCACACCCTGCTGTTCACGAGCAGGTCAGAAACGTTCCGTACTTACCGCTAGACCACTCACGACCGCTGTACGGCTCGCTCGAGCTGACTTCTCCCACCACACGGTTCCATCAGTCGACGCAATCCACCATGTTCTCGTGCGTTGCGACGCTCCAGGGCCGCTACAGAGCTTACTGACGACCCTTGCTTGCGCAGCGGGACCTACCCGTCCACCAGCCCGGCCTCGTTCTCGCGGGAGACGTCCTTCCTCCAGCAGGCGATGGCTCGGGGGCAGACGTCGCTGAGCGGCGCGGCGGCGCCTGCGACGGCAGGCGAGGGAGCAGCTGTAGTGGAGGGACAAGGCGCGAGACTGGGCAAGCGGCGGAGTACCGGGCGGCTGTCGCGGAGTTCGGTGTCGATGGAGGGGAGGCTGAGCCCGACAGAGGAGAGCGTGGATGAGGAAGCGCTGGCAGACGAGTTTGGAGAGGCGGAGGAGACGGACAGATTGCTGCCGGATCAGGTGCGTCCGCTTTGTGCGGTTTCAGCACTTCGCTCGCTGACGCCTTACTCCAACAGCCCCAGCGGTTACAGCCTCCGACGCATGCGACGCTTCCTTACCGACCTGTAACCGAGTCGACCCCGCTGCTCGGTCATTCGGCTACGACTGATGGCTTCACGACGCCGGCGGAGGAAGAGGCGATTGAGCGCGCACGGAAACTTGACGAAAAGGCGAGGTTCGCGATGTATAGCGAGGCGAAGACGCTCTTCGGCTACTCGGTACCGATCTTGGGCACGCACTTTCTCGAGTACTCGCTCCTTGCGACGGTCGTCTTGGCGACCGGCCACCTTGGCGAGACTGAACTTGCAGCAGCGAGTCTCGGCAACCTCACCAACAACGTCGCGAGCCTGTCCATCATCCAGGGATTGTGCGCTGCGCTCGACACCCTCTGCCCACAAGCATTCTCGTCCTCGCGACCGCAAGACACGTCGATCTACGCCATCCGGACATGGCTCATCTGCCTCGCCCTCGTCATCCCGCAAGGCATCTTCTTTTTCAACTCGGAGTGGATCCTTCGCGACGGTCTCAGGCAGGACCCGGACGTCGCTTACTACGCCGCGCAATACCTCAAGATCCTCACCTTTGCCTCGCCCGCCTACTCCGGCTTCGAGTGCATCCGTCGGTGGCTGCAAGCGCAAGGACTGATGGTCGCGCCCGTCCTCGCCCTCATCGCCGCGGCACCCATCAACATCCTCCTGAACTGGATCCTCGTCGTCGGTCCCTTCGACTCGCTCCGACTCGGCTTCATCGGGGCGCCCATCGCGACGACCATCTCGATCAACGTCATGTTCCTCGTCATGCTCGTCTACAGCATCCTTCGAGCACCGCGGGAAGCGTGGAGCGGCTTCACACGCGAGACGTTCACCGGTTTCGGCCTCAACATCCGCTTAGGACTCGCCGGAATCGGCATGGTCGGCTCGGAGTGGTGGTCGTGGGAGATTGTTGGGCTCGCAACGAGCTTCCTCGGTCCGACGGCACTGGCGGCGCAGAGCGTCCTTCGTGAGTTTGCGATCCGTATCTTCCGTCTCGCTCGATCCGCTCACTCGCGTTTTCGACAGTCACCTCGGCCAGTCTCTTCTACCAGTACCAGTACGCGTTGAGCGTCGCAGCAGCCGTCCGCATCGGCAGTGAGTCCCGTCTCTCCGCTCAGAACGCTCGGTTTTCTTACACTTCTTCCCGCAGACCTCCTCGGCGCGCAAAAGCCCTCGCTCGCCCGCGTCGCCTCCCGCGTAACGATCTTTATCGCCATCGTCGTCTCGGGACTAAACTCGATCATGCTCGTCCTCCTCCGAAACGTCTGGGGCCACCTCTTCAGCTCCGACAAGGAGATCATCGTTCTGGTCGCCAATGTCCTGCCGATCGTCGCGGCGTTCCAGCTGTGTGATGGGTTGTCGGGCGCGATGGGTGGTGTGCTGCGCGGGGCGGGAAAGCCCACGCTTGGTGCGATCGTGAGTCCATTGTCCGCTTCGTTCTGCTCGCAACTTCCTCCCGCTCACCTCGCCGCTGTACGCAGATCAACACCTCGAGCTACTACGTCATCGGACTCCCCATCGGCATCGCACTCTCCTTCACAGGCCCACACCTCGGTCTCAACGGTCCGTCCCCCTTTCCCTCTCTCCATCACTCGCGCTAACGCTTCGGAAAACAGGTCTCTGGATCGGCCTCACCGTCGCACTAACATTCACAGGCCTGAGCTCGACGTATATTGTCTGGAAGATGGATTGGGAGGCCGAGGCTGAGGCGACGAGGGTTAGGTTGGGAGAGGTCAAGAGGGATGAGGAGCAGTAGGCTGCACAGGGAGCGAGGAGTAGAGATGTAGGAGAGCTAGCTTATTCGCAACTGAGTTTATCGCTCGTCTCGTTTCTCGTGGTGAGGAGAGAGCGGAGAGCTGGGGCGCAAAAACTCGGCACTGCAAACCGCTGCTATGAACCCTATAAGAAGCCTACCTCCCTCACCAGCCTAGAGCTTGCTCTGCTTGTCCGACGCGATAAGCGCGACTCCTCCTCCGAGACAAACCTTGCCCGTGCCCTTGATCTTCTGCACAAAGTCGACGCGCTGGCCACCCGACTCTGCGTCGTTCGAGACCCACATAGTCGTCTCGAGCTACACCACCATCCATCATCAACTCACTTCGCAGGGGAGGAAGAGAAGGGGGAAGGGACGCACCTCGTCGCCTGGAAGAACGGGCGAGGTGAATCGCGCAGACATGTACTTGAGGCGGCGGCCGTCTCCTTTCGCAACGTTCTTGACGATGGCGCGGGCCGCGTGGCCTGTCGAGCCGTGATACGGGCGTTAGCGAGGGTCTCGGGGCGGGGAGACGCAAGGAGAGAAGGTGAGGAGGGCGGACGGACCGTAGGAGCAGAGGCCGTGGAGGATGACGCCGGGGAAGCCCATGCCTTTGCCGACGGCGTCGTCGATGTGAAGCGGGTTGTAGTCGCTGCGCGAACGGGAAGCGAGCGCGAGGGTCAGTGCCAGTCTCAAACCTCGACCTCGCGCGAGTCTCGAGTGGAAAGCGAAGGAGCGCTCGACGTACCCCGAGAGACGGTAGACAGCCGCCTGCTCCGGCGTCGTCTTCTCCGAGAAGACGTAGTCCGGGTTACGCTGCGGCGGCTTTCCAGCCTTGACGGGCTGCTTGGGCGCGATGGACTTCTGGAATCCGCCCGTGTCGAACTTGCCGAAGCAGTAGCCGGAACTGATCATGCGGACGACGACGTTGCCGGAGGGGTCGACGAGTCTGGCGAGACGAGGGCGAGTCAGTCGCGGGTGGAAGGGGAGGGGAAAGAGCGGACGCACTCCATGGCGTCGTCGACGATCAAGCCCTTGCCAGTGTCCTTGACACCCACACACTTCTTCTTGAGCGCCCACCCTTCGGTACTCTCCTTGGGCAACTCTCCCAAAATCTCGATACTCTGCTCGGCATGCACAAGCTTCTTCGGGTCGAGAGGCGGCAAACCAGGGTTGGGCGCACTCCCTTCCTTCGCGGTGGCAAAGTTTGCGATGGACGGGTTGGTGCCCTTGAGGCCGAGGACGAGAGGGTAGGTAGGGAAGGCGTGCCAGTTCGGGTCGTCTTCGTAGGTGAACGCCAGCTCGTCCTTCTTGGCGCCGATCTGCGGGAGAGAGACGTCGAGTGTGAGTCCGAGTCGCTGGTAGGAGACTCGAGGAACGGGAGCGCACGCCGACAGCGTCTGCGGGAGGAGGAGGAGGACGAGGTCAGCCAGAGTCCGCCCACCGACGCCAGCGGGATGCACGCACAGAGGAGCAGGTCGCGCTGGTTCCACGCGACGGGGAGGGGCTTGGACTCGTGTCCTGCGATGGCGACATGGGTCCATGGTCAGCGGGAGTCAGTGTGGGGACTCGCGAGTGGGAGAAGGTGAGTGCGCACCGACTGCCTTGTCGAGGTTGTGTGCGGGCATGGCTGTGAGTGTGCTTGCGAGTGTGTGGTGAGAGCAAGAGAGAGACGGAGCGAGCGAGCGGGAGGAGCGTTGCCGGGTTGCTGTGTTCGGGCCGGAAGCCAAGGCGGGCCATTTCACCGCACGTGCACCGAATTCAGCCCGAGCTGCCCCCTGTCCGTTCCCATGTCATCTCTTCTCCTTTCTCTCTCCTCTTCGACTCAGCTCATTGCTCTCACTCCCACGCTGGTGCTGCAACGCTTCATTCCCCGAACAGGGAACCTGCTCAGGATGGTCGCAGGCTACCGCAAACCCGCTCTCGAACCATCCCCAGCCACAAAACTCGTCCGCGAACTCGTCCACTTCGGACAGCCCGCGCAACCCTCCCACAGTCTCGACGGCGAGCGAGAAGAGGTCGCCGTCTCTCGCGGCAAGGGCAAGGGAAAGGCCAAGGAGCAGAACGGGTCGAACGCAGAGGCCAGCGCGACCAGCGACGCGGACGATGTCACTGCGAGGCTCGACAAGCTTTCGGTGCAGAACGGCGCACAGGGCAAAGGCGAGACGTCCAAGGCTCTCAAAAAGCTCTTGCGGTCGACCAACCACACCGTCACCATCCCCGGACCAGGAGGCAAGGAGGAGAAGCGCGTCTTGACGAGCTGGAAGATGGCAGACTACGCTTACAAGCGCGAGCCGTGCCCGTTCCCGACTCGTGCGCGCGGACTGTTTACGGAGAAGGTCGGCAAGGGAGAGAGCGAGGAGTACCGCATCGTCGCGAGGGGTTACGACAAGTTCTTCAACGTCAACGAGGTCTCGTGGACCAAGGTACGTCCTCCCTTCTCTCCGCGAAACACTTTAAGCTTATTGACAACGCCCGTGCGCAGTGGGACGCGATCCCGCAATACTCGACGGGCCCGTACGAGCTGACGACCAAATCCAACGGCTGCATCATCCTCATCGCCGCGCTCACTCCCTCGCACATCATCGTCACCTCGAAGCACAGCGTCGGACGAAACGCGAGCCTCAGCACCGAGGGAGGCGTGTCCCATTCCGAGAGGGGCGAGTACTGGTTGGAGAAACATGTCGAGAAGGTTGGGAAGACCAAGGCGGATCTGGCCAAGGAGCTGTACGAGAAGAACTTGACTGCCGTCGCCGAGGTGCGTTCATTTGTCTCTCCCATCGAGGGGCGATCCGTACTCACCGTCGCACGCTTGGCGCAGCTCTGCGACGACTCGTTCGAAGAACACGTCCTCCCCTACCCTCCCGAAATGACCGGTCTCCACCTTCACGGCCTCAACCACAACTCTCCGATCCTCAACACCCTCCCCTCGTCCGAAGTCGCCACCTTCGCGCGCAAATTCGGCCTCATCCCAACTCCCTACACCGTCTTCCCCTCGGTCGTCGCCGTACGGACCTACTGCGAAACCGTCGAGAAAGCCGGCGGAGTCGAAGGTCCCGACGGAAAGTTGACGCCCGTCGAAGGCTTTGTCGTCCGCGGACACCGCAAAGGTGGCTCGGCAGGCGAGGCTTTCTTCTGGAAAGTCAAGTACGACGAACCGTACCTCATGTACCGCGAATGGCGCGAGTTGACTCGCAAGTTGCTCGCGAGTTATCCGAACCTCGACTCGGTCAGCGGGAACAAGATCCGGAATGAGGAGAGTAGGTTGTACCTCTGGTGGGTCAGGAGGGAGATCCAGCGCGATCATGCCAAGTTTGAGCCGTGGAAACATGGAAAGGGGATCATCAAGACGAGGGAGGAGTTTCTCGAGTGGCAGAAGACGCCCGAGGCGAACAAGGCGAGGAGGGAACTCGGGCAGAAGATTGAGATGGATGAGGAGGAGCGCAAGAGTCGCAGGTTCGACAGGACTGTCATCGTCCCCGTCGCCGTCCAAGGATGCGGTGCGTACGATCTCCTTGCGGGAATTTCGGCGTCGAGTCGAGCTGATCCTCCGCTTCTCCCGCAGGCAAGACCGCGCTCGGTCTCGAGCTCGCCCACCTCTTCGGCTGGGGACACGTCCAGAGCGACGACTTTCTGCAGAAGAAGCCGGCGCCGCACTTCCTCAAAGCCGTCAAGGGCTTGCTCGATTCGAAGGAGGTCGTCATTGCCGACAAGTGCGTCCCCATTGTCGCTCCTTCCACTCGGCTTCAGGCTGACGTTGCCGTGCGCAGGAATAACCACCTCGCCAAGCACCGCGAAGACCTCGTCTCGCTCGCCGAATCCGTCTCGCCGAAACACACCGTCCGCCTCGTCGCGCTCGTCTGGCCTACCAACTCCCCCTCTCTCCCTCGGGACAAGTTCCATGCACTGTGCGCGTCGCGCATCGTCAAGCGCGGTCAGAACCACCAGACTCTCCGCGCGGGCGAGCTGCACGAGAGCATCTTGTGGCAGTTCCTAGGCCAGCACGAGCCGTTCGATCAGGAGATGAACGCCGCCGATTCCAAGTTCGACCATGTGATTGAGATGCGTGCCGAGTGGGCGCAGGACGAGGCGCTCCGACATGCGGTCGAGGAATTGGCCAAGATCGACGGCGTCTTGCCCAAGGGCACGCAGGTCCCGCTTGCGAAGAACAAGCTCGACGAGGCGTTGCGGTACGCCAATACGTGGACGACGAGCGTACGCAAGGAGGAGTCGGCGCAGCAGGTCAAGCAGCGGGCCAAGGCGGGCGCCGCGCGGTACTATGGCATCGCGGTCGACGTCGACGTCAAGGCGCTCGTCGAGAAGCACCTCCCGCAGTCCGAGAAGGACGACGAGAACTCGCTCTGGTCGACGCTGGTCAAGAGCTCCCGCGTTGAGCGCAAGCCGCACGTCACGCTCGTCCACCGCAACGAAGTCGAGTCGACGGACGAGGCGGTCCGCGCGTCCAAGCAGGCGCTGTGGGACCGCTACTCTGCGCTTGTCGACGCAGCGACCAAGTCGGGCAAGGAGCAGGACAAGCTGGCTGTCGAGCTCACCCTCGGCCCGCGACTCCTCTGGGACGGCCGGGCCATGTCGCTCGAAGTCTCGGCTCTCACGCCCAAGGTCGCGCCAAAGAAGGGCGAGGCGCCGCACATCTCGCTCGTCGATGGTCGAGCAGCGCACATCACGGTCGGCACGCGCTCGTCCGACATCCGCCCCGTCGAGGGCAAGTTCTTGATGGAGATCGTCGCGAAAGGAGGCAAGTCGACTGAGCATGGCGGCGCGATCCACCAGGTGCGGATTGGCGAGGTCAAGGTGCCGGGCAAGCTGGCCGGCCTGTCGTAAGGGGGAGAGAGCTCCGTCGTCAGTCAGGGCCCCGCCATTCCGCGCAGTACTGTTCATGTCCCTCCATTCTGTCGTTCCTTGCATTCCCCACCCCTCGTATTGTGAGCTGTAGCATTTCTTCGCATCTCTCTCCTTCGCAACGCAACCCTTCTCTCCTCTCCTGTTCTAGATGCGTGGCGAAGAATCGGCTTACAGAAGCTACAGGGAAAGAACGGATGGTATCAAACGGTGAGCGTGCGAGAGTGGAAACAAGAACATGGCGAGAGACGAGGCGGAAGAGGGGATCACGAGCGGCAGTGGTTGAGGCCGATGCCGCAGGCGGAGGCGACCAAGAGGTACATGAGGAGCTGTAGACGAGGCTGTCAGTTGGTGCGTCGTCAGGAGTCGTGGGGGACGTACCAGCGCGGAAAAGCCGACCGCGACGAGCACTTTCGCGTTCCGGTACCACATCTTACGTCTGCGGAGGAGTCACGATCAGTCTCGCATACAGTCTCGAAGGAAGCGAAGGCAGCGCACCTCAAGACCGTCGCCCGCTTCCTGAATGCCCTCGCCTGCTGCGACATCTCGTCCGTCCGGTCGACGAGGATTTCGATCCGCTCGCCTCGCGACAAGACCGCGTCGATCGACTTGACCATCACGTCCTTCGTCGCTGCTAGCTCTGCCTGCGCAGCCTTGATGGCGTCTTGAGGCGGGTTCTCCTCGTACTGCTGCATGAGCTGCGCGATCGTCTTTTCGAAGCTGTTGAGTCCGAATGCTGGTGCGTCGGCAATCTCGTTCAGGTTGAAAGTCGATGTGAACTGCCGAGGGGTAGGTCAGCGCGCTGGAGGAACGACTCGGCCAGAAGCAACGCACCCTTCGATGCAACTCGGCGAGGAAGGAGAAAGGCATCCGTCGACCGGCCGTGTCCTCCGCCACCACAAGCGCCGTCACGCCGTCCTTCTTCTGGTAGTGTATCAGGATCTGATCCGCTGCGGAGGAGAGGTCGCGGTCAGCAAGGACGAAGTGGACGGGGCACGCAAGACGAACCGGCGTAGGTGAGCTTCGAGTCGTTCGGCGGGATCTTCTGCAGGATCGCCTGGCAAGCTGCGTAACAGGTATGAGTGCCATCCAACTCTCGCCCTGCGAAACCACGCACCATTGCTGTACTGCCCAGCCTTCTTGTCGCACTCCGCAAGGATGGTGTCGTCTCGAGCGACGAGGGCGTGAAGTAGGCTCATGGCGGGCGGCTCTCTAGTCTGAATGAGCTTGAGGTCAGCTGCGAGCATACTTCGCGGCGCGCACAGCCGTTTGCACACCTGAGGAACCTCGAACTGATGAGGAGGGCGAGCGGGTGGGGAAGAGCGAGGCGAGCGGCGGGCGGTTGAAGGTATAGTTTGCCGGGATGCAGGCAGTCCGAGATGTGTAGCAGAGCGGTCTAGCGGGGGTTCACGGGGATGAGGCGGTGGTGACAACGTCCAACTTGCGTTCGACCTCCTCGCCCTCTGCCAACACCTCGCGAACAGCTCTCGTTGGCCTCGAGTCGCAATTGGCGCTCGCCCAGTGATGCTACTGTGCCTCCTGCTTTCCTTCAGGAACTCGGATCCCGCAGCGGGCCTCCCCCGTGACCATGATCCGGCGAGTCGCCTCTGGCTCGCTTCAACCGAAAAGCCCTTGACGGGCGCCAGATGACGACTTTAGTACGAGGGACGCACGTCCTTCCGCAAGGGACGCACGTCCTTCCGGGTTCAAGGTTATGGCTACCCTGGCTCTTTGGCGTTGCTTGCCGGTCCCTGCCGTCCCAGCTACACAGCGTTCCCAAACGCCGCTCACTTGCGAAGCTTCGTCACTCAGCTCCTCTCGACACTCAAGATCCGCAACGTCATCGGCCCCGTGAACCCGTCGTTCTCGGCGCCCGCACGGATCGGCTGCTTCACGAGGAAGGCGCAGGACAGCGAAGTATTGCTGCAATGGACGGTCAACCACTATACCGATCTGCTCACAGGCACGGACTGCGAGAACACGAGAAAGAGTCTCACGCCTGTCGCGAGACAGCGCTCTCCCTCCGCAGAACTTGACTCGCATTGCTTTCTTCTCGCCAAGTACTTGCGCCAATCCCCATTCACCGTCGACGAACGGCTCGACATGGGCTGCGGCTGCAGTACGCAGTACGATACGTCGAAGGAATGGGATCGAGGAGAGTGGGATGAGGAGGGGGTGAAGGGATTTTGTGGTTGGGAAGGTTGACGGGACCGCGCTGTGCGGCGCGCTCAGAACGCTCGCATCTGCCTTGTGATGCTGGCGCGGGCTCGAGGGAAGAAGGGAGATGCGGCGGAATGAGCGAGAGAGTGCTGCAACATGGTTCAGGAAAGTGGTTCAGGAAAGTGAGGTAAATTGCGACTGTACGAGAGTATCCGGCTCACCGTGGCTGATGCGTGCTCTGCTGCGCACGTCGAGCACTTGTGCACTCCCGGATGCCATTCAATGAGCGGGAGCTGTTGCCAATGGCAAAGTTCAGAGAAGTGAAAAGCCGGAGGATGGGGAGGCGGACTGTACCCGACCAAGCAGTGTCAAGGCACTGGGCTGCGAGGTGGGTGTCAGCTACCGATGTAGAGCTAGCGCATGTGCGGCGCACCAGATGCTCGACAAGTACATCCGGACAACTCCCGCCCTTCTTGTACCCTTCGAGGTGCTCGTGAGCGTGCTTGCAGCGCAAAAAGATGCGGTCGCGCTCGGACGATTCCAGGTACGGCCGAGCCTCGAGTAGCTCGCTGCGCGTCGTACCAACCCAGTCTGACGACAGTGGCCAACAAGGGCGGCCATGCCAGTCAACTGAATGTTCAAGGCTTGGCTTGTTGCCTGACGACGCAGGAGATAGGAAACGGTAAGCATTGTCCTTCTGCGAGGAGTTTGAGGTGTACCCACGCCTGCGCAAACATCAACGAGAATTCTGCCATACGTGATGCCAAGTTGTTCAGGATCCGCGTTGGCCGGTGGAGTCTGCATGCCAAACTGCCGGGTTGTGTGTCAGCAGTGATGTGCATCCTCGCCGCACAGCCTCTCTCGCAGGTCAGCAACGTACCAGCTGCTGCGCAAATAACGCGAAGCTCATGTCGAACGCCGGAATCCGGATCTTCTCCTTGTCCCGTCCCACCCTTGTCTTCAAGTCTTCGATGCGTGCCTTGAAGTCGTCGATAGACAGTTGCTGAAGCCGCGTGAGCCAGTCTCGCAAAGCAACCGACAGGACAGCCTCCTTCCATTCGCGCGCTGGCTGCGTACGTCCAAATCTGACACCCTCTTCTGATGGTAGCAAGGTGCCGATAAGCTCCTCCAGCGACGTGAAACCAAAGAGGCGGCCCATGTTCAGTGTCCGAGAAGCAGAGCTGACAGCGAAGGAGAAGAGTTGCCGACGGACGGAGGGATGAGAGAGGGGCTCGCGACGGACCGGAGTATCCGCGGGTGTCGGAAGATCCGTGCGGGAGACGGCGGGGCGGTGGAGGCGATGAGGGGAGGACGAGGAGGGTCTTGAGGAGGATCCAGCTTCGAGTGCGAACGAGGGACGGCGTATAGAGTGAGCTTCCTCAAAGTGAAGCTCGGGTACGTCTGAACGAGCGAAGCACATCCACATCTGGAGATCTGGCGCGTCGGGATCTGCTCCACGGCAGATCCGAGACGCTTGGAGAAAGAGAGGAGACACAGAGCAGCACCCGCCGCCTTCAGTGTGTCATGACAGCTGGCACTGTGAATTGCACGAGAGCGAGCGACGGTCGACTAGGCAGTCTGCACGACTCCCAGCTTGTGTAGACGGGTCCGCCGAAGGCGAGAGGAGGAGGAAGTCGCGCGACACAGCTCAGCGGGTCTGGGTGGACCTACAGCGTAGTGACGGTCAGTGCAGCAGTCATGCCTAGCCAGCAAGCAGCCCCCCAAGCGGTGTTGTCGCGTTCGAGCTGATGAGGACGAGGGCAACATCGCTCTCTGGAGGAGACCACCATCTCGTTGTCGCTTGCAGCTTGCTTGTGACCGCCTAGACTGCTTAGGACAGCGCTGCAAGACCGCGCAAGTTCCGCCAGACCCGCTCGAACGGCTCGCACCCCGCCCTCTCGTCTTCGCTCTGCACCTCACTCAACGACCACCCTTTCCACCTCGCACGCGTGCTCGAATCGGCCAGGATGTACGGTGGACCGATAAAAACACGCTCGTCGCCGCCACTGCAGCACCCGCGACCCCAGCACCCGCCCTCGCAGATCCCCTCGCAGTCCCCACCTCCCGACGCCTTTGCGTTCAGCTCGGCGAACACGCACCAGCCTTTCTCGTCTTCGCCTGTGCGGGTGGGCCACGACCCACTGTTGTCTGCTATCGCAGCTCGGAGACAGGCCACGGCTGAGCAACGGGCTCCGCGTCTCCGAATGCCGCTTACTCACCCTTTGCTCAGTCATCTTCCGAGCCGATCGAGGGCCGGCCTTTGTTTGCCTCGACGACGCTTCCCTGCTTTCTCCGTACTGTACCTGCTCTGCTTGCGCACCCGGCACTGTCCTATCATCCTCAACCTTCGACCACGTACTCAAGCAGAATGTCGACTTCCGTCTCGCAGACCGTATACCTGGGTACGTATCCCCTTCGCACGCCTACCCCGCTACAACCCGGCTGACATCTTGTCGGCTCGCAGTCACCGGCACCGCTCGCGGAATCGGCTTTGGCCTCGTCTCCTCGCTCGTCAAGCGACCCGACGCGGTTGTCTTTGCCGGCGTTCGCGACGTCAACAAGGCGGATGCGCTCAGTGCGCTCGCAAAGGAGGCGCCAAACCTGCACATCGTCCAGCTCGAGTCGGGCTCGGTGGAAGATGCCAAGGCCGTTGCGGCAATCATCGAGCAGACGGCAGGCAAGCTGGATATCGTGATCGCTAATGCTGGTACGCCTCGTCCCTTTGCTCCCGCCGATCAGCCCTTCTCCCCTTTCCCCCATCCTGATCAGCCTGACCCTCATCTTGTTTTGCAGGCATCTCCGACGGATACGGCGATGTCGTCGACGTTCCGCCCGCCGTTTTCGAGCGCCACTTCCAGGTCAACACGATGGGCCCACTCGTCCTCTTCCAAGCAGTCGCCTCGCTCCTCGCCAAATCCTCCCACCCTCAGTTCGCCGCAATTTCAACCGCGCCAGCTTCGCTCACCAACCTCATGCCGATGCGCATGACCGCCTACACCCTCTCCAAAGCCGCGCTCAATTTCCTCACCCTCCGCATCAACGAGGAACATGAGAAGGACCACATCGCTTCCTACGCCATTAGTCCAGGGTGGGCTCAGACAGACATGGGTAACGCAGGAGCCAGAGCGTTCGGCCTCGAGGAGGCGCCCGTCAAGCTCGAGGACAGCGTCGCGGGCATTCTCAAGATCGTCGATGGCGCGACGAGGGAGAAGACGGGCGGAAAGTTCTGGGACTACACGGGAGACGAGCTGAGCTGGTGATGTGCGCTCCTCTAGACTGTTGTAGCTAGACGCAGTGGATGCAGTACACGTTTCAACATTCTCGATCCGCCACGAATCTTCTACAGCAGCTCGACGCTTTCGATCTCTGCAGGGAAAGCAAAGTCGTGCTGTCTTCGTATCTCGTCGAAGACCTGCGTGACCAATCCTCCGTCAGCTCCGAGGTCCACAACAATGCCAGGAGGAGAGCCAAGAAGGGAGAAAGGCGACGGACCTGCATCATGAGGAGCGACTCTCGCAGCGGCATCCGCTCGCTCTCCTTCTTCCCATCCCTGATGCACCGCGCTACGTCGTCCGCCTCCCACGCACACCCTCGCATCCCGCCCGGCTGCTCACGGAAATCGTACGTCTCCGTCTCGTCCGGCAGAGTCCTGGAGAGCGAGAGGTTCTCCTCGTTCTTCCACCGAGTGACGGTGATGATCCATGGCCGGATGGGCGGTCCGCCGATCTCGATGAAGCCGTGCGACCCTTGGATGAGGGAACAGCGAGTGATAGGCGATTGGCGGTCTTGGGCAGTGACGAAGGAACCGAGGACTTCGCGTCCGTCCGGCTGGATGAAGGTGATGCCTGCAACGACGGCGCGGTCGACGCCTGTCGTTGTCTTGACCATGGAGGAGGTGATTTTGGGGACGGGTAGAGGCTCGGTGGACGAAGAAGACGGAGGGAGAAGAGCGAGGGCGAGGTGCGTCCAGGGGTAGGGCTGTCAAGGGAGGCAAGCGTGAGTTTCCTGCCTTAAAAGAACGCGAACAAACGACGTACGCCTAGGTCGAGAAGAGCGCCTCCCGCCAGCTTCGGATTGAACAAACGAGCGTCCGGCTCCGTCCGTTCTTGCGGCGCAAAGTTGCAGCACAACTCTGCAGACGCTCCGCGCACGTCTCCAATAGTCGGCAACAGCTCCCGCATCTTCACCATACAAGGTTGGAAGCGTAGCCAGACCGCTTCCATGAGGAAGAGGTCCTTCGAGCGGGCGAGGTCGATGAGCGCTTTTGCCTGAGCGGCGTTGACGACGAGCGACTTTTCGCAGAGGACGTTCTTGCCGGCGGAGAGGGCGGCATGGGCATTGGCGTAGTGGTGCGAGTGAGGCGTGCCGATGTAGATGCAGTCGACGTCCTTGTCGGCGAGCAACTCGTCGTACGAGCCATACAGCGTGACCTGCTCCTTGCCCTCCTTGACGCCCGCCTCGCTCCACACGTTATCGACGAACTTCTGCGCCGAGTTCTTCGAGCGGGAACCGACTGCGACGATGCGGTGCGCGACGTGGCAGACCTGGCGAGTCGAAGGGTCGATGAGGAGGTCGAGGGAGAACTCGGTGGCGATGCGACCTGTAGGGAGGATACCGTCATTGAGACGTTGGTGAGGGAGGGTGATCGGACGCACCTGTCGAGAGGATGCCCCAGCGAAGCGTGTAGACCATCTCAGCGGGATCCGAACGAGTGAGGCGGAGAGGAGGCGAGCGAGACGTCGTAGACGGCGGCGAGCTTCGGGCTAGCGTGTAAGCGTCTTCTATTAGCGACTGACGACCTGCACAGAGCAGAGCGGAGCGTAGAAGAGAGAGAAGCGACGGAAGAACAAAGTGGGAGAGGACCCGGTGGAGTCTCGAGTGCCGCCGCACCGGTCGTACAAACGCTGCGGTGACGCTGGCAGATTGTGACGGGAGCAAGCAAATCATGGCGGTCGTTCAAAGCGAGGAGAAAGCCGGCTTCGACAAGGGAGAAGAAGCGAAAGCGCTGCGCGACCTTCTCAAGCGGAAGATACGACTGCGACGCTCGAGGATGCGACTGAACTTCTTGCAATGCTGGTCTAGTGGGGACAGATTAAGAGGCAGGAATAGGGGAGGGGTATCGCTACATGTGTTCAGTCCGTGGGCATGATAGTCCATCGATGAAGACGGAGGATAGAGAAGGGTCTGTCTAGTAAACGGTCCGATGCACCTGTCCGTGTCCCGTGTGCGCCATTTCTGGCTGCATCAACCCGTTCGACTGAGCGACGGGCTCCGCATACCTCCCATACTGTCCATCGCTCGCCAAACTCGGTCTCGCCGTGCCATTCTCGACCTCCTCCAGCACTCCACCGCGCGCACCTGGCTGGGCACGGTTCTTGTGCACGTGGAGGGTGTTGTTGCGGTCCCCTTCGATGAGGAAGTCTTTCGACATGCCGAGGTGGTTGCGCGTCTTGTGTGCGGGCCAGAGGTCGAAGCCCATCGTGCCGAGGTAGACGCCGTACAAGCCCGCGATCGTCCTGCGAGGAGAGAGTCAGCACACTGAACAAGGAGAGAGAGCTGAGAAATGTCGCTCACCACTCGAAGATGGCCGCGACAGACTTGATCCGGTCGCAGCGCGAGGTCAAGGGCCTCTTGCTTCCCGATCCAGCGCAGACGCCGCTGGAGAAGGAATCACCCAGTCAGCTCCTGCATTCTGGCATGCGGTGAAGAGCGGGCGGGAACGCACTAGGTCGCGCCGAAGCAAATCGCGCAGCAGATAGCAAGAACGACGATGATCCACTTGACGATGGCGTTGCGACGCAAGTGCTTGCGGTCGATGCTGCGCGAGTGCATGAGGTGAGCCATATGATCGTGCGGGAAGAGGAGGAAAGGGCGTACTGGTCCTGCTTGAGCCACATGATCTCGAGGGTTTGGCACAGCGCGGAGATGGCGATGCAGACGATAAAGACGGCCTGAAACCACGCACTCGTCAGCTTGCGCTGGGGAAAGAGGTGGGAAAGCGCGACACTCACAGCCATACTCCAGTGCGCCTTGGGGAAAGCCAAGTCGTTCAGCGATGAAAGCAAGACGAGCGCGATCGAGCCGAGGATGCCGAAGACGCATGCGACGCTGTGAAGCGAGAGGAATGTCAGCAACGAGCTGTATTCGGCGGAGGATGGGATGGGACGAACATGTCGGCATTGCGGTCCCGCTTGCGAAGGGCGCCGGGGATGCGGCGCAGGTGACGAAGCCAGCGCTCCATGAGGAGCGAGAGGGTGTCTGCGTGTTGAACAGGTCAGCACGAGCACGCGAGGAAAACGAAGAAGTACACGCACAGAAGACGGCTGTCGTCGAGACTCCCGCGATGAAGAGCGCCTGCTTGCGCGGCTCAGCGCCGACGTTGGAAACGTACTGCCGGTTCGAACACGAGTCAGCTTCTCCTGCTGCACGCGACGAGGAGACGGGGGGACTGACGAGAATAGTTGGTTGTCCAGGCTGGTATTGCTTCGCATTGTCCGCGACCTGTGGGGAAACAAGTCGTCAGCTCCAACGTCTGGGGATAATCGCAACACTGTACGCACCGCCCACCAGAGCAAGAGGCCCACTGCGGAACGAGCAAGAGACGTCAGCGCATCCGTACGAAAGATGCAGTCGCGAGGGCGGCCAGGGAGATGCGGGAGGGTTGTCGTTTGGGGGAGCGGGGGTAGAAGAAGGCGCTGGCCACTTACGAAGCGTGCCCCACCAGACGACGAAGGCGATGAGCGGGAAGAGCCAGTAGAGGCCGTGGAAGGGTTGCAAGCGGTCGCGCATGGTCGTCGTTGGTCGACAGTGTAGAGATGCAAGCTAAGAGACGACGCCTGAGAGTGCTAGCGAGCAGCCAGAGCGTAGAAGTGGAGGAGAAGAGCGAGCGAGGCTGCTGCTGCCTCTCCGAAAGTCGGCTTGATCAAGGTCGGCCTGCGTCATCGAAGCAGGGGCTTCGCTTGAAATGCAGGGCAGCAGTGTCTCGCAGCGAGTCTTGAATCGATGCACAGCGACCAAGTGCAGATCCTTCGACGGGGCGTGTGCATCGCGAGGGAGCAACAAGGGCGAGGGCAAGCAAGAGGACGAGGAGAGTTGCGCACTGGACCGAACTCAACTGGACACGTAGCAAGAGCAGGAACTGTTTCTGCCCTTACAACCGCCCAGTAAGCTCCCGTTGTAATCTCGCAGCATTACCCGCGAGTCCAGCGAGCGCACCCCTTCTCTTGCTTCTCCACTCATCACGCCGACCCTTATTGTCCCGACACTCGCCTCCTTACGAGGGTCGTCCTATCGGGTCCGCAAGATCCACCACCAACCCGCCAGCGCTTCAACTCGCCGAAGCAGCAGCAGCAACACGCCCCCGACTCGACGAGGAGGGGACTTGTTCGAGCCTCGCGCGGGCTTCGTCCTTTGGGCGGGTCCGTGTCGAGGCGTGCAAAGGCTTTGGAGCACCAGCGGGACATGCATGAGCAGTGCAGGAGGGCCGCTTGAGCGGAGCGAGGGTGCGAGAACGAGGGAAAAGGTTCGCAGGATGGGACGAGGAGGAGGGTGCTGAACGGCGCTGTGGGTGCGAGAGCGTGTACAAGACGCATACGTAGCCCTTGCCAATGTAGCAGTCAATCCATACTTCCGCCTCAGAACCTCCGTCGCCTCGAGAGTGTACTCTTCCTCTCTTCACCTTGAGCACCTCACGCTCACTCGCTCTCACCGCATTGCGCTGCTTCTGTCGCTCAGTTTCTCCACTTCGCTAGCCTGCGCTCCAACTAGCCTGCTCTCGCGCCGCCTTGCTAAGCCAAACGCGTTGTCGCCGCGTGTTTCGCTCGCGGAGGCTGTGAAGGGTGGAGAGGATGGCGACAGAGAAGCCAGGTGCGCATGCCGCTCGTTAGCTACGCTGCCATTCTTCTGACTAGTCCTCGCAGCCGCACCGCCAGCTCCGCGGGCCATCGCCAAGCTCCCTGAAGCCGTCGTGAACCGGATCGCGGCGGGCGAAGTCCGTCTCTCCCCTCCCTACAGTCCCAAAGCTCCTCGCTGACACTACGTTGCGACGAACAGATCATACAGCGACCGGCGAACGCGCTCAAGGAGCTGATTGAGAACTCGCTGGATGCGGGGGCGACGACGATTCGGGTTACGGTCAAGGAGGGCGGGCTGAAGTTGTTGCAGATCCAGGATAACGGGAGTGGAATAAGGGTGAGCTTCCTCCCTTCCCCCCTCGCGAAACAGCCGCGAACGGAGACTCACTCTACCCTCACGCAGAAATCCGACCTCCCGATCCTCTGCGAACGCTTCACAACCTCCAAGATCAAAGCCTTCGAGGACCTCTCGTCGCTCGGGACGTACGGGTTCCGCGGCGAGGCGTTGGCGAGTATCAGCCATGTTGCGCATCTGAGCGTGACGACCAAAACGCGGGACGAGACTTGTGCTTGGAAGTGCGTGCTCGCTGTTCGGTCACTTGCGGGGTGATTGCTGATCGCCGATACATGTAGAGCTGCCTATGCGGATGGAGCGCTGATACCGCTCAAGCCTGGCGGCGACGCTGCGCCTCTGCCTTGCGCAGGCAACGACGGGACAGTCTTGACGGCGAGTCTTGCTTCCCTTTGATCGCCTCACTCGTGCTCACACTCTCATTTTGCAGGTCGAGGACCTCTTCTACAACACTCCTCAGCGCCTGCGCTCTCTCCGCCCCGCAAACGAAGAATACGCGCGCATCCTCTCCGTCGTCACAGCCTACTCGATTCACAACGCCGGCGTCTCCTTCGTCTGCAAGAAGGCCTCCAGTTCATCCAGCTCGACAGCGGACGTCAACACGAGTGTCGGAGCGAGCACGCTGGACAATATTGGGCTGTTGTACGGGGAGGCGGTGAGGAGGGAGTTGGTCGAGGTTGTGGCGGAGAGTGACGAGTTGGGTGTAAAGGTCAGGGCGTGGTGTAGCGGGGCTAACTACCAGGCGAAGCGGAGCACCTTTCTCTTCTTCATCAACCGTGAGTCCACGCCGACCCCTCTTTTCGGTCTGTGCCGTGCTGATCCTCCCTTACCGCAGACCGCTACGTCGACTGCACCTCGCTCAAGCGCGCCCTCGAAGCCTTCTACTCGACCCTGCTCGCCAAAAACACCCATCCCTTCGTCTACCTCTCCCTCTCGATCTCGCCAGCCAAAATCGACGTCAACGTCCATCCGACGAAGAAGGAAGTCGCGTTTGAGGACGAGGACGAGGTCGTGCAGCTTGTTTGTGAGAAGTTGGCAGAGGTGTTGGAGAAGCAGGGGGAGAGTCGGAGTTATAAGGTCCAGGTGCGTTGCGTGAGAGAAAGCTGCTTTCCTTCGTGTCGTCCGCTGATGCAGCTTGGTACCACAGACCCTCTTGCCGACGAATGGGACGCCAACGGCTGCTCGAACACTAGCAGGCTCGGCCGCAACCGCGACTCCCGCCGCCTCGAGCTCTCGCAAACCCTCGACTGGCTCCTCGACGAAGCCCGCCAAAGTCGCGCCAAACAAGCTCGTTCGCACCGACGCGCAGTCTCAAACGCTCGACGCTATGTTTCCAACCCTACCAGCCTCGTCAAACTCCCGAACTGGCGACAAGACGCGAGAAGCAGCCGACGACGATGACCGACCGAGCAAGAAACGCAAGTCGGATCACGACCCGGCTTTTGCGACGCAGTTGGCGGTGCAACAGGCGAAGCAGAAGAGTGCGAGGGTGAGAATTGCGCAGAGCGAGTGTGCGTTGACGAGTGTGAGGCAGCTGAGGAAGGAGGTTGTCGAAGCGCGGCACGAGGGTGTGTAGTCACTTGCCCTTCTTTCGGGTTGAGCAGCGCTGACGGACAGGAACTGGTAGGCCTCGATGCGCTCATCAAGGGCCACATCTTTGTCGGCGTTGCGGACCTCGTCACTCGCAAGTCGATGATCCAGCACCAAACCAAGCTCTACATCATCGACCACGCCGCAATAGGGTACGTCTTTCTGTTTCAGCTCTCAGAAACAGCTCATTTACGCGCCTCGCCGCAGCGAAGAGCTGTTCTACCAGCTCGGCTTGCGACAGTTCGGCCGCTTCTCGCGCATCAAGCTGCAACCGCCTCAGGACCTCCGCAAGCTCGTCCAGCTCGCCGTCGACCGGGCATCAGGCGAAGCAGCGGCGAAAGCAGCGCCGTCCAGAATCGTCGAGGTGCGTGACGAACCGCTCGAACGCTCGTTGGCTGCTGACTGACCGTTTCTCGAGCAGCGCGTCTACTCAACTCTGCATGGCGCACGGGCGATGCTCGACGAGTACTTCTCGTTCTCCATCTCGGACGACGGCAAGATCGAGAGTTTGCCGCTCGTCCTGCCCGGCTACTCGCCCGACATGAACAAGCTGCCTCTCTGTGCGTGCACTCCCATCCTCAGCGGCGACCCGAAGCTGACTGGACACCTGCAGTCCTCCTACGTATCGGCGCACATGTCGACTGGGAGCACGAGAAGCCATGCTTCGCCACCTTCCTTCGCGAACTCGCCTTCTTCTACTCGCCCGCTCCCTCGCCTACTGCTCCCCTCACGCCGCCTTCGCAAGACCAAGTCGACGCGCAGAAACGCATGATCCAGCACGTCCTCTTCCCCGCCGCCAAGCAGTACCTCGTCCCGCCCGAACGGCTGCTCAAGAAGGATATCGTGCTCGCGACTAGTCTTGAGGCGTTGTTTAGGGTGTTCGAGCGGTGTTGAGGTTCATGCAGGTCTTCTTGTCCAGAAATGTAGCGATCTCTTGTTGTCGTAAACCTGCATTGCGCACTTCCTACGAACTTCGCGAAGGGAGACGTGCTCGTTCGCGCAGGCGGAAGGTGCGCACGATAGCCGCCTGTGAGACAGAATTCGTCAGCGCTCCTCGCGTACGAAGAGTTGCAAGGCCAACCCACCGCGCTCCGGTCCCACTTGAACCTGCTCATATCCCGTATCCGCTGAACCTCCCTCTCGTCCTCGCTCTCCGCATCACTGTCCGCTCCATCATCGCTGCCATCCTCGCTCTCGATCGCACCATCCTTGACGCCCAGATCTTCTTCCAGCTTCGCGCTCCTCTCGCGCCGCATCTTCCGCCTCGCCTCACCCTCCGACAGCGGGTATTGCTGCACCACCTTTCCTCCCTTGTACAGCCGCAGCTGCGGGATGTCGAATGCCATGGGCGACGTTGAGATTCCCAAGTCGTAGAAAGTGGTCGGCGCCTTTGCCGAATCGAGGAGGCAGAAGTCGAGGACGGGGGTGGTCAACTCGTTCGAGAGTCGAGCGAGAGTGAGCTCGAGGTCGCGGGACTTTTTGTCGTAGTCGGCGTAGAAGAGGACGAGGTGGTATTGGGTCGGATCTGGAGGAGAAGAAGCTGGAACGGCAGGTTCGTCGGGCGTCTCGTCGGGTAACTCGACGATTTTGGGTTCTTCGACGAGGTGTACGGAGTCGGCGGGCGAAAGGAGGAGGATGTGCGTGTCGAAGGTCTGTACGGCGCGAGATCAGCTTGACAGTCGGCAGAAAGCGGCTGACGAGGCCGCACCTCGGAAGTGAGCACTTTGAGCTTGTGCGGGCCAAGATACGATGGCTGAGGGAACAAGAAGCTACACACTATACGACGAAAGCGTCAGGAAGTTCGGGCCATCAGAAAAAGCGAGAAATGGATCCCTCGACGTACCCATCCAGACTCCAAAGTAGGCCAGGACCCATCCCTTCGTAATGCCGATCTCGTTACGGAGGAAGAAAAGGCCGAAGAGGTTGAATAGGCGGAGCTGGAAGGTTACGCTCTCGTGAAGGGACTCTGCACCGCCCCCAGTACAAAGGAGGTCAGCTTGCAAGACGAGAATGAGCGCAACACATCGGGCGCACCTATGTTGTCCGAGTCCTTCCTCAGTCCAACCGACAAGGTCAGCAAGACCGGCGCAGCGACGAGTGCGGTTGTGACAGCGGGCGAGGAACGCAAGTCGAGCGAGAGGAGGAGAAGGGCGGGCAACACGGCGCAGAGCAGCGAGTTAGCGACGTAGTGAGGATGACTGAGCCGTTTGACGACGTCTCGCGTGTCTGGCAAGGTCATCACGCGATAAGGTCGTCGTCGTCGCGGCCAGAAGGTGCCGGCCAACTCTCGCCTCGACAACACTCACTCTCGCTCGCTTGCTGGACCTGCTGATCTGCTCCTGAGGGTGGCTGACCACCATGCCACGGATAAGCATGCTGCCGCTGTCCGCGGTGCTCTCACTCGTCATCCTGTTCGCCCTCTGGCGGGCGACGAACCGAACAATGTCAGTCTACGCTCGCAGCGCCTGTCAGACGCGCTCATCATGCTGACGGGGCTTGTACTCGCGCAGAGACCTGCATCCGGAGCTGGCAGCGGTGGATCCTGCGTTGATGTGCGACCCTTTCGCTGAACCGGGATTCTTGGTGCGCCGTCCTCCCTCTCGCTGCGATGGGGCTGGGAGATGGCTGACGAACCAGGACATACTCGCAGCACGTTGACGAGCGCGAACCGCTGCAAACCAAGTGGATCCCGTACTCCCCCACCTGCGAACCCGCCCCCGACTGGCTATCCCTCATCGCTCGGCGAGACCTCGAAGCGACTTCATGGCTTGCGAACCGCACCATCCTTGTCCTGGGCGACTCGGTTGACCGGAACGGGCTGCACCACCTCGCCGAGATGTTGGGTCTGCCGCGGTACTGCGTCCCGTACGACGACTACAGCAAGAAGGGCGTTGTGCCGGCTGGCTGGGACGAGCGAGGGATCCCTTGGGTTGTCGAGATTCCCTGGCTGAACACGTTCTTCACGAACGGGTTCATGTACGGCTTGGTGAGTCGCCGTGGCTTCCCGGTTTTACTCCGCTTCGCTGCTTTGCGTGGTAGGCGGGGCTGAAAAGCCGTGGTGGCTGACTGTGATTCTCTGCGCAGGACGACGAAGACAACTTCCGCCAACAGCCCGATTGGCACCCTCCCGGCAAGGCGGAAGAACGGATCGACAAGCTCTTCAAGGTCCACACCGACCAGCTCCCCTTCCCTCCTTCCTTCATCTCCATCCACTCCGGTCGTAGGTTGGAATCACTCGCTCGACTGGGAGGATCAGGCTGACAGTTTCGCCTCGCAGTGTGGGACCTCGCCTTCTTCGGACGACAAGACCGCATCGCGCACCTCTCGACCGAGATCCCGCTCACACACGCGCGAGTCGACTGGTGGCAGAACCGCATGAAGAGCGTCCTGCGGCATGTTAACGAGACTTGGCCGGCGGTGCCGATCTGGATGCGGAAGTTGCACAGGGTTGGGCCGGTTGGAGGAGCAAGCTGTGCGTGCACTCTCCTCTCTCTCCTGCTCGAGACGTATCGCTCACAACGAATCGCTCGCGCAGATGACTGGCGACACACGGGTCACGAAGACCACGGTTCGCAAGAACGCTTCTCCAACTTCTTCACCGACGTCCGAATCCACACGATCCGGGAGATGCAGGAGCAGGTCGTGCGGGATGTGGGGATTCCGTCATACGACTTTGGCGAGAACTGGGAAGGGTGGCAGTCGCATCAGCAGATGGTGCACCCGAACAAGGTGCGTCTCGTTCGGAAATGCATGCTCATTCAGGGCTGTGCTATTCATCAATGTGGTGGATGCGTTGCCTCGATATATGGATCTGCCTCTGAGTAGCATCGCTGACGGTTTTGCGCGTTTCTCTCGCAGTTCCCCGGCGGGCCCGTCTACACGCAGGCTCTCCTGCACCACATCTGGATGGAGTCGCAAGGACGCGACAAGTGGCGGTTATCGAAGCAGCGACCACTAGCACCGCTCGTCAAGGAGGATAAGCCGAAGGGGAAGGGCAAGGGCAAGGCGAAGGGAGACGGTCGAGGGAGGTGAGCCTCGCGATACCTCGAGTTCCGCCGCGGGGGTCTGTTCATCCGCATCCATATGTTCTGCATTGCCGCATCCATCATCTCGTTCGCCGCAAGAGAGGGTTGCACCACGCAAGTCGCGACTTTGGCGGTTCAAAGAGACGCTCTTGCCAACTCCTTGCTCTCGCTCTCTCGCCGCGGCTCTCTGTCTCATTCTGTGCTAGTACACGGCACAAGGACTACCGCTTCGAATCACAAGCGACGCCCGCCTGCGACACGCTCGCTCCCCCCGCTTCATCGCCCGTCAGCCAGACAGCCGGCGACACCTCGCAACTCGCACGCCAGGACGTCCTACGCCTTTCGCCAGCCCTGAGACCCGACTGAGCACGTGTGAAGATGCCCGGCTGCTCGCTCGTTGCGATCCTCGACTTGAAGGGCAAGGTGCGTCGAGCGACAACACGACTTGGAGCGTCCAGCGCGGCCGCACGGCCTGGCTGGGGTCTCTCCATAGTGTCTTGCTGTTCACTGACCTGTGCTTTGAATACACGCGCAGTCCCTCATCCAGCGGTCTTACCGCGACGACATTCCCCCCACCACCATCGAGCGGTTCCTCCCTCTCGTCCTCGAGCAAGAAGAGGAAGGGCACTACGTGACGCCGTGCTTCTCCAGTCAGGGGATCAACTACCTCCATATCCGACACAACAACCTGTACCGTGAGTTTGGCCGCAATCGCTCTGCACGACCTCCCGTTCTCGTTCGCGGAACTCGTGCTCAACGCGTGGTTTGCGCCTTGCAGTCGTGGCGTTGACGAAGAAGAACTCGAATGCGGCCGAGATCCTGACGTTCCTGCACAAGCTCGTCTCGGTGCGTCAATCCTCCAAGCTCCTCCCGCTTCGCGAACTGACTCTCTTGCTTCCGCAGGTCTTGACCGAGTATTTCAAGGAGCTGGAGGAGGAGTCGATTCGGGATAACTTCGTCATTATGTGCGTCCGGTCGTCCAGCTTGGAAGCGGAAATTCATGCTAACTCGCGATCCCTCTTCAGCTACGAGTTGTTCGACGAGGTGATGGACTTTGGATACCCCCAAACGACCGAGAGCAAGATCCTGCAAGAGTGCGTTTCGCCCCTCCACATTCATCCCGAACGAAGCTGACCCGTTTTTCGCAGATACATCACGCAAGAGTCGCACAAGCTCGAGGTGCAGGTCCGACCGCCAATGGCTGTCACAAATGCGGTGTCGTGGCGATCCGAGGGCATTCGGTACCGCAAGAACGAAGTCTTCCTGGATGTGGTCGAGTCGGTCAACTTGCTGGTGCGCCGAGAGGAGCCGTTCCCCGCTCGACGGCGAACAGTTGCTTACTCGAGCGTCCCTTGTGGCGTTTGTCCTTGCACAGGTCAACGCGAACGGCAACGTCGTTCGCAGCGAGATTCTTGGAGCGATCAAGATGAAGTGCTACCTGAGCGGAATGCCCGAACTGCGGCTGGGCTTGAACGACAAGGTCATGTTCGAGACGACTGGGCGAAGTGCGTTCTTCCTCTCGCTACTCTCGCCAACGTCTGCTGACGGTCATCGCACACAGCATCACGCGGCAAGGCGATCGAGATGGAAGACGTCAAGTTTCACCAATGCGTCCGCCTCTCGCGCTTCGAGAACGACCGCACCATCTCGTTCATCCCGCCCGACGGCGAGTTCGAGCTCATGTCGTACCGCCTCAACACTCAGGTCAAGCCGCTCATCTGGGCCGAGGCGCTGATTGAGCAGCACTCGGGGAGCAGGATCGAGTATGTGGTCAAGGTGCGTCGACAGCGTCAGCTTCCCGCCTGCGTATTCCAACGTGCTGACGGGCGGTGCCTCGGATGACGTCAACTCGCACAGGTCAAGGCGCAGTTCAAGCGCCGCTCAACCGCCAACAACGTCGAGGTCTTCATCCCCGTTCCCGACGACGCCGACTCGCCCAAATTCCGCGCGTCAGTCGGTACCGTCCACTACGTCCCGGAGAAGTCGGCGTTCGTGTGGCGCATCAAGCAGTTGGCGGGCGGGAAGGAGTTCTTGATGCGGGCGCACTTTGGGTTGCCGAGTGTGAGGGGAGGTGCGTCCCGCATTCTCTCGCGTTGAGCGGGTATCTCAACTCGAGTTTCGTCTGCTCATCGGGACGGTTGTCGGGATGCAGAGGACATGGACAAGCGGGCGCCGATTTCTGTCAAGTTTGAGATTCCCTACTTTACCGTCTCGGGCATCCAGGTGCGTCAGCTTCGCTCTTTGCATCAGCACGGCTTCTTCGACACTAGGTCTTGCGAAAGCGTAAGGCCAGATGGCTAGGGGTTGTTGTGCTGATGCGCCTCGAGCCCCTCCCGACAGGTCCGCTACCTCAAAGTCGTCGAGAAGTCCGGCTACGCCGCCCTCCCCTGGGTCCGGTACATCACCGCACAAGGCGACGACTACTCCCTGCGGACAAACTTGCCGGCTGCGAAGGGCGCAAAGGCACCTGGAATCGTCTAGGCTGGCTTTTTGCGAGGAAGGTCGTTTCTGTACTCTCTCTTTTTCGTTCTCGCAACGCAGGCCGCTTCGACGTTTCCTGCCCGACGCTCTCGCTTCTTTTGCTCCCGCTCCCCGCTCGCTCGAGGCTGGGAACGCCGTAAAAGTAGGAGGAAACTGCTTTGGACTCGGCACATTTCGTTCTTGGTGGGAACTGCTCATTGGGTTCGGTTCAGGTACGACGGAGGATAGACTACAAGCGGTTGAACACATGAAGGCGCAGACGGAGACAAAGCGAGGAAGCGAGGAAGCGAGGAGGGTGGGCCGCATTACAGCTTGGCGGGCTGCGACGGGGCCGAGTACTCGTCGAGGTGGGGGCTGCGCGGACGAAAGCCGGTCAGTTCCGAGGAATCGAGGATGGGGAGAGGAGGCGCGGGGACGCACGTCAAGTCGGTGGTGAGGAAGTCGGAGAGGGCGGGGGCGCGAATCTGGCTCTTGAGGTACCTCGCGCAGAGGTCGACCTTCTTGGCATCGAGGCCCTTCTTGGCCTTCTGCGTCTCCTCGTCAAGGATCTTGTCGACCAGGCCCGTGGTGATCTTCTTGCCGTCGACCGTCCACGCGCCATGCTTGACCCAGTGCCACAACTGCGCGCGGGAGATCTCGGCCGTCGCGGCGTCTTCCATCAAGTTCGCGACGGGGACGCAGCCGAGTCCGCCGACCCAGTTGGCGCAGTAGTGCAGCAGCGCCATGCAGTTCGAGCGGATGCCGTCCTCCGAGATGCCGCCCGGGACGTTCGTGTTGAGCAGGTCGAGAGCGGTGACCGTGACGTCCTCGCGGCGGATGTGGTACTGCGGGACGGGATTCAACACTGTCAGCGAAAGTGTCGGCGATGAGGGAGAGACTCCGCACGCACCTGGTTCGGGCCAACCATGCCCTTGTCAAAGATGTCCTTGGCGATCTTGACCAATCCAGGGTGTGCAACCCAGGTCCCATCGTGTCCGGCATCACACTCACGCTGCTTGTCGGCGCGGACCTTGTCCATGACCGCATTGTTCTTGGCCTCGTCGTTCTTGATCGGGATCTGCGCGGCCATCCCACCGATCGCGGCGACTCCGCGCTTGTGGCAGGTTTGGATGAGAAGCTTGACGTAGGACGACATGAACGGGACTGTCATCGTCACGTGCGAGCGGTCGGGGAGGACAAAGTCCGGGTGCATGCGCATCTTCTTGATGAACGAGAAGATGTCTGCGCGCACACGTCTTTCCCCGTCAGCGAAGCGCTCAGGACTGCGAGAAGGAGAAGCGCGAACGCACAGTCCCACCGACCGCAGTTCAAACCCGACGAGTGCTCGCGCAACTCGTAGATGATCTCGTCCATCTGGAACGACGCCGTGATAGTCTCGATGAGGACGGTCGCGCGGATCGTGCCGCGAGGGAGCCCGACGTAGTCCTGCGAGAGGCGGAAGATGTCGTTCCAGAGGCGCGCCTCGAGGTAGTGCTCCATCTTGGGGAGGCTGCCGAGCGAGCGCCGTCAGTCCCGCGCGAATGAGAGGTGGGACCGATCGAACGCACTAGAAGTACGGGCCAAAGCCGCGGGCGAGCTGCTCCTTGGCGTTGTGGAAGAAGAAGAGGCCAAAGTCGAACATCGAGCCCGACATGGGCTGGCCGTCGACCGTGATGTGCGGCTCGTCGAGGTGCCATCCGCGGGCGCTGCGTACACCATCACCTCGTCAGTCCGCTCCCTCGCGAAGTGAGCAGGACGAGAGCCGAAACGGACCGGACGATGAGCGTCGCAATCTTGTCGTTAAGCTTGTACTTCTTGCCCTCGGGCGACTCGAACGAGATCGTGCGCCTGACTGCGTCGTAGAGGTTGACCTGTCCATCGAGGTTGTTGGCCCACGTGGGCGAGTTCGAGTCCTCAAAGTCGGCCATGAAGGTCGCGGCGCCCGAGTTCAGGGCGCTGCATGGGCATGCGCTCTCATCAGTAGGGAGCTTGTAGATCAAGGAGTGGACGCTACGCACCCGATGACCATCTTCCTCGAGACGGGACCGGTGATCTCGACGCGCCTGTCCTCGAGGCCGGGCTTGGGCGCAGGTCCCTGCCACGTCGGGTCATTGCGGATGTGCTCGGTCTCCTTGAGGAAGTCGGGAAGGGCGCCTGCATCGAACTGGGCCTGCTGGAGCTGGCGGCGGTGGAGGAGCGACTTGCGAGTCGGGTTGAAGTTGCGGTGCAGGACGGCGAGGAATTGCAGGGCCGCGGGGGTGAGGATCTCTTGGTGGCGACCTGCACGGAGCGATGTCAGTACGCTTGAGATATGCAAGGCGGGAAGGGCGGCGAGAGCGGAAGGGGACGGGTGCGGGGGATAGCGGGGAGGGACGGCGAAAGCGCACCTTCGACCTTGCCTGCGAGTTGGGCGGCGCAACAACACGGCGAAGAGTGAACGAGCGAGCCAGTCAGTCCACCGTCGTCGTCAAGTCGTGAGTCGGGGAAACCAGGGCCCAAGGCAAAGAAACCGCTCGTCCCGGTGACGCAGAACCCAGTCCGCCAGCGAGATGCGCGCCCTCGAGCGCAGTCCAGCCGCGTCTAGTCTGCCCGATAGAGTCCCAGGTGTCCCTCGAGTGCAGTCCCGAGTCCACCGCGGCGTGCGATGCGACGAGAGAGGGCGGATCCGGCGATGCGGAGTTGGCGGGGAGGAGAGGACGAGGACGCACCGTGGATCTGTACGCCCTGGGGGAGTGCGTTGTGCTGAGGCGACATCTTTGCAGCTTGCATTCGCTCAAACAGCAAGTCGTAAGAGAAGGAGAAGAGAGAGAGCGAGTGAAAGTGGACCGGCAACTCGAGAGCACCACTTGTCCGAAACCTCGCATTACAAACTCATTACAACTCGGACTATTACCCAAGTTGTATTCACCCGCCCCATTCTCCGCGCACTTTCCCATTCACACCCCAAACATCCTCAGCAGCACTCGCCCAACCCACACACCGTCGTCCCGCTCACCCGCACACTCGCGACTCTCGTCCGCCACCTCGCGAGAGATGACCCCGCCAGCCTCGCGCGCGTCAATGATCGTGTTGACCATCTCGCTGTCAAACTCGGGGTGTCCTGCACTCCGAGGGGAACGCAGAATAAGAGTCATTTACGATGTGCGAAATTGCGCGGACCGGACCGACGGGAGACGCGAGCGCGAAAGAACAGGTAAAGGCAACCATGCTGGGCTTGACATCTAAAGGCATCTCGAGGGTGGGGGCACACTGCAACGCACCTTGGAGCGTCACGGCAGAGATGTTGGTGTGAGAGAACGGCGCAGAGGCGTCGGCGAGTCGGACCATGCCGTGGATCGCGCAGGCGGGTGTCGAGCCGAGCAACTCGAACGAGGGCGGGAGAGAGGGGACGTGGTCGCGGTGCATCTGGTGGACGGCCTGCAACGCAAACAGTCCCATCATCAGCAGTGCCCTTTCGAACGGGAGAGACGCTCGGGGTGACGCACAATCTCCCCTCGTCCCTCGAAAACCTCCCTCCCCCTCTCCGTCAACCCAATCCTCCGCGTCCCAATCTCCCACCCTTTCTCGTTCCTCTCCACGCTGGACCCGAACGCCCGCGCGATGATTTGGTGGCCGAAGCAGATGCCGATCAGTTTGAGCGAGGGGTTGAGAGTGGGGAGGGAGGAGGTGAAGGAGACGAGGTGCGTGATCCAGGGGAGGGGTTCGTAGGCTGAGGCGGCTGCGAACACAAGTGTGTCAGCGTCCTACTCGAACCCTACGAGAGGCAAATCGAGCGCACCACTACCCGTAATCAGCACCCCATCCGCACTCCGAACCTCCTCCTCACTCGGAAACTCGCCCCGCACAACATCGTAACTCTGCACCTCCAACTTCTTCGACTCCCGCGCTCCATTCGCACTCCCCTCCGCGCCTTGCTCAGCCTTTGCAACCTCGATAGACGACCTTAACAACCTGGCGAAGATCTGGTGGTAATCTCCACTGCGCTTGACGACCCTGCGGACACTCAAGACTCGGTTAGCACCTTCCATACAGTCTTTCGAAAGGAGAGGGCGAAGACGCGCGCGGGAAGAGGCGTGTCAGCGAGCAGGATCAGTAGTCGGAGGTTGCGAGGCGCGTGAGGGGGGAGGTCGAGGGTGGCGTGGCGGGGCGGGGTCTTGGTCGCTTCTGTCATCTGAAAGAGCTTGCTTGGGAGTGTTCACGAGCGGAATAAGCCTGGAAAGCTGTAGCGAATGAGATGGACGAGGTTGAAGGTGTTCGGAGAGGCGGTGCGTCGAGTTGGGTGTCGTCCTCACCCTCGCTCGTCGTGTGCGGCTTATCTTGCGGTCCCGAGCTGCTTTCAAGGGCTTTTCACGAGTCTGGGACGCGGTAGGCGGGTACCGGCAGCTGTGGGCTCGGCGAACGAGACCTCGTGGCGAGTGTTCTTTCGAGCGAGGCGATCAAGGTGTTCCTCTCGCTTTGACGGTGCAGTAATCGCTTAGACGGACTCAATAGGTGCGTACTACTCTCTACCGACCCGCGCGGCGCCCCAGAAGCGCGGCAGAGTCGCCGCTAACCTCCTTTGTCCTGCGCAGACCTCCCATCCCTCCCTAGACTCGCCCACCACCGCCTCCCTTTCTTCCTCCACACTCGTTACACACTCGTTTCGACACTCACTATGTCCCCATCCCCGCCCTCGACCTCCCTGCCCGCCTTGCACCCCCTCCCCTCTCCCTCCTCTCTCCTGGCACCCATCTCCTCACTCACAACCTTCCTCTCCCCCTCCTCCTCCGTCGTCGACCTCCGCCCGCCCGTCTCCTCCTACAACCCCTTGCAAGCCGAAGAAGAACAAGAAGCGGACGAGTTCGAAGCGCGATATGCGAAAGGGTGGTTGGAGAGGGTCGTTGCGCTTGGAGCGAGGCAGGATGCGAGAGGGGAGGAAGGGGAGGGGTGGGAGAGGGTGGTGGAGAGCGCGGCGAGGGTGTTGGCGGGGTTGTTGGGTCCTTCTGGTGCGTCCGGCACGCTGTATCGTCGCGAGCTTGAGGGAAAGCTGACCTTCTCCCGCGATGTTGCGCAGCCCAAGGCTCCGTGACGAAGACGTATCTCCTTCCTAGGGCGACTAGACACCTTGAGACCAAGCCATCCGAGACCAAGCCATCCATTCCATCTTTCCCCTATCCAAGTCCACCGCCAACTCGCCCCGCCTCGACAGTCCCTTTCGACCCTTCCCATCCTGTGCAACTTTTCCCACCTCCTACATCCTCCGACATAGCCCTCACGATCCGCGACGGCACGCTCGTAGAAGCCTCGACAGGCCACCGAACATGGGGCGCTGCGACTCTCTTCTCTCACCGCCTCGCCTCATCACCTTCGACCTTCCTTCCTCTCTCACCCTCCGATGAACGCCCGCTCCGAGTCCTCGAGCTGGGCAGCGGGACGGGATTGGTCGGACTTGCGACGGCGAAAGTACTGCAGGCGCTGGACGTCCCTGCGCGGGTTGTCCTTACCGACGGAGGCGACGAGCCGGATACGGTCCTTGCGAACCTGGGAGAGAACGTCGAGGCGAATTTTCCTCTGGCCGAGTCCGCCGACTCTTGCGTCAAAGTCGATGTCCAGCGACTGGATTGGCGGGACTACCTTCCCGCTTCTCTCTCGTCCGTCTCTCTCGCGCACTCGCATTCGCAAGCAGAACGCTACGACCTCCTCCTCGGCACCGACCTCGCCTACGAGCGCGGACAAGCGACGCTCCTCCACTCGGCCGTCGCAGGTCTCTTGCGCTTCCCCTCCCACTCTCTCGACCAAGTGAAGCCAGTCTTTTGGCTCACTATCGCCCTCCGACCGACTCACGCCGCAGAAATCGCAGAAGTCGACTCGCTCTTCCCCTCCTCCTCTTCCTCTCCCCTCGACCCATCGCTCAGCCGGCACTACGAAGGGAAAGCCTATCGCCTCGTCACTACTGCTACGGAGGAGATGGTCGGACCGGATGGGTTTGCGGGACGCGCGGTGAGAGGACGGATGGCGGCGAGGGGGGAGATGCGCTATAGGATTTATAAGGTCGAGTGGGAGGAAGTTGGGCGGGCTTAGAGGGTACGGTTTGAAAAGCCACATGCGGCGGTCCACCGTGTCGACCTTGTGCGAGGACTTGGTCGCGGCGGGAGACGAGGAGGATTCGGTGAACGAAGACGCCGGAGAGGAAAACGAGGCGGTAGTCTTCGAGGTCTTCTTGGACTGAACGGCGTTGAGCTTGAACTCGGCGGTTGATGCAGAGTCGGACGAAGAGGAGCCGCAGGGTACAACCCGCCAGAACTGCTTCGCAACCTCGAGCGACTCGGTGCCAGTCGGGTCCTCGCCAACCTTGCAAGCGTACGACACGGCGGCATAGTCGTGACCGTTCGTCTCGTCCCATTGCGCCGACATGCACTCGGTGAGACCGGTGAAGAGCACTGAGAGAAGAGAAGAGTTTGGTAGCGCAACTTCAGCTCAACCTCCGTAAGCACAACCCGGACCTGCTATGACTGCCAGGCTGGATGGTCGTAAGAAGCGGTTGCAGGGTCGTATGCTGGTGATGCTACAACGAAGACAGGAAAGCTGGGAGACGAAAGGAAAGATGCGGGACGAAGCGAAGCATGCGAAGCGGAAAACAAGGCAACAGGTGGGAGGAACCGAGGCGACTGAAAGACGAAGGGGGTAAGGTGGGTGTCGAGGAAGCATGCTGATGCTGGAAGACGCGGCGGCTGCGAGGCGGCTCAGTCAAGCTGGATGCCGAGACCGATGGATGCGGGTGCGGTCGAGTCGGACGGCCTGGGCGCCTGGGTCGCTCCGAAGTTGTAGCGTTCGTCGAAGCCTTCATACGCCGCGTTCGAAGTCGAGAAGTGACCGGTCGACGGAGGCGCAGGTGTTGGATAGGCTTGCGAGGAGGAGTAGGAAGTGACTTGCGACTCGGTCGAACGCCATTGCGAGACGGACGACTGGCGGTACTGCTGTGTCGTGTAGCCTTGAGCACCGTTCGAAGGTATGTCGAACTCGTAGCCCGGGACGGTAGAGTACGGCGTCGGCGGAAGATGTGCGGGGCGAGAAGGTCCGGCGCCGACTTCGTCGATCAGAGGAAGCTGGGAGTTCGCGTAAGGCGTCGAGCGGTGAGCCAAGGGGTAGGAGGCGGGCTGATGCTGGAGCTTGGGACGATGCGAGGCAGGCGACGGGTCGACGAGGTAGCCGGCGGAGAGGCGTTGGACCGGGTCGTGCGAGGTGGACTGCGCCCACGACGACGGCTGAAAGACGGCGCGCTGCATCGACGGGGTTGTCGAAAAGGCATGCACCGAGTCCGTCTGTGCATCGAAAGGCGCGGTGAACGGCTGCTGGTCGCGACGGCCTTCGACAAGCGACGCCGCTTCTCCGAGCAAGTCGATTGCTGAGTCCCGCCGACCCGTCGCTGCCTGCGAAGGATGCCACGAAGCCGGTGCGGCCGTTGTCGACGATGAACCGGCCCCAGCGAACGGGAGCGCATGCGTCCCCTGCGCAACGGCTCGCGAAAATCGGTGCGAGTGTGGGGCTCGGCTCGTGAAGGCGGGCTGCATCGCCGGCAGATGGCGCGGCGGATCATGCTGGACGGTCTGGAGGCGCGGGTCGTGCGAGACGTGCCGGTTGCGCGTGAAGGCGGACGCGCCCGTGCTGTACGGCGTCTGCGAGCTGTAGGCGTCGCTCTGGACTGACGACGACGTCGGGAAGCCAGTCGAAGGCCCAGTCACAGGATGACCCGGTTCAAGCGACGCATAAGAGGAAACCATGCGGCGGTGAACCGCCTGCTCCGCATGCGAAGCGACGTCACGGAGCTCTTTGACGGGGAACAGACTGTCGTTCGCGGCTGCGGCGACAGGCGGGCGGTCGTAAGAGGTCGAGCCATCGTGCACCGCGTACGAGAGCTGCGCTTCGAGCTGCGGGTAGTACGAGAGGTCGGCGCCGTTCCAGTCGTTACTGTCGACAAAGGCCGTTCCAAGAGGGGGCGACTTGTGCTGAGCCGGTGCTGCGGCGCCGTGAAGGGGAAAGTCGAAAGGGGTTCCGGCGCCGTCTCGCTGCGACAGAGGTGTGGTCGGAGTGTTGCTGTAGGTTGCGACGCGTGAGTCCGCCGCCTGTTCAAGAGAAGGAGACGAGACGCACGACTTGGAAGGCGCCGCGACAGCCTTGCCGCCCTTCGTCCACTTGGTCTTGCCCTTCCCGCCGCCCATCACTGCAGCCGGCTCAACGCCGCCGCCTGCCTCGCCAGCCGAACTCGCCACAGTGGCAGCCGCACGCTGCGCCTCCATTCTCTCCGCGTATGAGTTCATGTGCTCGTAGCTCTCGACGGCGGCGATGATCTCGCGCACGATAAAGTCGTCCTTGATCGGCCTGAGCGATGGGTGCAGCGTACCACGAGGCTGCGAGGGCGGACTGTCTTCCCTTGCGCGCGCCTCGAAGCGGTCGCGGTCGAGAACGGGCTCCCAGATGTCCCTCGTCGCCATCTGGGCGAACGAGAAGGCGTCGACCCAGCAACGGACGAGCTCTTGGGTGACACGGGTCGACTCGTCCGGGGTGAGGTTCGGATCGAGTACGCCGGCAACGGGGATGGGGTAGACGTCGGGCTGAGGAAAGACGGAGAGAAGGAGCAAGGGGAGGGTACCAGTCGGGACGCGGGAAAGGAAGAGACTGATTTTCGTCGGCGTAATGGGGAAAGGCGGGATGTCGACGGCTGGGTGTGCGCAGAAGGACGAGTAGCGGCTGCGCAGAACCGGAGAGTTAGCCCGTTCAATCGAAGGGATACGAAGCGGAAGGCGCCGCACTTCATGGCGAGGGAGAGCGCAGTCTGCTGTGAGCCGGTTTCGAGCGATTCGAGCGCCGTCGCTATCAAGTCTTCTGAGCGGATCTGCAATTGGGCATCTGCACGGGCGCAAGGTGAGCGACGCTCGCCCCGAAGATCTCAGACTAGAACTCACCTCGAGTCGCCTCTAGCCTTGCATGCTGCAGCACTTCCTCGCGGCGCTCGTAAAGCTCCATGACGGAGGGCATGGAAGGCGGGCGAAAGTCGGTCGCGACGCGAGGGAGATCCTTCGAAGACTGAGTGCGTGCTGCGCAACTCGACGATGGTCAGCTACAGCTCGTGCCGGCGAAGGCTATGGGACGCACCTGGAGGCCGCGATCGCGAGCGGTTGCTCATGGTCGGAGGCGCCTGCGTTTGCAGAGGAAGTCGCGCTGCTGCCGGTTTCGTCGGAGCCTTCTGTTTCGCCGGAGGACGCTTGCCCTTCGCCTTGCCATTCACCTTACTTTTCGCCGCCGGCACTTTGGGCTTCCGTCCACCGAAAATCTTCGACTTCGTCGCAGCAGGCGCCGGCTTGAAAGGGTCGAACTCGTCGTCTTCGCTCGGCTCGTCCGGCTCGTCCTGCTCGAGCTCGTCTTCCTCTTCCGTCTCGACGGTGACGAACTTCCGCTCGGTAGGCTTCGGCGAAGAGTGCAAAGGTGCGGGCGAAGATGTGGCGGCAGGCTCGCGCTCGTCGAGGTCGCTGAGGGAAGTGAGGGAAGAGTTGTCGGCAGGATCCTCGACTTCCGCCTTTGCCGCCGCTCCTGCAGGTGGCGCTTGTTCGTCACGCGCAAAGAGTCCTGCACGAGCCTTCTTGGCGACAGGCGCCTTGCTCTTCGCCGGCGCCTTTCCTCCCTTCTTCCCGACTCCCTTCTTCCCCTTCTGCTCGACCTGCTTCTTCTCCGCGACCGGTTCCACCGCCTCCCCGTCCGGCCCATCGTCCTGCTCGTCCATCGACATCCGTTTCCTCTTCCTGAGCGTGTAGATGCCCGGACTCGCGTCGAGCAGAGCAGCCGCTCGTCGCGCTGCCTCGTCGTCCACGTCGCCGCCTGCACCGGGCGCGGTTGCTGCACGCGCGTTCGTCGGAGAGGGCATCGAGGTACGCAAGTGGACAGGCGAGCGTGCGCGCGGGATGGCGGAGTGGGCGGAAGATGAGAGGGTGGGTCGATGTCAACGGTCTTGCGGCCTCGTCTCCGGCTATGTGGGTGTACTCGGTCGGCGAGGCTGACACTGCGCGTCTAGCTGGCTCGTCTAGCCTGTCTAGCGTGCGCAGCGAGCGAGCGGCGCGAGTTGGCAGAGTCTAAGGAGCTGAGCGCTGGAGTCGAGGCGGTGTGCTCCCCGCGAGCGCGTCGTTGGAGTCGTGCAAGCGTGCAATGAAGCGTAGCGGTCGTGACAGGCCCTGCGAGCTGTCCTGGGTCTTTTAAAGCGTGAGAAGAAGCGCTCCTCGCCTCGGGGACCCTCCTCACGACACGACCCCGCTTCCTCCTCCTCGTCCTGCCATGGAACCGCGAGTTCCGCATTACTGATCAGAACCTTGGCTCGAACCCCCGACATATGCGGACTGAGCGCAATGACTTGGAGGAACGTTGTCAACGGGACCGCGTCGAGGCGAGAGAGAGGTTGATTCTCAGCCAGCGAGCGCTTCGTGCAAGCTAGCTGCGAATCGAGACAGCAGCAAGCGTCCAGTCGGTGGCTACGATGGCACGCCCATACCGCCCTCAGTGGTGTGAGCGACGCCAGACCGCGTCGTCCTCGAAGTCCGCCCAGGCAGCTGCATCGCGCCTCAGCAGCCGGGACAGCTCATAGCGACTTTGAGCACACGCCAGCAGGCACCTCACGCTTCTCCAACGCCAGCGTGTGAAGAGGAGCAGAGCAAGCCTCGCATTCCGACCCCGCTCTCGTCGTCGGCCTTCGCAAAACAAAGCGTTGCGTTGCGTCGCGACACCGGTGCCAGTTCTGCCTTCTTTCGTCCTCTGGACGTGCAGCAGAATCGCGGTATGGAAGGAGAGCTCATTACAGAGCCTCGTAAGACCGAGATCCGGCCGAAGTGGAAGAGGAAGGGTACAGAGAGGAAGTCGGAAGAATCGATGTCGACGGCGCCAGGCCGGACGAGGAGTCAGAGCGGTCAAGACTTGTAAGAAAGGCGAAGGGCGGAAGAAGGGGAGAGGGCAGGAAGAGATGTGAGGCGAGAGAAGGCGAGGTCGAGGATTCGAAGGCGCTCAAGCGCTCAAGCCTTTGTGATGACCCATTGCTGCTCCTCCGCAGACTGCAGATCGAAACAGTCAGCAGACAGAGCTCGGAGTAAAGCTGGTCAACACACCTTGTCGTAGTCGGCCAGCTTGAGCGAGACGTAGCCGCCGAATGTGTCGATCCGGTTGGGCATGAGCGCCTTGGTCGCCATGTCGGTCAAGTGGTCGACAGCAACGATGCAGTACGTGTTGCTCGCGCGCTTCGTGAGGCTCGAGACCGACTCGGGCAGCGAGCGACGCTTAGACTGGTGCGAGGCTTGGTACTCGAGCAGGCGCTCACGGCACTCGATCTTGCCCGCCTTCCAGACGTAGTCGGGGTGACGAGCGAGCCATTTGCCGGTGTGGCCACACTTCCAAGTCGTGCGGTCGTGGGAGTTGATCTTCGAGCCGGACGACGCGACGGCGTTGATCTTGAGCTGCGGGTGCGACGCGAGGTACGACTTGAGCCGCTCCTCGCACTCGATCTTGCCGAGCTTGTAGACGTAGTCGGGGTGCTCGGCGAGCCAGGCGCCGGTATGGCGGCAGACCCAAGTGCGGCGGTCGTTCGGGTCGACCTTGTGCGAGGACTTGGTCGCGGCGGGAGACGAGGAGGATTCGGTGGTCGAAGACGCAGGGGAGGAGAACGAGGCGGTAGTCTTCGAGGTCTTGGACTGAACGGCGTTGAGCTTGAACTCGGCGGTTGACGCGGAGTCGGAGGAAGAGGAGCCGCAGGGCACGACTCGCCAGAACTGTTTCGCAACCTCGAGCGACTCGGTGCCAGTCGGGTCCTCGCCGACCTTGCAAGCGTACGACACGGCGGCATAGTCGTGGCCGTTACTCTCGTCCCATTGCGCCGACATGCACTTGGTGAGACCGGTGAAGAACGTGCCCTCCCAGTGCTCGTTCTTTCGCCCAGACTGGCCGTACTGCGAGTCGTGGCCGAGCGTGATGGGCGTCGGCGCGTCGCCTGTGACGAGGTTGGTCGTGTCCGAGTCGCGGTCGAAGAACAGGTATTTGCCCGTCGCAGCGTTTTTGACGTAGTAATCGCCGTCGAAGGTGTCGGCGGCGGCCTGGAGGTGCAATGGAGGCGTACGACGGACGGGTGAGCACGAGGTCCGTCAACACCGAGGAGTGCTGCTGCGCAGACACGAGAAAAGGTGAAGACGCACCGTGAGTTGCGTGAAAGCGGCCATGTTGTCGATGATGCCTTGTGCAGAGACCGACACGGCGGCCAGCGCAGCGAGAGCGAGAGAGGTCGAGACGAACATGGCGAGATGGGAGAACAAGGGATTCGGCGAGAGGCGAGGGCGAAGAGAGTGAACGAGCGTGGGTGGAGCGAGCTAGGTCGGTCGAGAGTGGGGAAGGATGGTTCAGCTGGTCGTCCTGCGAGGCTGAAGGCGAGAGAGCGAAGGTGGGAGGCGAGGGCAAGAGAAGCGTCCGTCGCCAAGATGAAGTAGCGCGCGCACAGACCTCTTAAGCGGGGTCAGGAGCCTTGGCCGCTCTGCTTGGATCGCCAAATACGGTTGGATCTCGAACGAATGCGGCTGCGCCGCGAAGGAAGTGTCACGGCGAGCAGGAAGGAAGGGCGAAGTCGAGAAGGAGCAAGTAGTCGACTCAATCGGCTCGCCCGTCCCCGAGGCGTGCCCCTTCGATCTGCAGACAGGGTTGTGGTGAAGCTGTTCGCGCCGAGTCTTCTCTTGCCTTTCGCGGACGGTGGTCGCAAAAGTAAGAGCGAGGACTCGAGGAGGCCGCAGAGGCAGAGGAACGAGCTAGCCACCGCTCTGCTGGCGGGAGCAGGCTGCGAGGCGTCGCAAAAGCACCATGCCAGCTCGCGAGGCGTGACCTTGTTCGCTGAAGCTGAATACTCAAGTCAAGCCAGCGACAAGGAAGCGCCTACTCCCGTCCTCCGCACCCCTTTCGCTTGATCAGCTGCGCGTGCTTCGTCCATAGTCGAGTCTGCGCCGTCAGAATCCACTATAGAAGCGCGGGCCGATTCCAGCGAATCCTTCGCCTCCAATGGGACCGCTCGCCTGTTCCTGCGCCGAGTGTGATACCAAGACGCCCTTGCACTCCAGGTAACCCTTCCGCCAAAAAAGCGAACGTTTGACCGTCCACATCCAGCACGTAGCCAGTCTGCACGAGCTGGCGAAATGATCGTAGACTGGTCGGGGCGAGATGAGAGCGACACAGCGAAACTGTGTCGTCAATCCGGGCAGGATGCAGCACCCGGCGTTCGGGCGTTCAAGTGTGCGTCTATTCTTGGTCTATTCGGGTCCCAGCGAGGCAGTCTGCGCCGGCACGATGCGTTGCGGAGGTTGCAGGGGCGTCGATTGATGAGAAAGAGAGGGGGAGAGAACCAAGTGAGGACGCAGCGAGGGCGGGTCGGCAGTGGTGCACTGGGTGACATAGCTCGGATAAGCACTTCCGAACGTCGTAATGCTCGCAAGATGAAGTGAGGAGGACGAGGGAGAGCCAGCTCTCTTCTCTTCCTCGTCGTCCCGCTCACTCCGCCGGCTCATAACGCTTCGTGAAGAAGCGTGGACAATCTTTCCCTTCTGACGGAAGACCATCCGGCTGGCCCGCCGCAAACCGACTCGCACCCCGTCAACTTGCCTCTCCCAATACCTTGCGCTGCATTCTGGCATCGCGGATGAGCAGGAGCCGAGGTGCTCTCTCGGTCGTCCAAGGTGGCGGACGAGTGAAAGGATTCTTGGCGAGGGCTCCGCTCGTCAGCGCGTCAGCCTTGAGCAGACGAGCGTGCTCCTGTCCGGCAGACGACCCTCGTCGTCTCGGGAGGATCGGAGGTTCTGTGGCTTGGTTTTCTCTGATCCGCTCTTCCTCTCCCCAGGCTACTCTGCACGAGCTGTCCCAACGCCGCTCAAAAAGACCGTCCGATCCCGGTCCGGCTTTCATTCGACGCGCTCTGGCCAACAGAACAGCCCATGCCGAAAGGACTGTCATACCCGAGCTTCGAGCGGGCTGTCGGCGAGCTCTGCCCAGGAGGTCGCTCGAGTCTTGCGTACACGAATCAGGGTCGCCTCTGGAAGGACGGGTTCTTCTCCGTTGCGAGCAAAACCTGGTTCCTGGCCTTGAGCCGGGCGCCTGACTTTGGAGCACGCTCAGAAGATATCAGAGCACGACTCAAGTCGGACCGGCTCCATGTTCAGCGGGTCGCGGACTCGGTTGTCGACGAGCCGGACGGTCTGACCTTTGCCCTCTTTGCGGAAACGCTGGTGCGTCAACCTTTCTTTGGATTCCCACCTACTAAGCAGCTGACTGACGAGAATTTGGGCGCAGATTGGCAAGAAGGCGTACGATCAAGCAGTCGGCGTTGGGGAGGAGAAGGACGACCCGCAACGTTTGGGCATCGAGTACGGCAAACTGATCACGGATGCAGCGGTAGGGGTGCGTCATCAGTAACGCCTCATAGGAGATCAGGGTGTCGACTTCTGACCGATCGAATCGCAGCCCACCAGCAACCAGCTGGACTCGAACCTCTCTGCGATGCGAAGCCTCGCGGAGGCGGACGGCCATGATTGGTACCATGCAACCTGGCCGGAGCTGCAGGATAAATGGATCTACTTGTCCTCAACTCAACGCTCCTTCGTCATCCGGCGCTGCCAACATGCGCTTAAGCACCTCGACACGTACAAGTTCGTCGACAAATTGTCCACTCAAGAGCTCGTCCGCCATCTGGTTTGTCTTGGTTACTCTCTTCTGTGGCTCTTTGCTGACTTGAGTGCTCTCAGCCTACTGCAGCAACACTGCTCGGTGCCGTGCGACTGTTCTCGAGAATCTCGATGGCAGCTCTTGCTGAAGCACCGTCGCTTTTCCCGCAGTGGCCGCTCATCGAGAAGCACGACAGGCTGCATGACTGTCCGACCTGTGCGGCAGAATATGCACACATTCAGGCGCGTGATCGTGCTCTTTCCTCCCCTCCTTGAACCTGTTCTGACGATGTCACGCACAGCAGCACGCCCTCGGCCATCCCACCTCCTCTCGCTTCTTTCCGCGAGCTCGTTCAGCTGCAGCGAGGCAGATGCGAGCCTTCTGAGCTCTCAACACCTCCGCCAAGGCTTGACCTTCCCATTCTCATTCTCCTTCCTCCTCCTTCCTGCACCGTTCTCTCGGCCAACATTCAGTAGACTCTGACAGTTCAGTAGAGTGTTGCGCAAGACGAGCTGGACACGAGAGGCGGAGCCGTGCGAAGCGAAACACCGAATGAGAAGAGAAAGCGAGAAAAGAAAGCTTAGATGTCTGGCAGCGGCATCAAGAGCAAGCAGCACTCTTCTATAGCTTGCTCGCAAAACGACGGATGCGGAGTGAGATAGCCAACGGTGGTTTCACTGGCCAAGCCTCTATCGTTACTTTGCGTGGGCAGGAAGCAGGTCAGTAAGAGAGCTTCCGGCATCTCTGCCTGGCCGAACTCGTCAATATTCTTCACCTCGAGCGTAGGCGGGAGCGGCTGGCGAAGCCTTTTGGCGATATCGAGGCGTTGCGGAGCGAGGAGTGCAGCTGCGGCGGAGAAGAGCGGGAACCAGCTTCAGTTCCGCAAAGCGCCTCGGCCCGCTACGAACAGATGCTCTGAGCGCAGACCCTGCGCACGCCGGCCTTCCTTGGCGACACTCTTCTTGATGGAGATCTGGCGCTGCGTCCGGGCCGCTGAGGTCGACAATTCCTGTCTCCTCAACCCCTCGGCACAAGCTCGTCCATCTGTAAGCGTCTCGAACACATAGCATGATCCCGCATGCAGCGGCGAGACGGAGGGAGGCGGATCGAAGCATGAGGTGCGATGGCACGAGTGCAGTCGGCAGCTGCCGGATTCCCCGATGCAGACTGGTGGCCTGCCGCTTTGACGGCTTTTGCAGCTCCGGATAGGCGCGTCGAGCTGACTCGAGGCGTTGCCGAGGTAGTGAGGCTGTTGGCTGATGAGGAAGCGAGGGGGAGAGAACGAAGTGAGGACGCTGCGAGGGCGGGTCAGCAGGGGTGCACTGGCTGGAACAGCTCGGATTAGCAGCGTCGAATGTCGTCGAGCTCGCCAGACGCTGTAATGGGTAACGAGGGAGAGCCAACTTCGTCGACTCGCTCTCTCCCTCGTACCGCTCACTCAGCAGACTCATGCGGGCTCGCTGTGGTCCTGTCAGACCTGCAGGACTCAGTTCGACTGCAAGTCGCAGGCACGCATGCTCGCTGGCCGTCCCGACGCCTGTTTTCTGCCCTCGCCCGCTCCGCAACGTCTCCCCTCTCCACCGATTCTCTTTCGGCCGCACAGCGCGGGTTACCGTCCTCCGGTCGGCAGCGCTTTGTGAGAGCTTTCGAGCCGGCGGGCAAAGAAGAGCGAGCGCGCGGAGCGCCAGGATTGACGAGCTCCTCTTCTCGAGGTCCACGGACAATCCGGAGATGGTGAGCACTGGGCGTGCGCCTCCTCGGCTCGTTTCTGTTCCTCTTGCGCTCTCGCTCAGCGGCCAATCCTTAGCGCGCGCCGCACAGCTCGAAGTCGACCGGCTCCGCTCCCGATTCTTCCTTCGCTCGACTCGCAGCGCTCCATGTCGAACCGTCTCAGCTACGCGAGCCTCCAGAGCCACGTAGGCGCGTTATTGACGACAGGCCGTACACACTTTGGCAAGACGTCCCATGGCAGAGACTGGAAGGACGGGGTGTTCTCGGCCGCGACGGAGGCCTGGTTCGAAGTTCTGGCACAGCAGGACGACTTCCTTGCTCGGTCGGCCAACATCAGAGCTCGGTTTACACGCGACAAAGAGAGAGTCTCTTTCCTGGGGAGCGACGTAACCTTCGCCCTTCTGGCGGAGACGTTGGCAAGTCGAGCCTTTCCCTTCGCTGACCTACCAGAGGTCAAGGCTGATGGCAGCCATTCCGTAGCTTGGCACAGAAGTTTACAACCAGGCAATCAGTGGCGGAAACGAGAAGGACGACCCGTGGCATCTTGGAGGGGCATATGGCGCGGTTCTCGTTGACGCAGGAACCGGTGTACGCACGTTCCGTCGCTGCTCAGAGTAGCCCACAATCCAATCCACTGATTACCCCACAAATCGCAGTGTACACTCCAGCAGCTCACCAGAGAACTCGCGGGGATGCGGAACCTTGCAGGGGTGGACGGTGTTAAGCGATACGCCGCAACTCTGCAGGCGCTGACGCACGCCTGGCCATATCTGTCCTCGAGGCGGCGCCATGTCGTGTAACTGCGCTGCAGGCACGCACTCGAGCACCTGACGGACTACAAGAACAAGCGAGGCGTCTCGACGGCTGTCCTCGCCGAACACACGGTGCGCTTCCTTCGGCATCCTCGACGGCTTGTGACTCACCGCACTAGACCAGCCCGACGCAAAGACGCTACTGAATCATGTACGGATTTCGTCCCTCCAGCTCTTCTAACGCCCTTCTTCGAGACTTGCTTACCTCGTCTGCTCGTCAAGCAGGCGCCGCTCATTGCCGATCACGATGGCGTGCTCAAGTGCGCCACTTGCGCAGCTGAGCGCGGCATCGTCCCGGCGCGTCCGTTCTCTCGTTTCCTCTCCTTGATCTCGTCTAACCTGGACGCCTCGCAGCATTCGCTGGCTCATTCCGCCGCGTCCCCCTTCTTCCCTCGATCCCGCACCACCGCAGCGAGAGAGATGCGGGCGTTCTGAGCCCCGGAGCTGTCGGATCGTCTCCACGCGGTCCACCTTCTCATACTCCCGTCGTTCTTCGTCCCCTCCACCCTGCCTTTGTGCTCCTCGACTTTCTTATGCGAGTAGATTCCGTTGCATCCGCATCTTTGCCCGTACAATGCCACATAGCCATGAGTCGGCAGCGACAAGCATAATGAGGACGGTCAAGCGGGATGAGGAGGCCATCGTGGCGAGCGCGGGCGCTGAGAGCATATCGAGAGAGATCCAGCGGTGACACACAGGTTGTCCAGCGGGCCCCAGCGAGCGTGTGAGGCGAGGTAAAGGGTCGAAAGCGACGCACGACGAGGGTCGCGTGCCGACGCGAACACGATCACAAACGAGCGACGACCAACTCGCCTTTGTCTCCCTCTCACACCTCGCTTCGCTCCCGACTCTTGCTTACCGTGACCAGCGTGTGCTGCTGCGACCGCCTGAACCACCCAAGCAGCCGCGCCAACTCTCACTCCCGCCCGCGCAATCCTCATCACATCCCCGCCGACAAGCCATCTCTCGCAGCCCAAACACCCGCACAGACATGTCCTTCTTCGAACCGCACGCTCAGTCGCACGGCTCGCATTCGCACAAGGCCAAATTCCGCCCGGGAAAGGCGCCTGCACCAGCCCATGCGCGGACAGAGATGAAGCGAACGGCATCGCTCGTCTCGCTCCCTTCGCCGCCTGCAGAGGGCGCAGCATACGACGAGGACGGGATGGATGTGGATGGAGGGATCGAGGACGCGCCCAGGCGCAGCCCGCTCGTGCAGGCGAGGGGTTTCGACCAGGATGACGAGGAGGTCGACCAGCTTGATTCGGACCTCGAGGAGGACGACGACGCGTCCAAACCCCCTCCGTCGAAGCGTATATGCCTCCTCGGCTCGCCCGCCAACTTCTTGGGTGGACCAGCGGCCGGACCTGCGTCCCGCAAGCAGCTTCTCAACCCTTTCCTCCCCGGCGCGGCTTCATCCTCCTCGTTCGCTTCGCACGCCGGCGCTCCTCCTTCCCCCTCTGCTTCGCCCGTCCGACCGCCCCACGCTTCCCCCTCGAGGCGCCGCCACCGTCCTGACCCAGACCGCATCAAACTCGCTACGACTCCCCCGCCCAAGACGCGTGCAGAGCTCGAGAAGCAGGCGCAGGAGGAGAAGAAGCAACAGATGGGCTGGTTCGACGAGGACAACCCGTTTGTCGAGCGAGATGGCGAGATGGCGAGGAGGTTGAAGGACAGGCAGCCGCTCAAGAGGCCCGAGACGATTACCTACGTCAAGTGCGCCCCCTTATCTCTCTCAGACCTGCTCTTCAGACGACTGACGCTTTGCTTCACTTGCAGGCGCGGCCAGCGAGTTCAGACTACGATCCCCTTCTCCGCCCTCCTCACCTCCACCTCACCCTCCGAAGACCCCTTCACCTTCACGACGCCCAAACTCCTCTTCCCTCCTCGCGACCCGCCCTCCCCGACTCCAGAAGACTCGACGCACCCGTCGACCCCTCCGAAGCAGAGCAAGTTCCTTGAAGCCCTGCGCAATGCGGGAAAGCCGGACGAGGCGAAAGAGGGAAGGAAGGAGGCGTTGCCCCCGACGCCAGCGACGTTGAAGAGGCGTGCGCCTGGCGGAACGGCGGCGGCGGACGAGGCGAGCAGGTATGGGCCTTACAAGCGGATGAGGGGGCTGGAGATGGCGGGTGTGGGCGCGAAGAGGGGGTTGAGGTAGTCGTGCGGCGACGGTCACGAAGGAGACGCTTAGCAGGCAGGCGGCGGCGCATCTTACGATCCTCTCTCTCTCGTCTTGTATCTTCCCAAACTCTCACTCTCTTGCTTACGAACCACAAGTCTTGTACATCGCCTCTCATTCTTGCATCCTAACACGACACGTCCCCCTTCTTTGTTGGCAGTACCGCGCCCTTTTCCTCATCTCAGCATCGTACAAACCCGCGCGCAATCCAAGAACCCGTTCTCCACCGCGCCCTCCTCGGGCTACCGCCTCTTCTCCCTCCTCGCGCGCTTCTTCTCCAACGCATGTTCCCTCCACCCCTCCGCCAGCACAGAAAGCGGCACAACCCTCGTCCCCCTCACAGGACACCTTCTCACGCTCCAGCCTTTCTCAATCGCGACGGGCTCGTTTGTCGAGGGGAGGTAGAGGCCGCGGATGCCGTTTTGGTCGGCCCAGGCGACGGGCGTGGCGCGCAGGGAGTGCCGGTGGAGGGGGTGAAGGTCGAGGATCAGGGTGGCGAAGTAGAAGGCGACGCTGAGGAACGAGAAAGCGCGAGTCAGCCACGCGCTTTCCGAGTCCTCAACGCGTCGGAGAGGCGAGGAGAAAAGGTACCCAAAGCAAGCGACCCATTGACAGATTGCAGAAGCGGCTGTTCGCGAAGTGAGGGCGTTCAGCTGAAATCCGCGTACACTGGTTCGCAGGACTCACTAATAATGCGGTAACACTTTGGCCAAGGTTCGTGTCGAGCGTCGTCGCTGCAGGCGATATCGAGGAAGACGAACGAGAGGCCTGCGGCGGAGGAGAGTGAGAGGATGATCCACTTGAGAATCGTGCCATCGCGCAAGTCGTGTCGGTCGGGGCTGCGAAGGAGGGTATCAGTACGGGAGGGACGGTCAGAAAGAGAGAAGACTGACTGCTCGTGCCAGAGGTGCTCGACTTCGACCGTTTGAAGGATCCCGCTCAAGGTCACGCAGACGATGAACATGATCTGGCCGAGTTGAAATCAGCTCCGAGTAGCGCGAGCTTTGACGATAGTTAGACTCACGGAGAAGGCGTTGTGCGGAACGGCGCTGTTCTGCGGATCGAAAGCGGCGAGCAGAACGAGCGCGAATGCCGCAAGTCCACCGACCGTCACGTCCAGCCCCGAGATGGCCGCCCATAGCAACTTCTCCTCCTTTGCTTCCATCGTCACCCGCATCGTACGGAGGAAGCGCTCGGCGAGGAGGGAGAGGAAGTAGAATATGGCGGTCGCGATTGAGCCGGGGACGAGGATGTTCTGATGGCAGGCTGCGATAGCTGAGAAGTACGGGACAAGTCCTTGTGTCGAATCGTACGCTGCTCGATGGTCGACGAAAATCCAGGTGAGGAGGAGCTGTCGGGGAACGAAGTCAGCGCGAGAAAGTGCGTCAGACAACGCTCGAACGCACCGCTAAAAGGGTGCCCGCCCACGCCAGAGTTGCGAGCACGGGGAGACTACTAAGGAAGACACTCGTCCAGGCTGGAAGGGAGTCGGGCGGGTGATTGAGCGCTTGCTGGATAGCGAGAGCATCGCGTTGAAGCGAACGTGTGCGACTGGTGTCCCCCTCGCCGCTAGAGAGGCTCTCGTCGCCATCGACTGCTCGATACGACGGCGGTCGAGAGCTCATCGCAGCGTGTGGAGCGAAGAGAGAAAAGAGGAGCGATTGAGCGGAAGGTCGACCGGAATATCCGCGGATGCCGTTGCGACGCCTGGGACAGATCGCATTGAGACGCACGCCTGTAAGCTCCGTACATTGTCCTTGCAGCCCTCGAAAAAGCCGGTAGACGCGCAGCAACCCTGAAGAGAGCTGCCGGGCGAGAACAAAGTCAGGAAGGTCGCGAATTCTTTACGACTCCCTCCCGCACTCGTCCAGCACCTTGGCCAGCTGTGAGGCAGCTAGGAACCCCAAGGAAGTGCGCAGGAGCTGATGTCGTCCCTCGGGAAGTGAGAGGACGAGCCTGCGTTGCTGACGACCCGCTAGTCTCCGCCGTCCGCGACCAAGTCCTTTCCGCTCAACTCGTCCGCATCGTCCCTGTCCTCCGCCTCGTCCCAGCTCAACAGCGCATCCATCGCTTCGCGGTAACGCTCGACCTTCCAGAAGTCGGCGAGTCGCAGGCTCATGAGGTCGAAAGCGGTCGCAACAATTGGTCGGTGCGCTTCGCCGTCTGTCGCGAAGGCGGAAGGAGGCGGGAGCTTCGGGTAGCGCGCGGAAAAGTGAGTGAGGAGGAGGTGTCGAGCGCGCATGCTGCGGCAAGATCGTGTCAGCAGCCGAAAGCGTGGACGAAGGCGAGGGACTGGACGAACCGAGTTGCGACGTCGATAGCCTGGCCGAACGTGCTGTGGCCCTTCGCCTCGGCGACTTCGGGCATGTCGTCTTCGATTGTTGCTTCGTGGACAAGGAGCGATGCGCCTTGACCCGCTTCGACAAGCGCGTCGCAAGGCATCGTGTCGCCGGAGAAGCTGCGTGAATGGCAATGTCAGCGTTCGAGAAGGTGCACCGGGTCGCCTTCCATGCGCACACTGCTCGCCAGCCAGACTCGTGCGTTACGACGGCGCCCCAGGCTCGGCAGCGATGTTTGACCGGGACGGCTGTTACCGTGAGACCCAGTCGCGTCTTCAGATCGTACATGGCAGCCTCACTGCAATGCGAGAGTCAGCGGGAGTTGAGAAGACCACGGACTGAGGGGGCTCACGCCTGAGACTCTTCGTAAGGTGCCCGTCCAGGCTCGATGCTGTAGTTGTCGACGAAGCGGATTGGTCCTTCCCGCTCGAGACCGAGGTTGAACAGCTGATCTTGCTCTCGCAGGTAGATCATGGCGCTCGCCGGTCCGACAATCGTCAAAGGCGACTTGGGCGGCGGGTCGAGCTGTCGAAGGCCGAAGGGTCAGTGAGGACTTTCAATGAGCGTCTAGTTCCTCCTACTCGCCTGAGCGCGCTGCTTGAGTATCGTTGGTATGCCGGCGTGGTGATCCTGGTGCATGTGGCTCAGGAAGATGACTTGCAAGTTCCGCAAGACATCCTCCTTGCTGTCTTCCCCGCGGCTGGAGTCGCCGTCTCCGAACCGTCGAGCGATCTGGCCCCACGTTCCCTCTCCTCCGTCAAACAGGATGTACTGCGTTCGCTCATCGGCTGGCGTCGGCGGAACATGGAGCAGCGTGCCGCTGACGTTGCGGTACTTGCTTGGTACCGCACTGCCGGTTCCGAGCGCGGTCACCACGAGGCTTAGTTCCAACGCGGGTGTCGACGAGTCGACTGGGCGAGATGCGCGCTCGACCGACTCTGCCTCCACGACTTGTCGGGCCGCCTTCGCCTTGGCGACGAAGTCCTCCCAAGCGGCTGCCGCTTTCGCGAGGGTCTCCTCCGACTTGTGCAAGCCCTTCAGCTGAGCAGCTTCCGCGTCGGCCTGAGGCGAAGGCACGTGGAAGTCAAAGTTGCGGAGTGCGAAGTTGTTGCCGAAAGGCGTCTTGCCCTCTTCGGCGGGAACGAGCGCGGACGAGAAGTGCGAGTTGGATACGAGGGGAGTGAGGCCGGTCGGCAGGTTCGGGAGAGAGGCGAGGGCGTCAGGCGTGAGGAAGGAGTAGTGCGGAAGTCGAAACATGTCTTCGTCGACATGTCGGAGACGAAGGTTGAGAAGCGCGGAAGGCCCGTAGACGACCTCGTTCTTGCCTTGCTTGACAAAGTCGGCGGACGAGACGTGCATGGCGATATCTGGGAACGATTCTCGGAGGGCCGAGACGTAGGAAGTGAAGGCGGGTTCTGCCAGGACGTCCGGACCAAGGAAGAAGAAGACGCCGCGCAAAGTCGCGCTCCCGCCGAGGCTGTCGCGGTCGAGAAGGCTCGGACGGAGGAGATCGGCGAGAGAAGCGAGATACGCTGGCGAAGGGACGTTGACGACGAGAAAGGCCTGTCGAGATGACGCCGTCAGTTCAGAGCAGGAAAACGCGAGACTGGTAGGTGGACGCACGGCACCATCGACACTCGGACCCACGCATTCCTCCGGCGTGACCCACCGCCCGTCTCCCTCGCCTTCTTGAAGTTTTGCGCGCTCCTCAAAGGCCTTCTTCAATCTCGCCTTCTTCTCCTTCTTCGTTTCTGCCTTTCCCGGTGGCAGAACCGACTCGTCGACCGGCTTTGCTCGCGCCCACACCTTCTCACCCGCTACTAGCCGAGCAAAGTCCTTGCCCGGCTCGACGCCAAGCGCAATCGCCTTCTCCGGCTGGAACTTGCCGCGGAACTTTGGGCCGACGACGAGGTAGCTGTTTGTTGCTGGCTTGAAAGCGCGAGGGAGAGAGGGGAGTGACTTTTGCCGGTAGGCAGGGCCGGGGAGGTGGCGACCGGAAGGCGTGGTGGTAGGGAGGGGGGCAGGCGCGGGTTCGAAGGCAGTCCCTCGGAACATGTCGCGGATGACGAGGTTCCGCCACCGCACGGCATTCGCACCTTGCAATCTTGCTGGGTTGAAGTTCTCGGCAGCCGTGTCGAAAGAGGGGCTCGGGCTGCGTCGAGGCGAGGTACGTCGAGGTGACTTGGCGGGAGGAGGCGGAGAGACGGAGAGTGAGGAGCGTCTTCGCTTCAGCGACGCGCTACCGTCGTCGTCCCCGTTCATTTGGGCGGCAGAGTCGTTCGGCGCTAGGGCAGGGGGAGGAGGAGCGGCAGAGGGGGTTAAGGGAAAGCCGTAGACGACGAGATTCGCGTCCGCGTGAATCGGGTCGGGCAGGCTAGGCGAAGACTCGTGGTCTTTGACTGCGGGAGGCACCGACTCGACCTTGAGAGAAAGCCGATCACTGTTCGAGAGAGTGTGAGCGAAGGAGGGGAACTGAGGGAGTCGTCCAAACGCACCGTCTTGTGAAGAACCTGCAACTCGCCAAGAAGTGATCTGTTCCCCTCGGCCCGTGTACTACCATCTTGTCGTTCCCGCCCTCGACACTGCTCAGAATCAGCCCGGGCAGACCGGCACTCTGCGCGAGGTCTCCCAGGAAGACATGTCCGACCTTCTTCAAACCCACCTTGTTCGACAGCGCGACGCGTGAGACTGCTTCGGGCGTGTTGAAGAGGTATCGCTGGCTGTCGAACGTGACGAGGAGAGAGGGTGCCGAGTCGACGGTGTCTGTTGTGAGTACGCTGATGGTGTAGCGCGTTCCCGACGGGGCCGCCTGTGTCATCCTGGATGCTTGTGGAGGGTGACCTGGCGACAGGAGGACCGCTTTGGTCGTGGAGAGCGAGCGAATGGCCGTCGAAAGGGAGAGGGAGGGAGGCGGTGAAGTCGTGGGGCAAAGCAGCCCACTGGCCGCGCGAAGGAGTCGCTGAATCGTGCTGGGCGGTCAAATCGGCTCCTGCGAACAGATCGAGCTTGTCAGCGCGGCCGCTCAAGCCGTGGAAGCCCTTCATCGCCCTCGTCGTGCCCTTCCTCAAAAAAGTCCGGGCGTGCGCAACAGCAATCGGTACCGCTGGTGAGCCACACCCGGACAGAGATATCGCGTAACAGGCCCACTAAGCACTGTCCGACCCGCCGCGAGCAGGAGGGGACTCACCACGATTCGCCAAAGTCGCTTCGAGATGCTCGACAGTCTATCCGCCCTGATTGACTCCGTGAGACCCAGGCCGAGTCGCGAAATCGTCTAGAGTCCTTCAGGAACGAGCTAGGCAAGCGAAAGCCAAGTCTAGCGAGGTTGCGGGGATGTCGAGAGAACGAAGGTCTCGCGAGAGATGCGAGAAGTGTCGCGAGTCGACATCTGCTCTTTCTGCTCCTGCGGGCTTCCTTGACGATGAGAAGTATCGTAGGGACCGCCTTCCATGACCCCTTTGCGAAACGGAGGCGGGGAGGTGCGCGACGACGGAGCGAAACGATAGCAATGCGTGATGGTGCAAGGTGAACAGGTCGTGCGAAAGGAATGACATGTACGGTTGCGAACACGCAAGTAGCCGAAGAATCGAAGGCGCCCATCGACCCTCACCACCCAGGCCAGTCGTCCTCCGCCTCCTCCCTCGCCTTCTCCGTCTCGCTCGCCTTCCCTTTCTCCGATCTCCGCCCATCTTCAGGCGTTCGCTCCTTCCCGTTACCCGCAAGATGTCCGGCCTGCTCAGCCACTCCCTCCATCGACGAACTTGCAGGTAGGAACGCGCTCCAGTCCCATCCGGCTTGCCCTTGCCCAGTCGAGGCGGACGACGCGTCAGCGAAGGTGCTGGCAGTAGGTGTCTTGTCGGGGTTCGACGAAGCTGGAGGGGGAGGGGAGATGGCATGCGAGGAGGAGACGGCGGAGGAGAGCGAGGCGAACATGCTGGAGAGGCCCTGACCTGGGACGGCGCCGAAGTTAGGCAGAGATTGGCCAGTGGAGCGCTGCTGCAGATTTGGCGAACGCGAAGATGCCGACCGCTGTCGCGTTGACGACGCTTTCTCACCCGCCGAGTCGTCACTGAGGAAAGGGCTCGGCGCATCCTCCTTCGTCGACCGCCGCTCGTCCCGCCCCTCCCCCTCGATAGGCGGCAACTCCAACGGTCCAAGTGCCTGCGCCAAGCCCTGTTCGAAAGTATCAACCAAACCCATCGTCGCTCGCTTTGAGTTCTGCACGACTTCGGACGAGGAGAGTTGTGCCCACTTTGAAGAGAGCGAGGAGGAAAGGAGGGAGAGAGAAGAGCGGGTGCGTGCGTGGGTCGGTGAGGTAGAGGGAGAGGAGGTGGAGGGCGGGGCGGAGAAAAGGCGGGAGGAGCGTGAGAGGGTGGGCGAGGAGGATGTTCGAGGCGGCACAAGACGAGCATGCGACGAGATCGTCTCGGCATCCCTCGTCTGCGTCTGCGAAGTTGACGCTGCCGCCGAGCCGTCCATTGAAGGGCGGTCCCGCCGCTCTCCCTTCTCCCCTTCTTCCCCCTCCTCTTCCTCCTCCTCTCTGACGATGCCCAATCCTCTCGCCTCCTGCTGCCCCTGCGCATGCCCGTTTATCCCGTCCATACCCGTCGGCATACCCACTGCAACCTCCAACACCCTCCCCAGCGCCCCACCAATCCAGGTCCCCGCAGCCTTCACACTCTCCGGAATCTCGATCGGCGTGTTAGACTCTCCTTCGCCGTCGGGCGGTGCGTCGAATGTGGAAGAGAGGAGGGAGAGGTCGAGTGAGTGTGTTGGTGGGAGGCTCGAGTGAGGTCGGGGAGTTGGGGAGGTGTTCGGCGAGCCGGAGGAGGAGATGGAGGGGTGGGCGCGGTGGGCGGAGGAAGTGCTGGAGGAGGAGGTGTAGGCTTGTTGCTGTAGCGAGCGGGCGACAATAGACTCCCACTTCTTCTTGAGCAATGCGAGTTCGGACTCGTGCCGCTTGAGTTCTGCGTACATGTCTCGCGGTTAGGATCGGCGCTCGAACATCAAGGAAGCAGGGCCGGACTGCTACGATTGAGCGGCACGCACCTTCACGCAAATCGAGACACTTCCGCTCCTTCTTGGCAATGAAGCTGAGCAAGTCCGCATTCTGCTCGACGAGCGTCGCCTGCGTCAACATCCCTCCTCCGCCCGCACTTGTACCCGCACTGGGCGTCGTCGCAGCGCTTCGAGTGAGTTTAGGAGAAGTCGATAGATCGTCCGCGTGTGAGGAGGCAGTCGTAGACGAGGAGATGGACGCGCGGTGTAGTGATCCAGCCGGCTCGAGGTCATCTTCCTCTTGCACACCCGGGAGAGGAGAGGTGGAGTCGAACGATCGTCGCGGGAGGGATGAGCTCGCCTCTGCGCCAATATTCTGCGAGGGCGGAACGAGGCGCGACGATTCGGGCGAGACCATGTCCGCTGACGCGCTCGTCGTGTACGAGATACTCGCTCCTCGTCGGCCGTGGCCAATTGAAGGTGTTCGTCGGACGGGCGTAGTCGAGCCGGAGTTTGATTCGGCGGGAGGAAGAGGGGATGTTGAGCGGCGGAGGGAAGTCGACCGACGTAGGAGGGTTGGGGAGTCGGCGCGGTAAGAGTCTGCTTCGTTTGTGTCGGACGACGACCCGAGTGCAGAGGTCGAAGACGGCGAAGAGACGTAGTTCCCGTCACCGTTGCCGAACAACGACCCTCCCGCTGTCCCTGCTCGCAATGCCCGCGCATCGCTTGACCCGCCGCTCCTCCCGATGGATCTCGCGAGTGATGGACTCGTCGCTGGCGAGTGTGCAGACGAAGGCGATGCCGACGAGAGCGAGGGAGAGAGGGAGGAGCCGAGCGAGAGGCGCTTGAGGTGTCGTCCGCCTGATCGCGACGAGCCGAGAGGCGTGCTAGAGAGAGTGGACGAGTCTGCCATCACCTGAGGGTCCGTCTCGTGTCACCAGGTGTCTCTGTGAGAGTATCGAGAGGGGGTTCGTGTGTCGGGCTGATGAGGGTGAAGAGTCGCGAGTGGTTCGCCCGTTTCGCAGGCAAGGCTAGTCCGGTCCAGCAGTGTCAGCAGAATGTGCAGCAGTCGCTCGTGAGCCACTCTGAGCTGTGTGAGAGCGTGGTCGATGCCATCCATTTGTACGCGTCTCGGTCGCGTCCTCGCCAACTCTCCCTCCCTCTCTCTCGCCACTTCCACGCTCATTCGCACGGCTTACGAGGCAGACTACGCTCAATCTAGGACGCTCGTTCGACGCTAGACAGACAAGGACTCGAACCAGCTCGCGCGGCGCTCTCCTCGCTGCACTCTCAGGGGACGCGATGGGGCGACCATTCAACAAGTTCTCGCGCGGCAGAGGCGGAGGCGGGCAGTCCAGCGGGCGCAGTGGAGGCTCATGGCGCGGTAGACGCGGTGGAGGACGCGGCGGAGGAGCTGCAGGCGCCGGACAGCTCAAGACGGTCACGGAGGGGACGAAGGACGACGACCGCATTGAAGACGCGCGCGTTTGGGACGAGCTGGATCACAAGCTTGGGTTTGCCAAGTTCCAGGAGGGAGCGAAGAGGCAGGGCTGGCTGGTCAACATGAAGGAGGTGCGTTTCCGCTTCCTCAGTCCTTCGCGGCGAGTGCTCGTACTCGAGGGCGGGCCCGCGTTCTGACTGCGAATCTGGTTTCACGCACAGACCCTCGTACCCGACGAGACGAAGACGTCGGCGCGCGCAGGCGTCGACTACTACTTCATCCAGGACGACGGCGGGATGTTCAAGGCGACTCTCGCTTACGAGCCGTATTTCTACATCGCGACAAGGGTGATTAGCACTCTTTCATCATCCTAACGACGCTGCTGACCGACGCTCACCACGCAGAGCGGCTACGAAGGCGTCGTCGAGGAATGGCTGATGCGCAAGTACGAAGACTTGATCACCAAGGTCTCGCGCGTCCGGAAAGAGGATCTCAAGCTCGTGCGTCATGATCCTTCTGCTAGCGGAAGCGTCGGACTGACAATCTCGCCCACAGCCGAACCACCTGATGGGCTACCGCCGCGACTATATCTCCCTCTCCTTCCGGAACCAAACCGACCTCTTCACCGTCCGTCGGGACCTCCTCCCTCTCGCAACGAAAAACCGCGAGATGCTCGACGCGGTAGACACGTATGCCGAAGTTGTCGCGGGCGAGCAGAAGTTTGGGCAGGTCGGGATGGAGTATGATATGGAGGACGGGTTCGGGGGAGAGGGGTTCGTGAAAAATGTGGGAGGGGCGGGAGGGAAGGGCGCGAATGCGATGGACCCGAAGGACGCGATCATCGATATTAGGGAGTACGATGTCCCTTACTACCTGCGCGTCGCCATCGACAAGAGTGCGTTTCGCGTGTTCTTCCCTCTCGCTCGATCCTCCGAAGCTGAAGTCCCACCTCCGACTGTGCAGACATCCGCGTGGGACTCTGGTACGAAGTCACAGCCGACGCCGGCGAGATCTCCTTCCGCCTCCTCGAGGAACGAGTCGCTCGTGCCGAGCCAGTCGTCATGGCGTTCGATATCGAGACGACCAAGGCGCCTCTCAAGTTCCCCGACCAGTTGACAGACCAGGTCATGATGATCTCGTACATGATTGACGGGCAGGTGCGTCGCGCAAGAGCGTTCGTCGGTGCCGGCGGTTCTCGTTCAGCGTACTGACTGAATGGACTGCTGGACGGACAGGGCTTCCTCATCACGAACCGCGAGATTGTCGGCGCCGACATCGAGGACTTCGAGTACACACCGAAACCGGACTACGAAGGTCCCTTTACCATCTTCAACGAGGCCGACGAAGTGCGTACCGATCTTTCCTAATCAAACATTCTCCTTCGCCGCTGACGCCCGCACACAGGCCGCCACCATCCTCCGTTTCTTCGAGCACTTCCGCGAAGCCCACCCGACCGTCTGCGCAACCTACAACGGCGACTCGTTCGACTTTCCGTTCCTCCTCGCCCGTGCGAACGTACATGGCATCGACATGTACAAGGAGATTGGGTTCGCGAAGGATAGCGAGGAGGAGTTCAAGAGCAGGAGTTGCGTGCATATGGATTGCTTCCGGTGCGTTGCGCGATCCGGCACTCTCGGCCACATGCCTTTTCCCCGAAGCTGGAGAGCTGATACGAGTTCGCGTTCGTGCACAGATGGGTCAAGCGCGACTCATACCTCCCGCAAGGCTCGCAGGGTCTCAAGGCCGTCACGGTTGCCAAGCTCGGCTACAACCCGATCGAGCTCGACCCAGAGCTCATGACGCCGTGCGCTCTGCTTCGCTCCCATCCTCCGAGCCCGCTGACCTGTCCCGAGCAGATACGCCGCCGACCAGCCCCAGACGCTCGCCCAATACTCCGTCTCCGACGCAGTCGCGACCTACTACCTCTACATGAAATACGTCCACCCGTTCGTCTTCTCGCTCTGCAACATCATCCCGCTCAACCCGGACGAGGTGTTGCGGAAGGGAAGTGGGACGCTGTGCGAGACATTGTTGATGGTGCGTGCCGGCTCTTTCGCGCGCCGTTTCTCTTCAAGTCGGTCTCTCGCAGGATAGCCACTTTGCAGGAAGCGCAGCTTCTCGTTGAGGGGAGGCCGCGAGATCGCGCTTACTGACCTTCGCAACTCTCACTCAAACAGGTCGAAGCCTACCGCTCAAACGTCGTCTACCCGAACCGGCACGTCGAGTCGCACAACAACATGTATGACGGACACCTCCTCGAGTCGGAGACGTATGTCGGTGGTCACGTTGAGGCGCTCGAAGCTGGAGTATTCCGGAGCGATATCGAGACGGACTTCAAGATTGTGCCGAGTGCGATTCAGGAGGTGAGTCGGTTGCGCCTTCTTCTCGAATCGACTGCGGATGAAGCGAACGCGGTGCACGATCGCAAGTAAGGACGAAGTTGAGGGTTGAGGTCTGACTCGCGCGCTCTCCCTCCCACGCAGCTCATCGACGATCTGGACGACGCGCTCAAGTTCGCCCTCGCGAAGGAGGGCAAGAAGCCAATCCCGATCGAAGACGTCGAGAACTACGACGAGGTCAAGGGCGAGATCGTCCGCATGCTCGAGGAGCTCCGCGACCGCCCGCTCCGCGCCGACACGCCGCTCATCTACCATCTCGACGTCGCCGCCATGTACCCCAACATCATGTTGTCCAACCGACTCCAGCCCGACTCGGTCGTGACCGAAGCCGACTGCGCGGCATGCGACTTCAACCGGCCCGGCAAGCAGTGCCAGCGACGCATGAAGTGGGCCTGGCGCGGCGAGTACTTTCCGGCGCAGCTCAACGAGTACAAGATGATTCGGAACGCGCTCGAGCAGGAGACGTTCCCGCCCAAGTGGCCGGGCAAGCCTGAGCGACGCTTCACCGAGCTCTCGCCGTCAGAGCAGACGTCGCTCCTCCACAAGCGCCTGGGCGACTACTCGCGCAAGGTCTACGCCAAGACAAAGGAGACCAAGATCGAGACGAAGGAGGCCATCATCTGTCAGCGCGAGAACCCGTTCTACATCGACACTGTCCGCACCTTCCGCGACCGCCGCTACACGTACAAGGGTCTTCACAAAGACTGGAAGAAGAAGCTCGACCAGGCGAGCGGCGGAGGTGGCGTCCAGGAGATCGTCGAGGCCAAGGCGATGATCGTCCTTTACGACTCGCTTCAGCTCGCGCACAAGTGTATCCTCAACTCGTTCTACGGCTACGTCATGCGCAAGGGCGCGCGGTGGCACTCGATGGAGATGGCCGGCATCACCTGCTTGACGGGCGCGTCCATCATCCAGATGGCGAGGAAGCTCGTCGAGCAGATCGGCCGCCCGCTCGAGCTCGACACAGACGGCATCTGGTGCATGCTGCCGAGCACCTTCCCCGACGGTGTGTACCGACTTCGTCTGGATTCGCGACTGCACCTGACGTTTCCTTCCCGCAGGCTTCGCATTCAAACTTCGCGGCGGCGGCAAGTTCCCGATCTCGTACCCTTGCACCATGCTCAACCACATCGTGCACAAGGACTTCACGAACGACCAGTACCACGAGGCGACGCCCGACGGCCGGCACGTCGTTCGCGAGGAGAACTCGATCTTCTTCGAGCTCGACGGCCCGTACCGCGCCATGATTCTGCCGTCGTCGAAGGAGGAGGACAAGCTGCTGAAGAAGCGCTACGCCGTCTTCAACGAGGACGGATCGCTCGCCGAGCTCAAGGGGTTCGAGGTCAAGCGTCGCGGCGAGCTCCAGCTCATCAAAACCTTCCAGTCGCAGATCTTCGAGAAGTTCTTGCTTGGCGGGACTCTCAAAGACTGCTACGCCGCCGTCGCGACTGTCGCCGACAAGTGGCTCGACGTCCTCTTCACCAAGGCGGTTTCGCTTCCGGACGACGAACTCGTCGAGCTGATCGCCGAGAACCGCTCGATGTCGAAGACCCTCGCCGAGTACGCCGGCCAAAAGTCGACATCTATCAGCACGGCTCGCCGTCTCGCCGAGTTCCTTGGCGAGCAGATGGTCAAGGACAAGGGTCTCGCCTGCAAGTTCATCATCTCGACAAAGCCGGTCGGGGCACCCGTCACCGAGCGCGCCGTTCCCGTCGCCATCTTCTCCGCCGAGCTCTCCGTCAAGCGGCACTTCCTGCGCAAGTGGCTCAAGGACAACGCGCTCGAGGAGTTTGACCTGCGCTCGATCCTCGACTGGGACTACTATATCGAGCGTCTCGGCTCCGTCGTCCAGAAGCTCATCACGATTCCCGCCGCGCTCCAGAAGATCCCAAACCCCGTCCCTCGCATCCGTCACCCCGACTGGCTTCACCGCCGGGTTGCGAACCAGGACGACAAGTTCAAGCAGCACCGCGTCGACGAGATGTTCGCTCGCCAGAAGCCCGCCGTGCGCGACGTCGAGGACATGGGCTCGAAAGACGTTATCATCGTCACGCCACGCGAGCCGACGCCGCCTCCGCCCGCGGCGCCCAAGCCCGACATCACGAAGAGTTACAGCGCCTGGGTCGGATACATGAAGCCGATCTGGCGCGAGAAGCGCAAGGAGCTGCTCGCCTCGCAGAAGTCGTCGAGCGGGTTCAGCGGCAGGGCGGGGACGCTCGGCTCGATGATGCACCAGCGCTCGACGTTCCTCTCCTCGGCGGTGTGGGACATTGTCCAGATCGCGCCCGTCTCCGACCGACCCGGCGAGTTCAAGATGTGGCTCCTCATCGCCGACTCGCTCCAGTCGGTCCGCCTCCGCATCCCTCGCCAGTTCTTCGTCAACTTCGTCGAGCTTCCCGCCGCAGATGGCGTCTTTCCCGAGGCTTGCGAGGTTGAGCCTATCTCTCGCTCGCTCCCGCGCGGTCAGCGCTCGCTCTACCTCGTTCGCTTGTCGACGTCGGAGGATGACTTCGTACGCGACGAGTCGCTGTACGGTGAGCTGCTGAACGGCCCGAACGTCGACGGCGTGTACGAGCTTCAAGTCCCTCTCGTCATGCGCGCCCTCCTCCGCCTCGGCGCGTCCTGTATCCCCGACTCGCGCAAGGGCGTCACCCTCAACAAGGGTCTCGACCGCCACTTTGCTCTCGGTGACCTCAAGCCCGCCGAGGCGACGCTCAGCAAGCGCCGCTACCTCGACCTCGGCCGCAACCTGCGCTACACGTACCTGTTCCATGTCACGAACGACTACCGTCACGTCTTCGGCCTCTTCATGCCGACCGGGACCGCCAAGGTGTACGTCGTCGAGCGCGGTAAGGCGAGGGACGTCCAGAACCTCGACAAGTACTACGAGGAGCAGCTCAAGCGGCGGAAGGAGGCGGAGGCCGAGCGTCTCAAGAAGGACAAGTCGGCCAAGCGCGAAGTCGGCGCCTTCGAGTACGCGGACAGGATGACGATGATCGTCGCCTACGCGGGCAACGAGGACGTGGCCCTCCGCCACCTCTCGCGAGACCTCGATGCGCTGTCGAAGCAGAAGTCGATGGCGTCGCTCCTCGTCGTTCACTCGCCCAAGCCTCGCTCGTACTTCGACGAGAAGGTCCGAGGCGCCGCCAACTTCCCCTTGATCGCCATCCAGTCGTCCAAGGCGGAGAACACGTTCCCGGCGCTCGCATGGCAAGCCCCCGCCTGTCGCCGTATGATCCAGCACTACCTCCGCGCCGCCGTCTGGATCCGCGAGCGTATCGAGCTCGCCGACCGCTTCGACGTCCCCGTCTGCAACCTCGAGAAGGACGTCCCGCTCTTCCTCGCGGACATCGACTTTGCCCGTCGCCTTTCGAAGGCCGACTGCGTACTCTGGTGGTCGC